AAAAAGTTATCCAAAAACTTTATAAAGCACTAGCACATAGCTACTAAAGTATCTAAGCCATATACTTAAAGCTAAAATAATACTAAAACTTCCCCAACACAAAATAAAAAATAGCCTAAATCATTAACAAATACAACCTCTATAATAAAAGCAAACCTATAAAACATAAGCTATATAGGCTACTATAACTACTACTAATACTAAATAAACTATAAAAATCAATTAACTTAAATTTTATTATTAAACTTCCCCTATCTAAAAAACCAATAACAAAAATTAGCTATAATAGCATCCTAATTATAATAAATAAATTTATAAAGTATATATACTTTATACCCTACAAAAAAGCTAGCATAATAAAAAAACTTACCTATATATTCCTTAAAATAATTATTAGCTAATATAAGCTACTAAATAAAATTATATCTAACTAAAATAAACTATTTACATTAAACTTCTAATCTTTTTTAATAAAACAACTAAAAGCTAAACATAAACTTTTAACAATAGTATATTTATAAACAAATAAGTAAATAAAATAACTTAACTAAATATTAAAATAATATATATACTACTATATCAACTATTAGCAAAATAATTAGATATTATTACTACTATTAGCATAATTTATATATAATAATATAAACATATATACTACTAATATTTTACTATTCTATACTAACTATAAATTTAATTTAAATATCTATTAATACCTAATTTCTAATATAAAAGTATTATAAGCTACTAACTATATAAAACAAATTAAAAATATTTATAAAAAAATTATAGCAAACTTAGAATTTATTTAAAAACATATAGTAAAATAAATAAACTAATAAAAGTTAAAAAAACTAATTTTTAAAAAAGAAAATATAATCTACCTACTCTATAAAAAATAAATCAAAATTAAGCAACCTAATAATAAACTTAACTTTAAAAAGATTAAACTATTTAAAATTAAAAAAAAAATATTAAAAACAAACTATAAATTTACACTATTAAAAAGAATAAAAATCTACTTAATCTTCTATATTTTTATATTAAAACCTATATTAGCTAACATAACGCTAGCTATTAGCATTAAGCTTAATAATTATAAACTAAAATATAAAATAAAATATATCCTAAACTACTAAATATATAAAAGAATAATAAAATACCTAATTAAATAAGAAAATTATAGCAATAAAAATAATTTATAAAAACCTATCTAAAACCTAATAAACTATTAAAAAGCATTTCAGGTATACTACTAAATAACCAACTAAAAAAATCTATATTAGCAAATTCTATTATAAAACCTTAATTTATAATACTAAAACCCCTATTTTATTAAACACTAAAAATAGCTTTAAACTTTTTAGCTATAACTTAATTAACAGCCTTAATATAATTAACCTCCTTAAATACATTTAAAGCAGCTAAACCTTTATTTACTAAACTAGCCCCACAATAAACTAAAAACTCCTTTTAACAATATAAACAATCTAAATAAGCTATTACCTTACTCGCCTAATAATAAGCCTTATATAAGGCCTTTTAGGCCTTAAGCTCCTAAAAATGCAACTTTTTTTTTTCTGTAATAACCCAAGATATTAAAAAAACAGTTAAAAAAAAAAAAACAAAAAAAAAAGGAAAACTAAAACTTATAAGCACTTATTAGCACCCTAAAGCTATTACACCTTTTACCTTACTTAACATAAGCAAAATAACAAAAAACACCCTCTATTATCTAATAAAACCACCCCTTTATAAAATAAAACAAATAAAATATAACTTTAAAGCTTAATAACTTAATAAACGCAAATAATTAATTATATTAATCTAATTTCTTAAAATACAGTTTCTTTATACACAACAATATAATTATTAGCAAAACAAATACAACAAACATATAAAAAGAAACAAAAGAAAAAAAAACTTACTTAAGTTTTTTAAAAATAAAAAAGCAATAAAAAAGGGAAATAATATTACAAATATAACAAAAATAAAACTAAAAAAGCACTATTAATCCCCTAAAAGCGCAAATAAACCCTATAAGCCAGCAAAGCAAGCCTAAAAGGATTTACTACATAATAAAAATAAGTTATATAATAAAATAAAAGGATAACTAAAACAACTAAAACAACGCTTTACTCTAAATAATCTAAATAATCTAACGCTCCTATTGCTCTAAATAAGTAACGCTTTAAATAAACCGCCTAAAATAACGCTCCTATTACTCCAGCTAAAAAGATAAACTATATAAATTACACTTATTACTAATAAATAGCATTAGCTTAAAACAGCTTTTTAGCAGTTAATCTAAATATTCACCTAAAATAGCTATAAAGCTTTTAATCCACTATTATTATATATTGCTCAAAACATCACTACTTTAAATATTCCCTAAATATAAACCCGCTTACTAAGTTTATTAGCTAAAAACTAGCTATAATCATTACATTATTTTATAAAAATTTTTATAAGTATAATTAAAGCTTTATAAATTATTATTATTATAAAAATAATATTAATTTTATAGCTAATTATTATTTATTTATTTAAAATTTTTATAATAAAAGCTAAATTTAAGCTTATAAATAATAAAATTAATATAATTTAGTTATTATTTATTAAAAAAAATTATATTTTTTTATAATAATATTATTTTTAATATAGTTATTATTTTTAATTATATTTATTAAAAAAATTTAAATATTTTTATTTTAAATAATATTATTTTAAAATTACTTTTTAAAATTTTTAAATCTTTTAATATTAATATACTTATAAATATACTTATTTTTAAAATAAAAAATAGCTTATATATTTATAATAGGAATTTTAAAACTATTTATAAAGTTTAATAAATTAAAAAAAAAATTTTTAACTTATAAATTAATAAAAGCTTAATTAATTTATTTAAAAATTAATAAATAAAAGCTTTTTAAATAAATAAATAATTAATAATTTATTAAATTTAATATTTAATAATATTTTATTTTTATTATTTATTAAATAATATATAATATAAATAAATAAAAATAATAACTAATTTATAACTTTTTAATATATAAAAATTATTAAAATTAATTTACTTATATTAATTATTAAAAAGTTATAAATTAATTATTATTTTTATTTTTTTATATTATATATTATTTAATAAATAATAAAAATAAAATATTATTAAATACTTATATTTTATAAATTATTTTATAAAAATAAAATATATTTTTTAATTAAACTTTTTAAAAAATTAAATTTTTATAAACTTTAAAAGCTTTTAAAACTTATTTTAATAATATTAAATTCTTTTAAATTATAATTTTTTATTATATTAAACTTATTAAACTTTTATAATATTAAAAAATAAAACTTTTTATTATAAAATATAAAAATAAAAATATAATAAATAATATTTTTAAAAAGTATAGCTTATACTTAATATATTAAGTTTAAGTTTATATAAGCTAAATTAAATACTTTTATTAATATTTTAAAATTTATTATTAAAAAAATTTATTTTAATTATTATAATTTTTAAAATAAAGCTTTAAAGTTATATTATTTTAAATTAATAATATTTATAAATAGTAAATAAATATAAGTATTTTTTTTTAAATTATTAAATTAATTATATTTTTTAATTATTATTTTATAAATATTAAATTAAATTATAATTTTTTAAAAATAAAAATAATTTACTTTATTAAAATATATAAATACTTATATATAATAATTTATTTAAATTATTACTTTATTATTATTTTTATAAATTATAATAAAATATAAAAAAAATTTAATTAAATAAATTTAAATATATTATTTTTATTTATTTTTTAAAATATTAATTAAATATTTATTATATTATTAAATATTTTAATTTAATTTTAAATATTTTATTTAAATTTATAATAATAAATAATAATATTAAATAATAAAATAAAAATCTTTTAACTTTAAATACTATTATTAATAATTTCTTTATAATTAACTTTATTTTAATAAAAGCTTAAATATTTAATATAATATATTAATAAATTTATAAAGCTTATAAATTTAACTTTATTTATAATAAAATTATTTAAAATAATAAATATAATATTATTATTAATTTTTTATAAAATATAATATTATTATTTATTTAAATTATATAATTTAAATAATTAATTATTTTTATATTAAAAATATTTAAATATAATATTTAAAAAAATATTTATATTTTATAAAATTAAATTAGTATTACTTTATATTATAAATTATTATAATTATAATATAAATAAAATTAATAATTAATTTTAAAAATAAATATAAGTTAGCTTTTATAAAGCTAAATAATAATAAAAAATTTTATTAAATTATATACTTTATTTATTTTATATAAAAATTAATTATAATTATTATATTTTAATTATTTTCTTATAAATATAAATATTTATTAATTATAAAATTTAATTTAATTTATTATTTATAATAATATATTTTTTAAATATATATATAAAAATAAAAAGTATAAAAATAAATAAAAAAATAATTATAATAAAAATAATATATAAAATTTAATTTAAAGTTTAATAAATTATTAATAACTTATATAAGTTTATTATTAAAGATTTTTATTTATTTAAATATTTAAACTAATTATTATGTATTATTTATTAAAGATTAAGAAATTATATTAAAAGTATAGTTTATTTGTTTTATTTAAATAAGCTTAATCTTCTGGTCAGTTTGTTTGTAGGTGCGCTGTACGCCTGGCACCACGGTGGGTCAACACGGGAAGACCCACGGATTATGGTATGACATCCATGCTGCGCACTAGTCCAGGTACCCAAGTACCTAAACATTTAGAACATGCATATGCAAAATCCATGGCATCATCCGACTTCCCCCCCACCACCACATTCTTCTCTCTTCGATCTTCCACAACCATAAAGCACCTCAACACCAGGCACTCTAGTAGTTTGACGACAAACCAGTCGCATTCGACTATACATGACCAACTGCATTGCATCATGACGAGTCCCGTATCCGGCCGGCCGCTACCCTCGTCCTTCGACGAGAACGAGTGAGCCCCTCCGACCCTAACCTCTGCCAACTTGTTCGCTACCCGTTGCGTCTCTGTGGTGCCTTTGACTTACAGGTTCGCGGTTTCCTGCAGGGAATTCTACAATGAAAGCGGTCTTCAGAAAGTCCTGGGCCGCATGAAGCGCGAGCCTCTCGTGCCCATTGGTATGCTCGCATCTACCCACCTGCCTAGCTTCTTCCCATTTTGCTCCCTACGACCAGCGACCTAACACGCCCTTGTACGCAACTGTAGGATGCCTCCTTACCGTTGCTGCCTTTACCAACGCCTACCGCGCCATGCGTAAGGGCGACCACAATCAAGTACAGCGTATGTTTCGAGCACGTGTCATAGCCCAAGGCTTTACCGTTGCTGCCATGGTGGCCGGCGGTCTCTACTTCGGCGCCGAGCGACACAAAGAACGAGAGCAGTGGAAGATGCAAGAGCAGGAGAAGGCCGACGAAAAGCGCCAGAAATGGATCCGAGAGCTCGAGGCTCGTGACGATGAGGAGAAAGAGCTCAAGGCTATGATGAACAAGAGGCGGGAGAAGAAGAAGGCGACTACAGCAGAAGCGGCGCGCGACAATTTCCGCGCCGCTGAGGCCAAGAGGCTGGAAAGTGAGGCTGCGCCAGCTGTGGATGATAAGGTCAACAACGGGACGTCGACCTGGGGGTTTGGGTGGCTCAGCCGGTCGAAACCCCCCACCTCCGAGGATGAGTTTAGGCCCGAGGACAGCACAACGTCTGAAAACAGGCCCGGTTCGAAGTCATCAGACAAGTAACAAGACAGCACCCCGTAAACTTTTTGCTGCGGCCATCACTCATGCGTAGGGGTCAGTGAGTTCTCACGATAAGAGCTGCAAGACTGGTCAGCTCGCAATAATCCAGACAACTCAATTCACAAAAGGGACGTTGGTGAATCAAGGAGAAGGTATTCGATTTCATGCTTCTGCAGGCTTGAACTCACAGAGGCGTCCTTTCCCCCTCTTCAATCCCACGACCACTTGCTCCTCGGCCTTTCAAGCAGTGTGAGAACAGACACCATGAACTCACACCGCACAGATTGGCGTTCTGCAACCTTCCGCCGCAGGATTCTCCCTGGTCCTTGTGAAGCGAATAAGAATCCCTGCTCTAAAACGAAAATAGTTTTGCATACTCAGTATAAGTATTATCGTTAATCTATAATTTCCAAGGACCAAAATATATATAATATAAATAGAGCGTACTGTATACAATGAAAAGGTTCCACGTGAACTCGTTGTAGGGTTAGGGGCGCCGACCGTAACAGAAACGCTTGTCAGACATTACGTAGGTAAGGTGATCCAGGCATCTAGACAGGCAGACATGCATTTGTTGCTCGTGCTCCACCTCTTCCCGCACATACGTAGGTACACATGCGCATGTATATGTGCTTATGCTCTCGGCCTCGCTCTATCTACATGTATTTCATTTCCTACACGGAAATACCAGATAAGTTGCTCGATCCGTGGCCAAGATGGGCCAGGTTCTCTCCAGCCACAATGACGGTCCGGGGACCAGGACGCGTGAGGAGCTTAGAAGGGAGCTGGTACGATCATGCACCTCGCACATGCTCTCCTCCACCGCACCGCACTGCACCAAACAGGTGGCCGGCTAATACACTACTATCTCCTGCAAACAGGCCGAAAGGTTCGCCACAAAATGCTTTACGTCCATCGAGCTCTACTCACTAAAGGACAACTTCAAAAGTCTCGCCGATGTCCAGCGGGACTCCGGAGGGAGCCCGCATCACTATATTTCGGAAACCACAGTTGCGAGGTTCTTGGAACTTCCTGACATCCTTGACGTGTCACCCGTGATCGGAAAGATGGTATCATTTATTGGTGCATTTCCCTTCCTACAGGACGCACCAGCCATTATGGGCCTGGAGGCGCTCGTGATTACCGTCATTATTCTCACCGAGAGATACCAGAGAGTCCTATCGAAGGGGTCTACCGACAGGAGGAAGCTTCTCTTCAGAAGCTTAGCCGTGTACGACCGGAAGCTGTCACAGTTACAGGACGCCAGCTCCACGCCAGGTGCCCACGAACTCAGCATGGGCAAGGCCAGCGAGGACGAGCCTGAGGACTCTGAGGACGAGGATGACGGCTTAGTAATATCGACACTTGAATTGCTGGACTGTGTCGAGGCATACAAAGACGCAGGCGTGCCGACGACTCATGAAGCTATAATTCCGGCCGACAATTTCAGGAAGCTAATCATGCTGCTGCTGGTCGTGGCACCAATGGATCCTCAAGAGAAGCTTTCTCAGTATGCTGAACGCACGACGGGGCCAGAGCTCGAAAACCTACGCACTGCAGCAGAAAGCATCCTTGCGGCGTTTCTGAACGTTGAAAGATCACCGGGTATCAAGTCTGGGGCCTTTGATTCCGTGCTGCCTGTTGCCCTTCCATTCCTATTTCAGGGCTTCAATGCGCTCTTTGAGCGCTTCCTCTTCTCCAAGAATTTGGCTTTCGACAAACGAAGGGAAGAAAGTGACAAGACAAACGGCCCATCCCCACGTATTGCCGCCCCGCTGTTACAGGACACAGCATCCATCATGAACTCGACCGTCATGTCTCAGCTATCCTTCTTCATCCCGGGCTCTTCTCTATTCCGTCGACTGCGGTTGTTATTTGCAGGAGAGCATGATGGTTTCTCTATGGGCTCCTTCGAAACCAAGGTATTCAATTGGCGGGCGCCGACGGTTTTACTCGTGCGAGGCACGAGAGTAACAGACTCGTCTGGCAAAAGCGAGGAGCGTTTTGCAGCCTCGCTGCCGCCCAAGCGTTTCCCGGATGGCTCCCGGTCAAGCAGACTGACTTATGGCATGTACGTATCCCAGCCATGGCGGCATTCGCACAAAGAATGCTTTGGAACATCAGATACACTCCTGTTCCAGCTTGAGCCAATCCACGATGTGTTCCCCGCCAGCACGTTGAACACTGATTATGTGTCGTTCACAAAGCCAGGCGTTGGTTCGACCAATAATGGTATTTCGGTAGGGAATCCATTACCCACATCATCATCATCATATCGCAAACAAAGTGTTACACACCTCGGCTCCGTGGCCCTCCTGCTCGACTCTAGCTTCGAGTTTGGCGTGTTCACACATGATAATTCCTCGAGAGGTGGTGCTTTCCAGAACAGCGCGTCGCGCAAGTTCGATTTCCAGGATCGGTTCGAGATTGACAGTCTCGAGGTCTGGGGATGCGGAGGTGACGAGGAGGCCAAGGTTCAAGCTGAGCGATGGGCATTTGAAGCTCGAGAGGCGGAGGCCAGAAGGCGAATTAATCTCGGCACAGGAGATATCGAAGCAGATAGGGCCCTGCTCGAAATGGCAGGTCTAATAGGAGGGAATAGGAGCGGAGGGTCGATGGCGTAAGGATCAAATTCTATCTTATCTTAGACACTAGGATTTGGCCAAGTTCCTAGTACCTAGGTAGTCCACAGAGAGGGATCACCTACCTCGCCGGCTATCGCACAAGAAATCGGCACGCTATCCTACAGGAGGTCATACTACAGGAGTTATGCCACAAGAGGTCATCCCACAAGAGGGTTATCCTACAGAACATTATTCCACAGGTGGGTACCTTACGAAAGGTTATTTTACAGGAGACTATTCAACAGGAGGCTATTCTATAAAAGGGTACTCCATAAGAGGTCAACACATAGCCAATAGGATATCACTCCATAAGAATTCATCCCGTAAGCCGCACGTTTGGGATCCCAACGACCTTGATAACAGCCTACGCTTGCACGCGTAGACTGTGGATGATACGCATAAGTCACGGCGTTGTTAAGCCTGACCCCATTGCACGATTCGTGCGGCCTATGTACGTTCATAACTATACTTGAGAATTCAAGCAGATCTCATGAAGAAGGCTACATGTTGTGCGTCGACGATGGACGCGGCCCAACGGGTCCTTGCGCTCCACACGTTCATGCTTCAACCCCCTCCCTCTCGGCTCCGACGACTAAGCCGCCTTCATCGCAGGGTCTTGACTTACCTGTGCAAGTGGCCAGATCATGAAATGCTGCCAGTCAGGACCGAGATACCGTGCAATGGTTCGTACAAGTATGGGGCCTACGTTGGCATACGTCCAGAAATGGCGGTGTTGGTGCATGAGAACACCATAGTATGCCAGCATCAACAGCGCCTCGGGGGTCTTGTTGCACATTAGGCCCAGCACGGCTTCACGGGCCATCAAGGGCCAGGCGTGCACCAGGCCCAAGCTGTGGAAGTCTCGAGCTTCCTGGCTTCCAAGATTGTGCGTATTGTCCGAGTCTGGCTCTGAAGGGCTCAGAATCCACTGCAGCCTGTCGATGGCCTCGAGGCAAAGCCGCTTCTGTTCCCGATCCAGTGCCCGGCTTATCGAAATGACGGATCGCAGCTCTGTCGTCTGGGTGCCACTGCTCGTCCTGCAATCTGCAATGCCGGCGCTGGCTGTGAAGATGCTTCTTAGTTTGGACTGAAGGAGAGCCTGCCACGCCTCCTTGGCGATCAACACGACGCCGCGGTATACTTTCATATAGTCCAAGAAGCGGTTGAGTGGCTCCATGGAGTCATCTTTGTCGTCGCAATTCAAGGTCGTCTCGTACAGCATGTGGAGACTCGTGAGCTGGCCGAAGAGGAGCAGGCTCAAGCAGTTCTCCGGGGTAACCTGGGGCCGCTGCTGGTTGAAGATACTCAAGGCGTGCGTGTGGAAGTGTACAGCCTGGTGATGATAGTACGCACTTTGGGAGGGCCGAGTGTGCGCTAGATGTAGGGCTGCTACAGCCAGCAGCGCGTTCATGAGGCAGGGTGAAGAGAAAGCAGCCTCCAGCAAACCAGAGAGGATCTTCCCGTTGTTGCCGTTGAGGGGAAGCGGGACCTGCTGAGTGCAAACATGGTGGAAGAGCTCCAGCTGCGCCATGTTCGCGGGCGGGACGCTGAGTACTGGCGATGAGGGCGAGGTGTCGCGTGGTTGGGCCTGTTCTGGCAGCTGTGATGAGGGCGTGAGCGAAGCCGAGCTCACTGGTAAAGGCGATCGTGATCGAGATGAAGTTGCACGAGCAGAGCCCACCCTGGAGCCGGCACCAGACGCATCTTCACGCGCGAGGGGCTCGAGATGCCCCGATTGATCTGCTTGACCAGGCAGCGAAGCCGGGCCCAGCGCGTAAACACAGCAGAGCTTCTTGACCGAACATCCTGCGCACACCGGCCGTGTTTCGTCACACTGAGGGGCCAGGTCAGCACCGGCCCAAGATACTCTCATTCAATGAGTTTTCTATCGATTTCAGGAGCCGCCTGGGCAGATCGACATACCTTGATATGACGACGCTTACACTCTCGGCAGCCGGCGCGAGATTTCCTGTGAGTCCTTCGTGAAGCCATCATGTGAAGGTTGATGACAAGGCAGATAAGGAGGTATGGCACGATAGGCACGTCGCACAGTGGAGAAGCCACTTGCCTTTGTTGCTAGTGTGCCCCTGAATCATAATCGACGTATTAGGCAAACAACAGCCATAAGTTTCCAAGCAGGTTCAAGGCTTATATATATTATTTTGTTTTTCAAAAAAGCCTTTGTAAATAATATTCAATGGCTGTGTTCTCCAAAGTTTAAACAGAATAATCTTTTTTTTACATAAACGTAAAAGCAAGTTAAGAATTATACGAAGGAAAAACTGTTACCTCTTTGTTAAATGCATCTTAGTAATGTCTTGGTCTGGCTAGGCCTTCGGTGCTATGGCCGAAAAGGTGGTCTGTGAGTTTGAGATAACAGGCACCTCGGGGCAGAGCCTGCACTGTGCCCCACCCTGGCTTTTCGAGCACCATCACCTGTGCAGCTGCAAAGCTCTGAAGCAGGAATCAATTGAGATTGAGGGTGAGGGCGACTCATCCACGGGTTGACTCACTCACTCGTCTGACCGTCTACCCGCCAATTGATATACCCTTCGCTCACTCGTCCACTCGATCACTTACTTCTCACTCACACACGCACGCTCATAACAATTAAAGATACTCAACCCGGGCCCTCTTCAGAGTCTGATCACATCTTCTCAAGACGCGAATCCAAAGCCACGCCCTCAAGCATGCCAGCAGTCGAGCAACCAACCGCCAACGGCGTCAATGGCCATGCTGAGAGCAGCAATGGCAACGGCCAAGGTCATACTGCAAGGACGCCCAGCATGACTGGCCTGTCCTTGACTGAGTACAGCGCCAACCCCACCCCACCGGGCACATCATCGCCGCCATCAGAAGACAGGGACGCTCGCATCAGGAAGATCGTGCCGCCCGAGTTCATCCTTCCCAATGGCCACCCAGACTACCTGCGGCTCATCCTGACTTCTAAGGTCTACGAGGCTTGCCGGGAAACATCGCTCACCCCAGCTGTGAACCTGAGTAACCGTCTCGAGTGCAATGTCCTGCTCAAGCGCGAGGATGAGCACCCTGTCTTCAGCTTCAAGCTGCGCGGGGCCTACAACAAGATGGCTCACCTCGAACCAGGCCAGAGCTGGAGGGGTGTCGTCTGTTGCAGCGCGGGCAACCACGCCCAGGGCGTCGCCTACTCAGCCCGCAAGCTCAAGATCCCCGCCACTATCATCATGCCCGAGGGTACACCGAGCATCAAACACCTAAACGTCTCCCGGATGGGTGGCCATGTCGTTCTCCACGGCTCCGATTTCGACGCCGCTAAGGAGGAGTGTGCTAGGAGGGAGCACCAGGATGGTCTTATCAACATCCCTCCTTTCGACGATCCCTATGTTATCGCTGGCCAGGGCACCATCGGCATGGAGCTGCTCCGCCAGACAAACCTTCAGAAGCTTGAGGCTATCTTTTGCTGCGTTGGCGGAGGCGGTCTCCTGGCTGGCGTCGGTGTCTACGTGAAGCGTATTGCCCCTCACGTCAAGGTCATTGGTGTTGAGACGTACGATGCAGATGCCTTAACAAAGTCTCTTGCCAAGGGAGAGCGCCTCGTCCTCGACCAAGTCGGTCTCTTCGCGGACGGCGCCGCTGTCAAGCAGGTTGGAGAGGAGACTTTCCGCATTTGCCAGGAGGTTGTTGATGAGGTCATATTGGTCTCTACCGACGAGACCTGTGCCGCCATAAAGGACGTTTTCGAGGACACGAGATCCATTGTCGAGCCTGCTGGCGCTCTGGCTGTGGCCGGCTTGAAGAAATGGGTCGCCTCCCATCCATCTAGTGACCCGGCTCGGTCCCTCGTCGCTGTCACCAGTGGCGCCAATATGAACTTCGATCGCCTCCGCTTCGTCGCTGAGCGAGCTGATGTCGGTGCGGGCAAGGAAGTACTTCTGGCTTGCCACATTCCTGAGAAGCCTAGGTCTTTCGCCAAGCTCATCAGTGCCATCCTGCCCCATGCCGTCACCGAGTTCAGTTATCGGTACGCCGCATCTTCGGGTGCCAACGTGCTCCTCGGCCTGAGCCTGACGGCGCCGGCATCTCAGCGAACACAGGAACTGCAGGGCCTGTTGCACCGTATCGACTCGATCAGCAGCGAAGAGAATGGCCACTTCTCCGTCACGGATCTCTCTGGCGACGAGCTTGCCAAAAGCCATATTCGATACTTGGTCGGTGGGATCTCTAATGTTCCTGATGAGCGTCTGTACATGTTCAACTTCCCCGAAAGGCCGGGAGCCCTCGACAAATTCCTCAACACGCTACGACCTAAATATAACATCAGCCTGTTCCAGTACCGCAACTCCGGGGGCGACATCGCCAAGATCCTGGCTGGTATTCTTTGCCCTGGTCAGGAGGTAGGAGAGCTGGAGAAGTTTCTCAAGGAAATAGGCTATCCGTGGGTTGACTGCACCGACTCGCAAGTCTTCAAGACCTTTCTGCGGGGCTGAACAGAGGGTATTGTCTTGCACACTATAGCTTGCTCAGCAACTGAGCTCCTAAAATCTACACTAGCTGATGCCAGAATCCCCCAACATCACGTCAGTCCTTGCCAATGCTCGTCAAAGCGCCCGGTCAAGGATCGCTCGTTCGCTGCCACCTGCCCGTTTTGTCCGGAGGGGACAGAGAACGGGCCGTTCTCGGCCAGTGGGAAGTTCGGTGTCCCGTCGTCATTCCAAGTGAACTTCTGGGCTCTGACGGTGCGGTAGATATCCTATGGATTCAAAAGTCAGAGTCAAACAGCCGGTAGGGTGGGTTCTGTCCAGTTTGTGTCTGAACGGGACAAGTCCTGCCGCAGCAAATTACTCAAGCTGCGCCCGAAGAAGAGTCTCCATTGTGCCAGGTGTCAGGAGGCAATCTGAAAATGTAGTCGATAACAACATGATAACAACATGATCCCACCAAGTTCAATGTGGAGGGACGGGAGAGAAGGGGCTTACTGCCGGTGGCTCAGCCGTGGTCATGGCGTGATACTACATAGCAAATTGGTTACCCCTCAGCACAGCTAAAAGTGCGAATACACCTGGAGCGACTTACTACAATATAATTTTCTGAACCATCGGGGCTTGTTGTGAAGCTCGCATGGCCTGTTGCGAAGACCTTTTCCTTACTGTTCTGATGGAACACACAACCGTCTCGATATTTTCTCCAGGACTGATACTGCATAGGGTCATTGCCTACAAGCTCGAGCAAGCCTGACAAGACGCGATATATCAGTCAGTTTTCGAGTTGACCTTTGTTCTTCGTAAAACAAGCGGCAACCGCAAGTGGTGTGAAGAACATTTGGGTTGAGGCTTGGCGGTACGTACCCAAGCAGTAGAAAGGTGTCTGTTATGCGTTAGTCACCGGCTAGGGAGCCCGAAGCGATGCATTCTGGAAACTCTAACAAAAGATGGATGGGGATCTGTAGCGGAGGAAGGCTTATGCTTACATTTACTCTGGCAGCCGAAAATACCACAAAATTCTGCCCCGTAGTGGGATTTATAAGTTGTTGCGGCCCTTCGTTCGTGGCAAGTCGGGTATCTGGTCTACCATATGGGACACGCTCCCATGGTTCATTTGGCACGGATATCATACGCCTGTCGGTTAGATTCGTATCGACCGTCCATGGGTCGCTCATATGTGTGATACAGAGGTTGGCCGGCCATGCTGATGTCTGCTCCTGCCAACATGAATAAATGTGGTAGATGTTCTGATCATGAATGAAATAAGTACCATCGATAGCAAACTGGTCATATGTGTTGAGCTCGCTCTTTAGCTCGAAATTTGCCACCCACGGATCTGGCCCATCACCCTCGAGGACGAACATGCGGTGGTTGATGGCAGGCTATTTTGTCAGTCAGAAGAAACCTTTTCCGTCGGATTATATGGGAAAAGTGCTCTGGAGGTACTACAGCGCGCCACCGGGGAAGGCAGGCGATCCGCGCAAAGCGACTTACGCAGTTGATAGGGCAAGCAGCATCTTGCAACGGTGGGGGATTGTCGAAGTCGGGCGTGGCCGTGAAGATGATATACCACTTTCCAGATATGTTGTGAATCTCAGGAGCCTATATTTTGTCAGTAAACCCATACAAAACGCTACTAATCCGGACTTGAACTGGATTTCGAACTCAAACCCCCATGACACCTGGGCTAATTATATATGGCTAAGCCCTCAAACAGATTGTAGTACGCGCAAGGACTATGTGCCCCCGGCAAATAGACCAGCACAGAAGACCAGAGTGCCCCTCGGGTATCACACACAATGCTGATTGGTAGGCAGGGAAAGTTTGGTTGATAGAGAAATTACCAACCCAAATATCTGTAGACCACGGCTGCCCAGCATCCTGGCCTCGGCTGTCCGGGTTAAAGACGACCCGGGTCTCTTGGTGGTCCCAATTGTCTGTCAGAGCCCTGGAGCGCCTAAGGGTAATATTGTCGTTTGTGCTATATGTAAACAAATACCACTCGTCGCCGTTGACAGAGTATCTTGTCACTATAGCATCCGGAGTCAGTAATCGGAATAACAGGTAGCGAGGAAGAAAAGCGAGTCTAGGAGGGGCGCGCGGGGTGGCCTACTGTAGGGGTCCCCCACATTCGCAGTAAAGATGGGGTTGTTATATGTCGTGTTTGTCTACAAGGCGGTGGGATGTGTCAGTGAAGCAGTCAGGAGCGGACTGGAGGCTGCTACATGTGTGGCCTCTGGAAAAGCTAGTACATAGACCGCATGTAGGGAAAGGGAAGCTTATAAGTACGGTGGTATTGGTGCCCACTGAGGCCGGGTCCCAGCTCTGAGGGCCAGCCTTGTTGGGATCAAAGGACTGGCCCCGGACGAGAGTCAAGGCCGTGATGGTTAGTAGGACGAGCAAGACCATCGTGGGCAAATTTCCAGTGTCTGCGGGTTGAGAGGGGCAAGGGGAAGAGGAGAAGGAACAGGAACAGGGAGAGCTGGCCCCTATGCACAGATGTGATCCAAGGTGAAGGGGAGGAGTGAGCAAGTCTAAATAGTCTGTCTATCTAGGTATGTAGGCGGGAGAGGAAGCAGGCAGAAGAGACTCACTCATCAAGGTTGGCTTGGCTGGTCATCTCCACAACTAACAAGACAATGGATGCAAAGGCAGGGCTCGGGTGGGTAACCCATACCAAGTGCTAGACTATGTAGGCATGCTGAGGAGGAGACACGGAGACAGGGGCATTGTGGGCCTGTCCATGACGTTGCAGCGCAAGGAAAAGCGCAAGGAAATGAGTGTAACCAGGTCGGCTCTTTCTTCATGTCTGCCCACCGTGCACTGTAGATAGCCAAGTGCTTACTGCTTTGTATGCGGTATATCCTAGGTGTGGCCCGCGGTGCATGTGCAAGTGCATGTGGTCAGTGTACCCGTGTACCGGTGTACCCAACGAGCCAACCTAGAACAGTAGAGCAGCGGGCAGTTCATCCCCACATCTCCGTCCCATCAGGCTCCTCACTGCGGATGCGGGGAATCCCTGTCACAGCCTCAGAGCACCTGCAGATCCCGCACCCCTGGGGTAGGTCTGTACACGGTTGGCGTGGGGCCTGTCCTGCCCGCCAGCTGGCACCAGCTGTGCTCGCGAACTTTTTAGGGCCCACGCAGTTAAGCAATTTTTTCCACCCAAGCCTGGCCGCCGCGCGCAATTCACATCCCAGCAGAGCCACCCGAATCAAGTGTCTGTCTGCCGCCGTCTTGAGATCTAACCTCACCCTCACCCACAACCCACCTCGCCCTCGACGCCGAAACGAAGCATCCGACAACCCTACCCTCCTTCATCTCAATACACACCAACATCAAGCCATGGCTGACCGAGGCGGTGCCCGTGGCGGTGGTTTCGGCGACCGTGGTCGCGGCGATCGTGGACGTGGTCGTGGTCGCGGCCGTGGACGTCGTGGAGGCAAGAGCGAGGAGAAGGAGTGGCAGCCCGTCACCAAGCTGGGCCGTCTCGTAAAGGCTGGCAAGATCAAGAGCATGGAGGAGATCTACCTGCACTCTCTGCCCATCAAGGAGTACCAGATTGTCGACTTCTTCCTGCCCAAGCTCAAGGACGAGGTCATGAAGGTACGCTGAAACAACAAAACTCCCTTATTACTTCTCACTTGATGGATCTGGAACTGGGCCCTCATGACTTTACCCACACGAGCCGCCGTGCTCCGACCGCTGTCCCGAGGCCCATTGCGGACAGCACAAGCCCAGCTGTGACGACCACCCTGGCGAAGCAGAAACAGAAATGGTGCGCTAACCTCCATCCGCCCACACCTACAGATCAAGCCCGTCCAGAAGCAGACCCGTGCCGGTCAGCGTACCCGATTCAAGGCCATCGTCATCATTGGTGACTCCGAGGGCCACGTCGGCCTGGGCATCAAGACCTCCAAGGAGGTTGCTACTGCCATTCGTGCCGCCATCATCATCGCCAAGCTGAGCGTCATCCCCGTGCGAAGAGGATACTGGGGTGCCAACCTTGGTCAACCCCACTCCATCCCCGTCAAGGAGTCTGGAAAGTGTGGCTCTGTCACCGTCCGTGTGAGTAACTCCACGCCCAAGCTGAAATCTACCGCCTACTGGTTTCTCGCGTCGTCACCATGTCAAGGTTCCTTAACATGCGTCCGCTAATACTCCCACTAGCTTATTCCTGCGCCCCGCGGTACCTCCCTCGTCGCCTCCCCAGCTGTCAAGCGTCTCCTCCAGCTTGCTGGTATCGAGGATGCTTACACATCGTCCTCTGGCTCGACCAAGACGCTTGAGAACACCCTGAAGGCTACTTTCGCCGCCATCTCAAACACCTACGGATTCCTGACGCCCAACCTGTGGAAGGAGACGAAGCTCATCAGGAGCCCTCTGGAGGAGTTTGCGGATACCCTGCGGTCGGACAAGAGGTACTAGGTGTGAGGGACCACGAATTGGCGTCTGGTAATTGCATGGGAACTCGGACTGGTCACGATAGCTAGTCGAGACTAGCAAAAGGAAGATTTTGGCTCGGCGAAAATGATGAATAACTTCACTTGAACTCGCGAATCCGCGGTCTGTGCCCCTGTGCTGGTGACTTGAGGTGATGCCTAACCCCTTGACAGCGTCTTGAATTAGGGGATGGGGCACCACAAAAACCAACGCGAGAGGTCGAGAAAGGGTGCCGAGACTACCTAGGTAGTAAAATGCTAATGCCCAATGATGCTAATTGTTGTCTGCCACAGGGCGTGTTCCTGCCTGTGGATCCCTCTGCCCCACAAAACCATCAAGAGCAACCCGTGTGTACAAGCACTGGGGGCAAGTGAGCTCATGGGGTCGTATGTCTGGAGCTACCAGAAATTGATAGGCCGACTGACAGGCCTACTCATCAGATTGTACAGCAAGCCTGCCCTGCCACTGCCTCAAGGTCTGGGGCGTGCAGTACGGTAAAACGCGTCATGTCACCTTGTAACAATCTGGCCCCTGAGACGGGCACCCTTACTCTCACCCGTCGCCCATTGCCAGCGGACAGACGAGCAGAAGGCCGAAGCCCATACGGGACACACATGTCATATGCCTAGGATGGCAGTGAGTTCTCACTGGGCACAAGGAGGGCACCTGGGGAAATGGATCCGGCATTAAACTGGCATTCGGCGGCAGCAAGCCCGTCTGAGCCACATGTGTAGGTGGACACGCAGGTCAGGAGCTTGGCTACCTGAGAATATACCTAGGTAGGTGTCGGGGTAGGTACGAACGTACCACTTCCACTGCCGCAGGTGGCTGGATTCTGATTCTCGTTACTGCCCAGAGCACTTGTCGAGCAGTCCCTTCCGCCCGGTTCACTTTTGGCCAAATACGGAAGTAGCGATAGACCTCTTGCGACGGCGATGGCGTTGACAGTGGCAGTGGCAGGTGCAGGCACAGGCTCGGGAGACCAGAGGATCTGTCTCCTTTTTCACCTTGCCCTTTTCCTGGACTTCCCTGCGTCCCTCTTCCTCGTCCTCGTCCTCGTCCTTGCTCTCCATCGTCTTTTCGCCCAGAAACAAGTGCGGCAACATCAACAGCCCTCTTTTTGGACTTCAATTTTGGAACCACTGGTTTTTGACAGTCTGTTTTCTAGCACATCCTCGTTGCTTGTCCCATTCGAAACGTCACCAACCCGCTTCCCCTTGCTCTTCCCTGTCTTTGGCTGAATCGAGCAACATCTTGCCACAAGATGCTGGCGTCTGCTCTGTTCTCGAGGCACCTAGCCATAGCAGGTCTTCCTTACCTAGTCCTCCTCTGCATCATTTCACTCGGCGAAAGCCTCGAGTTCCTACCGTCTGCGGGCCTGACTCGGCAGTTTGGACAAGTCGAACCCATCATCAAGCGCACATGGGAATCCGAACAAGGCCCTTTCTCTAACGGCCCACCGGACGATTATGTCGAAGGAAACGAGGCAGCTGAGGCCCACACATTGACCAACGACAGCCCCGAGAGGATCGGTGTTCCAGGGCTGGGCAAACCTCTGCCTCCCATCACCTCCATCGTTGCATCTGTACTCGGAGCAAGTGCTGACGCAGGCCTCGTTCCTGGACTTCCAACGCCGCCAGTCATTCCAGAGCCCGTCATCCCAGTTCCAATCGGTGCCTCTGGTGGCCTCTTCAGCTCTGTTATTTCCATCCTGGCCGGTGCGCCAAGTGCTGTCCCTACGAGCCCCGGCGGAAACGACGAACCTTTGGGTGGACTGCTGAGTGTATTGTCTCAGGTCAGTCCCGTGCCGGTTAGCCTCAGCATCACAGGCGTCCCAGTTGTTCCGACACAGTCCGGAGGGCTTCTCCCAGCTTTTAATGTACTAGATGGTGTCGCCGCAGCCCTTGACGACGTACTCGGCTCGTCCAAAGACAGCGACAGTCAAGGCAGCGGGCTTTTGGGCCAGCTCTCTGCCAATATCATCGACCCTATTGCATCCATTGCTGCCGATCCGACCTCTATTATCGCGCATCCCACTGCTGCCCTGATTGACCTCCAGAGTCAAGTCTCCTCCCTTCTCGATGGCCTGCCATCAGCAGTCGCTGCCGGCGTCCAACTGGCAAGCAACGTTGGGGGACAGATCGCCGGTGCTCTCGATGCAACGACAGAGGTTCTAGACAGCGTTCCAGCCGTTGCTAATGGCGTGGCTGAGCAAGTTGGCTCTCTGCTCAATGCCGCTCCCAACCTTGCCACAGGCCTTCCTGCTGCCGCTCTCTCTGTGGTCAACCAGGTGGAGTCCGTCCTCGCCCCTATCCCGGACCTTGGTAGTGATGTCGCTGGGATCCTCCGTGGTATGAGAGAAGAACTGTCCTCGGCTGCAGCCAACGCTTTGCCAGAAGTGACGTCCCTCGCTGCAATAGTGGGGAGCCAGGTCGTGAGCAATCTCCCACCTGTGCTCCAAGGCCCTGTGCAAGGAGTGGTGTCAGATCTCCAGAACGACATAAGTGGGCTTCTGTGTCAAGTGTCCGACGTTGTGAGTGGGACAGCAATCATTTTCAATGTCCCATGCGGCTCAGCCAACTCAGTAACGTCTCCCACTGGGGCACAAGCTTCGGCGACGGTACCTGCAACCGTCTCTGCCTCTGTTACAGTGGGAGAGACCTTGCCTCTCGTTCCTACACAGCCTTTTCCTACTTCGCCACTACCTCTCGCCTCCGTTTTGTCATCTTTGGGCTCGTCATTGATGACTGCCGAAACTGCTGTCGCCTCTGGTGTCGACCCTCTTGCGAGTTCTGCTTTGTCCGATCTCTCGTCATTGTTCAGTCAAATATCGGCTCTTTCCCTGACGGCTGCACTGACATCTTCGACTCAACCTACGCCTTCAACAGGTGTGTTCTCTCCATATCTGTTGCCAGACCAAATGCTGACCTGTTCCAGTACCGGTGTCCCAAAGCTCCTCACCCGGACCACTCGTGGGAACTACTATCTACTATGTTCAGACGATCACAGCCCTGATCACATCAACGGCAGTATATACTAATACTGTGACGGAATGCTCCCTTGGCCTCTCTGCTGGCATCCCAGGAGGGCCGTTACCAACACCTTCACTGGCCCACACCGGCACCGGCCCTTTTGTAAGTGGGACCGTCGCTAAAGGTCCTTGTCCGGATCAAGGGTACACATGTGACGACTGTCTCGAGGGGTGGTTCTGTCCTCCAGTCCAGACTCCTGCTTTGCTAGCTCCCTGCGGTTACGGTTGGCCTTGTTATCATTGTGAGAGTGGGTGGTTCTGCGTACCGCTACCTGGCGGGGCCGCAATCTCGGCATCGTACTCAAGGGCGGCGTCGGTCTCAGCTGTCGAGGTTCCTTCACCAAGCGTATTCGCGCTGTACGGCTCTGGCGCAGAAAGAGACTCGCCAGCTTCTGTTGAGACTGTTGGCTACGCATGGCCACGGCCTGCCGCGCTCGCGAACATGACATCTAGTCTTATAAACCCCGACATGTTGTCAGCAATGGCTTCTGAAGCTGACGGACTTGGGATATCCCAACCAGCCAGTGCGAGCAGTGTAGTCCAGAGCGTTTCGCCCATTCTTGACATGGGAATTCCAAACACAGCCAGCGATCCGAGTTTAGCTACAGCGACCAGCACCAGCCAGCACCCCGAGCCATCAGACTTCGCGGTCGGAACTGGCCTTGTGGTTTCAGATGGTTCCACGGCAGCGAATCATCACAACACAACTTCGGCCGGACCGAATACGGCGCGTAGTGAAAAGGAATCACTTGCTTCTGGGCTGTCCATGGCCTTGACCTCAAAGAACAGACGTTGGGCTCCACGAGGCAGGGCTCATTGGTTGTGAGAAAGCGGCCAGCCCGAATCTCTGACATTGACCCAGGTTAGCTGTAGCACACGTGTCTTGGGGATAGACTGCAGAGCTTGAAGACATGTTTACCCATGGACTATGCGAAGCACGAAAGATTTATCACACGCGAGCAAAAGCTTTGACACTTGTCTTGGAAGATTCATTCATATGTCACGATTCGGCATCGTCTTAGAGGGGAGGGCTCTTTATCGTTGCTATCGTCAGTTGTCACTTACAGGGGCTTGGAGCTCTCGGTTGCCTAGAGATAAAACGTTTCTTATTAGCCAGGACCAAATGAAAAAATGCAGCCATCTACAGAGTCTGACGCCCAGTGATATTGCCATGTCGACGACGATTGTCTTGAGTGTTTATAGCCCAGGTAAGATAGCTCCCCAAAATTTGAGGGACTGTTGTCTAGAATCATCACATCTTAGAGCGCTTAACGAGGCTGAGTACTTTCACCCAGAACACTCAGAACGTCCGGGGATGAAAGCCGCCTACCGTAAGGGGAAGTGCTGCGTGGCTTGGGGTTGCACATGTACAAATGTTGAAAAAATAGAGCTTGCCAGAGACGGCAGGTAACACAATACACCCGGGCCGTGACAGGGGGGCGCATCGGCGTACCTGGCCGGGAGGGCTGGGGCGAACAAGCGCAATCTGATAGACTCATGAGTCTACATGGTGACTATCGAACGGCGCTGGGAAAGGGCCCCAAGCTGCCAAAAATTGACGCGTGCCGCAGTTTTCGGGCACCAGGGAATAATGAGGAGGCGAGCGCACAAGACTATTGGGCAATGAGTGGCGTCGCCTCTGTGAGGCGCCCCGACGTCTGGAGTAGCAGAGTCACTCTGCTACAGAGTAAACTAATGCGTAATAACTAGTTACTTGTGGTAGGATAACCTCGTGCATGTTGAGGAAGCCGGGGGCCGGGGGTTTCTCATGTGGCATAACCTGGAAACGACCAACGCCATCTAATTCTCAGCTTGGCTGATTTCCCCCAAGCCATTGATATCGTATTCCAGAGAGGGAGCTTCCATTGAAAGGTCAAAGTGTCCGTGTGTGGCTGAAGGGTTGCCTACCACAGACTCGGGCGCCTTCGGAAACCGCTACGTACACCATACCAAGCCTTGGCACACACATCACATCACTCTAAACATCTTCACCCGAGAGGCTAGTCAACAAGTGGATTGTGATTGGTATGGATGGATAAGTAGCATCTATCCTACCAGCACGTCCTCCAAAACAGGCCATTCTGGTCGTCACATGATGACTCTGGCGTCGACTGACTCTGCGTAATGTGAAGTGGAAGTAACTGCGCGCAATCCCACCGGCGACCGGCGTGAATCATTATTAATAAGAGAGTACTATGTATCATAAGTGATGGGTATGTAACTCCGGTTGCCGTCCAAAACCAATTGGGATAAAGACACACGGAGCCAAAGTACACAATCGGCAGCCCGGGCGCTGGGCCTCTCAAACTGTGTGCGAAGCCTGCTTAGCGAGGCGGTTCTCGCGGCCCTTCTCGCTCCATGGAAAGTGGAAGACCGGGATGAGGAAGAATGAGTTGCTAAAGGAAAGGAAAGGAAGGTTATCCATGGTCAGCTGCTACTGTATTTTTTGGGGGGGTTCTTTCTTCGCCCTCGCGAGAGGAAGGGAAGAGAGGAGGGACATGGGGCACTAACCTGGAGTCTGCGATACCAGCAAACGCGTTGTACCAGGCCAAGAAGGCGGCCAGCATGCCGAAGACACCGCCGGCCTTTTGCAGGCCGAGAGAGGTAGTAGCAGCGCCGTTGTTCTTGGCAAATTCGGAGCAGAAGAGGAACAAGAAGGCGAGGTCCAGGGTGAAGAAGAGCATGAAGAACATGATGGTGGAGCGCAGCGTGCAGAGCAGCAAGATGGTGGTGAAGATGAACCAGCCGGTCAGGAAGAGACCAAGGGCGCTGGTCTCGGTGTCTGTGCCCTCATAGGCAGCTGCAACACCGAGAGAGGGCGTGAGGATGAGGGCATACGAGATCCAGAAGCCACCGTAGGACGAGAGAGCGGTAGCACCGAATGTATTTCCTACGGCCATCTCCCTACAGACAGGCACAAAAAAAACACGAGTCAGCGGACTGGTATCTGCAGATCAGGCGATTTGCACGGGGCAGGCTCTTAAAGCTGGGAAACTCACCACATGCCAGCCAGGAGCTGCACAAGCCCGCCATAACCAAAGGCCAGGGTGACGACGATGTTAGGGGCGGTGACACCACGGGTCTGGAGGTTGATGGCGGAGAGGACGAAAGTAGTCAGGGCGAAGGCACTGAGGCCGAGAGGGGCGGGGTTGGCGAGCTTGCGGCCCTCAATGGCCTTGTACAGACCGGGCTGGAACTCACCACCAAAGGCAGGGAGGCGAGCATCGTTGCCGCTGTGGGCGTGGGCGAGAGGGTTGCCATAGTTGTTGTAGCGCTGGGCAGGCTGGGCATTGTGATGGGCGCCGTTGGCGTCTGCGCCGGTGCTGTGGGGGATATCTTTTTCTATGTTTGCGTCTGCCATTGTTTTTGTGGTTTACTGTTGTCGTCTGTCTTTTTATGAGTTTGTTGATCTGGAGTAGGCGGGCGGACCGACGCTGACAGACCAGGCTGGAAAGACTGGGAAAGATTGATAGACGGCAGGGCAGAGTAGGCGACGCGCCAGGGCTTGCTGGGGGACAGTCTGCTGGGTCAGGAGAGATGAAAGGAGACTGGAAGCTGACAGCGTGGAGAGAGGGTAACTGGGAGAGCAGGGCCTGATATAGGTGGATACTTACCCCAGGCGATGATCGTTTTTGGTCTCGGTTGCTGGAGAGCAGCGGTCCGTCCGGGGAAAATAATTGTATTGCGCAGGCAGGGCAGGGCAGGGCAGGGCAGGGCAGGGCAGGCAAGTCTATGGTAGACTAGTAGGTTGGTACTGTAGCTGCAGCACTGGGGCCAGTCCTTCCTGTCGGTTCGGCGGACAGAGATTGACGACGACGGATGCTACCTAGGTAGGGGATGGTGAAGCAGGCCAGATCAGGGCTAGTGCGAGGATAATAAAACGACAGGCACTAACTAGCATGGATGATCAAAGGGGGGGTTGCAAGGAGGGCAGGGGCTACGGGGGACAGGAAACGCGGTTGGACGACGTGACGATGATGATGATGATGATGACCACCAGTGGTGCTGGCACTGGTGCTGGTGCTGGTGCTGGTGCTGAGGATACATACCGTAATGGTAATGGAAATGGTGGAAATAAGTGGGACCCCTCGGTCTGGGGGAAGGCCCATCTGGGGGAAGCCACAAGAGAGAAAGACACACAGACGGACGGAAAAGACCTGACCGACTCACACAGACTGACCCACAGACAGAAACAGACAGGGCACACAGGCTGCCGAGAAGGAATGACCGGACGAAAAGGCCGCGGGGGTGGGGAACAAGGAGAGAGAAGCACGCCCAGGTGCCCAGATGCCCAGGAGCATGGCAGCATGGTAAAGCAAGCAGCGGTAGGTGAGAGGAAATGTATCTGCCATGTACGCCTTGTACCATGTACCCTGCTCCCTGCTCCCTGCTCCCTGCACCTGCACCATCATGCGTACTGGACGCAGGCTGGACTGCCTGTGCAGCCTGACTGGCGGGTTGTGTCCCATCCCCCCCCCCCAGGGCTGGCGTGGGCTGGCTCTGGTGCTTGGGTGGCATCGTGCCTGCAATTGACTTTGCTCCCCCGATTGACCCCCGACACATACAGTACCAAGACGGTATCTCTGCGCCAGCCGCCGTCAAGCTTCAAGCCTCAATGCTTCTATGCTTCTATGCTTCTATGCCTCTACTCCACCCCCACGCCCGACTCGCCCTCGACCCGCCAAGCCCACGTCTCTCTCTCTCTCTCTTTGTGTTGGACGGACAGCGAGGGCCTCATTCTTGTCCTCGTCCCTGGGCTGCTCGAGCTGGGGACTGGCGTGACTGGCTGGGCGGGCAATAGTCAAAAGAAGTGGGTACTCGTATCCGGGACGAGGCTCATATCCCCACGGCTGAATGTACGAATGAATGAATTAATGAATGAGTGCACAGCAAAGCGCTGCAGGTTGCAGGTTGCAGGTACAGGTACAGGTACAGGTACTTGTGCGTGTGCATACGATACATCCAACGCGACTCTGCAACGCGAATCCCCATCCCCAATCAGCCAACCTATCGACCCATCCAAGCTGCCCAGCCCAATGCCAGGAGAGGAGGCAAGAGGGGGACAATCGGGGAATCTGGGGTAGTGACCAGGCCTCCTAGCTCTCCTCCTAGCTCTTGCGTCCCGGACGAACGGTTAGACACACCATTTGCTGCTCCGCTCCTCCATCCACTCATCCCGAATCGGCCCATCCTTTTTCATTCCTGCATGTTGCGACAATGTCACCTGCACCATCCTGTGTGTCCACCTCTGCCTCCCAGCAACATCCCAGCATCCCCTGACCCTCGTTTCCGTGCTCACGGTAGAGCGGAGGTGCAGAAATGGGAAGACTGAAGAAGATCCTGCAGCCTTCTCCAACATTCCTCACCTCCACCCCAACAACCTCCAAGTCAAGCACACACTTTTGCCCCGTCCGTCCCTCAGCCAGTCCGTCGGCTACTGTGGTAGTAGTCAGTCAGTCAGTCAGTCAGTCAGCTCCCCAGATCCGGCACTGATTTTGGCCCCGGTCGAGCAGCAACCAGCGAGCTGGGCCCTTCCTTGCTGCGCCCATGTGGCAGCCTCCCTGATGAAGCTTGTTCTGCAACACCTCCCTCCGGACCCTCATGCACCCAGGGCACACCTGCCGGGGAAACGGGGGTGCATGCTTTACCTACTACGCCGTAATCTCACCTGAAAAGTGCGATCATCCTCATCCTTGCCCGACCTGGGCTTGCGTCTGCGCCTGCGCTGGCGCTGGTGCTTGGGAGCCCTATACCACAGTACCACAGTACCACAGTATAACATTAGCAGGTTGAAGTTGCGTCCCCAGATCCATAGTCTTGGGCCCTCACTTATTAATCTTGGAGCCTCTGCCGTCGCGGACAGGCGTCTGTAACACTGTCATTTTGTGTTTCAACCCTTGCCTTTTCGTCGTCACCTAGTTTCGGTCCTGGAGGCTTGTACAGGAGAAGCAAACGCTTGCGCACCCAACCACTGGCGGCTAAATCCGATGGCGGCTCGCCGCCTGCGCCTGGATTATCCAAGCTGATCGCTCATTCTGCCACCGTGCGCCTCACTCACAATTCACCACTCCTCAAAGCGTCGGGTCTTCCAAATCTTTTCTCTGGGGACACCAGTGAGACCCAACCACACTATCGACTTCTTTAGATACACCGAGGGGCGATCTCGAAATAGTTGAATACCGCTCCAGCGCCTGATGGATCAGTGACTCTACCTCTCTCTCTTCTCTCTCTCTCTCTTTCTCTCTATCTAACTATCTATCAATATATATATATATATATAATCCCACGACCATGTCAGCCCTGTCTCTTGGGCCTGGAAGATCAAGTGACGTGATGCTGGATCAGCTACACGCCATGCGGCAATTGACCCCTACTTCCTTTGCATGATACAGCTCGCCTGTTACTGACATAACAGTCCTTGACCTGCCTAGTCACTTCCGATACCCTCCTCCCCGACCTTTCTGTCCTACGGGGAGGTTTCAGCGGATCCACGCACTTCATGTACTTCATTGAAGAGGTACAGACAACGATCTATCCCTCCTCAAACCTCAAACTCCTTCACATTGGCAAGCCACGGCTATGAGATGGTAGTGACACCCACTTGACGACACGCACGGGCATCAGGTCTGCCAGCCGTGCAGCGCGGATCTGCTCCCACACGGCGTTCCATACTGCGGCGCGCCCGGGGCAAAGGTGATCTCGGCAGCAACGGGAGGCTGCTGTGCCACTGGCGCACCCCGCGCGCTACTTGCCCCGCCCCTCTTTGTTTTGATCGAGTGAAGGATTGCCCGGCTTGAAGTCTGGGTTGGGCTGAGTCTGTGCTCGACAACCGTGCGGATGAGTGAATGATGCCTGCGTCTGGTCGAGATCGACACACTTGCATTTGCGCACACACTCTGCAACCACGGCAAAAAAAAATTGGAGAGACACACGTCCTCGATTGTGTTCAAGCTATAATTGCATTGCTCTTAGAGGGCGCAAAGGCAATCCAAAACAGGCCAGGGAATTGAACGTATATATTATTCTCACCTGCTTGGTCTAGACAGGCACGTCGGAAACACCCTCAGCTTGGTTCAGCGCGAACGTCGGCATTGGGTGTCCACCACACATTGCGAGCCGCGAGGTTTCGACCAAGCCGCTAATACTTCACCCACCGCCCTGGGGGAGAGGAGAGCTCGCCGGTGACGTGACCTCAGATCCCGGGGCACGACAACTGTGGCTGCAGTGGTGTCATCCTTGCCCAACAATCGCCGCTCCACTTACACGGTAGTTCTCTGTGCTGCATGGTAATAGTATGTAGCAGCACTTGACAGCAGTATCTACACATAGCATAAAACTCAGCCGGCATCCGACCGTTGTGCCGTCGCGGCACTCGACACTCGATATTCACATACCAACCTGTTCCGCCTCCACTTCACTGCAATTATATCCACCAGCCCTTTCAATGGCCACCCCTAATGTTCTGAATCTCAAGGAGCAGAATGCTGCCTACGCCGGCAGTTTCACGCAGGGCCACCTCGCGCTGCCACCGGCCAAGAAATATCTAGTCGGCAAGTCTGAGCCCCTCCACCCACGCCACCCGCTCGCTTAACATATCGTTGACGGCTCCCAAGTGACTTGCATGGACGCTCGCATCGACCCCGTCTCAGCCTTTGGCATCTCCCTCGGCGACGCCCACGTTGTTCGCAACGCCGGAGGTAGCGGGAAAGAGGCCCTGCGAAGCATCATCATCTCGCAGCAGCTGCTCGGCACTCAGGAAATCATCCTGGTCAAGCACACTGGCTGCGGCATGCTGACATTCGCCAATGAGGACGCGCATGCCTTAGTCGCTGAGAGGCTCGGCGCCACTGCCGCCGCCGAAATCGCCACGCTCGACTTCTTGCCCTTTTCAAGTGTGGACGACGCGGTGAAAGAGGACATTGGATTCCTCAAGAGGCAGTCGGCTGTCCCGAAGGATGTGACCATCACAGGATGGGTGTATGAGGTCGAGACAGGCAAGGTCAGACAAGTTGTCTAAAAACAACCCGCAATGTGGTGTGATGGGAGTTCCGCCTAAATCATGGTGCAATGCATGATACACAAACTTCGTATCTCATAGTGAAAGATTACGAGGAAGGCTACCTAGGCACTTCTTGATAATAAATCGGGACATGTGTGATGTTTTCTTCTATTACGAAACAAAAAAGAATTCACGTCAATAATGTACCAGACGGGTTCGGTGCTGTTCAAGCGCAAGTGTGAACGACGGGTATACCGGCCACCCGCGCAGAAGCTGATCCCATAGGAATGTATCCCATTGGAGCTTTTCCTATGGCAGTTCGTCCCACACGATATTTTCCCATAGTATTGTAACATCTCGTGAAAACAATGACCTAATTTTACCTCAGTAACGCTTCAGACGGCATTGTCGCCCCGAAGCAGCCACTCAATCCCCTTGCCCCTGCCCGTAAAACATTTTCCTCTGATTGTGTCGTCCAACCAAGGCTTCTCAGTCAGCTGATCAGTAGTTCCGCGCCGTCGTTCTAAGTTGCGGAGGTCCTCCGCGGCGCCGATCAAGCCGCCGATGGATAATACCAGCCGTCTTCTCGAACGTAGACCCGAAAGTACATCCGCTGAGCTGGTGCAACAATATAGTTGCGGGCCCCAGAGCTTGGGAACTGTGGCTCTGGAATACACAAAAACCTCTCCCTCATTGATGTTCAACCATCATGTGCTTTTGTAGGACGCTGTCAGGGGCCGGGAAGATTAGTCCTGCCGATGCCTCCGTGTGTCCATGTGCACTATATTGGCGAAGGTACAGACTGGTCAAATGCTACGTTTGTTCGCGAACAAGAATGTATAGCATTAAATGAGTATATGAAACGGTATATCAGGTGACGCTGTAACTGAATGAATGTTTGTGACTTTCAAAATTTCTCATCTGGGTAGTCCTGTCATGGTTAGAAAAAGCACACTCGACAACATCAGCTTCATCGAAGTTCATATGAGGTATGATCTAATTCAAACAATTGCTACTAAATTCAAAGGCCATTATTCTACCCATTAGACGGGCCTTAGCTAGTAGCCGAGATGAAGGATGATCCTGCTTGCAGGTAGGAGCCATAGCGCCACCCGCTGTTAGCCGTGTACACGTCGGCCAAGGACCGTCACGCAGAGCAACGAGAATAGAACGATGAAAGAACCCGACACGTAGCCAATTTCCTGAAACCTTGACCAAGAGTATGCACGCATCATTGATTGCTCAGTCATAACCTTGCTCACGTAACAGACATACCTCCTGGAAGAGAGTCCATCCCTAATACAATGTCAGCCCCTTCACCCCGCAACGTGCAATCAAAGCTTCCAGGAATGAGGTACAACTTACATCCATCGACATCTTCATCGACAAATTGTGGCTTGGTGCACTTCATAGCAGTAGCAGCAGACTGTCGCTGGAGCTCACTACAGGTGTCTCCCGTGCAACGCTTGTCAAGGGCTCGTTGGAGTGCGTCACCCTTCCATCCAAAGAGATAGTCTCCGTGTTGGGAGTATCCAGTTCTGTATCAGTCCCAAGAGGACATTCCTCAGCTAGGTATTCATGACAGATTCGTGCACCGGGAAGCTGCTACTCACGCGTCGCCAGTCGAGTATACGAAAGGCTGGCTGCCATCTTCTGGCCAGAGCTCTGGGTCATTGAACGGCGTCGTGTCCCACATAACTTCGTACATGACCTGCGGTAGGCGCACAGGGTGTGTTGATGGACAGGCGCCAGTCGACTCGAAGGACCCTGTACTTGGGTAAGCCACGTGGGCCTTGTGGTCTGGGCTGTCGACGTTCTTCCCGTCCCAGCACCTATGCGATGGTTAGTTATCTGGAAAGGTGTAAATGATGTGTATCGAACCTTACGTACGTAGGGAATGTAATTGTTGTCCTGATTCCACCACCACACATAGCCTTGGGTAAAGAGGTGGTGTCGTCGCCAGTGCAAGGAGCGCCACCAAACGGGTCCTGCTGCATGTTGCTGAAGCAGCGATGGCAGAGCTGCTTCTGCTGTCCCTGGGGGTTCCTCAGGCCAGGATCACCCACGAGCATACGAAATCCCTAAGACATCTCTGTTTAATATGTTCCATTCTCGGCGGGCTTGCACCACGACTGGGTGAGGCACTCACAGGCTTGAAGGCAGTGACTGTCGTCACACCATCATAGGGGGGGATATAATACACTGTGATACCGCCATCTCCACCCTCTAGCCCCAAATTCACCATCTGAGGCACCCTCTTAAATGTGCCGTTCCTTGCTCTGAAGTACAGGTTCGCTGTCCAGTAATTGGAGAAGTCTTCGCTAAACGTACAAGAGGTACAGGTAGACTCCACCGAAGGGTCATACTCGACTGGCGCCATGGATGCATTGAAGGCGTTGCCTCCGACGATTTGATGATTATGGGAGGATTGTATCATTCCAGGCTCGACTAAGGGGTCGGTTCGCTCAATGACGAGCCGGGAGCACCCAAATCGCAGCATGGCTGCGGTGGCACAGCACCCCGAGGGCGGCGTGAATTGAGCTGCCACATGGTGATGAACCAGGAGCGTGGATACTAGGCAGGAAAAAAGCATATTCGTGCGCAAAATTACTACCTAGTTCGTGCAAATGCTTGCAGGTTTTTCGAGAAAGAAATTGCGAGCTAAGGGACGGTGCGCTTCCCTTTAAATACAGCTCTCAGGGATATTATCCCGCCGCCACGTTATCTGGGGTAGATAGCATCCGCTGGTTCAAGCAGAATCGCCATCCTCAGTTGTCTTGGCCACTTGCAAGTGCCGTTCAACAGATCATCGCTGCTCCCATATTTATATCGGCGGGTAAAAGCGTTGAGTCGCCCGGAGCGGAGAGTATGCAAGTTGATTGGCCATCCAATATATGCAAGGCGACCTCTTTGAGACACAGACTGTATAGATCCGAACTCTCTCGCGGATTATCACGGAGGGTCCAGTAGAGGATGACCAGTCAGATAGAATTAGTTGCGATCTATTGTGTTTACGCTCCTGGGTAGTTCACGATCGTTGCGTGTTATCATTCACTTACCGTACAAGGAGCGGCTCCCGAAATCCAGCACTCCTGCAGGTGAGGCACACAATAGAGTTGGACAGCTTCGGAAAAATGTTACAGCTTTTCAACTTAGCTCCAGCATTAACAGAATAAATACTGTCCCTGCCTCAAGACTGTGGTCATCGAGTTCTGTCAGCCCATTGGCAGGTATAGGAGCATGCTCTGACACAGGACCAGTAAAAGGGAATATGGCGGAAGTTGAGTCTGGTCCGATGATTGAGATGGCCACCGGGGCATCCGGCACGGCGGAGCCTGCCCAAAGAAGCCACGATATACAGTCGGAAAGGTTTCGCACAGTGCTGGATGAGGCGAAGAGGCATTTGGGCGGGTATAATGGGTGACTGTCTATCAGCTGATTTATTGAAGGCACAAAAGATGATTTCAAACAGTAACAGCCACAGCCACACAACAAATCACGAGACTTCCCAACTATGTCGTAAGAGCTTGCGGGGCGTCGTCATCCTGGGTCAGATCAATGACCTGGCTGCGAACAATGGTGACCGACGCGATTGCAGAGCGAACAGTAGAGGAACCATGCTGCGCAATCTGCAGAACCTCCTTTGATGTTCAACCCGCGCTCCTAGCTCCAGATCCAGATACTCCCGTGCTACAAAAATCTATTACTTCCTTCCACATATACAATTCAAATTGAAAATAATTCAAACAATCCCTTATTAATATGCCTCCTACACATCTTCATGTTTCTTAATGTAAAAAAGTCAAATGTCAGCGCATGAAAAAATGACAACATTAACATATGTAGCAAGCTGCCCATTACTGGAATCGAACCAGTCACCTCATCATCACAGTTCTATATTACTAGTGATGCGCTCTACCGATGAGCTAAACGGGCTTGCAGGTCAGTACAGCATGTCATCTATCACACCTATACAATGGGCGGGTCACACCCTGGTCTTACCAGAGGCTGTGAATATCAACTCGTCTCTATCTCATGCAGCTGCTTCATTATGAAACTTCGACAAATTCAATTGCACTCAGCCTTCACCCACCCCTTCAAAATCATCTCCTTGAAACATTAGTAAAGTCTTTTACGACACATGCTTCTTCCTGAGAGGGCGGATGCATGTGTGCGCAGTACGGCCGACAAGCAGCCCTAAATTTACCTCTGGCCCTGCAGCTCTTCTGGTTGTTCTATAGCTCATTATCCTGTAATAGGTAGATTAATTTATGGTAAGCTATTCCAGAGCGAAAGATCCCATGGCGACTTCTTATACAACAGGCTCTCTTGGCAGGAACCGCTTCCCTTTCAATCCAAGGAAGCGCTGACTGGACCTTACTTGACGCATTGAGTACAGCTATCCCATCTCTGAATTTGTCCCGTCGCGCTTCCCACTTTGCCTCTTGTCTTGTAGGGGAGGAGAGGTTAGCTAGCTGGTTGGTAGTTTCGACCTTTCTTGCCCTTTGCAACGTTCCACTTGTGTTTTGTTTCCTTTTGTACAGTACTCCTGAGTGTACACCCTGTTCTCAGATTGAACCGTTTCCAGTTTAATACCAGTAAGCCGTAATCCCTGCAGACGTACTGTTCATCATGTTCGCATCCGCTAAAGCTCAGTATTGCGTGTGGTACAGAGCTCCAAGAAGGATTGCTTCTCCTAACCTTTTTATATTGTTTCTGTGCATACTGTTTTTCTATGCTGTCGGGAGGTTCGCAAATACAACTGCTCTACCTTCATGTCCTAATTCGTCGTATGTTCTTGAAACTCTGTGTCAATACTGTAGTTCTGGGATTTTGAGGGAGCGAAGAGAAAAGTGTGTCAAATTGTGATTAGGCCTAAATAGACTACTACTAAGGTTAGCCATCTTGAGTTTCGTCACTGGCTCTAGGTCGGTCTGCTGGTGAAATCTAGAGATTACTGCTATCTAGGTGGAGTCGGGAGGGTTGACCGGCTTTCTCTGCAGAGCGCCCAGCGTTTCACATGGCACGTTGCTTAGCCGCTAATTACACCAAGAAGGCAGTGAGTGTCAAGATGTTGAGGAACGCGGCCGTCCATGGCTGCTGCAATCCTTCGCTTGCTGCGCGTCGGTCGTGACAACACCTTGTGGCTGCTCCTCCCTCGTTTGTATTGGGACATTCGACCAAGTTTGTGAGTATCATTGTTCACTTTTATGCTCTTACCATCCTCTTTTATCTTGCTAACTTTTAGAAGAGCATTAATGTCTGGACGACTCGACATCGCTGGAGGAAACGCGGGCTGGAAGGTCGAGGCAACTCATTCATCGTGGTGGCCATCCGGGTTTCCGCGCTTCTGGCAAGCGCATTGGAGGCCATACTGTTTTCTCCTTATCAATCTTATATGACATGACTCTGGGCGGCATCATCATGGGGAGATTTTTTGCATGAGTGGCTAGTAGTTGAATGCTTTCAACAATGTCTCAGTGTCCGCATCTGAGGCAGCTGTATTCATGCCTGTGGTCGGCAGAATGTATTTTGGCTTTCCTACTCCAAATCAGTACCAGAGCCGTTACGGCTAGAAGATGTACAACTGTAGAGGATGTAATATAAGGACTTTGAATTGGTATGGTCGTATGATGATTGATGGTTTGGTGGCCGATGCGACTAAAAGAGGGTATGTCTCAATGTAGCTATATTTCTGCGCAGTCGCAGAAGGTTGACAGATAAAAATCAAGAATTAAATATTTTCAATTCGTCGCTAAAAAAGTATGTCTCCTCCTACCTTTGGAGAACTTAGGTATAATTGCTAGCATTACTCGCCTAATAGTTCTTGAACGTTTTTATCTCTAAAAACAACATTGGATTAATTTCAAAGATTACTTATATTCAAGGATAGCCAGCAGTGTAAGTAGATTTGAAGCGAGATTTATCTTAGCATAAATATTTAATCATTTTCTTGCTGGTCTTTATCTCTTATCTCTTATCCCTATTCCTCTCTGTATACTTCTCCAGATCAAGTCCCCTTTAATAGGAGATTCTAGAGGCGACAAGGTAATGCCTTTAAGTTTAGATTATCTTGTCTGATGTCGCCTTCAGCGGAGTATAATTTAAAGCCTTTTAAAAATTGATTCACCCCCCATGTTTACGTTTGTTTTGATCAACCGCCAGGGTGTGGCAATTGTAAAAGAGTTTCTGCCTTCGTCGTGATTTCAGGCAAGCCGATTAACAGCGAGTATGCTATCAAAAGAAAAGACGAGGTACGTGGAAAGTAATGAAACGAGCGAGTTGAAGGACGCAGCACGAGTTTGTCTGCCAGAGTAGGACACGAAGAAGGAGCTCTAAAGAAGATGGATAAACCACGCGAAATGTGTCTTCAGTTTTTCCGTGGCCCAGAGATAGGAGGGAAATTTCCCTAGCGACGACAAACAACATGTAGTTTGAGCAAAGAGGCAGAGAACGTGATCCTCGTCTCCATGCCAAGACCGAGAATTACAGAAGTTTCACCGTATGATGGTAGCATATTACCAGCATCCACACCTTTCCCGCGATATCTGCCGTTCTGGTGTGAGGAGATTGAGGGCAAGATATAATTCCGAGCGTATAGACTAGCTCTTAGATGCCTCGGAGGCACGAAACGAACAGTCATTGTGCAGGTTCGTACATTATCCTGCTCTATAGTACTTTGCAACGGCTAGACATCGAAAATCAGCAAAGCAGAGCAACAGGGAACGCTCTAATCGACGAGAGAAAACTCGTACACAAAAACCACAAAGCTCAATCTGGGTCTGACAATGATAGGGGATGCGACAAGTGTGAGACAGGAACTGTGACGCTCATAGAGGGACCGCACGGTGCAGTGAGATACAACGGATGGTGTTGCGTGGTACTGCATCTTATAGGTGTAATTACTGGCCAAGGAACGCCACCGCCGTGTTCTTCTTTTCTTCTTTTGTTGTTCTGGAGAAGGGGGATTCTTCGTGATTCGATCCGGTGCCTGCTGCTACTGAACAAGTAAGATACATTAAGGTGCTGCCTGGCAGGCATGAACCTATCCGGATACTGATTGCATGCGCAAGTGCAGGTCTTGCAACCATACTTAGCACTTGAGAAGATAGCCTGCACCTGTGTAAGTTGATCCCGGGGTGTCCGAGGAGGTACTAGTGCTGGGCCATCCGGCCATCACGCCCAGGACGGACAAAGGCAATGGGTATCTTGAGAGACTGAATTTCTGATATGGTGTGCTATGCCTTGACGGTTTGCGCCGTGCTCAAATCAGCGTTTCCGTGATGTAGGTGCGTCGCTTGAGAGAGGGGCTCATCCCATCGCTGCGTCCATCAGTTCAGCATAGTGCCGCAGATCTATTCTGTTAGGTAAGCCATATTCAGCCCGCTGGCCAAACTTCCTCGCCGACATGTCTGGGCCGTGCCTGGCCACATCAGCAGCCAGGGCGAGCAGGCCCGGTGATCTGACGGACATATCCATTTTGGAGGGCGGGCGCGGGCTCATGGGTGACAAATGGGAGGACGTCTAAAAGACCAAGGAAGCTCGGCCCATCCGAATAGCGGGAGCGAGGGGGCTAGGTCGTGTGACAAGGAAAGTGAGGACATATGATATGCCTCATGAGGGCCAACAAGAAACACCAGCCGTGACCTCACACATGAACGGAGCTCTCGGATGGGGAATATCCCGTCGATATAGGACTAGTAAGCATATTTGTACACAGTCCAGGCCCTGGGGTGTCCCATCCCCGGACTTCAACCCAACTACTTATCATCTCCCTTGTCCTTCCCATATCGATTCTACCATCCAGTGTGACGCAGTAGACCCCATCTTATTCACCTCGATGGCGGTGGATTGGGTATCAACAAAGCTGCTGCAGCGGCTTCCACTGCCACTAATCTTCTTCTCTCCAAAACCGTGTTATGCGTGGGGTATCTGTGATGGTACAGGATTTAGACAAAAGAAAATGGTGGTCAGGTGGCCAATCAAGCAAAATGAAACCTCAAAACACAAGACACACGCACAACAAAAGGAGAAAAAACCCCAAACCCAAGGACAGGTGCCCTGTAACCAAAAGGGGCAGAAAGCCCGAACCCAGCCCAGGTCCATGTGCCCCTTCTTGAATCTCGCAACGCCAAGGGTAAAAATCCCACCCACAAATCGGACGCAGCAGAGGGGACAGAATAAGCAAACTGTCCCACAGACGTAAAGGAAATAGGCGACAGCCATGAGTGGTGATGTGTCATCTGCCCAGCAAAACGAAGTAAGAAAAGAAGCGGAGAAGGAGACTAAACACATTCCGCAATGTCACTCCAATGCTCCTCTCTCAGTCACTGTTAAATTCCATCGCCTGAGAGTACGATGCCGCTGTCTCTATCCTGGGAACTTTTCGCACCAGTCTCTTGTTCTACCGGCCGCAATCGTTCAATTCGCAGCTTCATGGTCTCGTCGGGGTCCCCCTCAGCATCACCGTCTGACTGACCAAACTCGCTGTCACTGTTACTATGACGCTGGTCGGATGAGTGGTCCCATAGCTGTGCCCCGTCGTAAACATACGGCTGCTCGCATTCTTCGGGCACTGCACGGCCGTCAACGTCAAACTCGCTGACCCTGACCTGATAGTCCAAGGCCCTCTTGCCCTCCCTGATGAGCTCCTCAGTCCATCCAAGACATCTCTTCAGGCTCTGATTCATCTTCTGACTGTCGACCAGAAGCTGTTGATGCTTCGAAAGATCGACCTGGAGGCGCTTCTCGTCGCGCTTCCTGTGTTGGGCGTCCCTCAGTGCCATGGTGCTAGGGCTCAGCTGCGCAGATCCTGCCGAGTCTGACTCTGACAGTTCGGACTCATCCATGTACTCATCGTCGGGCTCCATCTCGGAGTCTCCCTCACTCAGGTCTGCCAGGCCGAGGTTGTTCAAAGGACCCTCGGGCGCCTCGCTGGCAGTGGAAGCCGATGTGATTCGGGATGGGGCTGCCGTGTTGGCTGATGAGAGCCGGCCGGCCCTTGTCAGTCGCTTGTACCGCCGGAGCTCGTTGGTTTGTTTCCGCAGTTGCCGTTCCAGGGTCCGGTTGATGGCTTCCAGGGACGCATTCGTTATCTGCAGGTCTTGCACCTTCCGCTCCCTCCTTGCGTTGGCGACCAGCTCATTGAGTGGATCATTGCCACTGGCCGACCTTGGACTGGCCAGACCAGAGACCATGGAGTCGCTGTCATCCTGGCTGCCGGCCAAGTCATCGGCAGCCTCGAGCACAGATGCCATGGATATTGCCGGGTTCGAGAAGGTCATGGGTGACGGCAAAGGCGAACTGACGGGCGGGCTCGGAGCCACGGTCCGCACGACAGAGGGAGGCTCTGCAACCAGGCTACCAGAGCGCGAGTGCCCAGAGGACTTTCTTGGAGCGGCCTCTGCGCTGACCCGCCTCAAATCGTTGGAGTTGGCCCGGCCAAGCTGAGGCGCCGACGTGACCACACTGCGCCTTTCAGCGATTGAAGGGCCGGCCGAGGGCTGAGGCTGAGGTTGAGGCTGTAGCGGATGTGGATGAGGATGTGGGGGTGGTGGGTAGCCCGTCGCCTTGGCCGGTGATGGTATCCTCTGCGACAAGTGGGCTGGTGACTGGGAGCCAGCGCCGGGCTTGGTGGCAGTCACCCTTGGGGTGGTCGAGAGGGCAGAGCCGGGCCCGGACTTCATCAGGCTGGGCTGCAGGTCTGGAGAGCCGTTGGCGTACATGAACTTGCTGGCCAAGGGGTCCGGTGTCGAGGCGGCAAGAGGGGGCGAGAAGGGCGCGGACGGGACGGATGTGGGCGGGCTAGGTTTCGGGGGCAGATTATTGCCCTTGGCATAGAAAAAGGTCGGGCCTTTTTGCGGTGGCGCGGGCCTGGGGGCGGGAGTAGCGGATTGTGTGGTCCTGGAGGCATCGCTGGCATAGAAGAATTTGGAGTCGCGCGAGGTGGGAGCTGTTTCACTCCTCAGCAGGACACCGGCGCCAGCATCCGAGTCGAGTGCAGTTCCGGAAATGCCCAAGCCTGACCTTGTCTCCCAGCGGTCGGCGGGGGAGGAGGCGTCTGCCGGGGACGGGGAAGCATTGGCACTTGTGACACGACTCTGCCGGGAGCCAGACCTTGGGGTAGGGTTGTTTTGGAGGTGGTTGGGCACGGGGGAGGCATGGTCGTGCCTGCTGGCACCTGAGGTGGTGGTGCCATGGCTGACAACGGAGGAAGGGCGGGTAGACCTCCGAGGGACAGGAGTGGCGAGAGTGACCGTCTGCCGCTGTGAGGCCGAGGCCGAGGCCGAGGAGGTGGGAGCTGGTTTGCCGGCGAGCTTTGGGGTGACGGGCAGGCGTTTTGCGAGAGCAGGCGCATGGGGCGGGTGGCGTGAGGACGTGGACGAGGTTGAGGCTGAGGTTGAGGTCGAGGACGAAGGCGCAGCGGTGGAGGAGCGATCGTAGGGCATTCTGCCGGAGGAGGGGGCGGGCTCTTTGGAAGAGGAGGTTCGGGAGGTATGTAGATTCCTCATCGTGTTGGTAGCATCTTGTCGGATGAAAAGGGGAGCCCGCGTAGAGGACGAGAAACGAGGAACGAGGCCCAAGTCAAGGTCCGGATTCAGGAGGAGCAGCAGCAAGAGGAGGAGGAGGAGGAGGAGGCGGTGGTGGTGGAGGTCGGTGAGGAGCGTTTAGGGGCTGCGAGGGTTCCCAGTGCGTGGTGAGAGGGAGAGGAATTGCGGGTCGAGGCAGATGCAGATGCAGATGCGGAAGCGGGAGCAGAATGTCGAAGTCGATGCGCGGCGTCGAAGTCGGAGTCGGTGTCGGTGCCCAAGTCGGTGTCTGTCGGACGGACGGGGCGTGGTATTGGCGTGTGTATGTCGTGGTACGTGATGGATGGCGTTGAGGGTGAGTGATGGGTTGTTGCCGAGAGAGGGATTGGTGTTGTTGATCTTGTTGTTGCAGGAGTGGTTTGTGGAGCGGTGCGGTGCTGTCTGGTCGTGAGATTGAGGATGGGGTCGAGGGCTGTTTGTTGTGGGGAGGATGCTAATTGGGGGTGATTGGGAGGGCGGCACTACAGCGTAGTACCATGCAGCACGAGTGGACGTGGTGGACGTGACTGTGCTTTGGCGAGGGACTTGTGGTGGGCCCGCATTTCGGCTCTGGACATTCTGGACCTGTGGACTTTGGATTTCTGGGCCTACCTGGAGCGAGTCTTTTTCCCTTGGACACTGACACGGCAAACAAGACAAGACAATTCAATGCAACACGAAAAATAATAAAATACCATACCATGCCAGGTCTAGACAAGTCAAGTTCCTGCCGTCGCCCCGGTCCCGTGTCCTAGTGTCGTTGTCGCCCAAAAGAGGTCGGATGCAGCACAAACGACGGCACAGAGGGGGGGGGACTTGTCCGCATTGCAGCTGCAGCACTTGGCTGGCTTTCGAGATGGACTACAGGCTGGGTTGGCAGTGAGTTGCGAGGCCAGCTGCTGGGATTCAACGACCGTCTACACGTCTACACGTAGTCTACGAATTTGGGTTGGTTGTTGTACCTTTGGTACAGTACGTGTGTTGTGTGTGCATGTGAGTTACATATGTAGACCTAGAATGTAAACATGTCGCAGTAAACAAGCCCGTGTGTTGGCAGCGCTATGAGTGGCTCCTCATCTCGGCCAATGTCGATGTTTATCGCAGGACACTATGCACACTGTGCGTGCAGCAAGCTGCGCGCTGCAAGTACACCAGGGGGACTACGGTGCGGAGGGCACACACGTGGCCATGTCTCACACAGTGCTCTCCTGCGAACCGTTATATAGATCCTGGGTTGCCTGGGTAGGGTATCCACGAAAGGAGGCACGACAGCAACATGCCTAGGTACCTAAACCACTCTATATATATACTATGTATACTGTAGATACCTCGATATAGTATCCCTGACCCATACCGCCCGTGTCTTATTGGGTCGACGACCCGGCACTCCCACCCTGCCACACCAGGGGACCCTGAACACCTGTAGTGGGGTCCCCTCAGGCCGCGGTACGCATTACTACTCAATACACCATGTGTTCAGCCTTTTGTCAAAGAGGCAATCTAATTCTAGACTACATCCAACAGACTTGCTTTCGTCCACCGGGTCGGAACGCCCCACGGCCACAACAACATACCACGATGGCTCTCATCGGCATCTCGCTGATAGTCGCATCCGTCGTGTTCTTCTGCCTACGTCCCCCGGCCTGGCTGCCGCTCCCAAACCTCCTCTTCAGCTCGCGCCATCACAGAGCGAGAATTGACAACCCACAAAACTCAACCGAGCAACCACTACAACCAACCCGCGACGCGCGACTCCGCGACGGCGACGGTCACAGTGACGGTGATAGCGACGGCGATGGCCAGGCTACCCCCAGGGCCGCCGCATGCACTACAAATCCCGCCCATGCCATCCCCAGCTTTTCGCTGTCCGAACCTCTGCCCTCGCCGTCGCCTTCGCCGTCGCCCTCGACCTCACAACCCACCAGGCCGGCCATCCCCCCGCCAAGCGACTCTGGCCAGATACCTCGCTCTCCTCTTCCTCTGCAGCCCACGCAAGCAATCAGAGCGCCAACTGCGTCTGACCTCATGCCACCGCCTCCGCCTCCGCCACCTTCATCGTCAGGCAGCCTCTCTCCAGCCGTCATGGCCCCTCCTCCGAAGCCCGCGATAAATGCACGCCGCATTCCAACCCTCGCGCCGGTCTCCAGCAACAGCTCATCCCTCCGCCCCCCACAAGCGCCCTCGCCGAACCGCTCCCTCCCCGTCCCCAGCCGTGCTCCCGGCACATCTACCCTCGCGCCGCCACCCACCCACTCCTCCGTTCCGACCAAGCCCTCCAAGCAGGTAAAGCTGACGCCAGGCCACTCCCCGATGGACTGGGCCCGCCTGGCCCAATCCCCGACATCCGATCTGCGCGGCCTGCCTCCCTCTACCCCGTACCTCCGAGTCACGCCCTCACAGCTCCGCCAGATGACCGGCCGCAAGGGCAAGGATGCCTGGTCTGTCTTCTCTGGAAAGGTCTACAACATATCCCCCTACATCGGCTTTCACCCCGGTGGCGAGGCCGAGCTGCTCCGTGGCGCAGGCCGCGACGGCACCCGCATGTTTGCCGAGGTCCACCCCTGGGTCAACTACGAGACCATGCTGAGCGCCTGCTTGATAGGCATATTGGTGGACGAGCATGAAGTTGAACACCATGTAGGAAAGGCAATGGAGGAGATGGACTAAAGCCATTGTTCAATTCACCAGCGAGCTTTACTACGCGGTGCGGAGATTGTAGATACCACGGGGACTTGTTCCTTGTTGCCCTTAGAATGACCGTTTATTAGAATGCGACGGTGTCAGCTATAGCTAGACCGCTACACAGCGGCAATAGATACCCCCCCCCCCCCCCCAAAAAAAAACCCGGAGGAGAGTGACCAAAGACCAAGCACTGGGCAATTGGGAAAACCAGGTGCAGAAAGAAACACTACCAGACTCATCCACAACCTGGCAATGTATCCCATACCCGCAGTGCAGCAAATTGTCTGCGCTCACTTGCGCCTGCCAAATCGAAAGTTCAGCCCATCGTCGCTTTCATCATCATCCTCTCCGTCGCTCTCTTCCGCCATTGCCCTCGATGAGCGCACCGCCCTTCTCTTGGCCGGCTTCTCCACCGCAGGCGCTTCCACAGCACTCCGTTTCTCCGACCTCGACGGCAGGGCTTGCGTCTGGTTCAGCGTGTTGCGTGCTGCCGCCTGGCTCTGCCTCGTAGCTGCTTTGCCCTTCCTGCTTCTCGCAAGTTCACGGCTGACCTCGATGTCCATGACGTCGGGAAGCGAGCTGTTGTCGTTGCCAGCGTCAACATCATTGTTCTCGCTGTCATCACTCCCAATGGCGTAGCTGTCCCTTTCCTTTGCCCTAGTTGCTTTCGGCTGGCTGCGCCCCAGCGTCTGTGTGGGCGCAGCCTCACCTTGGTCGTTCGTCGGCTGGCTCGTTCCCTTGCCCCTGCGGCTCTGCATGCCTCCGTCCTCCAGCCAATACTTGTTTCCAATGCCATGCTCTTTCATCCGGACTGGCTCGAGCGACATTATCACCCTCTGCTGCGGTCTTCCGGCAGGCTCGCCCTGCTTGCGAAACTTTTTGAAATTCTTTCTCCCGTTCCACCGTGGATCCCACCGCCCCTCCTGGATATCTTGATCCCTTGTGCGTTGGTCCTGCGGTCGTCGGATGTTCATGGGTTCCACAAGCGTCAGCCGTCGTATCGCCTCGTAGTCAATATCACCATCCCGCAACTCGCGCGCGAGGCGTTCGCGCTCCGCCTGCGCGGTGGCTTCCTCCTCCTCTCGAAACTGGATCGCAAGATCGAGAATGTCCTCGTCTTGCGCGGCAGCTTTCTTGCCCCTTTTACTGCCTGCCGTTGCTTTGCCGCCGCCCTGGCCACTCCCTCTCTGTTGTAGAGTTTGAAGTTCAGGAATCTTCCCTTGAGCAGGTGGCGGCGTTTGGTCCCTCGGCGGCGTATGTACTTCGCCATTCTCGAGCCGGCGGCGCTTGATGGCTGCAGCCGTGGGCGCGACGTCTTCCATGATGTCGCGATCGGGTTCTGGGAATGGCCGTTTGTGCTGTGATGGGGGCGCGACAGCCGATGCTTCCTCTGGCTGAGTCATGAACATTCCTTGGGAGGCTTCTGCAGCAGCGCCAACTCGCGACACAGGAGCAGGCTCCTCTTCGTCCTCGTCTATTCCAGTGTCAAAGCCCTTGAATCTACTCTTGGGAGCACGGCGCTCTCGCCTGCGGGTTTTGGGTGCGCGAGGTGGCGACTCCTCATTGAGCTCTCTCTCCTGGGCTACATTAATGTCCACCGACAATCCGTTGCTGTCGCTGCTGACATCTTGATTTGAGATTTGCACAACTGAAAAGAGGTGGCTGGTCAGACATCCACGAATTGACTCGAAATAACTCAGACATACCTGGCCCCGGCTGGGTAGAATCGAACTCCAAGGGCCTTCTCAACTGGCCTGGCTCGACATCAAGTATGGCAGGGAGGAAGTCTCTCGGCTCGACCGGGCGATGATCCAGCCGCAGGGCGACTTGATTATAAAAGTTCAGATACCACTCTTCTTGCTCGTGATTGGGAGGAGGCGCATAGCGCACTACTACAACTCCCTTGCCTTCACTGCCATCCTCAAATTCCCCAAGGCCTTTCTCCCCGGCGATGCCTTTGACGTAACGTATGAAGTCGTCGGTGGTCGTTTGGCCCGGTGCAACTTCACTCAGAAGAGCCTTTCCCTTGCCACTTGTAATGACAGGGTGCAGCTCTTCGAAGCGCGTTTTCTCGTAGAAGATAAACGTATACCCCTCGAAAATGTCTCGTCGTCTCTCGTCGGGCGCAAAGAGTTCATCCGGTCGGTCAGCGCCGGGAGCATCAGCCTTGGGCGGTATGTACTGCATAGCTTCGGGCCAGTTTGCGTCGAAGTCCTTTTCCAACGCACTGAGCTGAGCACCGTCTGCATCGCCGGCCGCAGGTGTGGTTGCATCGATGATGGCCTCCATGAAGCCCTCAACGACGATGTGTTTGCCATTGATGAGCGCCTGTAGCACCTTGGCCGTATTGCGCCTTTTGCTGACAACATGTGTCGTGTTTAAATGGTCATATTCTGCAATGTACTTGACATCGACGGGCTCTAATTTCTGGCGGATGATGGTCCAAGGGTCTGTTTCCAGCTCCCTTTTGCTAAAAGAGAAGCTGAGAACCACCGGCTGCCACTTTATCCTGACAGCTGCGTTAGAAGGACCATTTCGGTCGATGAGTGCCGCGGGTAGCTCACCGGAAGGTCTCTCGATAGTGGCCGAGCTTGATCTCATTTGCGTCCTTGATGAGATCGAACCTCTCGCCCTTGATCTGTTTCCCGTTGACCAAAGTTCCTATCTTTGTCTTAAGGTCCTCGATCGTAACCGTTGATCGACTTTGAAGGTTGGTCTACAAAAGGGTGAAATCAGGACTAGAACGACGCCTGAGTGGGGGATTGTACTCGGACACATACACCATCGCCCTCGGTGACGGGGCCGACCTCAATCGTCAGGTGCTTTCGCGAGATGGTCTTTTCCTGGATCACAAAGCACCCGGCTGCCGGCGAAGTCAGAATTATGCCCACCCGAGAGAGGAAGAGATGGATCATATGAAAGTACCCTCGCCATCTGGAGAAGTTCGGCCGAACAGGTAGCGTTTTCCTGGGAATAGCCATAGCCGTCTACCTGTAGAGGATCAGCTAGTGCGCTAAATGGCAGACGGAATACGAAGTGGCCCACAAACCTCCAAAAATATCGCCGTCACTCTCAAGAAGCCACATATTGGCGAGCTACCGCGGAGAGTTGGCTGCGGGGGTACTCGGCAGGTGGGTAGGGGAAGAGAAGTGAGACCATCGATTTTCAGCCTTGAAACCAGGATGCGGGAAACATGCTGGGTGTCGAGATCAAGACGGTCTGGTTGCACAGACAAGAGTGGAGGAGATGAGCGAGTTGGAATGAATAAGCGGGACGAGCCCCGATTTGCTGCTGCCTGGGCTCGTTCCCAGGTGTTGTGGGCGGAGATGCAGGCATCAGAGTATCAGTGAAAACGTCACACGAACATTGCGATGTCGCGTCACGAAACGCGGCAGGCTCTCCAGGATTCAGATGCATCCCCGGAAGTGGGGACTTCCGCTCCCCACGCTGTCACGTGCAGGCTTTACAGCATCTTATTTCACCCGTTCGAACCACTCTGTTCAAATTCATCTTATATGTCCTTTGCCTTTTAACTGGTAATGACCTCTAGTCTCGAAGCCAGGGACATTGGAGCGGATGTAACAAGAGCTACTTGCTTGTCCTTTTCCCCTTTTATATTTTAGTTTTTCCAGAGCAGGGAGGGTAGGCGGGGTCCCAAAGCCCCCCCGGGGGGGGGGGGGGGGGACGGCGAAGAGGCGGAGTGACCAGAGGGTAGAAGCGGAGAGTCGAGTGGGCGAGATCTTGCTTAAAAAGCTATGAATGTCTACAGTGATCGAAGCGAAATGTCTCTGCACCTCCATTCTGCGAGCCTTACCGGCTTTAACCACCACTCGAATAAAATCAACCAAGAATCTCTTCTAATCTAAAGTTGCGAGGTATTGCTGCTGACGCAAATCATTAAACCGGCCTATGACGCCTGGCTCGCACAAGAAACGGTCAAGTTCGGGCTGTCTGGCACCTGGGGAGCACGATTCCCCTTGGCCTTACCGAAGACAGCTTCTGATCCAGTGACGGCCAAAAATCGAATGTCCAGCCTGTTGGGACCATTGTCAAGCCCGCTTTATGCGGTGGCTGGTGTTTCGCCCGTTGGGCTTTCTGAATGGTGGTGGTGTTTGTGCTTCTTCTTGCGCTCTTCCCTCTCCTTCTCCTTCTCCTTCTTGATTGTAGCTTCTGCCACTAGCTGCTCAAACGCCATAAAGTCGCCTTCTTCTTCGGGCGACCGCTGAGCCTGTATGGATTTGTCAGTATTGCTCGCATTTGGCCGACAGGTCCGGGGCCGGGGGGGGGGGAGGCAACTCACCTTCGCGCAGATCTCGCCAATGATGACCATAGCCTGCGCTCGCTCCAGCCTCTTTGCGAGCGGAACCTTCTTGTCATTCAACACCGCATCACACACCTCGCGCAGCACGCTCTGAATCTCAAACTTGCTTCCCCGCCAGGCGGCGTTCAGAATCTTGCCCGTGACCCGTCTCTCGTACTCCATCTTTCTCTCGTCACTCCACTCCTCACCTCCCTTCTCCTCCATGCGTGCCATCTCCTCCATCGTCTGCTGTGCGTCAATAGCGCTCGAGATGGTGTTCCACGTCTCCTTCACGATGGTGCCCTTGTCCTTCATCCGTCCGAAGAACCCGCCAATTCCGAACAGCTTCTGCGACTTGAGCAGGTTTGTGCCCTTGGCGAGGTACGTCTGGCCGATGGCATGCAGGATATCCAGGCCAAACGACTCCATCTTGAGGTTCTCCACTTCCAGCCGTATTTTCTCCTGGAATGCCCTTGTCACGTCGGCACCTTTGTCTGTCTCTGACCACACGGATATGCGATCTAGCAATTTCTTCGCAAGCATGTCCACGCGCTCTTGGCGCACGCGTGCCCGCTCCCTCTCGTATTCGGCCAGCTTCTCACGCTGCTCCTTGGTAAGGCCGGCCTTCTTCTTGTCCTTATCCTTCTTGTGCAGGGACGAGTCGCCCTGAGCATCCGAGGTCATGGTCGTCTCGTCCGAGGGACGGTCCATGATCGCAGGTCGAAGCGGGATCTTGTACTTGTTTGGAGTCGATGTACCGCTACCGGGTGCAGGGGAGGAGGTGCGCGAGGGAGCATTGCCGGAAGGCGATAATCCAGGAGACACTGCTGGTTTGTCGGTCGTCGTTGCGGACTTCTCCCCCACGGCATCCTGTTCCACCTTGGCAGCTGGTGGAGACGCATGTTTCTCGCCCACGCTCTCACCCGCACCCTCGCCTGCTGTGGTCTTCATACTCTCCTTGGTGGCCTCTGAGGTTCCGGGAAATTCGGGGTCGTCGCCAGCTGCTGCTGCCGCCGCCGCCGCCTCCTCCTCTTCCGCCATGCCAGTGATGTCCATGGTGGTGGTAAGATCTTTCATTAGGCCGATCTCGCCGATCCAGTCCATGAATGCATCGCCTCCAAAGATACTGGTGAAGAATTCGGCGGGATCGGCAAAGCCCTCTTGAGGTTTGGCATGGTCTTTTCCGAATTTGTCGTAGGCCTTGCGCAGGTCGGAGTCGGAGAGGACTTGGTACGCTTCGCCTATGGCCTGGAATTTCTCATGGGCGGAGGGGTCGTCGGGGTTCTTGTCTGCGGAGCAAAGGGAGGATTAGCAGGCGCAGACTCGCAGGGCAGCACTTGATACGACGCCATCGACTGAGGGTGTCTCTGAGCACATACCTGGGTGGTGGACCATGGCCATCTTGCGATAGGCCTTCTTGATCTCCAGGTCCGTCGCCGTCGGCTTGACGCCGAGGGCATCGTAGTATGACGTATCGACAACCATGATGCTCGAAGTTGCGCAACGCTTGAGTCAGATCAGGAAATAAAAGATCAAAGAAAAAAACGCCAGGAACCGGTGCGGCCGCGCAGTGCCTGGTTATCTAGGGCGTGCAGTCTGGTTTGGGGGTTTGGGCTGTTGATCGGGAATCTGGAATTTCAACAGAGGGTGAAGCGCCCGCTCGACGCGGCTGAGCATGGGTTTAGGGCCGGATCTAGACTTGAAAGGTGGCGGCCTGCCCCACGTCAGGCCTCCAGGTCCAGTCCTGCAGGGCTGAGTGAAGCCCGACCTGACAGCCTGAGGAGCTCGACTTATTACGTCTGTCCTCGCCGTATTGACCTCACCCATTGACCTCACCAGCCTGCCACCCTGCCCACCTACCCACGTACCTAGCACGGTGGGTAGGCATAAAGTAGGGCACCCATACCTGGACAAGGCCCGCCCCTGCCTGGGGATGCCTAGTCACAAACTCATCTACATAGGTGTTTAGGTAGTCCAGGTTGGTATATGCATCTGGATGATTCTGATGCTGCCAAGACAAAGCGCGCTCCCAAGGTTCCTGCTTCACCCTGGTCTGGGCTTGGTGAAATGCTATCCTTGCTTAGAATGCTTGCGCCGTAAATGTCACGCACATTCATACCTACTATAATCACCACCTGGGTACTGTAGCGCCTGCGCGTGGGGCTGCTGGTACCACTGTGGCAGTGTGTGAGTTTCGCGAGTCAGACACACTCGACTCTGCCTCTCCACCTAGGCATGCGATAGACTTACCTACTTCAGACAGTCAATTCACCTGCAATAGACCATCTGGATGGACGGTTCACCTTTGAGCGTCCTTGTGTGCCCACGACACTGCATAGCAATACACAGATCTCCCATGCCTTCCAGGGTGAGCACGCAGTTCCAAGCCCTAGCATGCGTGTCGACAGGCGTCCTGCTCCCTGCATCGCCTCGCAGCACGCCGTCATGGGTGGCACGCCTGTGACGCGTCACCGGGAGTCAGATTACGACAACCTCCAAATCGACCCTTCACTCAAGCCCAGCCAGAAAGCCGAGCGCGGTGTCTGGAAAGCCGGGCAGTCACCAGGCGTTGGATAGAAGGCAGCATGTGTTATTGCATGTCTAGCGTTCTGAAGATCCTATTGTAGGAACATGTGGAGAAGAAGCATCTATCACTCTGCCCTGCCCCTCACCTACCCAGGGGGCACATACATCCACAGGCCTCGAGCTGGGCCGTGGGGCCACTCTCTACTGAACGCCAGCCGCCTTCATCCTCTCGAAACACTGCCTGTATGCCTCGTGGATCTCAGGCACCTCATAACCGTACTCCTTCAGCTTGCTGGTGAGTTTGGTGTGGTCCAGCTTGCAGTTGCTTCGGCCGGCCTTGATGACCTTGGCCTGCTCCTCCAATGTGAAGTTCTTCCACGTGTAGCCCGGCCTGACAATGTCACGGAACAGGGTGAGGACCTCATTGTGTGAGATGGCGCCGGGGTTGGTGAAGTTGTAGATGCCGATTTCGTTGTGCTCGGCCAGAAGAATCGATGCAGGTAGCAGATCGTGCAAAATAGTGTTACTGTTCGGGATGTCCACCACGCGGTCGTATTTGGCGATCTTGGTCACAAAGTTGCGCGGGTGAAGATCGTCAGATACGGGCATGCGCAGCCGCAAGATGAGGCAGTTGGTGTAGTACTTCATGACCTTCACAGCAAAGAAAGCGCACGAGTCAGCCTGCCAGCCAGCCAGCCACGCCCACCACATTGCCCTGGCTTCGTACCTGGGGAACACAGGGGAGAAATGATGGGCAAGCGAGGGGGGACGGTAGGGACGGTAAGGAGCAGGCTTCTTGGCAATGGGTATGATTATAATGATGTTACTGTTGTTGTTCAACTCACCTCTTCCACGTGAGCCTTGGTCTCGGAGTAAAAGCTGCCCGCGAAATTGGCCTTGTCGGTCTCGGTGTAGCCGGGGCCGTCCCAAGGGTGCTTCTCGTCGTACTGGTAGATGCAGCCGGTCGCGAAGACGGTGCAGTGGATGCCCTTGAGATAGCAGCAGTCGGTCAGGTTGAGGGTGCCAATGACGTTGGACCGCATCGTCTCCTCCTTGTGGTCCTCGCACCAGTCGACATTGGGACGACCTGTGCAGCCGGCGGCGTTGAGCACATGGGTCGGCTTGACCCGGTCAAGCTCCTGCAGGACTTCCTCGCGATTTTGGTTGCGGACGACGGTGGTGTGCACCTCTTTGCCCTGCTTCTCGAGGATGTTCTTGAGGTGGCCGGCAACCCAACCCTCACCTCCCCAGATGAGGAAGCGGGTAGGCTTGGTGCCGTTGGTGCCGTTGGTGCCGTTGGTAGCCATCTCCAGGTCTGAGTCGTCGCGGTGGCTGCGTTGCCTGTGCTATTACGAGCGATAAGGTGGAGGGAGCTTGCCGTGTAAGTGGGGTATATCGGCTTGTGTGCTGGTATGGGGCACTGGACTTGCTGGGAAATTGCACCACGAGAATGCCTCTTGCCTGTGTGTGTGTGTATGTGTGAGTGAATGTGTGTGTGCGTGTGAAGGAAGACGAAGAGACAGAGAGTGTGAGAGACAAGAGGCCAGAGAGGCTGACGATGAAGTTAAATAGGATCAAGGGGTATGTCGAGCAGCTAAGCTCAGCAAGGGAGGGTCTCGAGTGACGAGTCTCGACGTCCCTAGATTTAGATTTAGATTCGGATTTCAGCAGAGTCAGAGTCAAGAGTCAGGCTAACCCAGGGACGCGCACACGCTATTGGAGCTGCAGGGCTCCGGAGGGGCCCGTGGCTGCAGGTGGAGGACGGATGGACAGCTGCGGGAGACCAGGGATCTTGAATCCTCCTGCTCCTGTGGTGTGGTGTGGTGTGGTGGCTCCCAGAGTGTCTTCGTATCTGCGTGGGCATTGACAGCGTACAGAATGATGACTGTGTAGTCAACCCGTAATGCATATGTGTGTGTGTGTGTGTGTGTGTGTGTGTGCAGCTGATCTGGGGCGCCCAGGAGTTACGCATGCAGTCATCTACCGGCCCTGTGTAGAGATTCCGTAGGAAAATGACACGGTAGAATACAGTGTCGAGCATCTGTACCTGTAGACATCTTTTTGCTTCTCTGCTCGATTAGAGGGGGAAAAAGGGGGGGGGGGGTGTCGAGGGTGTGATGAAGCCATGCGTGCCATGTCTTGGGATGTTGTCTCAGGGTAATGAGACACAGGCTTTTCCTTGCTTGCCGATAGAGGCTGGGCGGTCAGCAGCGTTGTTGTACTGAGTTACTATGAAGGAAATATGTATCATATCGTGCCCAAGGCATTGTCGATACGCAGCCGCCATCCATCCATCTGCAACTTGGACGATCTACCTCGACCTTGCATATGACACCTGCATGCTGTGTGGTATTGCGGCACAGTGGCACGAGTCGTACAGTAGCACAGTGATATAGTAGATGGGGCCTAGAAGCAGGGGCGCAGTACAGGACTGTACTGTGCACATTACAACAAAGGCACGGGACAGTGCAGCAATCCAGGCGTCGTTGTTTGATTGCGTGGCACCGGGGCGGCCACATACGCGCTCTGGGGCTGGCGCAGTTGGCTTGATTGTCCTTCTCTCTCCATTCTGGAAGGCTGAAGAACCAAAAAAAAAAAAAATTCATAACAGAAAAGGCCTTGACCGCCAATGCCTTCTGACCGGCACCGCGACTGCCCTGGATTCAGGGGTCGAGACCTGACCAGATCCAGCCGTGGGAAATGACCGAGTGCATTTACGTTAAATGGCCATAACGACTGTAACTAGGTCTACCAGGTGCCTACATACAGTTGACTTCAATCATACAGTCCTTAGGTAGTGCACATAATATGCCAGAGGTAACCAAGGACAGGTTTGGAGCCCTTGCAGTCGGATTGATGCTTGGCCCAGGGTCCTGAACCCTTGGAACACCCAACCGGCTTTTGTACATGATGTACAGCAATAGCAAATGTTGGAGAATGTGGGGTAAAGAAACGTCCATGTGCTGTTTGTTGGCTACAGCTTCTAGATACTAGTCTAGTCAGTTTAACCAGTCTACTGTATGTCATTCCCGGAACACGGCAGTGACGGCGAGCAATCCCTCCTAGTGCTTGCATGCGTTGCCGTTTCATGGTGGCGTACGGTGGCGGCAGGTTGCTTCTGTCATCCCTACGTACCTAGGCAGGGTAGGTAGGTTGTGGGTAACATTGTGGTTTACCGCGATCCACGGCCATGGTCGTCTACACACGAGGTCTGTAGGTACATCACCCCAGTCTCCCAGTCAGCACAATCCAGATCGAACCCTCACCATCAGTGCATATTCAAGGTTGGATTGGTGTATTATTGCTCGAGGGTGCGGTGTACCTGGGTAGGCGGACCGTCCCTCTGCCCACCCATGCGCTTTGCCAGATGGCCAGGTGGTACTCCCACCACCTTAGCACCTTGGTACGCGGGTGTGTAGGCACTTGAGTGGGCCAGCCATTGGACACCGGGGCTAACCGGCTTGGTCGTGGTTGTGGTTGTGGTCGTGGTCGTGCTCCTGCTCTCAAGCTCCAATTTGAAAATTAGTGCGCCGCTCCCTCACCTCCTAACCAAGATTTTTCTTCGTCAAATCTTGGAGACGCGCTCCCCGTCCCTTCTGTCGTGTCGTGGCCTGTCACCAGCATCTCCACTTGCTCTAGCTTCCCTCTGCCCGCACTCTTGTTATGAAATGGTAGCCGTCCTCACATACACCCAATTCTCGTCCTGAACACCCTTCCAAAGTTTCTCACTTCTCTCACCGTCGCCATCGCCATCGCTGTCGCTGTCGCCAGCCTCTCCCCCAATCCTAAATCAACATCCAGATCTCCTCATCCTGCCCGCTCAGCCCCCCCACCCATTGCCTTTTGAACACAACACCTTCCCTCCTTGTTTTCTCTCGCCTTCTCCGCCTCACCTGCCTGTCCTCTACCCTCCCTCCCTCGCCGACCGACCCTCAAAATGGGCGCCGCATCACAAGCTCTCTACTTCCTCTTCCACCCAGTACAACTCCGCAGCATTATACAATGGTGAGCGCGCCACAATTCCACCGGCTTCCTGCCTGGCTGTCTGCCTCTGTTCTTGCAAGCTGACTGTCTCACAAAGGAAAGTATGGCACGATCCCGTGCACCGTCGCGACCCCAGCAAGGAGACCCCAACAGAGGCGTCCTGCTTCAGGTTCCTGAACATGACCTCCCGCAGCTTCTCCGCCGTCATACAGGAACTCAATCCCGAGCTCCTGATGCCCATCACCCTCTTCTACCTCGTCTTGCGTGGTCTTGACACCATCGAGGACGACATGACCCTTGACATCGACACCAAGGAGCCTCTGCTGCGCAACTTTCACCAAAATATGGAAATCGATGGCTGGACCTTCACCGGTAGCGGACCTCACGAGAAGGACCGCGAGCTACTCATACACTTCGATGATGTGGTTGTCGAGCTCAAGAAGACCAAGGCGGAGTACCGCGACATCATCAAGAGCATCACCGAAAAGATGGGCAACGGTATGGCAGACTTTGCACTCAACGGCGAGCTGAACAAGGATGGCGTGACATCCGTCAAAGACTATGAGCTGTACTGCCACTATGTTGCAGGTCTAGTCGGCGAGGGTCTGACCCGGCTGTTCGTCCAGTCCAACCTTGCCAACCCCGCGCTGAACGAACGGCCAGAGCTCACCGAATCCATGGGCCAATTCCTGCAGAAGGTCAACATAATTCGCGATATTCGCGAGGACTTTGACGAGGGCAAGAAATGGTGGCCAAAGGAGATATGGAGCAAGCATGTCGACAAAATGGAAGACCTTTTCAAGCCTGAGAATCGGCAAAAGGCCCTCTACTGCGGATCGGAGATGGTTCTGAACGCGTTGAAACACGCCGACGAATGCCTGTACTACATGGCTGCCGTTAGGGAGCAGAGCGTCTTCAACTTTGTCGCCATTCCTCAGTCAATGGCGATCGCATCCTTGGAACTCGTCTTCATGAACCCGGATATCTTCGAGAAAAACGTCAAGATCACCAAAGGAGACGCGTGCCAACTGATGATCGAGTCGACGCAAAACCTCAGAGTTGTGAGTGATGTCTTCCGACGTTATATTCGGAAGATACATCAAAAGGCCGACCCCAGAGACCCAAATTTCCTGGCCATCGGCATCCAGTGCGGCAAGATTGAGCAGTTCATTGAGAGAATATTCCCCACCCAAGACATCAACAAGATGTCAGCTGCGGAGAAGGCCAAGGCAGTTCAGCGGGGACAAGAGGAAGCTGTGGACAAGACTGAGGCCCTGTACCTCATCCTGGCCGTGCTCATCGTCCTGGTGTTTGTTGGGGGTTTGATGGTATGTTGATGTACGTTCCCGTTTGTTCATTGATCAAATCACTGACATCTCGCAGATTGCGCTGGCGTGGTTCTTGGGTGCAAGGTTCGACAAAATCACAGAGAACCTGGAGTGGTCCAAACTTTTCCCACCAAGCACGCCCGACCCACTGGTTGCGCCAGCGCCAGGTGGTGCGCCGAACAACGGTGGACATGAGGAACTGTAATGAATAACAGCGCGTTCGGCGTTGACGAGGGAATGTAAATGACGACACGTTACGTGAACACTGGTAAACCACACTTCGACATTACCGGTACACCAAAACTCACCTCGTTATTTAACGACATGGGCTTTGATACATGCGAACCCAGCTGGGATTGGGGGAATACGGTTGATACTAATAACATAATACACATCTTCTCGCAGGTCTTTCTGCAATCCCATGCGAGTCTGAGCCCCGGGTCCGATGGCGAGGTAGTTGAACCGCGCATCGACCCGGACCATTGTCCTGCTGTTGAGGAGCGGACTACTTTAAACAATGGATGGGGAAAATACAGGGAACTTCACTACAAAAGCATGGATGTCAAATTGCAACCCAGTCTACCCTGATGACTGTGGTTTGTGCCAAGAAATGCTGATATTGATGGATGCGGCATTTGAAGTCTGGTTTTCCGGGCACATCCAGAGGTCATGCTGGGCTGGCTCGCCAGCATGACTTCTGCGTATGGATTGCGAACATAACACTGGTCAGCCTATCTGGCTGCCCGAGGTCATTATCCTTTGGCAGTTCCAGAGACATCCTGTGCAGTCATACCGAGCGGCCCCCTCCCCGGTTTGGCTCTTTAGTTGGGTGAGAGATAGGGGCTGGGACTGGGGCAAGTTGGGAAAGGGAGAGTAAAATGCTCTATTCCCGTGGACAATTCATTAGTCTGGACACGGCGTGAGGGCATGTAATGATCTGAGGTCTCAGGCGAGTTCCAATCGCAGAGCTCTTGAATGTAGTCCTTTATACTCCCCTGACCGCTCTCTACACAAGTATCCCGAGCACGAGCTCCTGCCTACTGAATTGACATCTGTTGCCGTGGAACAGTGTAATGCAGTGCGTAGTCTCATGAATGAGTATTGATTTGTGCCTACACTTGTAGATGCCTAAGCAGGTGGATAGGCAAGATTGCTGCAACCTACCGTCAGCAGCAGTGGACGTGGGTGTCACGGTGCCCTGGGATCTGCCCCTCTTAGTAATCATCAGTGGCCCCTGCCTCGCCAACCTGTCCGCGACACACCATCAACGCACGGCTGTCAATTCGACATGCCCCTTAACAGTCGACCTTGTCACCTGTTCACAACCCATCCAGCGCCCGTCAAGCCGTCCAGCCCGAACGAACCTCTTCCTAGAGAGGTCTTTGGCAGCCTGCACACCCTCATTCGTGCTTCCCGGCCCCCTCTCGGCACGTGGATGCTTCGATGAATGAGGTTGCTGGAACTGAGGCTTAGACCGTCCGTCGTATTGGGCGGGTGCCAGGCTTTCGGTTCTTCGGTGACCACTGGCGCTTGGTGTCCAGCTTCCAGAATCGGACGGCCGTCTGGGCTTTGGGCCAGGAACCGAGACCGAGATTGGGTGCTGCTTGTGCCTCACCAAACGCCTTCGCACACCGCCAGTCTCGGGCTCGGGCTCAGGCTCAGTCTCAAGCCCAAGCTGCCGTTGGCCCTCAAGTCGGCCATCACGACGCTACCCTGGCAGCTTGGCTGTCGATAACAGCTACGCCTTCACACTGTCGCCACACTGTCGCGTCGGAAAATCATTTCTTCGGCACTGAAGAATGGCTTCCCTTCAAATCGGTGTCGCCGACCTCTCGGCCACCAAGAAGAAGGCCATCGAGGATGCGGAAAAAATGCAGAAGCGCATTGTGCGTGAGCGTGGCGAGGCTGGAAGAGATCCCCCGCCTTACGTCTTGTCAGAGCTCATTGGAAAGGGCAGCTTTGGGCGCGTCTACAAGGCTAGGGCGACTGGCTCGGGGCGCCTCGTCGCCGTCAAAATCATCAGCATCGATGAAGGTGACAGCCTCGCACCTGGTGCGGCTGATACATTTCAGGACATTCTCAAAGAGGTCAATACCCTCAAGAAGCTCAGTGAGAGCGGCGCCAGAAACATAAACACGGTCATCGAAACGCTGCTCGTCGGTCCATCCATGTGGATTATCACCGAGTACTGCGGTGGCGGAAGTGTTTCGACCCTGATGCGACCGTCAGGCGGGCTCCCAGAGAAATGGATCATCCCAATACTGCGTGAAGTGGCCGAGGCGCTGAAATGGGTCCACAAGGAAGGCATCATCCATCGCGATATCAAATGCGCGAACGTATTAGTGACCGAGGTTGGGGGCGTCCAGCTGTGCGATTTCGGAGTGGCTGGAATTATCGAGACCAAGTTTGACAAGAGGAGCACCGTCACGGGCACACTGAATTGGATGGCCCCGGAACTTTTTGACATGTCTGTCTCGTACGGCACCGAGGTCGACATTTGGGCTTTCGGGTCCCTTGCTTTCGAAGCCGCCACTGGGTTGCCCCCCAATGCTAAGAACATGTCGCGGTTTGATCCATCGCAATTCGGCTCGTACCTGAAGCAGCACGTTCCTCGACTCCAAGGTGATCAGTTCTCAGATAGGCTTAAGGATTTGGTCGCCTTCTGCATGACCGAAGACCCAAGGGACCGCCCCTCCATCGGCCAGATCCAGGGACACCCGTACATCTACAATACGGAACGGGACTACCCCACACAATCTCTGTCTATGCTCGTCAACGCGTATCGGCTATGGGAAGTCCAAGGGGGAAACCGGATGTCGCTTTTCAATGCGGGGGGCGCGCAGGCACCGACTGGCGATGAGCCCTCGCAGCCTTCACATAGTGACGACTGGAACTTCGACACGATGATCGGTGGAATCGACCAGGGTGTTCTAGGGGACACTCAGGCCCAAGCCGTGTATGATGCGTACGGGCCTCGCGTCTCAATGATGCCTCCACCTCCGAAGCAACAGGGCCGTCGCCGCCGGCCGCCCAATATTCCGGTGTTGAAGGCTCCTTTAGAGAAAGCGTTCGATCCCAACACCATTACAAACTACGAGGAAAATGCCCGGCTGTTTTATGGCAGACCCATGCCTTCCTCAGCGCCCGAAATGGGGGAAATGAGTGCTCAAAAGGAAGATAGCACGAACCCAACACAGCCTCGAGAATCTTTGATCGATCTCGACTTGTCACTTGACGGCGATAGACTGTCTCGATTCGCAGACATGGAGGAAGGGGAGACTATTAAGGCCAATTTCCCCGCACCGAAGCGCGAGACGATCCGAGAATCTGGCCTAATTGACCTCGATGAGTCTCTCGACGGCGGGAGACTTTCTCGATATGCTGATACGCAGATGGACACTGTTAGAGCCAGTCGACAAAGTATCAGGCCGCTCGGAAGGAGCCAGACCACTTTGGATCGGCGCCGCACCCAAGATTGGTCTTTTCCAGCGGCGATTGGCGAGGAGCTCGCTCACGAGGATCAGCAGGACAACCGCAGAGAAAGCCAGCTTTACAGAAGCCAGTCGACAATGGACCATCGCCGCACCCAGGACTGGAGTTTTGCAAGCGCTACTGCGGGTGACTTTATTCAGCCAATCAAACCAGAAATCACAAGGAGCCAGTCCAGTCTTGACCATCGACGGACACAAGACTGGTCGTTTTCGGCTGCGACTGCCTCGAATCCCCGCCTCGAGGGTCAGTGGTTTCAGTCTCACGACGAGAACGACGAGGATGATTACATGGCGTTGGATTCTCTTCCCACCACCATGACAGGACACCGCCAAGACGACTCGCTACACGTAACACTTCCCCCCCGCGCGGCGACCAGTTTGGAAGTCAGTCGGTTCTCAGCCTCTAGCATGATCGATCTCGATGCCAGTCTTGTTGGAGAAAACGGCGAGTCTCTTCGTCCCGCGACTGCACTCTCCGAGGCTTCCTCCGCAACCTCGGACACCTGGAGGCCCACCCTCTCACATCAAAAGTCGTTCCAGTTCAATCTGGAAGACTCCTTTCCTTCGGCCACCAGGGAACCATCTCTTTATGTCTCGGACGACGGCATCTCGAGAAGCAGCCGAGAGCAGACTTTCCACGTACTAGACGACGCCATTCCACGAAGCAACAGAGAGCCATCCCTATATGTACCCGATGGCTTTGGTTCGACCAGTTCCATTTCATCAATTAATGAGAGAGAGCCCTCCCTTTATGTATCTGACGAAATTGGTCTTGGAATCATCCCATCGACCCCGACGTCGGGGGACGTGGTTCTTACTCCGCCGTCCGATAGCGCCAACGACACATCGGACGACGCAGCGGCACAAGCTGACGACAGCCGCGTGTCTATCACTATCGAAGACTCTGATGTCGACTCGGATGCACCCATGCCTGCAATCCCGTACATGCCGCGGGCCCCTATGATTAGCGTGCTGCAGGCGACTAGTTCCCAGGACGAGGTGAAGGATGAGCTCCAGCGCATGATCAGAAGCCTGCATGAGCATCTTCAATACACTACTTCTGTTCTGCGGACCTTGCCTGTGAGGAGGGGATCAGCGCAGGGGGAACACTCGGGATCTGAGATTTTGTTTTGAAGGGACTTCCAATCTTGAGAGAAGATTGTATTCTCGCAGGCCGTGGCTGGGCTCAAGCCCAAATATATGCTCGAGCAGCTCCACGGCCTGCTGATTTTCATTCGGGCTGACACTTCTTGGGCTATGATTATTACGGTCGTAAAGGAAGGTTAAAGAATCCTTTCTTCTCATCACCAAGTAGATTTGACGGAGGCACATACAGCATATGGTGACGGCGGAGCGCGGGCCAATCTGAGGCGGAACCTATAATACGTAATAATGAAGATATTTAGGTATGAATGAACAACACTTTAGGCGGAGGCCTTTTCCTTTACCAAGTGCTCTGCGAGCAACGAGAGGGAACAAAGCACCTCGAGGTCATTATCCTGGACAAGAAGCTACCATTGCACAAGTCGGTCAGGGGAGCCTTTTCGGAAAATTCTCGACGCAGGAACGGTCACCGTGATGACAATTATGTCGATAACGATTGTCTGGTCGATGGGAAATCTCGCCACCGGACAGCAAGTACAAATCGATACACCCCCCCCCCCCCCAAATGCCGCTGGGAAATGAGAAGTCTGCTCTCCGATACACTGCGAAACCGGCACATGATCATGACAACAAGGCCGGGCTCCATCTCTCATTCGAAGGAGGCCGGAGCGGACCGGGAGGGGGGCGGGGACCCAGATGGCAAGCTCGAGAGACTTTCCCTATGTTGAGAAGTAATTGATTGTATAGTCATTTCCCAGCCTTTGCTCACTTGAATAGTTGCTATTGCGGGGAACTCGAGTCGGGGCGAAAGAGCAAACGGCGGTAATTGCCGAGGGGAGTGCACTGTCGTAGAAATACCAGTCAAGATGGGCAAGACAGGCTCACAGCACGAACGTCTCACGCCTCCCATGCCTAGGCCTAGAATACCAGCATCTTCAAAAAGAAAAATTGATGCTACTAACGAGGGGAAGAAGAAAGTTGGCAAGGCAGAGTGCAATACCGCACACATGGACGACGAAGCTCGCCTGCCACTACGAGAGAAGGCAGTCAGAGAGAGGCTCCAAACTGGCTAAGCTGCCGTAGAGCACCTTTCTCAAGGAAGTTCCTAGATTGTGTGTTCGACGAGCCGTTGAGCAGTCTGGATAGTGATTTCAGATGGAAAGGGAGAGCCAACAAAAGCTATGGGACTGTTGTGATGTTGATAAGTTTGACCACCTTCGCGTCTCGGTTGGCCCCTGTGAGCTCAGAGAACCTACCTAAACGCAGCCAAAAATTGTGCGGGTGTACACATTGAGTCTAGATCGGAACATAGTCTGGTCCCGTTGTGATCTCTCTGAAGCGAGCTAGGGCCAAGGGGACGAGCACTTCAACGCAGGTGAAGCCATTTCGTTCTTGCCTGAGCTCCGGGCCCGGTTATACTTGCATCGAGGCCGACCGAGCGCGACTATAGCAGTTCTTCAGTCGAAACCAACAAGTCATTCTCACATCCGCCCAGCCCTTGGAAATGTTTCTAAGCCGCGCATTAAAGCACCATGCACATCAGGAAGTCAGAGCGCCACCCTCCCCCTTTTGGACAAATAGGCGCGGCTGGCGCCGAGAGGCCAGGGGTCCCGGTGACGGTGCCGAGCGGTTCTTAGAGAGGTCAAGCATCAGGGGAGCCAAGACAGTTTGCTAAAAAAGAACTGGTTGAAACAGCCAAGCCAATCACACCACTAATCAGCCGCCCACAGCCACTGGAAGACGAGATCTGTGTTTGTGTTTGCGGGTTTGCTCAATGATTTTTATTGATCACCGTCTATGCTATGTCAAGATTTGTATTTATCCATGGTCTGTTCTGCAAAACCATGCACCTCGACCAATTATTCTGGACCACGCCATAGTGGAACCGACCTATGAGGAGCTGAGGAATCAAGCCGAGAAAACCACAGTGACAACAATATGGAGAACATAAAAATGCCTGAATGCTAGAAGAGCAATGCGTCCGTCAAATGCAAATATGGTCCTGTTAGGGAAAAGAAGGCCACTCTCATGTCAAGAGAACACACCTCGGCGCTTAAATGGCCCCGTTGTTCGCAATCAGGGGTGTCGTCCCCCTCACGTTCCCCAAGACACGGGCCTGGGTCGCACCGGCAAGGTCGGTGATGCGGGTGGCAACGGCATCTATGTTCGTGATGTTCTCCTTGGCCATCAGGTAGGCGGCAAGGCCAGCAACGTGAGGGCTCGCCATGCTCGTCCCGCTCAAGGTCTCGGTGGAGGTGGTGGACTGGATACCGACGCTCTCGACGTCGACACCGGGCGCAAAGACGTCGACGAACTGGCCGAAGTTGCTGAATGAGGCGCGGCGGTCCGTGGTCTGGTCGATCGCGCCGACCGTGATGGCGCCGCGGGCGGAAGCGGGACTGTCGTTCTGGGCGTCGACGTTCTCGTTGCCGGCGGCCACGACAGGGACGACGCCTGCTGCACGGAGGGCGTTGATGGCCTGGTTGACAGCGTTGGAGCGCCCGCCACCGAGTGACATGTTCATGACCGACTTGCCCGAGAGCCCGTTGGCCTTGGCTGTCTGGGCCACTGATTTGTCTGCTGTTAGCAACTCTTACAGTCTATACGATATGTAAGGGGGTAGTGTGGTGCGGTGCGATGTGACGTGACGTGCTCTAAGAGCAAGGTGTAAGACGGAAAGGTGAGGGTAGGTCCATACCAAAATTCATTCCCGCGATGACACCCGAGTTGGTGCCGGCTCCCTGAGCATCCAGGACCTTGACGCCAACCAGAGTGGCCTTCTTAGCCACACCAAAGGTCTTGCCGCCGATGGTGCCAGCGACATGAGAGCCGTGGCCGTTAGCGTCAGTGTTGATATTGTCGGCACTGTTGAAGGCAAAAGTAGCCCGGCCCTCGAATTCCTCGTGCTCCTCCATGATGCCCGTGTCGACGATGAAGGCGGTGATGCCCTGCCCGGCCGAGTCGTCAAAGGTGTAAGTGGTTCCCCCGGCCTGTGCAGACGACAGGCGGGCCAGGCCGGTGGTGGCATTTTGCTGGGTGACGAGTGCGTTGAGGTGGACGTAGGCGTCGGCCTCGATATAGGAAACCTCGTCGGCGTTGTTGATCTCGAGTGCGGAGGCGTCGTCTGCCTCGAGGCACATGGCCCTCATGCTGCCGATGCTGAACGTGTGAACTGTCATGCTGAGCATGCGGTTGTCGATGGGGGAGCGCTTGCCGATGTTGCGCTTGGCGATGGTCTCGACCCAGTAGGCCTCGTGCGTGGCAATGGCGTCGTCGTCGAAGGTATCGTTGTAGACGACGACGTACTTGTTTGGGATGATGTTCTTGGCATCAGGATTCATGATAGGCACACCGAGGCCCTGGAGAGGTGCTCGGACCGGGGCCGGCGCCGGCGCGGGGGCCCCCAGGGCGAGCGAGGCCAGAAGGGAGAAGGTGGCGAGAAGAGAAGTCGATATGGGAGCCATGATGACGGCCAAAATAAAATATCAACAGTGAAAGATGGTGATAGTGATGTTAAAAGAAGGGTATCACCAAGAAGAGAGATGCCAGACCAGCACTTGCACACAGAAGGAATGTCACCCGGAGGGAACGAAATAGTTGCACGGTTGAAGTAGAGTCTGCCCTTGATACCAGACTGACGCTCAGTCTGGTGTGACTTGTCTGGCGGTGGCGGGGATGCGGCAGACGACAACAACAACGACAACCAGTGACAAGAAGCAGAAGCAGAAATAGAAGAGGCAGTGGACTTGGAAGGAGGAGGGAACGAATCGAGCCACGGACAGCGGCGAGGAGGGTGGGTATCAAATAAGTCTAGGAATTAGAAACACAAGAAGAGAAGAAATAACTAGTATGGCTCCCAAGAAGAATGAGATGGCTTGCTATTGAGGGACGAAGGAAAACAATGGCTGGGCGCGAGGCGATATATCAGTCAATGGGGCCAGGCAGGCCATTGTGCGCGCCCAGCCAGCAACATCAGCAGAACCAGAACCAGAACCAGGGACAAGACGGCAAAAGCTGGTACTCAGGAGACGCGTCTGCTAGCGAGAGGCAAGGGCCATGGTTCGCCAAGCGCATGGGTCTGTCTGTGATAGCGATTCTGCAGAGGCAGGACAGACAAGCATCAAGATTTAGGTGTCGCAGCAGACTTGGCGGTATTGGCCCGGCGGAGCCCCCTTTTGGAGCCTCTGGGCGAGGCAGGACGGCAGGACGGCAGGGAGCAAACAAATAGGAGAACAGATGGCGCCAGGGGAAACACGAGGCGAGGCAAAGCGGGGCGGTGGACGAGGGCGATGGCGAGGATACAGAGCAGGAGGAGGAGAAGGAGTTGACGATGAGGCGGCGCGCCTTGCGGGTTGAGTGGGTGAGTGAGTGAGTGAGTGAGTGAGTGAGAGATGGTTACGCAGCCCTTCTGCCGCCAAGTCAAACGTGTGGCAGGCTGGCATGGGGATGGGGAGGGAGAGGGGAAGGGGGTGTTTGTGAAGTTCCCTAAGCGCGAGACGACGCCGAAGTGGTACATGGCGTATACCTTGGAGACATCACAGACACGACATACATGACTGACGTACACACGTAAATACATGCATACATCATACAAGAGAGAGCGAACGAACGAGCAGGCAAGCGGACCAGGCTGATGATCGCCGCGTCGGGGGCCCGGGGGCCGGAGGGCATGTTGAGATGTCCTGTCGGGAGTTTTCTCTGCATCGACACATGCGGGCCGTGTAACTCTCGAGGCCACAGGCTCTGCAGATCTGGGCGACTCGGCAGGGCCACAGTGGTGCCTGCTAGGCGCCGGCGTCGAGGAGATTAAGGTACTATTGATCAGTGAGGCTCAACACACCAGGCCGGCGGGCCTCGACACCGGCGGCCCGGGGTGTGTGGAGAGGCGGAGAGTGGAGAGAGGGGCAGAGACAATGCAATGTAATGTAGTACAATGCAATGTAATACAATACAATAGACAGACTACAATCCATAGATGCTGTGGATTTGATATGTCCATGTCAATATGAGACGAAGAGGACGGGATCACGACCGCCATCATGACCACAAAGTCGAAGACCAAGAGCCGCAGCGGCAGCGGCAGCCAGGGATAGATTAAGGGCGATCTAAGGACGCTTCAAGGACAGGCTATTGTTGCTTACTGCAAGGCACGCGGATACATCCATTGGCCAGAGCGGTTCGAGGCCTGGCTTGTGTGTTCCAGCCTCGGATGGTCCCAGCTCAACAGCCACTCAGCCCGGGAGCCCAGTCAGCTCAGTATGGATGGTACCTGGGCGCCCATCATGCTTAATTTAGAGAAGCAGCCCGCCAGCGCACGAGACGGGGCGGCGGTTTGACGGGTGGGTAATATAGGAATGGAAAGGAAAGGGAGAGAGAAAAAAAAAAGACATGCCAGATCTTGAACCTTGCAAGGCCAAGGGGATCGCCGCCAAGACGCAGACGTAGCTTGGCGTTCCCGCAGGCCTTGTACTGTGTAATCATCCTGGCGTTTTGGAATCGGCAGACTCCCTAGACTGGGTACTGCTAGATATACTAGATAGACTGTCCCATCGACTGTGCACACAGTCACACACAGTAATGGCAGATTTGATTTGACTTGACTTGACTTGACTACTGTGGCATAGCTTATGATGTTGATGCCCCTGTGTGCGTTACCCGCAGCAGCAGCAGCGAGAAAAGATATGTCTGTCTGAATGACTCCCTAGATGGGATCCGAATCTTGAATGGCACGATAGATCGATCGGCACTAGGGTGGCTTGTTGTGTCGTGTCATAGGGTGCTTTGTCGTGCGCGTTGTGCTGTTTGAAGCGAAGCATCGACGCGTGGCGGGCTGTCAACTGCTGCACCGCTGTGAGCGGCAGGGCATTGCACAAAAACACACAAAACGCAAAACGCAAAACACAAAACACAAAACGCCAGATACCACGACCCAGGACACACAAGACAGTCGGTTGCCCACAAGGACCCCACAGCATGGTGTCTGAGGAAGGCTGAAACCCGCCCAGGGGGCTTGGTGATGTCTGCTGCCTCCCGAGGTCCTCACCTCACCACCTCCTTGCCTCCTTGCCTCGTAGCCGCCTAGCCGCCCCCCCCCTGCAACCTCCTCCTCCTCCTCCTCCCCCTGCTCCTGACAACAACATGCTTTGCCCTCCTCTAGGACGAGGACGGGATATGGAGGAGGAGAGCGGAGGAAACAGAAGACCTGCACCAGCACAAGATTGTGATAAGATAAATAGTTTGACGAGCCCGGCCGTGCATTACTCCAGGCCGAGGCGGTGCTTCCGTACAAGTGCAACTGAGCGTAAGTAATTAGACTCGTTTCTCAGCCGTCCCAACAGCTGCACGCAGACATGTATATTGTACACAGACACGGGCACGGATGGAATCATGGGCCATATACAGTAAGTTGTGTGTTTCCCCATGTTTGTGTGGTCGACTTGACATGACATGGCCAGGGCATGGCAGGGCATGACAGGGCATGACAGGACATCATGAGAGGACTGGACGAATGGGTAGACGGGTGATGGATGGGTGGCATTTATAACAACAGCAGCAGCAAAGAGAGGCCCTGTCTTGGATCTAATCTCCCCTGGCCCCATGCCCCATCCCATCTCCGTCCGGCCCGTCCAGTCCAATTCGCAGTTCCCAATTCTCAATTCCCAATTCCCAATTCCCGAGTCCCAGATTGATGCAGACACCAGATGCTATGGACGGCAATTAAGGTCCAGTCCAGTCCAGTCCAGTCCAGGTAAGTCCGATTCCATTCAATTTCTGATCACTGCTGCTGCGCCTGCGCCTGCGCCTCCTGTACTCCTTGCTGCTGTGCTCCCACTCCCACTCACACTCTCGCTCTCTTCCTTCGTACTAGACTACCTAGGTATAGACGACTGCATCACATATCTACAGACTGGAATAGACAGATATCGTAAAGCCCAGGCTTCATTGTCAATCGTTGTTGCTCCTGTCAAGACCGGTCCTGTGAGGAAGGGTTACTTGACCACCCTCCCCCTCCGCCCTCCCCCCCCCTCTTATCGACCCCCCTTCTTCAACCAAACCCCCCTCCCCCTCCCCCCAAAATCGACAGGCGGTCCGTACAGCCCAGGCCCAGCTCTTCCACCTGCCCGCTTGTCCAATCTCTCTGTGCCTCTCTGCCTCATCCACTCCCAAACTGTCACCCATCCATACAGGCCTACCCAAGACGTAGGGGAGTCTTCACATCTTCCCGCACAGCACCGCCCTACCCGCGTGCTACTCGGTCAACGGCAGCCCGCTCCAACCAAGCAACCAAGCAACCAAGCAACCAAGCAACGAAGCAACCAGACAGACCATCCCTCATCCGCCATCCGCCTCTGTCTCGAAGCGCATCTCCCTCCCTCTGCCTCTGCCTCTGCCCTCTCCATCTCCATCTCCATCTCCATCTCCATCTCCCTCTCCCTCTCTCCATCAGCCCACGCGGCCCTCCGCCCTCGTCTACTGCTGGCTTGCCCACCAGCATTGTCGTCGCAATATCCCGTTACCCGGCGCCTCCCTGTTCTCGGCCAATCGCTGCCGGCCAAGTCACGCCCTCACGCGACCCCTTCTCTCGCCGCCCTCGCTTTTTTTTCGTTCGTTTTCCTCTTTCGTCCATCTTGGTCTATGGTCTGTGAGCTGCCAGTACCGGCCGCTCTGCCTGTCCTTTGCCTGCCAACTCCCGGTGCTGGTCCATCAGAGGGGTCCACGCTTCTCTGCGACCTTCGACGTCGACACAGACACCGACCCCGACACCGACACCGACCGCAACAGATCGCAACAGAAACCTTCGCCGTCTATACCTTTACCCCATCGTCAATCACCGACTCCCTCCCTCCTTCACTCCCTCTCGGCCCGGCCTACCCTCGCCCGTCAAGCAGCTACTTCAAGCACACAGACACCCACACCCACATGCGAGCGAGAGCAAGTCCGACAGGTGCCATCCACCCGTCCCAACTGACTCGATCGTACCCGTCTTTCGCTTCCCAGAATGTCGGTCCAGACCGCGACTATATTCAATCCCGACAGCCATGTCGGCCCCTTGTCAATCGACACAAGGCGCACCAGCATCGACCGCTCCTCCGTTGACCGCTCTGCCGCCGCCCGCCAGGACGTCGGCAAGGCCACCGTCGAGCTGGCCTCCATCATGGCCATCGCTTCCAACCCCGTTTCCCCAGGCGCCTCAAGCCCACCCCTCCCACAGGGTGCGAGGATGATGCAGGACTTTGACCCGCCCGCCCGCCCGAGCAGCACCCCCTTCCCAGAACCCGAGCTCGGCCAGACAACCATTCGGTGTCTCAGCTGTCCCTCCGAGCCAGGCTCAGGCTCCGGTAATGGCCATGGTCACGCCCATCGCCATGACCACCACCATCACCAGCACTTTGCCGAGTCTCCCGTCCTCGGCAGCACTGACCTGCCCCAGCCTCCACTGACGCACACAAACCTCGACGACCTCCCCGCCGAGATACACGAATGCATACTCGATCATCTGTTCGGATACAGGGTTTCGGCCTCGTCCAAGAGCTCCTTGGGCATGCCCAGCGTCACGCGTAGCTGGGGCACGGCCCTGAGGCACTCGAGGCGGAAGGAGCTTTCGGCACTGGCCTTGGTTAGCAGCGTGTGGAGGGCCCTCATCCAGGAGCGGCTGTACCGCCATGTCAAGATCAAGGCGACGGTGCAATCCCTGAATGAGGCCGTGGCCTTCTTCGCCCATCACTCGCACCTCCGGCAATACGTCAAGCACGTGGAGCTGTGGTTCGCCGTCTTCCAGCCCAAAAAGAGCGCCCTCGCGCTGTCCAGCTCCATCCTCCCGCCGGTCACAATCGACGGCTTAACCAACGCCTCGTACGTAATACCCACTGACAATTGCTCGCTCGAAGAAGCCTTCTATTTTGTCAGCACCACACTCCCGGAGGTCTGTGTCCTCACGCTGGAAGGCGGGGAGCGCAAGAAGGCTCCCAGGGTACGTCACCATATCCTTGAAGAGGGGCATGAGAAGCCGCTGCCCAGGATCGCACCCATCCGAACGCTCGTGTGCAAGGGGCAGTGGAACCTGATACGGAGCGAGGACGACTTCGATGCTATCGTCTACGCACTACCAAACCTCCAGGAATGGCATGGGAATTACAGCAAGGCCAAGTCCAAGAGCTACCTGTGCATGGCCGCGATCCTCCCGAAGCTTCCTTTGAACCTGACCAGTCTGAGCCTGAACTTGGAGGGGGTCGAGTACCGACGGGAACTGTCCTTTCCCCCATACTTCCTCAAGGTCTCCAACACCCTGCACTTCTGCACGAAACTGGCTGAAGCCGCGCCAAACCTTGAACATTTCGCGTACACAGGCCGTGTATGCCGGGCATTCTTCGACCTCTTGGCGCGGCTGGTCGAGCCCCGAAGCACACGGCTCAAGACGATCGATCTGACGGTTAGGAACTGCTGTCGCCATGTCATCCACTGGAACGAGTCCGGCTCGGGAATCACGGATATGAACTTCATCAATGCCTTCGAACAGCTCGTATTAGCCGGGATCAGGGCTCTCGGCAGGCTCAAGGCCGTGGAGTACTTGCGGATCCGATACGTGGATCTAGGTGAGTGGGAAGAAAGAGAGTGGGAGAGAGATAACCCCCCTCCTCCACCCCTCCCTCCCTCGGCCTTCCGACAGAAGGCTTCAGAGGGGGCATGTTAAGCATCATCTAACACTAACCTGCCTGGCAGACTCCCCGGTTCCGCCCCTGAATCCTTACTTCATCCTCCGCGACGGCTGGTGCTCTGGCGTCTGGAGTGATGCCATTGTGGCTGAGCTAAACCGCACCCGGCCCGACGCCCAGTTCGAAGACCTCGCTGAGTCTTTCGGTGAGGTCGGTATTAACAAAGACGGCAGAATGGTGATCAGCCCTGAATTCCCCAGGAGCCGGGTGCTTTCCCTCAAATTATCGAACTACGCGTACCTGGCAGGAGGAATTGCCGTGCCTTAGGGACGGTTAGGGAGGGACAGTCACAGGCACTGAGCTTCGACAGACTGGAAGCATCGGACCGATCACCAGCTCGAGGAGATTTTGAATCGGGAGCATACGAGTGTGGAAGCAAAGCACGGCGTTCTCTCCTTGTTCTGTTTTTTTTTTTCCTTTTGTTTTTTTTGGGTTTGCCATTTAATACCTAATGATATCCCCCCCTGTTTGCCATGACTGGATATGTGAGGCATAGAAAAGGCGTTTGGTTTGGGTTATTCTCCTGGGCAATTGTTTCGAAGCGTTGAACATATCGGGTTGGGTGTATGGCATGAGGAGCTTTTAGGAAGACTAACGCATGTGGTCGCTTGTGGCTAAAGACGGCAGCTCCCTGCCCACGCGCCTGGTTGATTCGAAAGCTTCCATCCTGCCAGCCCCGAGCCACGTGTTTGGGGACGAGCAGGCTGTGACCGGACTGCACAAATTTTGTCGCATAGCCATTGCACAATTTGATTAAGAGAGTAAACGAATCAATCAGCAACAGAGCCACATATTTGCAATTCAGATAGACAAGGTGCAAAACCCAATATTCATGCACAGATGGATGAAGCTCTACACAGAGGGCCTTGCTCCTTGCATGTGATCTCGCTTGTTGATTAGACTATTTACAGCCAGACTATATAAGCTCACGCGGTTTGAGTTGTCATATCTCACATGCTCTGTTTATGCTTTCTGGGTGGACAAGAGAAAAAGCAAAACACATCTCTTAAGGGTTCATAATACTATGACGGATGTACGCCACCAATCCTTCAGTCTACGCGACATCGCCCACAATGATCCCCAGGATCCAACAATTCGCCAAAAAGAACCCCAGACTTGATACCCACAGGCCGGGCACGAAGGTACTGACCCCCAGGAATTCTAGCCCATAGCCCTGCTGTAGCCACACTGCTTGCGTCAAGACCCAGAGTAGCAAGGCTGCGCTGCCCAGTTTAGCACTGCGCAGGAAGGAGGAGCGTGGAAGGTAGAGTGGGAGGAAGATAAGATACCAGAGAAAGTACTGTTTGGGTTTTGCCCCAGTCTCTTGTCAGTCTTGAGGTTCTGACGAGCTAATGAGGCCCGCGGGGAGGGGGAGGAGGCAGGGTTTGCATTCGTACCTGGCTTGTACAGACTTTGTTAAACGCCACAAAAGCCCAGGTCTGCGCTAGCATGGTGGTGGGCAGATCTTTTTTGGCCATGATCAAAGGGATCAGGACGCACGACAGCAGGAGCTGCGGAAAGAAGGCCACGGACTCGACACGTATGCCTCGGGAGATGTCATCCGGGGAAGCGGAGGCCAAGTAGAGAAGGATGTTGTACGGGCTGAAATTGTGCCGGTGGTCGATGCGCGTGACGTGATGGAGGTAGGTGTGCACAAGGAACGGGTGCCCGTAGGAGGCATACATGGTCAGGTTCAGAGCCATGAATACACTCAGGCTTACAAGTGCGAGCTTGAGCCGCGGCCCGGTGAGGAAGGTCGCCACAGCACCAACCACCCAAGACTGGTTGGCCGGCTCACCTGAGATATGGTCCTGGTCCATCCACCACACTATAGCCGGGGCGTAGATGAACGGATAGATCTTGAAGTGCACGCCCAGACCCAGGAGCACACCTGCAAGTGTCACCCTTCTCGACAGGACTGCCCACAGGAGGGCCAGGACCATGACGGCCAGCAGGCCCTCGGAGCTGCCGCGCGTGCTGATGGTGGCGACCATGGGGTTTAGCAGCCAGATTGCAGCAAAACCCCTCGCCGTGGACTCATCCATGGCCAGCATGCCTCGTCCCCTCATGGTCAGGATGCTGACAATCAAAGCGCCCGCGACGACATCAGCGGCGGCGAACAGCAGCTTGCCAAAGCTGAACCAGGCCACATTGACCCAGTGCGGGTTCACGTCTGTCGTCCAGGTCGTAGGAATGAGCGCCCATGACAGCAAGGGCGTGTAGCGGTACGTCTCCCTGGCGTAGGGGCCCTCGGTGCGGCCTTGGGAGACGAAGCGCGTCGCATCGGTGAAGACGAGGTAGTCGATGTCGGTGTACTTGAGAGGAGAGTTTGCGTCCTGCCAGAGACCATAGACGATGAGCACGGCTCTGAGCAGGACGGATGCGGTGTAGAGCGGCACAGGGCTTGAGAACAGAGTGGACTTGAGTCTTGAACCTTGTCCTGGCCCTGGCCTTTGCACTTGGGTTTCTGGCTTGGGAGGCACCATCTTGGACCGTCGAGTGGAGCGTCGGAAGCGGCCAGTTGCTTCACGATGAACCGCTGCTGTCCATCACATGTGGCTCTCTCACTAAGGCTCTGTAAGTGAGTGAGTGAGTGAGCTATCATGCAACACCCCATGGTGAAGAAAACTGGGCTGCAGATTACTCGCACTAACAATTTCTCAGTTGTCGTCTTAAGGGTTCCAGCTCATAGTCTGGGGGTGTTATTTGGGGGGGAGGGGGTGCATACGCAACACCCTGAACCCTGGAACGCGGCCTCGACCGCAAAATAACAGGCTCCGACACTGCATACCAAAAGCAGCCCTGGAACGCAGAGCAAAGAACTCAGAAGGCCAAGTCCCGACACATCATCGAACATGGCAGGCCAGAAGAGGGACTCTAGGGGCAATGCCAAGAGCAGCGGCCCCAAAGCTCCCCTTGTCCGCAATGAGTACACGCACATGTTTGAGAGCTTCCGAGACGAGCTTGACAGCCACCACGACCGCAGGGAAAGGATCGTCAAGGCCTCCAGGGATATCACGGCCTTGAGCAAGAAGATGTAAGGCACTTGCACTTGCACTGCTTTGGCGCCCTGCCCGCGCCGCGATTGTTGGGCCCGTCACTGACGCCGCCGCTAGAATATTCTCATTGCAACGGTTATTGCTCACCCCGTCCCAGCTGTGCTGCGCGCCTGACTGACATATCTGGCCCAGCATCCGCAAGATACAACCAGACATGCCTGATCAGACCGAGAGAGAGATCCAGTCCCGCCTGAGCGAGATCTCTAGGCTCCTCGCAGCCGTCACTCCCGACGTCCAGGGTATCAATCGCTACCGCTACTCGCGCAGCCTGGTGTGCATCGAAGAGCTGATCGAGGCCCTGACTTTTGCCCACTACCTCCGCACCCAGCGCCTGATGGGCTTCAGCGAAGCTGTAGGCAAGGTCGCTGAGCTCTCAGGCTACGCCGGCGACCAGATGGATGTCGATGCAGGAGATCCGCCTCCACCCGCCAACTCTGACGCTCCAAGACTTGTGGTTCACGTCACTGAGGAGGACTACCTCATGGGTATCTTTGATCTTTCTGGCGAGATGATGCGATTTGCCACCACTACCGCCGCTCTCACCGGCACCATGGCCGGTGGCAGTGCCACCCCCGCGGTGGACGGTCGTGAGAGGACCATAGTGGTAGACATGCAAGAACTCGGCAGTTTCTTTGAGATGCTACCGCAACAGTATAATAAGAGTTATCAGATCAAGCTCAGCACGCTAAGGACGTCGGTACTGAAGGTAGAGAAGCTGGGTTACGGCTTGACTGTGAGAGGCACTGAGAGACCCGCAGGCTGGATGCCTGAAGATGGTAACGATCCGTCAGAGGACGATTATTAGTAGATGCGCTTCGAGGTGCTTGCTCCTGCTTCATGTATGCTACCTGGCAACTCGGGCATCAAAATCTAAGTTATTGTGCAGAACTGCGTCGTGAGACACCTAGTTAATAAGCAATAGCATAGCTTCAGCTGTAATACGCAATGCGCTTGCTAATATAGTTAGCATTCAGTGAAATAATTCGTTAATTAGCTTATCTCTACTTGAAGTAGCTTTTAAGCTTATTGGGTAACTTATAGCAGCTGTATGGCTTTTTGTGGCCTTAAAGAATGCTTAGGCGAGTTTTAAAAAGAGTTTTACTAAGAGCCAAGTCTGAGGCTCTTACTTATTATGTAAAGAAAAGGGATATAACAGGATAACCAGCCATAGGATAATCACTTATGGGATAAACTCCCTTGGGATAAACCCAGGTATAGTATTTGCCTGCTGAATAATATTCTATATGGGGAAATAAACAAGCCACAGGGGGCTCCGCAATGACGTTTTTTTTATTTTCTTTATATGGTGGCGTTTTTCTCCCGATAGCGTATGTGATAATGCTCTAGAGATAACTACCTTTTGACAGCTATCGCAAGCAGATAAATAAGTATTTGTAGATGGTGAAGACATTGCTCGCTAGGCTTTGGGGACGCACGAGAGAAAGAGGTGAGACTATGCGCAACTATTGCTGTAGAGTACAATATGACGTTAGTATAGTCAGGCTTTGTCGTAGATTTGGATCTCATTTTTGAGGAAGAGGCAAGGACAGCGCATCGATCATTCGCCCGGGTGGCTTGGGCTGGGGCGCAATGTGACTCGACGCTTATGTGCTAGCACTGAGACAGCATTGCATATTAGTCTATAACCGATGCGCAATTGGCTGGCTACTGTGGTAATGACTGTCCTTGAGTGTGCTTGGCAAATGGCCAGTCTGCGCTTGGTAAGATGTCACGACTGGGACTTTGCCCCAGCATCTCCCGGAACGCAATCGTTGGTGGTCAATGTCTTTGCAGTACATCATCGTATAGAGTATTTAGCGCCACTGTTATTATGCCGCCCACAGCACCACCTTCGGCCTTGGATGGGCCCCTGACGGCAGAGCAAGCCTTCGACTCAATCGGCCCGGCATACGAAGATGCCTTCGAAGGCCTGCCCGAACAGGCCTACTCGATCCAGTGGCTACTGGCCCAGCTCGAGAATTCTGGAGCCAAGACGGCCAGGTTCGTCGACATAGGCTGTGGCACGGGACGCCCTGTCTGTCTGTCACTTGCCAACGCGGGCCACGATGTCCTCGGCATCGACGTATCTGCCGCAATGGTGGCTGCAGCCCGTGAGCGGGTCCCAAATGCGAGGTTCGAGCAAATGGATATCTGCAATTTCAACCCACCAAAGGGTTCGTACGACGCTGCCAGCGTCTATTTCAGCCTGATTGCCAGCGTGACCCAGGAAGATATCAAAAGATATCTTACGAAGATATACGAACTCCTCAAGCCAGGGGGCTTCTTCGTCTTTGCAACGGTACCAGTTGATGGTGAGAGCATGCAAATCAAGTGGATGGGACGACTAGTCACAGTTTCGAGCCTGAGTCCGGATGAAGCAGTGCTGGCAGTCAGCAGGGTCGGCTTCGAAGTTGTTCATGATAAAGTTACAAAGTTCATGCCCAAAGGGGAAGAGGCTGGCATCTGCCAGAAGACGGAGGTGTGGGAAGAGCCTCACCTGTTTGTGTACGCGAGGAAGCCAACGTCAAACTAGAAAACCATTCTGATGTTTTCTGTAATACTGTGCAGATCCTATGCTGTTTCACTTTACGAGATCTCGAAGTTGTGTGCTCGAGCCTAGCTTGACTGCAAGATCACCAAGTCTTCAAAGTACTGTCAAATGTGACGTTGTCCAACCGCGTTTGACAAGGAATACATATTGTGCACATGTGTGCCAACCCCCCCCCCTCCCCACATGGGGCATATCGCCAGGTTTCGGGCATGATTGTGTCATCTCAAGATCGATCGGTCATGATGTATGTGTAGCTCTGGAGGACCCGCCTAACCAGTCAAGAGAATTCCAATGGGCCGTACGTGTGCATCTTTTAGGAGATCGCTTCGTGGTGCTGGCGTTGCATGAATTACCCACATTTGGCCAGAAAGCTGGGTGGTTTTGTTGTGAGAACCCGTGTCTGTTCCTGTCTATCTCACAAACCGTGCCTACGTGGGATTCGGGTTGCCCAACTTCCTTTATCCGAATAAATCCTTACCAGCCATAGTCTTGCTCACATTTCAGTTCACAGTGTCCACCTTCGCCTCTCCCAACGTTTCCTTCTCAATCTCTTCCTCATTCCCAGCGCTGTATCCGGTGCCCCTTAACATCTGCGTTAATCCGATTTCATTATTGATCTCCTCCATCCTCTCGGAATCCGCCTGCGCCGTGCCCTCGCTTCCAAAGATGACATCCATCTCCTCTAGCGTCAGCCGCTTTGTCTCAGGGACGAAGAACCAGATGAATACGGCTCCAAGATATGTTAGCAGGCCAAATAAGATGTATGTGCCATACGGCATCGCTGAAAGCATATCGGGCGTGACCTGGCCCACAATGAAGTTATTCATCCAGTTACTGCTTGCACCTAAGCTCACTCCATATGGCCGTGCAGACAGCGGCCAAATCTCAGCGACGAGGATCCAAGCGCATGGTCCCCAGCTATATCCAAAGTGGATCTGCAGCATTTAGAGTTAGCAATCAAGGCACGAAGGAAGAAGAAGTTCATTCGAAATGTGGTTGAGGTAAACAACTACGTGCCCAGTACCTGTCTCGAAAAATGCAGCCTAAAAAAGGGTCGTGATTCAAGGAGTGAAACAGACCACGCAAATGGCAGATGCTTCTCCCTGGAGGAGTAAAAACTGTATCCGAAAGCTGCTTACCACAAATAGCCATACCATCGCCACCGCGGCCCAACCAGCTGCAGCCTGTGTCTCCCACTGCGTGCGGTTTTTTGCGATGATAACCGCAATGATTATATGGCAGGTAGCCATGCCGATCGCCCCAACTGCTAGGACCGGCTTGCGCCCGACGCGGTCAACGTACAGGACAGCTGGAATGGTAGCCAAGAACATCACGATACCGACGACTCCGGTGGCGAGCAATGATGTTTCGGTGGAATCAAGGCCGAGTTGACTGAAGATTGTTGGAGCATCTGCGAAAATTAGTGTCAATGAAATCGGCACTTTGTGGTCCGGCCGGTGGTTCCCAGCAAGATCCCGAAAGTGAATGAAAAGAATCATTCATAAGGCAGATAGACATATACGTACAATAGAGGACGGCCTGGATTTCATATGTCAGCAAGTTGAGCAACTCATTTTAGACATAAGTGATTTTACAGAAACTCACATTTATTCCTGTCCATTGCTGGAATGCCATCGTGACGCAAGCCACGATCACTCTTTTAAACATGGCCTTCGTTTGAAAGAGGCTCTTGATGGCCACAAATTGTAGTTTGAAGGTGTTCCACGCAGTTTGCTCCCGCAGATGGGGGAATTTCTCCGCCACCGTCCGTTTCTCGAACATGCTCTGCGCTTTGATTTCCAAGAACTCCAGCTCAACCAGCTCATGGTCTGCGGTCAATCCCCGCAGCCGAGCGAGGACACTGCGGGCCTCATCTTCGCGGCCATGGTGGACTAGCCATCTTGGCGAAAAGGGCATGAACAACATACCAAAAAAAAGTACCAGGGCTGGGGCGATTTGAAGGCAGATGGGCGTCAGCCATGCCGCATCGCTCTGGGTTTTAAGCGTGGTGCCACCAATGAAATTGGTCCCATAGTCGATCCAGAAAGAAACCATAATCCCAAAACAGATTGCCAACTGCTGTAGCGAGACAAGAGCTCCTCGAATTTCAGGTGGGGCAACTTCGGAGTTATAGATTGGCACGATCATTGCCATCGAGCCTACGCCCATTCCGGTTATAAAGCGCCCCGCAAGAATACTTCAACGTAGAGTCAGCGATTAGTCAACTCTAGCACAAGGTGTGGCATTGAGGACGGCAAGGAACGACTTCTGGCCATAGACCATTACACAAGCCATAGCCCGGCAAAGGCCGCAACGGGTAGTGAGCTGAGTGCTGGACGAGCTTAAGCTCGAGCGTCCGCTTCACGACCACAATATTTTTAGGGTAAATAAACAGAAGGGAAAGGGAGGACTATAGAACAACCAGCCATGGGACAACCTCTTATGGGAAGACCTCCTATGGAATAACCTCATATAGGATAATCTCCTGTAGGATAACCTTGTACAGGATGATCTCCTACAGGATGAATCTGTACGGGGATGTAAACCATAAGAGGTTTCGCGATGATGTTCTCGCACTGTCCCAAATGTGGCAGTGTAATAATGCATATGATATATGTAGTAGAGGAGTAGCTCTGGGTCGGAAAGGAGCAATGGGTCGGCTGCGAGGCAATCTGGAGAGGCCGCTTACCTGTTATGGCCCGCCCCGGTAACAGCTGTGACCTGGATGATAACGCCAACGATGAAGACGGTTACTGCGACAAGAATTCCGTATTTTCTGGAGATGGCCTCGGCAACAAAACCAGACAAAAGAGTTCCCAGCCAGGCACCAAGCTCGAGGATGGCAGTTAGCCAGCCCTTTTTAGTCTGGTCTGCATTGGGGTCGATAGGGTCGTACTCGCCCATGTCTGCAGTCAAATATCAGCTTGGGCCCCAACACCTGGCCTATTGACAATACTAAGCCCTTCCTCGTTCTGGGAGACATACGCTCTTGGAAGCTGGGCATAGCGAGGACACCCGAGAACATCCCCTGATTGTAACCATACAAGACACCGCCTATGCAAGCAAAGGCGGCGATAGCAAATACACGAGCGTTCTTTACAAGCGCTGCCGGACCACTCGAGCCCATCAGAGCCTGTCGACGGTGCAGAGCCGCATCGTATATAGCTGCGGTGCCCATATTGAAAGGAAGGGCTTTCTCAGGTCGCCAAAACCCGGTTGACGATATCCTCGGGACTAGTACACCGTAGTTGTTTCGAACAGGCGGGAAAATGATATATGTGAAGGCACAAAGTTCACAATGACCCCAGCGGCAAGAACTACAGATGCCTTCGAGATAGCCATCCAAGACGGCTCTCTGGGCGTGACAAGGTATTTAAATGCCATCGACTGGTGTTAACCCAACTCCAGAGCAGCGCCTCCGCAGCAGATGCAACCCCTTCCATCCTCCCATGCGAGACGACCGGCCCCAAATGAGCAGTACCCAATCAACCGTGCCAATCAAAACTTGAGGTTCATCAGTTGGACCCTTCCCCATCTGCTCATAAGCTCCATCGAAACATGCCTCCTCGCAAAAGACAATCCAAGTGCTTACCTCGCTCTCGGGTCAAAGATGAGGGGTAAATGAACCCTGCGGTCGCATGCCGATCCATTCTCCCGTCTGCAGTGTTCATTGCGCATATTTGACGCCAAAGTATCCTGTACATACCTAAAGAGTTGAATGTTCACTGACCTCTGGAACAGGTTGGAAATGCAGACTCGAGCGGCGACGTTTGTCGACCTTGCAATAGCGGTGGGACCAGTCCACACGAGTTTTACATGAAAGCATCTCTACTACTACCGGGCGACCCAAATGACCAGCTGCTTTGACATGAATCTTTGCAGGACACGGGTCGGTTCGGGGTTGCTGACCGTCTACAGTTCGTACGGATATAGGGTGGATCGCGGCAGTTCTCCCTCGGCAAAAAGTTGGGCGACCCGTACGAGTGGCCGGCCTACTTAGGCTAAATAGCCCTTGCGCGGCTAATTTGTATGTACTGACTGATCCATGCGAAATTGTCATTTGGGTATCGGTTTGCAAAGGCCCTAGGAAATGCGGAGACTGGTCGATTCAGACTCTTATCTCGTGCGCAAGGCTGAACACAGGCGAACGATGCTTCCATCATCCCATACATAAGTACGCAGAAATCGACATGCAATGTTACATACACTATTGGAACAACACCTTTATACTCTCAAAAATGACAATACGTCATTGCGGAGACACCTGTGGCTTACATCTCCATACAGGTTTATCCTACGAGAAAGCATCTTATAACGTATTATCCCCAAGGAATTAAACCCCAGGAGGTTATCCCATAGGAGGTTATCCCATAGGAGGTTATCCCATAGGAGGTTATCCGATACTTCCCTTGTTTCCTTTGAATTCCAGATATACTGTGGCCGCGAAGCGGACACCCGACCTTAAGCTAATTTGAGATCAAACTGACCAAGTGCGATAGGTAAAGCAGTTTGTGCATGAATTTGCAGACCATCCACGGAAGCACCAGTTACGAAAATCATCGTCATCACACAGCGGTATGGTTTGCTGCAGCTAGCCCCTAAGCCCCCCATATGGTGAAACCGATCCTGCCTTGACGAATCGAAGCCGGAGCAACAGAGCATCATGCGTAAGAGCTACGATTCAAGTATAAAAAGGTTTCACCCTCCCATTGGAGCTGTACGTTATCGTCTCAATTTTCTGTGTTCCCTCCAGTCGTCTGGGCCCCCTCCCCTCCAACAGCTGAGCAAGCCGCCAATGTCATCTGCTGCGCAGGCAGGGAATCATGCTTCCTTCGCATGATCCTTCGTTTCGATGAGCGCTCTTGAGATCATACAGGACGGCAATCCATCCTGCCTCGATGGTGGAAACACGGCTGTGGGCAAACTCAGCCAGTTTGATACCCGGTGGGCCTTACACAAAACGCTTCAGTCAAAGGCTGCAGCCTTCCACCTCCCGGGAGGGACACCGGCCATCTTTGATTCCATTGTTGTGACTTCCTGTTGATTCCCGAATATTGAAATGGTGTTTACTGGAAACCACATCGAACATCGAACAGAGCTGGTATTTATTAAAATAATAAGGCTTGAATCCAGACTCGCTTGAGCAGGAGCTGCAGGCTGTGGCCTTTGGGCGTGGTGGACGGGCGGCCAGCAACCGCCACAGAGGCCAGCTCGATAATAAAAACATGATGAGGGCAACACCAGAGTACGACAAGTGTTGAAAAGACTGGCAAACCCAAATTTTGAACCTCTCACTAGAGTAAGCCCTTGGGTCCCAGCCTGGTCCGCGCTACGTGTGATCTGAGCAACTTCCTGATAACTGCAACGGCGAGACACTTGCAACACTTTGCTGCGGGTTGGCAGAAGGCCTTCTGATCCTCTATCCAGGTGTCTCGACAAGTAGTAAGGGGCGACAAGCGATCAGACTGGATCGGCATGAGATCCAGCAGGCAGCCATTGTAACTTGCCAACCCATTCGGACTCCAGATATGCGTCACACTCGTTCGACAGTCAGAAGAATCCTCGAACAGCTGCGGATAGCTATCAAGCCGAAGATTCAAACTCTGCAGCCTTGCAAGTATGACAGCTGAGACCGCGAGTTGCATCAATGCAAGCAAAAGTGAAAGGAGGGGGGGGGGCGACCTTGAAATGTGGCCGGCTTGAAACGATTTTGCCCCAAGATGAGGCAATCTCAATGTTGCGTGCCCGGGCCGGACGAGCCCGGCCTCAAGGCATCGTCGACTGGATCGCCGAAATGGGGTTGATTCTAGACCAATGGGGGCTTGCGCGAAACATAAATAGACACGGATGATTGAGTGCTTGTTTCGAAACAAGTGCACCCGCTTGCTGGGCCGCATCGACCAGGAAAGATTCCCTGCTCGCAATGGTCCCCAGTTGGAGGACAGAGGGGGCCGAGATGGTGGCCGCGACCAAGGTCCAGCCCTATATGACTTGCTTGTGGGGGAACCCTTGGAGGCTGTGGCAGTTGCTAAAGAAAGCCGGGTTGGGCGGCCGAGATATCAGGTCGTGTCCACACAGATCTGGCTGGAAAAGGCCCCATCAGAGGCCCAGAAGGCCGGCCCACACATTGAGGTCCAACAGCAAGTAGACTGACCACTTGGATCGAAGAACCTCACGGCCTGGCAACTTTGGCAGGTATCAGGGCACGCTCTATGGTGTCGGCTGTGCATGTTTTGTTTTTTTTGGTTCTGCGGAAATGCTCGGGCATGCTTAGCACTCGTGCTTGAGGAGAAGGGAAGCTACAGAATCGAAGCGATCCGGACTGCAACGAATCTGAGCCCTGGGGGCGGGGAGGGGGTAGGCAGGAGGGGGGATCTGGTGTAACGGCGGGCACGATGGGCCGGGGTCACCACAGAGAAGCAGCACCTTGATCGGCTCATGCAATCGTTGACAAAGTGTCGAGACGGCGAGTGCATGTGGCAGCAAGTCGTGGTCTGGGCCAGGGTCTGGCCTGCCTCGAGAGGACGGCGGCCAGTGGCCGGAGACGCAAGATGTGGACGAGTGTTGGTGGCTGGTGAAACGAGCGGTGCCTCTGATGCGCATTCTCAGTCCATTGCAAGTACAAGTCAGGGCGCGAGAGACATGTGGACAGAGGAGGAGCAGTAGTGCTTATCCAGCCACAGTATATGGAGCGTTGAGTGTCAATGCTGAGTGTGAGAGAGAGATCGGGGTCGGATATGTAAGGTACGGTAAGGCGCGGCACAGGGTGCTGGGCGGTGGTCGGCGGGTGTGGTTGAGGCTGACGCCATGAAGGATGCGTGCTTGTTATGTTTGGGCAGTGAAATGAGTCGAAATGAGATGAGATGAGATGATACGGGTTGGATCGAGTTGGATCGAGTTGGGTTGGGTTGGTCTAGTTTGGTATGGGTTCAGTCGAGTTGAGTTGAGTTGAGTTGAGTTGAATGAGGGAGGCCACGTGGGTTTAGCAGCTGGGGATGATGCCAGTGGCCGGCGAGCCCAGCTCTGGAGTCAGAGGGGATTGCGGTCGAGTCGATATGTGTGCGCAACGGCGGATGGGCCAGTCTTGGTTGGGATGAATGGAGATGGGGGAGTATGTGCTTTGGGCTGGGAGGAGGGCAATGACTTGCGAGGGACAGGCGTTGAAAGTATCCGGCTCCCAGTGCCAGGTGGTGTGGTACAAGGGTCTCAAGTACCTCGGTACTTTGCACTGCACTGTGGTGGCAGTCTACCACCACGCAGACTTGTAAATGTGGCAGCAGCGAATCAAAGACGGTGCTGAGCGGGTTCGTGCAGGTACCGCAGTACCTGATGATCACGGTGCTGGCCCATGCCCCCAAAAATAGGCCGCATCCAGGCTGTTCCGGGCTTAGTGTGCCTGCCTCTTGAAATGAATTTTTAGACGCGCGCCTGCAGGATCCTGCCAGAGGAAACGACAGCGCCGGGTCGGGTCTCTGCTGGTCCGTCGCACCGTCCTCGTCCTCGCCCTCGTCCTCGTCTGCTCCCGCCGTCTCTGTTCCTGGTTCCTGGTTCCTGTTCCCTGGTCCCTGGTCCCCGGTCCCTGGTCCTCCTCCTGCCTTGCGCCACAGACAGCAAAAGAGAGGACTGCAATTGCGACTGCAACCCACATGTTCCTGCCGCGAGGCTGTTCAGGCCGACTACACACAGTAATCAATCTGGAAGCTGACTGACCAGCCAACCAGCCAACCAGCCAAACTTGCTGACCGCGGGAGCTCACCAGATGTCATGCGCCGCGTTTCAAGAGCAAGCTGGAGTGACAAAACAGTCAACCAACATACGCGTGGACTAAACTGGACTGGACTGGACTGAACTGGACTGCAGCACCGCAGTACTGCAGCATTGCACCGTGCGTATTGCTTGCGTATTGCCTGCGTGTTATCTGCCCGTTTACTTACTGTACCTGTGCTCGACGTTTCCAAAACAGACTGTGCTGTCGGCAGCAGCCAGACCCATGCTCCCTGCTCCATGCTCCCTGCAATGCGACCCTCCGTACCCATGTCCTCATCTTATTTCATTTCCTTTGCTTTGCTTCCTGCTCGCGATACGCTGCCGTGACGCGCTGGTAAGGAGCGCCCCAACAGTGCAGTGCAGTGCAGTGCAGCGCAGCGCAGCGCAGGCGCCTCCATTATTGATTGCGCTCGTCGCGGTCCCCGCCCCCGAATTTGCGGTGCACTGTGCACTGTGCACTGCACACTTGTCATGGCTCACTCATGATGGCCCATGCTACTCAGGTATGCTGATCACTTGCTGCAATGCAGTTGCGATGCCGATATGCAGGTCTTGGCCTGTTGGTCCGCTGTCGTTGTTTGAGAATAACCCCGGTCCACCCGCCAAACATTGTTTCTACAGGTCCGCACGGGCCCAATCTTTAATGTCTGTCCCCATGTCCATGCCCATCATCCCATCCCGTCTCTCCGCCGTCCGATTAGCCGCGGGGCGACCTGGAGATCGACATTGACATTGACTTCGACTTCGACTTCGACTTGGACAACCCGGCAACCCGGCAATCCGACAATCCGACAATCCGACAATCTAGACTGACTGACTGCATTGGCCGAATCGGCTCAGCCTGGTCAGCCGCGCGCACTCACTCAATCGCACACAAAAGAGGCAGAGAGAAAGCAACGCAGACAAGCACGCTTCTGCACGTCGACGGCAAGGCCAAGGCTCCGCCCCACGGCAACTGCTCTGCTCCGTCCTCTGCTGTGCTCTGCTGTGCTCTGCTGTGCTCTGCTGTGCTCTGCTGTGCTCTGCTGTGCTCTGCTGTGCTCTGCTCTGCTCTACTCTGCTCTGCTCTCTGTTCTGCTCGGCCGACAGCTACACTGTAGGCGTAGACCACGCACCTCGACGGCACATCACAGTGCCGTGCGGCTGTGTGGCGGCTCCAGGTTACCACCTGCGTCTATTTCCTTCATATTGCCCGCCAACCTGCTCGCCGTTGCTATTTTTGAACCAATCTCGTCGCGCTTCCCTCCTCCCTGCTTCCTACTACCCTCCCCCCCTCCCCCCCCTCCCCGCGTCCGCCTTCCATCGTCCCCAGCCTCGCCCGCAAGCTCTGGTTCTGCCCCCGTACGTCCGCCCGCTCGGCGATGAGCCGATCTAATCCCCTCGTCTCTGCACGCCTGCATGGACATGGGTCTTCCTTCCCCACCATCTAGACTGCCATCTGATATGACAGTACGTAACAGCTTCGAGTCGTGGCTTTTCCGTCGAGTCCCAGCGGGTCCAGTGGGTCCAGGCGATCCTCCTCCACACCAAGGATCGCTGCCACCTGGAGCCGCGAGCTTGGGGCTTCTACTTTCGGATCGTCTCTCTTCCTGATCTATTCCCATCTCGTCTGCCTCAATCTTATTGGGATGCTTTAGGCGCACCCTGCACCCTGCTTTCCGATTGCCCTCTGCTCCGCGCGGAACGTCATTTCACGTCTTGTCTTGTCTCGTCCACGTCCATGCCGACTTGGACTCGGCCGCTTACATGGCTGCCGTTCCACCATGTCGGTGCCGCCCTCAGCTCCTCAAGCTTCGCTGCACTTGACTTCACCACCTGGCCGGCCCTTGCAGCACTTTGCTCCCACTGTCCACTGTGGCCTGGTCTCTGGTCCCTGGTCCTGGTCTCTGGCCATGGTTCCTGATCATCACCCAACGTTGAAGCGGAGCCGAGCCGGAGGACGCGGTACAGTGATGTGCAGTGCAGCGCAGCGCAGCGCAGTGCAGAGCTTTGCTACGCTTTGCTTTGCTTTGTTCTGCTTTGCTAAATTCGTCTGCATCCAAGTGCAGATGATGTCTGTGCGTTTGTTTGTTTGTTTATTTGTGTGTCTGTCCACGTACCGCAGGCGTCGGCGCTCTGCCCTTGCCATATCATGATATCTTTATGCGCTCGAGCTGCGGCTGCGGCTACGTGGGCATCCACAGGTTGTCTGCGGAATAGCCGCCCTCATCTTTTCCCTACCCAGCTAGCTGCGCGCTCTTCCCCTGCAACCCTTGAGCCTCACCCAGCTCACCTCACCTCACGTCGCCGGCTCCACACAGCCATGGCCCGTCGTAGCCGCCCAACTTCAGACAGACGCCATTGCGAAACCTGCCAGCCAATATCAGAGGCCCGTTGTTGTGCATCCCGTTAAGCAGACACACGATCCAGGTTTCATGCCCGCAGCTTCTGTCAAGCTACCCTGGTTTCAGATCCGATTTCTCATCAATCCTTCTTCCCAGTCCCGGTCTCCGCCCCCCTTCCTCTGTGTGCGTGTGTGTGTGTGTGTCTTTGTGTGTGGTGGGTGTAGGTGTCCCTCTCTCTCTCTGTCTCTGTCTGTCTCTGTCCTTCTCCCTTTCTGGCAACGCTTTCCCCCCTCCCCCCCCCTAATTTCACTTTCATCTCTGCTCACCCATATGCTTACAGAGGGAACACCCCGCCTGCCTGCAGCAAAAGAGAGGGAAGGAGAGGTCGTGGTCGAGGTCGAGGTAAGGACAGGGGTACAGGTAGGGGTACAGGTACAGGTACAGGTATGGGTGTGGGTGTGGGTGTGGGTGTGAGTGTGGGTACGTACCTGGCCCATGTACTGTCGAGGGCTCCACTCGACAGATCGGATCCTCCTCCTCCATCATCTTATCTAGTCATCTTTTTGTTGCCATTCCTGTACAGCACGGTACGGTGGTACGGTACAGTACGGTACCTGCTCTCTCCTGCACACAAATCCTCGCCATGTATTTTTATAAGTAACAGGAGCCGCCTGCATCACCCTCAATCGTGTCTCTTTTCTTGTCTCTCAGTTCCAGCTTCTCTCTTCCACAGCCTCCTCGCATCTCGCCTCCTCTCGTCCTCATTTTTCCTTTTTATTTTTCTCTCTTATTTCCTTTGCTGTTTCCTATTTTCCTTGTTTCCTAGCTCGTCGTCTCTCTCAGGAAAAAACAACAATAACAACAACAACAACAACAACAACTTGCTCTCATTCGTTGCTGGCCTGTCCTTCGTTTGACACGAACCGGAGCAAGCCTTGCCTTGGCCGTCCACGACCACGACCGGAGAGACCTTTTACAAGCCGTCCACAACACCTTCAAACGTTGGCCATATTCAGACGAGCCGGTCCCGCCAGAAACATAAGCCACGCCTCCCGTCTTTACTAATAGCCCTCACCGTGGCCCTGAGGTCACAATATCGAATCGACCCAACTCGAGCTTTTCACCCGCAGCCAGACACCCAAATGCCATCACTCATCCCAACCCACAACATGGCCTTCTACAACACACGGTCCACTTCGCAGGTGCCGACCACCATGGACTACTACGGCAGCATGACGACGACGGCAGCTCAGCCCATGTCAATGTCCACTTCCATGCCCGGAGGGGCATACGACCCCTACGCAGTGGCTCCTCTCACCATGCAGCCACCAGCCCACGCCGGCCACCACCACAGCCACTCCACTGCATCGTACCTATCCACGGATCCGCACCACCGCGTACCAACATCTTCTCTTCCCACACAGCACCGCGCATCATCAGGGGCATGGAATGCTGGCGACGACCAGACACTGCTCGGGGCAAGAGCAAGCGGCCAAAACTGGGCGCAAATCCAGCAGAACTACTTCCCCACCAAGACACCCAACGCATGCCGGAAGCGACACGAGCGGTTGATGGAGCGCAAGGGCGCCGATGACTGGGACACGCGCAAGCTGGAGAAGATGGCCCAGGAGTACATGGCCTTGCGCAAGGAGATCTGGGCCCCGCTCGCCCTCAAGACCGGCGAGAAGTGGAGTGTTGTTGAGCAAAAGGTAGTTTAGCCTCACCTCAGAGTCACTCCTTTTGTACGCCACGTACTAACAGAGCTGTGCTGCAGTGCATGTCCAACGGCTTGAAGAACCTCCAGGGCGCAGCTCGTGCAGCCGCCCGTCGCGAGCGCCTCGAGGCCGGTCTCCCACCCAACGATCCCTACAATGACGACAGTGGGATATCCGGCATCGACCTTGAGCCAGTCGACGACCTCGACGGCGATGCCGGCTACGGCGGTGTTCCTAGCCCGGACCGGTCCACAACCTCCTCGGGTGGCGCCGGCGGTAGCAGCACCGCGTCCCAGTCTTATTCCACGGCACCCTCGACATACGGCCACCCACAGGCTTACCCGGGGTATCCCACAATGGGCGGGCATGGCTACGCGAACAGTGTGAGCAGCTCCAGTGGAACCGCCTACGGACACCACAATGGCGCCCAAGGGCACCACAGCCAGAGTGCTAGCCCGTATATGGAGGCCATGCACAGGATGCCGAGCGTGGATATGGGCATCGACTCTATCATCAACCGCCCCGGTGGGCAATAATCACCCTATTCTGGAGTTTCACGTTGGGCGGTGGCTCTTTGCCGTCGTCCAACGTTATCCGATCCCAATCCCTATTCTCACCTGCCTACCCGCCTACCTTCTACCTTCCCTGCCTTGGTCGACTTTCATCAAGGTCTCTCCTTTGTCAGGGTGGTCTTTGGACCTAGGATACACAGTCTCTTCTTATTATCATCGCCATCATGAGAGTTTCCTTTGTCTGTCTAGCAAATCATCATCATCATCATCATCATTTTCATCCTCTTTTCGGAGACGGGCGGCAAGGCAATGGGTACTCAAAGGGCGTTCAAAGGGGGCTACGGCGTTTAGGAGCGAACCAAAAGGATATGCGGCAGCTTATTTGCCCTGCATTTTGCCTTCTTTTTTTTCTCTTTCATTTTATTTTCTTCACTTTAAGGGTTTGGTATAGAGATCACTGGTTCTGGGATGAAAACGCAGACAAAACAGCACGCCCACACCCCAGTGCACGGAACGGCAACTGGAGGGTTGACGGTACGAGTTAGGACGGGAAGGCGGTGGCCCTGCATGAACTTGATGTTTCGCGATTCATGTCATTTGCGATTTGCTTGCTGTTTTACGCCACGTTTATTGTATACTAGAAGACATGATGACCGTCATAGATACCACGGTGGATTGGCCCGGGCATCGGCGCAACACTTGCTGGAAAGTATGGCATAGTTGGATGGAAACTTAAAAATAGTTAAACATCCGTTGCGCATTAAAAATATTGTTTGTCAGACTTCTTCGCTTCTCCCTCGCTTTCTGTCTTTTACCAGTGCCACAGCCGCAACCATCCGACTGGTGAACTCGAAAGACTCCCGAGACAGATTCCAGGCTTCTTCGGCGACCTGCAGTGTGACTTCAGATCATCCTTGGGACCGCCCACAAATTTGGAACAGGAAATGACATAACTTTACGGCCATTGGAATCTTTCAGGATGGCAACGTAACAAGGGATGCAAAGGCCTACATTGGCAACGTCATATCAAATAAAGCCTTGTTATCCCTTCCGCGCAAGCGCTCCGCTCACAACAAGCAGGCTTTCCTTAGTCTCTTGCCCCTACAGTCCTCTAAGCCAGCGGAGGACATTGGTATTGAGCCTTGCTAGTGGTCAGACCGGCCGGGCTGTTCTTCAGGGTAATTTTGTGTAACAGGTCGCCGGTAGGTAGGACAACAAATCGAGAGTCCCCTGATCAAGGGGATGGGCTCGATTTGACAATATATGTGCGAGAACGTCGAGGAACTGGCGCAAGCAAGTGTAGAGGGGAAGGCGGAGACAGGGATGATGGTAGAGAATCGTTTGGCACTTCTTGCATAGACGAAGCGTGTGCTTGACCATCGACGCCGAGGCATAACCTCTACAGCCTTTTCATATTGCGCTTGTAGTCTACAAACATGACATGTTCTTCCATACGACTGCTCCAAAGCTATGTGGCAGAAGCCTTGATCCAGCCAATTGTTCCCGAAATGGCCATCCCATATATAATACAACCGGGGTATCTCGCTTGTACATTGCTGCGTCATGCGCTCCTTCATGGTCCCTTCTCTTGGGCAGAGGGACCTCCTACGGGTATTCTCACCGGAGTCGGAACAGGAAGAACGCCGGTGTCATCGTCGACGTCTTCCCACTCGTCTTCATCCAATGGCTCGCCTACGACACTCGCCCACACCCTCTGCCACATGCCCTTCTTCTGTAGGAGGGCGAGGCCCATGACCACAGGCAAGTGCCAGACACTTGCCCAGAATAGTCCCCTGGCACTTCCCTTGTGACCCTCGAACCGGTGGAATTTGATTGCCTCTCTGACCAGCCACAGGTTCACGGGTAGGCTTGTCGCCGCAAAGGTCCACTCCGTCACCCCGTACGCGCACAGGCCCACACAAATGGGTATGAAGACAAGGCTGTATCTCAACGCAACCCTGGCGTTCCTCGCCGGGTTCACCCAGCACAGCATCTTCAGACCGGCGTTCTTGTACTCGTCGCGCACCGCCCAGGACAGGGCCATGAAGTGGGGGAACTGCCAGGCAAAGAGAAGCGCAGCAAGCAGCCAGCCCCCCGCGCTAGACGTACCGTCGCCTGCGAACTTGAACAGCAGCTCGCGGAAGGTACCGTCGGCGGTAGCGCTCTCGCCGGCGGCTGCAGCCCAGCCCATCAGTGGGGGGATGCCGCCCACCAAGGCACCGACCCATGTGTTCAGCCAGTGCATACCCTTCATGGGGGTGTAGAGACCGGCATAGAGGGCGATGTTAGCGGCGCCGAGGAAAGCCACGGTGGGGTTGACGCCCCAGTAGAGGGCTGCTGTCCCAACGAGGCCACAGCCAGCTGCGAACAAGACGGCAGCTCGAGTAGACAGCAAGTTGCGCACCAGCGGGCGATTGCGAGTCCGAGACATCTTGGCGTCGGTAGAGGGTTCGTACAGCATGTTGAGGGCGTTGGCAGAGGCGGAGCAGAGGGTGGTGCCGGTTGTAAGGAACAGGAGGGTGAGTGGCGATAGGGAGGGGGTGTCGGCGAGAGAAGCGGAGAGGAAGGCGGGCACCGGGTACAGGGCGTAGGGGGCCATGGCAGTGAGGACGACGAGGACGGTCAGGCGTGGTTTAGACAGGGAGAGCAGGGCGGAGAGCTGGCGGCGCAGGGAGTTGGCGGGCTGGGAGGCGGCGAGGGTGGTGAGGGTGTCGGAGGCATTCTGGGGGAGGACGGCAGACGGCGGGTCTGCCTGTGCGGCGGCGGCGCGCCTGGCTGCTTGTCGCTGGCGATGAGGCGGGATCTGCGGCGTGGGCTGCGAGGACGATGGGCGTTGGTTTGGTGAATGACATTCGAGGCCGGCCACAGGGGCTGGAGGAGGAGGAGAGGCGTGGGAAGTGCGCAGGGCCACGCCCTTGTGGAAGACATCAGATGCGTCGAGCAGCACGTTGGGGCTGAAGTAGCTGGATCTGGTCGTGACAAGGCGGCGGCTGGGCTGCCAGCAGAAGTTGGGAGTGTGTGAGATGGACGAGGACGAAGACGAAGACGAAGCGAGGCGAGCAGCAAGCCGTCGGAGCCCGCCTGCAAGCGCAGGTGGTGGCATGTTTGTGCTTTGCTTTGCTGTACAGGGCTCGCCTGGGGCAGCCTTGACTACCTCATGATCAGAAGGCCTGGTCCTTTTCGCGCTGCCAGCGGGATTGAGTGGTCGTTGTGGTGGCAGTGGTGGCAGTGGTGATAGTCTAGAGCACTGGCGAAGAGTCAAGAATGCGGGTAGTCTGCTGTGGATATCCAGAACACAAGAAAGTGGTCGGTCGAGGTGGGCTGCTTTTTCTTTTACCAGGGACCGGGGATCGGGACCGGGAGCCTGGGAAGCTCGGGCCACTGCACCTTTTTGCAACTGGGCATGCTGGGCTGTGGCCCCACGGGACGGAATCGACCGTCTCACGCTGCGGTGGACCAGATGCAGCCTCGTACGTACAGATATAATATCTGACAGCTTAAGCTCGTGGTGAGTTGAATACCTCATTTCGGACTCGAGTCCTCAGAGCCCAAAACTGCGCTCCCTAACTCTTTTCCCCCCTAAAAGCTCCCAGAGCAAGCAATATTGACACGTCGTATTTCCTATCTTGAATTAGAAGAACGGCGTAGTACCATTCTTGCAAAGCTGGGCCAAACCGCGACACTCGACCGAACCGGCGGCCATCTGTCGACCGAGCTGTCGAAAAGCAGCGGTATTGATGGCCGGCCGTGTTTGGGGTCGTGGAGGGGTCGGGGGGCTCAGACGCCGACCTGGTCACCGCCGGCCACGACGACGTTGGTGCGCTGCCGTAGGATGCACCAAGATACCCAACAGTTGCATGGGGTCTTAGCTGGCCAGATAGACACGAGAAATGTTGTGTTGGTGCAGCATTGCCGGGTCGGCTTGAGGCTCGCCAGTTTGAAGCCCATGTTTGTTGGCAGTGTTGGCAGTCGTCCGTAATGGCAAACCAACAGACAATCAGGCGCTGCCACACCCAAACAGAATTGGCGATAGTCTGCCCGTCTACCTATGTCGATGCAGCCGCGGCCTCTGCCCACGAGTGTTTTGGACATGATGCCGCCGCGGCCTGGTCCGGGACCGCAAATTTGTGGCACAGAGACGTCCAACAGAGTGATGTGTGTGATGGGGGGGGGGGGGATTTAAGAAGGGTCGTGCAACCGTCAAAGCAAGTGTCGCTGTGTTTGCAGGCGACAATTATTCTCATTTCCACCACCATCCGAAGACTCGTTCTGCCCATTCCCATTTCCACACGCACCCCCAGATCATGGTCTCAAACAAGACGACAAGCACACGCGGCGGCCAGCGTAGTAGTGATAACATGACACTGGCAACGGCAACCTCGTCGTTGTCGGCCAACACGAGACGGACAGCACCGCCGAAAGCAACACCGAAAGCGACATCGAAAGCGACACCGACAGCACCACCGGCATCAACAACAATATCAGCAACATCAGCATCGGCACGATCCGCGGCAAGTGTGCCGCGCACTCAGTCAAATACTCGGTGGGAGCAGAAATGCTTGGTTGTTATTTCGGGATTCCCCTGGTAGGACAACACAGCCTGTAGCATGGCAACCGATACTGATATGGCGGGAATGACAGCATCGGCAAGTCCTCCTTAAAAGAACAGATGAAGAATGATGGCATGTGGTCTGAAAAATATCAAATTTGTGACTTGGACTCGTCAAATTTCAAATCCAAGGACAGCAAGACCTTGGACTCGGACAAATATATTGCCGAGATCAAGAAGAAGGCGGGGATCCAGGGCGCGATTGTGCTCATCAGCACCCACCAGGAGACTCGTCGAAAATGTGCTGAAGCAGGTGTGAAATACTCTCGGGTGTTCCCAGCGAATATTCCAGGAGCAAAGGAGGAATGGCTGAAAAGAGAGGTCAGCGCTCCCCATCTGTTGCTGTCACGATTCTGGTCATAAGGCAGTTCTGCGTGTAAGCGTGCGTGCCTGGATATTGACACTGACCCGCATCTGTACACAGGAGAATCGAAATGGGAAGGAAAGCAACCTATGGAAGGCGATGGATAGTCACTGGAGGAAATTGATGGAGATCGATAATGGCTCACAAGCTTTCACGGGGGAGGATGATTATTCTCCCAAACACTCGCTCAACAAGGGCAAGTATTTGAGCCACATCATCGGACATGTCATTGGGCGATCGAAAGAATTTGCGGCAGAGCGGTCAGGCGTGACAATTGGCCAAGGCAGTCGCAGTAACTAGAATGGGTATGTCGAGATAGATTGCTCAGGTAGAGTAGACTAGATACGAGCTCAAGCCCGGGCGTCCGCTTTCCTGCAAAAGAATTTATACAGAATAAATAGATTAAGAAGGGGCTCTTATTTAGAAACACAACATAACGTCTTAAAGGTGGCCAACTCCAATAATTAACATTGTAAAACAATCTGTTATTAGTTAACCTCCTGTGGGCTTACCTCTTATATGATGCATTTCTTTCATTGAGTAATCTTCTATACGAAGAAAATAAGTTAAAGAGGGCTCTGTAATGATATTATCGCGTTGTCTTTGGGTGTGGCGGTGTTGTCTCAAGAGTATATGTGACGAGGGTGCGCCGAGCCGGCATTCCGGTGGAGGTAGCCCCATGCCGTATTTTCAATATCTGCCTGACTTGGGTTAAGGGACGTCACAAGTCCTTGGCCGCGCTCACTGTGGTCGTGGGCCAATTGAAAAGGTCCTGTCTAAGCAAACCACATAGGTTGATGCCTATGTTTTCGCTGCACACTCGAAGACACTGTGTTGTTCTGAAGCTCAGGGCGGAGCCTGAGTGGACGATGTCATCATTGAATGCTAGTGTGTACTGTTATTGTGATGAAAAGGCTGGCTTTCGCAGACAACAACTAGCCCCCAAACCAGTATTAGAGCAAACACCGAGATTTGCCTGGTCACCAACGCTGTTATGCCTCCACTGCTGGAGTGTGCCACACGCATGAGATCGTTCAACCCGGGGGTGACACGCATGAGGATGCAAACGGTCAGAAATATCTAGGTCAAGAGTCCGGAGTCACACAAAGGGCCGGCTAGTGTAAGAGTGGGGCTGGACAATCACTCGATAGAGTGATGATCGGAACCTGTGTCCTTCATTATCACCTGCACGTGAGATCAAGGCTTGAATATTTTTGCCTAAGTCATGAGCTCACAACACGCCCTTTCCCCCACTGATATGCAATCAATGCCTTTTCACATGATAAATGACAGTGGCACAGGGTCACATGGAACCAGGCATCGAACCGTATGGACTTCTCCTGAGAGGACTACTAAGGCTAATCTAGTCTGCTTGGTTGGCAAGCTCGTTCTTCGGGGTTGAGCTTTCATGCGGGCTTGATAGTACAGAATGCTTCGTCGTTTCAGGCCAGCCGAGTCTTGGCGCACCCGGGGAATGGGGATGGTGTGGGTTGCGAGCTGAGTGGTTAGTTCATACTAGTTGATGCTGGGAGTCCCCAGCATCGGACCCGAGTGTGTGGTCTAGCTTGTCTGGCTGCCACCGAGTCAAAGGGAGGACGAGTGGCAGCGGAAACCGGTACAGCAGGATGGGAAAGCCTGCCATTGCCATACTATACCATCAACTAGGTAATCCGGGTGACGACCGGTCTGTCCCCAAGTCGATACTTACCGGCATCGGCTTGATGCACGTACTCCAAAAGTATATACTTCGGCACCAATGTTTGAACCCATTGCTTTCGCTGGCCGGCCGGACCTCTAATAGCAGGGCTGAGACGTGCGTCCAAGAGTCATGCCCCAGTGGTGCAAGTGCGGCAACTAGGGGGTTGCCTGTGCCGGCATGGGCGACGTGTCGACCGAAACTTTGATGCCCCTGTGTCGATCATCTACCACGACAGACTTCTCGTGGATTAACTGCCGGCGCCGAGTCGATCGTGTGGATATGGCCACATTAGCAGTCCCGGGCAGTCAGTACAGGCACAAGTTCAGGTGGTCGAGTCGCTATCGCAATCAATCGATGCGGAAAATACATGAGAGAGAGATGAGAGACGGACAATTAAGCAAGGCGCGATGCTGTCCGCGCATGGCTTGGCATCCTGTCTCCAGGGCGAACCGCACGGCTTCGAGCCGCCGTTTTGCAGGCATCATTCGAGTCAACCTCGCCTCACCACCACCGGGACAGGGATAGCCAGCCCCAGAGAAGTCAGACCGCATCTTGGGATGCCCAGGGACTCAAGGAGCTCAGCAGAGATGCATGCATGACTATGTGTGCCTTAGGCCTGAGGTCCTCATGCACATCCCGGATGTGGCATGGGTCCCCTTCTTCCAGAACCCTTCAAATATTCTGGACCTGGACCTTGATCCATCCGTCTTGAACTGCTGCTGTCCTGGTCGTTTGCTCACGCCCGCCACGTTTCCTCGACGAGACCTAGTTTGCAAGACGACAATTCATCTCTATTCCACAGGCCAAAGGAAGGACAGCCTCTTGGATACTCCGTGGAGTCCACCGCCATCATCCAGGGCCGTCTCTATTTTTCGTCTCAAATTCTCCCACGCTCAGCAGGTCGTCACCTCAATATCAAAGGCGATATAAAGGTCTCAGGTCGTCATGCAGACTTCGTCAAACGACCGCGGCCATATCGGCAACGGGGGCTCGCCGCGGCTGGAGGGCAGCCTCCTTCATGCTCAGGAGAGCATAGCAGGAATTAGGAATGGGGGCACACATGCAGACAGGCCCAAATCAACTGGATCCTCTAGTGATTCGGCGACACTAGCAGACGGCACCCAACGACAGGACGCTGCGGCCACAGCGAAGCCAGCGGGGGCTGCCACGGCATCGAACCAGTACCGGCCAACCTCATATCTGTTCGAGAGCCGCGATGCAACTCCTACGCCGGTCGCTGTTCCCGAGATGCAGAAGCTCACCGAAGATGTGCCTCCCAGGGACCAGATATCCATCATTCTCGGGCCCTTCTTCATCATCTTTGGCGATCTCGTCATCCCCTGTATTGTCTACTACGTCTGGCTCGGCGCACAACCTGCCGGGGCGCCTAGATACAACAAAGATATCCTCGGTTTTGCCATCCTTCCCTTCGGACTTGGGGAGCTTTACATTCTCGTCGTGCGAGTATGGCGGCTTATCAAGTACTACGACCAATGTGCGCCGCTGCTGTCCAAACATAAATGGGAGCTCGACGCCACTTCGTGGATTTACGCAGCGGCCCTTCTTGCGGCCTTGATCCCCTTCGTTGTCGGCTCGGAAAGAACCATCCCACAACTTTATCTGTACGCGCCCGGGATCTACATGGCCTTCCTTCTCTCCTGGGCTTTGTTCAGTCTCGTACCATTCAAAACTCCAGTCCGCATCGATTCTGAACCCAAAGGTCATCGCATGCGTCCTCTTGTCTACTACGCCGCTGAAGACTTCTTCGCAGTTGACGGATGGCAGAAGAAGGAGTTCCGCGTAAGGTATAGACAGCGGTACGACTCTTCGATCATGTTCCAAAAGATGATTTTCGAGTTGACCGTGTGGTGGTGCTCTGGAATATTAGTATACATTGGTTGTCTTTCGGCCATCATATGGAACACGGAATTCGAAGTAGCCTTTGGATTGTCACTGGGACTGCTCTTCTCGTTCATCATCTCTTGGGCTATTATGACGTATATTTACATTCAAGTGGCACTGGAGAGGGAGAGAAAATGGTGGATAAACAAAAAGTCTACTGGAGAGAAGGCTTAAGGTTCATTTAGGGGGAGGCTGGGCGTTCTTGTAGCCCGTGAAAAGAACGTTCAGGTGGCCGCAATCAAGTTGGGATGTAAATTCCAAATAGTACAGTTGATGAACAGTGAGGCGACCGCTAGGCGCATGTAATATATGGGCATGTCAAGTATACTCTCTAAATTTTGCGAATGTATCCATTGATGCACTCAGGGTTTCCATCGTCACATTCCCCCGGGCGCCATAGAGCACTTTAACAATTGCAAGACTGGATGAGACCCATCTCCAGAACCTGCTACCGAGCTTGTAGTCTTCGGAAAAGTCAACTTTGTATGTTAGTAGGCATATGCTGCGCAAAACATGACGCATAAGTGCCCAGGTACTCCTGCCGAATAGTCATCTGCATACGAGACTACGCCTCCGATGCTTCACAAGTGTTGATAAAGATAGAAGACGTTAAGCACCAACGTGGTAATGCAAATTCATATATGGGGAACGCTCTCTTTACCCTTTGTCAACCTTGCAGCGCTACGACCTGCAGTGGCTCCTCGACCATACAATGCACTCCCTGCTATCTCTGCATTATCGAATCTCGCCATTGCTCCATCATTCTCTTCTTTCCGCGTATGTGAGCCAGCGAATCATCTGGGTCACAAATCAGGGACCTGGGCCGAACAATATGCTCTACATTACCAGGTGAACAAGACGTTCCGGAAGGAGGCATAATTTCCACTCCTGCACACCATTCTGTGATCTCATTGTTCTGATGTGCGTGAGGTTACAGTAGAGTGTCAAATCAGTCATGATATAGCTTGCATGAATGAGCGCCTGGGGGGTGGGGGGTCCAAGCTTTCACTTCGTGTAGTAAACCGAAGTTTTCCTTTCGCAAGCGCAAGTTGCCTTGGTATGATTTCATTCCTCAAAAAAATCGCAGTTACTGTTCAGTGAGCTAGTATCTGCCAGTTGCTTGCGTTGAGTAATGGTGCCGGTGACGGCCTTAGAAGTATCATTTGCCGCAGCTTCCTCTTCGTTCCAAAAAACGTATTGCCTCACTTTCCTAACCCATCTGCTGTGACGTGGAGACATCTAGATGAAAGTGACGTCTCCGAAGAAAGGAGTCATGTGAAAGTTGACCTTGTCAGGCGGACTCCAAGCCCCATAGGTCTGATTAGGGAATGTCGAAGGGCCGGTGACGGTGCGAAAGAAGTTCATTCGCCACTCTGTGCCTTGGGCTGTGCCATTGTCGACATTGAAGAGGCCCAGCGGAATCTGGGCCTCGGAAACCCACAATTCGTCGGCGTAGTCAAGGGTCGTACTAGCAGTAATACCGTCCGCGGCCAGATCCGTGATGTAGAAGCGGTCAAAGGCAGCGCCGGCCGCGCGAATCTTCGAGGGATTGTAGACTACAGCGCCCAAAGTCAGCCTGTGAATCATTTTGTAGGAAGTTTGTACGTGTCAAGTGGAAGCTCCCGCCTGTGTTTTGCCCTACGGGTTCGCAGCTGTCAAAAGGTTTCTCACTAGGCCATTTGAAATGGCCTTTCCACGCAACAGAAGCCTATCCTAGCAAATGGGAGTGCTTACTAAAGGCTTGGAAAGTGACGTTGTTGGGGGCAACCTCGAACTCGAGATAGGTTTGAGGGTCATTGGTACCGCGGTACTGAGGAAAGGAAAGAGTTAGTCGTATGTTTCCGTTGTGGAAAAGGCCTTGAAGTATCGCCAATCGGCCATAGGGCCTTTTCCCACGGCAAACCTGGTCTCGTGTGCCTTCAAACACTTACGATAAAGGCTTCCATCACCTCATAATTGTAGATATCTCCATTCGTGGTAAGGCTTTGATTGTCTGCATCATTGAGGTTAGTACTTCCTCTTTTCGTACAAATATTGATCAACGGCACCAAATTCCGAAGCAAGGTCAAACGAAAGTGGGAGAATTGGGTGATCATTTTTGCGTACAGTAGAAGTCCTTCTCCTCGAATGCAGTGAACTTGATTTGAATTGAGCTGTCGTCATAACAGAGATCGACCTGCGTCGAGGGAAACAAGCCCTTGTCCGGAACCGAAGTGTTGTAAGTAATGCTGCCCGTAGTAGGACAGGCAGGAACCTCCAGGGATGGCCTCGTCGAGTACTGCGAGTGGCGTGCAAGCGTGTCAGGCACGGCAGACACCAGCGCCATCAGGAATGCAAAGATGAGGAGCATATTGGGGCAGACTTGTTGGTGTAATGTTGCGGCCGTTTAGAAGTTGTCCTGTTGATGATAGGTGGAGGAGGGTGAGGGGTCAATCAATTGTGGCAGACGTTTTGCAATGAATTCCTAAAAGAGAGTAGCAAACGGTCACGCGGTAATCTGTAAGCTGCAGCGCGCGCTAGGATGGTTTGGAAAAGCAAGGGAAGGAAAAGGGAAGGAAGGATTCGGCTTCGTCTTGTTGGTCGAAAGACTTTGTGTGGCTTGAAGGATGACGGTTGAGTATGTACCGGTGACCCCGAAACTCGCTGGCCTATGTACATCAAGCAGGAATCTGCTTTGTGTTATCAATACGATATCAGGCCGGTTACACAGGCTCGAGGTGCCATTTTCGGCCGTTATTCAGCTTGCGAGTAAGGCAATGTGAATAACTGGTTATCCTACAGCTGGTTATCTTACAACTGGTTATCCTACAACTGGTTATCCTATAACGGCATACAACATACGACTCCATAAGAGCCAGAGCCAAGGACATGAGGCGATTATTTGGGAAGGAATCAAGGTACTCGGTGTCGATGAACGTATCAACATAAGCCTTCCACCAAATCCCGAGAAATGGACCTAGACTTAGACACACTATAACAACAGCGCATAACACCCCCGTATCTAAAAACAAGTAACTAAAGGTGTCTAGTTGAAATTGCATCAGTAAGAATGATTTTTGGGGTCGTGATATATGCACAATCGAAATGTTCAGGAAGTCAGATAACGCACCAGAGAAGTATTAATCACAGTGATCGTAGCTCAGGCACCCTGGATTTGGGCGACGAGATCCTTTTGCCTTGGGAACCACCCCCCTCGGAGGAAAACAAAATGAAATCCGTGCAAGCTACATTGTTGGTTGGAAAGAAAGAGCAATTCCACATGGGCATTCCCGTCCATCTGGGTGGGTCTAGCCGGCTGTCCGTGAAACGGGCTTGAATGGTGTAAGCTATCTCGTACTTAGTCATCTTGCGTAGAAGCTGATGCTGGCATCCAGAGCTCCCTTCTTAGTTTGGCTCTTATTTTCCTTCGGGAGCTACCGCACTCGCGCGGTCCCCTGTGTTGCTAAATGCTAACGAGAGGAACTTTCTTCCTGTAATCCTACACGTCCAACAAAAATTTATATTGCATGAAGCTGTCCACATTGGACTTTTGAAGATATTCCTCGTCACTCTTCCTTCCAATCATCACCTTCAGTCATGGCCGTGTTCAAGCCGGCGGCACCAATTCTCGTGCCTTTCTCGCCAGCATGCGAATATTGTTGACGAAACCTTCGACAAGGAAATCGTAGTTGTGTGGCTCGCCACGCATAGCCCGGCCACCCTGCTCAATGACGGCACCGGCGTCCAGCTCGATTTCCAGCTCATGAATTTTGACGTGGTGAGACGTATGCTTGGGGGTGTCAGTGTCTGATGCACTTCGGACTGGAGTCGACCGAGATGGGTGACTTACATTAGGACCGGGCTCTGTCTGCGTGACCTGCGTGAGGTCAACCCGGTAGTTGCCCTGCCTGTAACTCAGACGGTCTTTGTGTCGGTCCGCCTTGCTGTCCCGCCCCCCAGCCTGGTTCAGCTCCTCAAGCTCATCAATAGGATGCGTCCAGTCCACTTCCACATTGACGCTGATCCGGCAGTCCAGATCACACTGAGGAAACACAATATGCAGGTCGGCAACTTTGCCCTTGATGATCGCGGCCTTGGCTTTGCCAGTCTTCTGGTCGGTCGTGACCCTTACCGCCGCCGACTTGTTACCAAGCAGTTGGTGGAGAGCAGGATGGAGATTCTGGCGCATGTGGTTGGGCACCTTGTAAAACCTGTCCGATTCATGAAGGTGAACATAGTTGATAGGTACTCGTGCATCAGGTGAGTTCCTGTTCTTAGGGTTCTGAGGGCTGGCCTCGGCAACCAGAAAGTTGAGAAACTCGTTGTAGCCCTTGTGTTGCGCCTAGTAGGTGATAATGTCAGTACTTGTCTCCCCCTTGAGATGGCAGCTTCGATTGCCGGGACAGTACTCACCTCCGTCATGCTGCTAACGAAGCTGGTATTGTTGCTGTGAGCAAGAACTGCCTCTGACTGAACTTGGAAAGGCATCCGCTGATTTGGTGAGTTCCGATCGGTTAGGTGACCCAGCTTGGCCTCTATCTCATATTGAACGCCGTTGTTGGGGTCATGTATGCTGCCTAGTTCCGAATTGTTCACCACAAGCACAAACAAGAAATCCGCGACGGTCCTGCACATCTCATCAAACGGCGTTGAGTTGCTGACTGTTATCTCCCATGGTCCCAAAAGGTTCGGCTTCTGGCTGGTCGCTGGGGCTGGGGGCGTCTGATTCGATGCTGGGGGCGGCGCTGAAGCCTGCGCGTTGGACCGTGCTGTTTCGGGGGAGGCGTGTCGGCTGGCTGATCGGTCTTGACGGGCCGAGTTCGACTGATCAGCCTTGCCGTTGATCTGGCCATGATTTCCAGTTGATTTGCGAAGAGTGAAGTTGGCGTTCCTGAGAGATTCCTTGTTGTATACATGCGCCCATATTGGAGGCGCAGCATGCCGTCGCTTTCGCCGAGCTATCATTGGTGAGTTCGAGGAGCGACCCGGGCGGGTAGATGTGTGTTGTCTGTGTACGCCGTTGGCTTCGAAAGGAGGTGGTCGGGGTTCTTGTCGGTCAAGCTCGTCAGGTTGGACATCCCTGTCGTCCATCTTTCGCTTGGCAGGGGTCGAGGCACGTTCCAGCCTCGTGGCGGATGCAGGTGGAGCCTCGGCCCTTCCTTGCAAGGAATTGGGGGGCATTTGTTGAGGTTCTCGATGGTCCCAGTCGCTGGGTTGGCCAGACGGGCCAGAGATAGAAGCTTGTGAATGATGCCCAGCGCTGGACGGCAAGCTTGGGACGCGGGTCTTGGGGCTGACACTGAGGCTCCGGCCGCGCTCGCTATGGGACAGGGACCGACGTTGGGCGTCCGTCGCTTGAGAATTTTCGAGCATGCTGGAGGTTCGTTGCACGGAAGGATAAGGCGAGGCTTGTGGACGTGGGGGTACACGAGGTGAGACCTGGGGCGGCGGCTGCTGCTGTTGCTGCTGCGGCTGTTGACTCGGATACGGTGGGTACGGTTGCCCAGAGGAGGGCAGGCGCTGCTGGTACGGGCTCTGTGGCTGCGCAAAACCGGGTGGCCCAGCAGACTGTTGTCTTTGTCCGGCAGACAAAGGTGGGCCGAGAGGCGTCGAAGGCTGGGATGGTTGTCGGATGCGCTCTGGAGGCTGCTGATGGCCCGTGGAGCTGGGACTGGCAAATTGCTGGGGCAGAAATTGGTGCTGACTTTGAGCGGAGGTTGGCGTCGAGTTCGAGTGAATCGACATTGACCGCTGGTGCTGGGCCAGATACGGGTGAGCGCCGCCAGGTGTCCCTACTGGGGGAGTCTGCGGTGGGATGGAATGGTGGCCTTGGGAGTAGACAGCAGCAGGCCCTGGGCTTTGAATGGGAACTGAACCGTGTGAATAGCTGTCCCTGGGTTGGTAAGCGACTCCAGGAGGATATCGGCTTTGCTGAACCGGGCTTGCAGAGTCTGGAAGGGGGTGACCTGGGCTTGGGAACGGGTAGCCCGCGCTCGCAGTGCCCGCCGAGGCCTGTCTGCTGTAAGGTGATGGAGGGATGTGGACAGAACCTGCGCTTGGCGAGCGCACATTGTTGGCGGACAGCTGTTGTAGAGGCGGCGGCGCAGGGCGAGCGGGAGCACCGTAGGGTGTCGAGGCGGATGGATAGGTCGGGGGGGATGCGAAGGGAGTCTGGTGAACGACGTGTTCGTGCGACAGGGTTCGAGCAGGCGATGCTTGCACCGGTTGGCTGTGGTCGCGAAAAGCGTGAGGTGGCGGAACAGTTTGGACGGGGGTCGAGGGGTGTGGGTGCTGTGGATGCTGCTGATGTGTGTGCTGTCGAGAGGGAGCTGGAGCTGGAGCGTGAGGCGGAGGTTTGCCTGAAGCTGGCGCGGCGGGGGGAGGTGGCCCGCCGCCTTCATTCAACATTGATGCCAGATCCATCATGCCGTCCTGTATTGTGCGCAGTGGCCCTCTATCCAGCGATTGTGCGCAGGGTATTGTTCTCGTGGTTGAATGGGCGAGGGCAGCGGGTTTTGCGACTAGGAGAATTCGGATGAGAGGAGAAGAGAGGAGGGGAGCTGTCGCGTGTGTCGCAGACCCTGGCTCTTGCTGCTCTTGCTGCCAACGCCGGCTTGGTTCGCTTCGATGCTTTCAGCCTCGCGACCTTAGTACAGAGGCCTAAACAAGAAGAAGAAGAAAAAAAAATTAAGGACGCTCCTGGGCTCTTTCACTCCAGCAGTGCCATGCTCGGATGGTCGGTACAGGGTACAGGAGCGCGCGGGTGGGCGGCGGAGGCTGTCTCGAGAAGCAGAGGTGGGTGTATTCTGGGCCTTGTGCACACACACAAACAATGCTTGGGCTATGGATACACGGGCGAGGGTCGCATTGCCTCGGCGGTGATGGTCCAGGTCCGGTCGCGTTGATCACCTTGGAGCCGATGGGCACAGCAGTGCAGTGGCTGGAGATGAAATGTTGGATGGACGGGGTTGTGATCCGGCTGGACCAACATGGTTTTGTCACAGATCAATGAGTGGTTGAGGTTGCGCGGAGGGCACGCGACGGAGACAGGCGGGATGCGATGGCCATGCGCACCATGCGACAGCCTTCGCAACCGCAAGAGGACGGCGAGGACCAGGGCGACGACGTGGACGAGGACGCAAGGCAGGAGCAGGAGCAGGAGCTGGAGCTGGAGCCGGAGCAAGGCCAGGAGCAGGACAGGTTGTGGAACCGAGGCGGAGGGGTGGGCGGATACATAGACTTGCACGGGCAGACAAGACGGGCGGGCAGATACCAAGCTTATATCTCCCTGACGTACACAAAAGATAGATAGTGCCTGTGTTATAATAGATGGATTGGATGGGGTTGCCGGAAGGGTGGATGGCCGGAAGGGTTGGTATGTGCGTGGGAGTGGGCGCAAGGCTCCAGGAATCCTAGAAGAAGGGGGGGGAGCACAAATCACAGTTAAACGGGAGGAGTGTCTGTCTAATAAAACCTGCAGGCGCACAATGTACCTAGACTACGTAGACTACACAGTCGTGACAGTCTACCTTCCTACCTAGCTAGGTAGCCTGCCTGCGTACCTAAGAATGCTCTTCTAGCTGTCTACCAACCTGGATACTTAGACTACCTACCCAGACTTCCTACCTACCTACCTCTTCGACCTCTGGGCATCCTTTCCCCCTCGCTGCAGCCTGGATCTGAGCAGGTGGGTCTGGAGGCCTGGGCTGGGAATTAGGCTTGGGCTTGGGCTTGGGCCTGAGAGCGAGCACTGGCGACGACGACGGCGTTAGCGGGGCTGGTGTGGCTATCATATAGATGGCTAGCAGAAAGCACTGTGACTTTCAGCAGGCCTGCAACTCCAGCTGCATGCGGCAGTGGCCAGGCACAGTTGCTTTTTTTCCCCCCTTCACTTTATCTGTCCCAAGTCGACCCAGCCATCATCGCAATGCAATGCGCAATTCGCAATTCGCAATTCGGGGAGAGACTGACTGTATCTGCCTGGGTAGATAGAAATCTACTACAGTAGTTTATCTGGTAGATTATGTACTGTGTAGATCCTGCGTGACATCTGCATGCAATTGGGCTGTAGGGACATATCCACAGTACCAGTTTCATGCTGCACCCACCAGGTCACATACCTGCCTACCTATCTAGGTAATTAGATATTTGTGTATAGTACATACAGTATGTGCAGAGGTGCTCCGTGGCTGCAATAGGCGAAAGTAATGGTTGCAAGTACCTGCTGCACGTACCTAGACCAGACCCATCAGTTGTTACCCAGGTGGACTGTGGACTACCGTCTGGTAGCCCACCTGGGTACCTAGGTACCTCGGGAGGTCCAAGCTTCCCCAGCTGGACGGGCAGACGGGGCGGCTGGCTTACATAATAACAGCTTCCCCCTGTCTGATTGGCCACTTTCACAGCTCACCATGCTCCAAACCACGCGCTGCAGTAGCGTAGCTTTTCGCCAGGCAGAGCTGCGCCTGACGTGGATGCCAACGCCGATGCTTCTGGCCCGTCTCGTCCATCGCCCAGCCCACCCTTCGGCTAACCTCATCACCATTACCATCACCATCAACATTCACATCAACAACAGCGCCTTGGGAAGATCCCTTCATTCCCCGGCACCCATCTTCACCCCTTTCCACCTCTCCACCGGCTCGTATACTCCAGCCCTTCTGCACCTTCCGTGCCATCCTGCTCTGCTCTGCTCTCTCTCGTTGTCCCGTCTCTTCGTCTCGAGCCATGCCTGGTCTCGTCACAGCAACCGGAGTCCTGGGCTTCCTTTCCGACGAGGAGCCTGAGCTCAAGGTCTTTGCCCTCCAGACTCTCAACGATGACATTGACACTGTCTGGACAGAGGTCGCTGGCGCCTTGAGCCAAATGTGCGCTTCTCCCCTCCTCCCCCTCCCCCCCTTCCCTGTCGCCACGGCCCAAGCTGACCCAATCCTAACCACCATCCAGCGAGGCACTCTACGAGGATGAATCTTTTCCTGAGCGCCAGCTGGCCGCCCTCGTCCTTGCAAAGGTCTACTACCACCTCCAGGCCTACAACGAGAGCATGACATTTGCCCTCGCCGCCGGCCCCCTGTTTAAGCTTGACAACCCTGCCGAGTTCGAGGAGACCATCATCTCCAAGTGCATCGATCAGTACATCGCGATATCCTCCTCGAGCCATATCCCCCAAAAGCAATCCGTAAGCGACTCTCTGCCAGCCCTCGAGACCACTTTTGGTGCCACCCTCCCCGATGGAGGCTCCCTGGTCTCCCCGACGACACCCTTCTCTCAGTCTGCGCTCCCTTCCAAGTCGCTGCTCTCGCGAGACTCTGCCGATAATGCCATCCTTGACCCCTCCCTGGGCGCAGGCAAGATGGGGAGATCAAGCTCCATCGCCACACTGCCCGACAAGAGCTCCGAGTTGGCCCTTCAACGTGTCATCGACCGCTTGTTCGAGGCTTGTCTGAAAGAAGGCCGCTACAGACAGGTGGTCGGCATCGCCGTCGAAGCTAAGAACCTTTCCATTCTCCGGAGAGTCATCAAGCAAGCCAGCGAAGATGAGAAGCGGTCCAAGGCCAAGTCACAAGACTCCGCACAGGGCCCTGCCGAGGAGTTGATGGACTACGCCCTGGGTATCTGCATGGACATCGTGCAGGAACGGAGCCTTCGCACCGAGATACTAGGCCTGATCCTCGAGCTGCTAAACGATATACCGAACCCTGACTACTTTGCGATCGCCAAATGTGTCGTCTACCTGGACTCTGATGAGGAGGCTTCCAGGATGTTGAAGCAGCTCATTGAGAAGGGAGACCCCAACTCTGTGGCAAATGCGTACCAGATCGCTTTTGACCTCTACGACAACGGTACGCAGGAATTTCTGGGCAAGATACTGGATGCATTGCCATCGGGGGCGGCTCAATCGAAAACGCAGCCGGAGAAGGAGGGTGAACAGCCAGCCGAGAGTCAGCCTCTGCTCAACGACCAGGAGCAATCCCAGCATGACGAGCTTCCAGAGGAGGCCGCCAAGGTGTACAGAAACATACGCGGGATCTTGGATGGCAGCAAGGGCATCAAGCTCAACCTCGAGTTCTTGTACAGGAACAATCACACCGACCTGAGCATCCTGAACAAGGTCCGAGACAGCCTCGAAGCTCGCAATTCCATCTTCCACACCGCCGTCACTTTCTGCAATGCGTTCATGAATGCAGGTACAACCCACGACAAATTCTTCCGCGACAACCTTGAGTGGCTCGGTAAGGCCGTCAACTGGTCCAAGTTTACTGCGACCGCCGCCCTTGGTGTCATACACCGTGGCAACCTGACACAATCTCGAAAGCTGCTTGAGCCGTACCTCCCGAGACCGACCGGCATCAACAGCGGCTCCATCTATAGTCAGGGCGGTGCGCTGTATGCCTACGGGCTGATACATGCCAACCATGGCGCCGGCGCGCTTGAATATCTCCGCGATCAGTTCACAGCTGCTGAGCAGGAAGTCATACAGCATGGCGGCGCTCTTGGTCTCGGTATCGCTGGGATGGCAACGGGCTCAGAGCCGATCTTCGAGAACCTAAAGGACGTGCTATTTGCTGACTCGGCCCTCAATGGCGAGGCTGTCGGCCTGTCTATGGGCCTGATCATGCTTGGAACTGGCAACGCCAACGCACTGCAGGTCATGTATACCTATGCCCACGACACGACCCACGAGAAGATTGTCCGAGGTTGCGCCATCGGCATGGCTCTGATCATGTATGGGCGTCAGGAAGGGGCCGATGTGATGATCGAGGGGCTTCTCAACGACCCTGACCCGACCCTTCGATACGGTGGTGTTCTCACCATCGCCATGGCCTATTGTGGCACAGGCAGCAACAAGGCAATTCGCAAGCTCCTGCACACTGCTGTCAGCGACGTCAATGATGACGTCCGCCGCATTGCCGTCATGTCGCTGGGCTTCATCCTGTTCCGAAAGCCCGGCAGCGTCCCTCGCATGGTTGAGCTTCTCTCCGAATCTTACAACCCTCACGTCCGGTATGGCTCTGCAATGGCTCTGGGTATCTCCTGCGCCGGCACCGGACTGGACGAGGCTATTGATCTTCTGGAGCCCATGATGAAGGATCCAACAGATTTCGTCCGCCAGGGTGCCTTGATATCCCTTGCAATGATCATGGTCCAGCAGAACGAGGTCATGAACCCCAAAGTTGCCTCCATCCGCAAGACATTGAAAAAGGTCGTTGGTGACCGTCACGAGGATGCCATGACAAAGTTCGGCGCATCTCTTGCCCTGGGCATCATTGACGCTGGAGGTCGCAACTGCTCCATCGGCTTGCAGACACAAACCGGCAACCTCAACATGCCAGGTATAGTTGGAATGGCTGTCTTTACCCAGTACTGGTACTGGTTCCCCTTCACGCATTTCTTGTCCCTTGCCTTCGTTCCTACCTCCGTCATCGGCCTCGACCACGAGCTCGAGATCCCTAGCTTCAAGTTTCACTGCGCGACGCGCCCGAGTCTCTTCGACTACCCCCCTGAACAGGAGGTCAAGGCTGAAGAAGGCCCTGCACTGGTTACGGCTGCCGTGCTTTCTACAACCGCGCAGGCAAAACGGCGCGCACAGAAGAAGGAGAAGGCCGCTCGTCGTGAGAGCATGGACATCGACTCAACACCGACGACGGCCAAGGCCGCCGCCCCCTCCGGAGAGAAAATGGACATCGACGACGACAAGAGTAAGAAGCTTTCCGACGAGGCCAAAGACAAGAAGGAGGGTGAGGGCGAGAAGGAGGCGTCTGCCACACCCGACCCCAAGAAGAAGGTTGAGAAGGAGAAGGTTGGGTACGAGATCGAGAACATGTCCCGTGTCCTCCCCGGTCAGTTGAAGTACATTAGCTTCCCGGCTGGGCGGTACAAGCCGGTGAAGAAGGTAAATCCGAAGTCCCTTAACCAAATGTTAGGCAAATATGAACGTTTCGCTGACCCTATGCGCAGCCAACTGGTGGGCCGCTCCTTCTCCAGGACACCCAGCCTGGCGAGCCCAAGGCCCTCGTCGAGGAGAAGCTCAAGAAGGTCGAGACCCAGCGGGCCCCTGTGGCCGGCCAGGCCAGTGGCAGCGGTGCCGGCGGGCTTGGTGGTCTCGGAGGGAGTAGGTCTGGTCGCTCCGCTATGATGGGCGATGGTGACGACGCACTGGCCGAGGCTCTCCGGGCAGCCATGAGGGACGGCGCCGGAGGCGGTGCAGCGCTGAATGAGATGCTGCGTCAGTCGGCCCAGGCACGTGGGCTAGATCTCTTTGGTGATGGTGGTATCGCTGGACCTGGCCAGGGCGGCGCCGCCGCCGCCGCGGGCGTGTTGACGGCTGTAGACGAGGACGAGGAAGGCGCAGAGGAGGCGCAGGTCCCTGGCGAGTTTGACTACTTCACGGATAATGAGGATGAGGAGGAACTGTAAAGCCGAGACGAGGCGGACTGTACATTACGGGGTAGATGAGGGTCGAGTGTACGAATGATCGGGATTCACGATAGACCTCCGTCATGAGCTGCGGCAATAGATTTGATTTGGGGCTCTCAATCAACGACACTGGCCGGTAATCATTGTGCAGTCTTCGGGGTCAGTCCTCAGAGTTCCTGTGACCATAACGAAAGTCCAGTCGCTAAGCAGGTGTATGCTCTCTCACGACGCCAAATACATGATACATCGCTACACATGCAGCTGTTTTCCTCAACCCTTTCACCGTCCCCAGGAACGAAGTGAAGAAGCAACAGACAAAGGACAAGGAATCACGCGCCAAACTGGGTCTGATCAAAAATTTAGTTGGTTTTGTTTGCAACACGTAGGTTCACCTCGGCACCAATGTTCTCTCTATCAAACCCGCATCCATAGGCCCCGCCCGTCCGCCACACTACCTTATGTCTCCCACTTCCGCCTTCTACAGCAGCTGCAGCAGGTACACACTCGGGACACACTGTCACGCGGTGCCACGCATTCGCCAGGTTTCCCCTCAGGTTGAAGATGGAGGAGTGCGTCTCCGGCTGGGTGTTGTAGCTGTTGTCAGTCGCTTTCACCACGACCTCTGTGCACTGCGGCTGCTGCCCCGGGGCCACGGCGGGTGGTGCCTCCAAGTGGCCAAGATAACGCCACCTCTTCCAGGCCCAGGCCTTGTGGCCCGCACTGGGGTCCTCGAGGAGCTCGGCCTGGTCCCACGTCTTCCCGCCGTCGAGGCTGACGTCGACACGGCTGATGTATCGCCCGCCCCCGGACATGGCATAGCCCTCGATGGCTATTGGCTCCCGACCCTCGCCTGCCTCAGGACCCGATACAGGGTGCCCACACTTGTCATCCTGCCGCACGCACTGGCCGACAAGCACCTTCGTGATTGCACTCGTCACGGGCATCTCTTGGATGGCCGGTGCGCTATCCCAGTCCACGTCCCGCTGGTTTGGACCAAAGCTCTTGTAGTCACGCCGCTGCCACTGCGACGTACTCTCCTCGTCGCTGATAACAATCTTGGACAACCACTTGACGCTCCTTGCTGCGACATGGCCGGGCACGACAGCGCGCAACGGGGATCCGTGGTCACGCGGTAGAGGCTGGCCGTTCATGCTGAAGGCGAGTATGACGTCGTTCCTGGGGTCAAGGGCGGTGGAAAGAGGGATCGATGCGCCGTAAGCCTCGAGGCCGGTGAGTTGGACGTGGTGGGTGCTGGGATCTGGGAGGCTCTCATCTTCTGCATCAGGGCCCGCGACCTGAAGCCCGGCATCCGCAAGCACATCAACCAGGCGCACGCCCTGCCACTCCGCGTTGCTGATAGCTCCTACACCCCACTGCAGGCCGTTGGTCTTGCCGGCGCGACGGGTCATGTCGCTCCTCCGGTTCCCTGAGCACTGGAGGACGGCCGTCACTCGGTGCGTTGTGAATCTTGTCTTCAAGTCATCCAGGGTGTACGACCTCACATCCCCATCGGGGAGCTCGACCGTCAATGTGTGCTGGTCGAGCTTGTTGTCGTCTACGACTGGCACCCACATGTGATTGCGCTTGTAGAACAGCTCGTTGGGGGTGAGGAATTCATCAGTCAGGGCCTGATTGGGCGGCTCCGCGTTGCATGGCTTAGCGGTATGTGTGAACAGCCTTGGGTCACGGGGCGGGTCAGACGCGAAGGGGTCCTGAATGGCGTGAGCGGGCGGGAGCCCGTCCACGAGGTCGAAGGCATGGATGTAGCCAATCAGGTATTGGTCCAGTATCTCCTTGACATGTGTTTGGTTGTGGATCGTGAATATGGCCCAGTAGGGGTCGATGCTCTGTCCGGCGGCGCGGAGGATGACCTCGCCGCCGGGGTGAGCGGATACCCAGTCGGTGATGTCGTAGACCTTGTCCTGGTGGGTGACCCATGGGTTGGGATGCGAAGCATCGTGGCTGTGGATGTCGGACAGTCGATATCGGGGAACGGAGGGGTCGCGTATGTCGTCGGCGGGCGACGGAGAATTTTGATCATGGCCATGGTCATGGTCCCGGTCAAGGTCACGGTCTGCGCCTGCGGGATCCTGGAAAGCGGTGGCGAGCGAGAAGAGGCCTGCTCCTACTCCAGCAAGCAGGGCCGCTGCCGGCAGGCCGGAATTTGATGTTTTGAGCAGGGACAGTGTCGAAAAGGATAAGGAGGGCCTGGAGGAGGGGCGTGAGCACAGTTGGGGGTTGAGGCGGTAGCTGGGGCGTGGTCTACGCGCGAGACGCACCAGCTCCGTGGCAAAGCGGCCAGGATGTCGAAACGGAGGGGGCATGATGCCTGGCAGAGCACGCTCGACAGTGGACGGTCGACAGTGGACAGTCACGAGGAGTCAGTATTGAGTCTGGGGGCAGCAAGGAAATGAGTGATGGTCCTCTGCAGCCCGCAAGACATGGTGTCTGCTTGGTCTGGCTCTGGTTCGTATACTCTTCACAAGAGACACGGAGAGAGGAGAGGGTGTGTTAGGTGTGAGTATCAGCGCGTCAGTGTGAGTGTGGATAGACACGTAGATAGTTCTGGGCAGATTCACACGCCTCTGGCTGCTGCTTCGGCTTTAGCAGCAGCAGCAGCACCCCATAAGGAAAGTACAGGTGAGCGTCGGCTTGCTCGATGTGTCAGGTCATGTCATCGAAGTCCACGGGGGCACAAAAAGGGGAACAAGATGATAAGGACGGGCAAGGCAGGCAAGCAAGGCACTTGAGGCAATATATTTGAAGGCACATGGATAGATGATGGCACAGGCGCGGGGCGGGTGGATGCCACAGTATACATATATATATATGTGTGTGTGTGTGTGTGTGTGTGTGTGTGTGTGTGTGTGTGTGTGTGTGTGTGTGTGTGAGTGAGCGTGTAGAGAAATAGAAACGTAATCGAGCAGCGCGTCGTGACGAGGCAGCGAGGCTGAACTGAGTCGAGCAATATCACATATGCTCGGGAATCTCGCAGCTCAGCCCAGGGGTGATCCCGTCCCAACATTGCACCAGCCCGTCGCCCCACCTCCCAAGGGGGATTCCCTAGGTCCCCTAGGTCGCCGACGTCCCGTAGGTACCCGTCTCCACCCGCCGACGACGGGAAGTTGGAGCAGCTTCTTGAACTCTAAAATGCCCGACTGTCTGACTAACCAACCTGACTACCTATCACTTACTGTGTGAATTTGTATTAGTCGGAAATTTGACTATATGGACCAGACCGCTTGATTCTTTCAAATTGACTTGGTAGTCATCAGGCTGCAGATATGGATCTGTCTTCATAAAGGGGCATTTGCCTCGAGGCCCCTCGGAAATCCATGAAATACCCAAAGGGACTCAAAGGGGCACTCAATATTGCTACATCCTCAAGCCCTGCTGATAGACCAAGGCCGGCGGTACCCTCACGAGTAAAGGCCGGGACTAAGAATGAGAATTGAGGATGGACACGTCTACGGCATATTGCATCGTTTGTACGCCTTTGTCTCTGGCATTCACACTTTGACGCCTTTTTCCGCGTCCGGATGGGACGAGTTTCATTTGCGAGTTTCAACTACAAGTCTCAGCTCGACACAACACACGTCTATTCAAGTATGTGTTCCAAGGTATCTAAATCTCCCCACTTGTTGGTGTGTTGTGTCATATCCACAACCTACCCGTCTACTAGGTAGGCAACTAAAACACCTTGTTAAGTACCAGTTGGCAAAACACGTCTTGGCCTCAGGCTGAACGTGAAATGGCCTCGCCAACCCTATCATTCGCTTCCGTCCATTTCCTTCTTACACAAGTCGACATCAATTATTTCGGTTGCTTCTAGTTCAGCATAAATTCTGAGGTATTCCGCATGCGGTGGCCTTTCCACTCAACTTCTGCATGGCAGCAACCCCGTTCCTGGGGCAGAGGCCCTTTGTCCTCCGTCCCTATGTCTCCAGCACCGTTTCCGGAACCTCTGTCGGAGGCCACTTGTTTGTTTTGTCTTTGATATGTCTGCTCTAGCCTCCATATGTGTGAATTTCCCGTGCTAGATTCACACTTCTCTCTCTCTCTCTCTCTTCCCCCCCGACTCCCACCCTTTCCTCTTGCCGACACAATATCCACACCAACACGCCTTCTGCACCAAGACCCCGGCACCATTGCCCCAGAATATTGAGAGCATCACTGTGGTGCCACCATGAACTTCTTTAACTGGGCAAGAGGCAGCGATGGCCCTGCTCCATCGGTTGCTGGTCAGCCTCCTGGGCAAGCCCCAGATGGTGCCGACGCAGGTGCCGGCGCCGGGGCAAGATCCAGACCGGCGCCGCTGGACCTGAACAACAACGCTATGACAGACGACGAAAAGTGGACGAGATCAAAGAATCGTTGGAGACTTGCCATTAAGCCCGACGACCCGGATTTTGTGCAACAACGCCGCGTGTTCGAGGACGCACTGGACCCTGGCTCGGGACAGAGCATCGACGACATCCTCACGGCACACTTCGCAAGATACGAGGCCCAAAAGTTCAGCGGCTACGTCGAGAGGAAGCGTGAGCCCGACTTGTACCGGCAGCAGCGAAGTGACGCTGATGCCTACAACACGCTCTTGAAAAGGCCCCCTTGGGACCAGGAGGCCCCCAACGCTTTTCTCGCCTTCAAACTGACCATGCTGTACTTTGGCTTCCCGGTGGAGCCCATGAAGATGAATGACTTCTTCAGGCTTCCTCCTGGGTCCGGCTTGTTTGGTATTGACGACGACGACGACGACGACGACGACTTGGATGATAATCGCACCTTTATTCCGGAGGACATGCGCCCACTACGCTTCCTCAATAACTACGAAAATCGTTCCTATGGCGCCGACAACGGCCACCGTGAGCCACCACCCCGCTGTCGTACTGCTGTGTGCGGCCCTTTGTCTTGTTATCTCATGCTAACATGACGGTAGTGATGCCGGACCCGACTTATGAGGCTTTCTATGGCTTGCCTTACAACCCACCGCCTGAGGGCCAGCAGGTCGGGCACGAGGGCACGGGCACGGGGCCGCAGGCCGACATGCGCATCCGCGGCAGAGGTTTGGGCGAGGACGACGACGTGGACTTGATGAGCGAAGACTCCATCGACGGTGCTTCGTTCTCTTCCGACTCGCTGCTCCCAGACGCCCCTGAAGACGACGGCGGCGACACTGGAGTGCTCAACCTCCGTGGGGGGGCAGGACGAGCAGCGCCCGATGATGGAACTGCGCAGAACCACACTCATAATCATCACCGCAACCAGAACTGGCAGACGCAGACCGGACAGGCACAGGATACTCATCACCACCATCAAAATGGACACACGCAGACCGGGCAGCTGGGCCACGACCAAGGCATACTAGATCAGGGCGTCCCGCATCTCGCCACGGCCGTCGATGCCTTCCAGTCGGGCAAGTACTACCGCGAGAGGTCTTATGCTTCGCCAATGTCGGTCCAGGTAGGCGATCAGCATCCCAAGTTCCCCATCAATGCGCCGGCCATAGAGCAGATCCGGCGGCCTCAGGCCGCGGGCGGACTCGAGGCGGACTCGATGCCCATCGTGAGCACGCAAATCATGACTCCAACGGAGCAGCGGGCGCTGCAGCAAGCCTTCTTCCAGATGCGCGCCATCGCCCTCAACCGCGGCCAGCAGTGCCCGCACCCTGGCTGTGATGCCTACTTCCCCGTCGGGCCCAACAACATGGCTGCCTTCCACGCGCACCTGGATGAGAAGCACGTCGGCACGCACTGCCCCTTCTGCACCGAGACGCTCTTCTCGTACTGGTCCGAGGCACAGAAGGAGAAACACTTCGTCAGCAAGCACTCCGAGTACTTCACCAAGCGCGGCGACCTCCTGAGGGAGGCCATGCTGGCGGCCAGCATCCCGAGCAAGGGCAATGTCCACAGGAGGGAGGAGCAGTACAACTTCTGCCCCCGCTGCGGCCGCGACCACCAGACGCTGAGCAGCAAAGCCGATCGGGTGCACCATGACAATGCCTGCTTCCCCGGCAACGAGGCCACGGTCCCCACAACCCAGTACTGCAAGCGCTGTGGGCAGCCAGAACACGTACTCGTCGGCCCGGGCATCGACAAGCAGCGGCAGCAGCACCAGTGCACCGCCGCCGGTACTGACCCAGACCATCAGGAGCCCGCCTCTGCCATCTTCTGCCCTCAATGCGCCCTCAAGTGCCACGAGCTGCCCGTTTCATACGGCAGACGCCATCTGTTCCACTGCAAGCCCCTGGGCTCCAGGGCAGACAGCTGGTGCCCGTGGTGCGGCATCGACCTCAAGTCGGGACCACGGCCAATCCGTCTCAAGCACTTGGCAGGCTGCGCGCTGAGACCTGCCAGCGGCCAGAACCCCATCGACACCGACTCAGGCATCCCACACGAGAGCCCCCGTGACGTCCGGGCGCACAGGCTTGTGCATGGCCTCTCTAACTTGGGCAGGAACAACGGCCGCGAAAGGTTGAGAGTGCCCCCAAAATGCCCTGTTGACGGCTGCGACGCCGACCTGAGCACATGGAATGCCCGGGGCCTCTACCTCCACTTCCAGACGCATCCCGAAAATACGTTGGAGGCCAGCGGCGGCCTGAAGAGCTGCCCCTTCTGCAAATGTGACTTTGGCATGCGAGGGTGGACCACAAACGTGGAAAAGCAGCAGCACTTCCAGGACCACCTCGAGGGGCGATACAAACGCCTGTTGGCCGACGAGGTCATCGGTACCAATCCGGACAGGGAGAGCGCCATCGTGCGGGACGCCATATTGACACGTGATAATGACGAGTTTGACCAACAGGCCGAGATCAACTCGCTTTTGGCAGAAACGGTCCAGCAGGCCGAGAGCATCAAGCATCTCTCGACCGAGCTTAGAAAGGTCAGGGTTGTCGAGCCTCGCCGCGAGAGTAAGTGGTTCCCCTCGCCCCCTTCCCCTTAGCACACATCGGAACCCTTTCTCTCCGCCCCCACCCCTTCCTCTTTCCTTTCAGTTTCCAGTGGAGAAATGTTATGTGACCTCCCCGTGCCTACCGTCGACTGACACCTGGCAGGGAGACCGGTACCAGAGACGGTGAATCTGAGCACACCTAGAGGCACAGAGAGCGGCGGAACACACATGCCAATCACTCCGCCTTTCCCCGTCGTGGCAGCGCGGCGAGGAGCTGCTAGGGCCTCGAGACCAAACACCAGTAGCCGCACGCCCGCCTCTGTCTCTAAACGCAAAGACGGCTATGATGGACAGCTTGCGGGACGACCGGAAAAGAAGTCCAAAATTGTCCAACAAGGCCCATCGAGCACCACCATCTCGGGCTTTGCTACTGGACGCCATCTCTCAACAAGTGTCCCGGCTGCCGGTGAAGACGACAATTATGACGACGAGGACGAGGACGACGAGGGGGAGGAGGAGGATCAACTAGAGCTGGAAGAGGTAGACATGGATGACGGGATCGTGGACGAGGACGAGGACGACTACGATTCCTATAGCGATGACCACGATGAGCTGGCTGATTGAGCAAGGGGCTATTAACCTTTCTTCTGTTCTGTATCATGCAGCCTGGGAGCATGGGTCAAGAACACCTCGGACTGGTTTTTGGGCACTCAGGCATCGAGTGGCTTTGGAGACACACGGGAAAGAGATTGTAGACATGATCTTTCACTCTTTGCTAGTTTTGCTTGCGTCAGTAGTCTCAGGCTCTACAACGTCACCTCGTTGTTTCACAACTACTATCTATGCCACAAGTGAACATGCGCATCTCCATTGAGTACCACATTTGCCTACTTATTACAACCTGGGGTAAAAACGTGTCACTGTTTTCTCGAACCAACCCCGGCTCCCCGCGACGAATTGTCTAGTTGCTCGGCTTTGAGGCATCAGCTTTAAATGACACTGAGCTTACGCTCGGTTTAATATGTAGAGAAAAAGGATATAATAGGATGACCAGCCATAAGATATAATACCCGAGATGCATTACGTATGAAAGTATCTGGTGAAATGTGCATTCGTGTAAATTGATATCCCTCTATATATGTACACTAGAAGAAGTAGCAACCTCGATGAGCCTAATGACCGCTCATCTCAGATTGTACTCGTAGGAATTCCTCGGCCTTGCAGTGAAGTATTGACAACGAAGTAAACAGGCGGATCAAGGCTAGAATGCTGTTTGACAACCTTGCAGGCCCTAGCTCTGGAATGGGAGACCCTTGACGTTGGATCGTTGTGGTAGTGAGCTCACGGCCGAGCTTGAGCCATTGGTGCTCCCTGTTCCGTTCGTAGATCCTGAGAAGGTCGACCCAATATCTCCCCACCTGATCTGACTGAACGTGACCTGAGTGTCAGGCTGGATGGATTTGATGATTTCAGGGTTGCCCTCGGTTGCATTGCAAGGCCCGGCGTTCGAGCTGGCACCGTCAAGCCACTCCATGAAGCTAGTCTTATCCCACCATATACTGAAGACGAGGACCATCCCGCGGCTCATGGCCTCACCCATTCCCCCAGTTGCCCCGAGGCCCATGTATTTATCGGCCCCGGTGGCATTGCAGTACTCATCATTCAGGAAGTTTTGTGCGGGGACTCCTTGTGCTGTCGAGATGGGCATCTCGATAGTTTTTCCATCCTGGATATAGAGGCGTCTGATGGCGGTGAGCTGGCCGCTCTGGTCAGAAGGGAACTGGGTGACGACGGTGAATGGTCGGCTAGTGTCAACCTCGAGGTCCAGACCGTAGTATTCCGGGTGTCCCATCTTGTATGGGTTCATCGAGCACTACAGAGGGCGGAGGTCAGCAATCCAATCTTGATTAAGGCATTCATGCTGAGAAAGTGCAGAGCATCAAAGATATATGCGGGATCTACTTACACCACTCTTGTCGCAGACACCGTTATCACCACAGTCCTCGCCGCTCGCATCACATGCGTAAAGGCCAGGTTGATTACATGGATGAGGTGCGATGTGGGTTGCGCGGGCGTTGGCTTCCCAGATGTCGAGCTCGTTGCAGCAGACACCACTGCCATTGATGTTTCCCTACATATTTATGTCAGGAATCTTGTCTCTAAAATCTTGAGTTGTGTCTTGGTGCCAACGTACCAGACCGTTTATAAATGGAGTGGTATAGCACTGTGCGTCACAGTATCCCGCACCATACTCAGCGCCGGCCACAGAGAGGTCGGAGGAGTCCTTGCCTCCGGTAGCTTCCATCTCGGACAAGTATAGCGCCGAGTTCATCCCACAAGGAAGCTTGCTCATGTCGACATCGAAGGTAAACTCCTGTCCGGTCAACTGGAGCATCTCGTATGCATCTTCGGCCTCATTCAGGAGATAGATCCGTGGGCTATACTCAGTCTCGCCGTCGTTACTCAGCATTAGAAGAGTTAGGTCTGAGCCATTGGTGTACACCCCGTTCGCAGTGTAGTCTGAAATTCCTTCCAAGATACAATTTTGTTGACACGTCTCCTCGTCAGGGCAAGCTGTGGCGTTCGCGCCAGAGCCCCAGTCACCGCAATTGGACTCCGGGGCATTAGCCTGATAGATGCGATGTGAGGAGGCGTCGAGAACAAGTGCTGTATCCTGCGCAGTACATCCACCAGCCGTGGTACATTTGTAAGTTGTGAGTTTGGGGTGATTCTCGGCCGTTGTGTCAGGTGACTGGGCGGCAACCAGGCCCAAGAGCAGAGAGCTGGCGAGGGTGAGGGTTCGCGACATAGTGATCAGAAATGAAAGTGTATTTTTGGTGTTGGGTAAAGAATGTGAGAAATGAGCAAGACCGGCTTCACGAAAAATCTACAGGATGCCGTTCAGACTTGTGGATATCATCTCAGTCCAGACGGAAGACACCTTCCGACTTATATCTAGGTCGGACTAGTCTTTCCTCTCCTCACGTCTTTGCAGCAATCTTTACCATCACCAGGGTGATGTGTCATTCAGGGGCTATAGGCCATTTCAGTACCATCGCCCCTCTCGAATCTCGGCTTGGCGTTGGCGTGTGGTTGGATAGAGTTCATCGGACCAGCCGGACTTCATGGCTTTAAAGGGGCGCATGTTGAGTCGGGTCCCAGACATTCCTCCATTGCACGAGGCAAACATTACCCCATAGTCATTCCCGGCACAAAATAGTACCGGGGAAACATGATCGACGTGCGACTCGCCTGGCCCACCACCGTGAATGAGAAACACCGTGGGGCAAGAAGGTTCGTTGTAGATGAAACAGGGCCTCGGCGACCCCTTTTTTAAGCCTCAGCAACCGAAAACCTTGCCAAGTAGGGTATTCAAGACCATGCAGACGGATTGTTACTTAAAACCGACATCCGGCGGGAGGTCATCCGCCTTGGGAGCTGCCAAGGCGGCGTTGAGGCCCTTTGACCAAAAAAGAATGGTGTAAGACAATTGGCTGGTGGCTTGCTCACATGTGATTCAACGGGTCTCGGTGGAAGAGCATTGAACCACTTAGTTCTAGACCCGCAGAACAAAGTTCAACGTCTCGATTAGGGGTGTTCAGTTACCCACACCCCTAGACTAAGTCATTATTCCCGTGCCAAATTGCGAAAGAACAGCCGGGGCGGGACCAGACACTAGTTTGTCAAGGTTCGGACAACGTTTTCCAGCAACCTTTTATTTGTTTCCCAACTAGCTTGTCGCGAAATCACAACCTTGTGTTTGACAATCTCCTCGCCAGGCTTGATGTTCGCCCAAAGGAAGGGCGGGAACATGAGAAGAGAAAGAAAGTAAAAACTCGGAGATTATTTGAAAACCCTGGGCTCCTGAAATCAGTCCAAGTCACCCATTTGCATCGTCTTGATGGTCGTGACATGGACAGCAGATAAGAATGCTAAGTCGCCTAGCACATAGCCCACGTATTGAGTGTGACCTATAATCATACTCGTCTCCACATCTGCCTGATTGACCCAAGTGCAAGATCAGTTGACGTAGCTCCACCACAGGCAACAACTTGGTGATGCCAGCTGGGAGACTGCCAGGGAGGCGGCCGGTTGGAAGACTGACCGGAGGACCTGTAGGAAGCCTCACAGCCGGTAACTGTATAAGGCCGAGTGAGAGAGTTGTAGGAGGCCCTGGAGGGACAATGTTGGGCAGAGTAACAGTAGGGGTCGTAAAATGGACGATTGTCGAAACCTCAACTGGCAGGTTGGTAGGTGTCTTGGGGGGGAATGGAACTGACGCAAGAAAAACTGCAGGCTTAGTTGCAGGTTTGGGAGGACAACCGTCGTAATGTTTGGAAGATCTGGGGCCTCTGGTAAGGTTCTGTTCTAGATGGTTATGTTTCCAGGGATGATTCTGTTTCGAAGAATGACCGCACTATTGGTTATGCTACACAAGATGGTGACGAGAAGAGCCATAGCCTTCCTTCACTTTCAGGAGCGGTTATATGAGGTCTGGTGAAGTTGCGAATGTATTTCTGGAGCTTTGATAGATATTAAGTGTGAATGAAATCGGCTGGATCTGGTGGCAACAGTATTCTGTGTAAACTTGTCCTGGGGTGGCACTCTGGCCCTCCAGAACTTTATAGCACTTTCTCTTGAATGATCTATGGCAACACTCATTTGACTGGAGCCTCTTCTCAAATCCAGAAAGAAAGCCACGGCTCGCAACTTGAGATTACAGACAACTCTTGATTGGTTAGGTTTTGTTGTTTCAGGCATGACTATGTTGGTAGCCAAGTCTGCGCGACCCTGTGGGAGCATGAAGCAATACTGACTCTATCGGCCAGCACCGAAATGGCGTAAAAAAAAAAGTCAGACCATACAAGACCGTTCCAATCTTCCATGGCTTATCGATGAGGCGAGACTGCTGGGGCGACGATTGGTGTATCCCTTCGATGTCTTGTTCTAACAGATTCAACAAACTGCACGACATCAGGGTCTGGCCTCCATGCGTGTTGCTGATTGAGACGTTGAGAACGCAGCTGTTCCTAAACTGATGTCAGTACTCCAGAAACGCGTAGAAGGCAAGGACTATGGTGTCTATAAGGGTCTAAGAGTACAAGTGAGGAAAGATTCCTACAATCCTTGCAGCCCTTACTCAGTAATAGGGTGACACAGCTCTTCCGATAGTCACGTCGAACCCGTTGCAGGGACAGGAGGGAGTGATCATGCGTGCACGCGCCTCCTAACATAAGTACATTCATATCACTGCAGACTTGGAAGTCTCGACTTCAGAGGACATCAGGTTACTTTTGTGATCGACCCTCTAAGGTGTGCCTCCCTGGAATCCAGTCATCAGACATCCTCGGTGTTACACACAGGTTGATCGATCCCTGGGCTACGCAACTGGTACGTGTGCAGAGACAAAAAAAGCTCGACGCTGATGATCTCGCTGAAATATCAACGTAAAAAAATAATAAAAATCCCTGGCCTCGACATCGCTCGGGATAAATTGAGAATCATGTGTGAGGCGAGCCGATGGACTTGAATGCAGATAAGAACATCATTACTGGTGCCGTCTCTCAGCAGGTAGGTAGAATTGCCTTCCGTCGTGATGTATGTAAGTACGTAAAAACAGCATTTAAATTAATTGCATCGAAAATATAGGAATTGATATCTCTAGAGGAGGCCTGAGATCATTTCAACATGTTCTTACAACCGCTCCAATATTAGAACACCGAGGGTAGGAATGATGCACACATAGCTACCAAAGCCGTTCCATTCCAAAACCAGCAACCATTATAAGTGAATCGGTACCAGTGAGAAAAAGCAAGCTGCACAGCGCCTACGCGAAGAACACTTGTCATGTTGGGATTCAAAACAGCTGTCGTTGAGCTTCAAAGACCACTCTGGGCCGGAGTGGCCACCCGCGTATATTCATTGAAAGAAAGAATGATGATTGTCAAGCTTGGTCGTGTTTTCATCCATGACCTGCTGCGCTGTTTGCAGGGTGTCGTGATGTTCAACACCTGGTTTCGCGTCTTCGTCCGCGGTCTCGGGGTTATCGTCAGGATGGTCGTCGACGAACAGGTCTTGGACAGCGCCTGCGCCGATAGCTCGCTGATAGACGCTAAAGCTTGTGGCAAAGTCGCGGTGTTTTCCGATGCGGATCTTGTCTAGCAGGTTTAAAGCAAAGTTCTGACAATTGTTGTCCAGCAGGTTGTAGGCTGGCCGCTTTTCCCTCATATTGAAAATGACCATCTCTCCTGGTGAGCGAAGAATGTTAATGAAATGAAGGCGTCGAGGTGCTGGCACCAATTCTTACCGGCCTCTCTGAGCGCCTGATCATTGAACCTTGTTTTGCCGACCTTGAAGGTATGCCATTCGTCGCGATTAAATGCCTCATTTATATAGATGACATCGAAGTGTTCGTCCATCCTAGCGTACGTTATTATGATAAATAAACCAGAAAAGTAAGAGAGAGATTATTTATACACACCATAACTCATGAACAAACGAATCCACGATCACTGCCCAATGCTGCGTTGGGTCAGGACTATTGTGGATTTCCTCAGTGATCATTTTGCCCAGCCTGGTCTGCTCTGCAAACCACTTGCCAGCAGAGCCGGCTACTGGATGCCAGCCCAACTCGACAGTACGGGGCTCTCCGCTAATTTTGACCTCACCGGGTGGGACAACGCTTGGCCTCTTGCCGAGCCCCAGTTCGTGCTGAAGAGTGAGCTTGGCTTTGAGCACATTGTCCTTGCTAAGAAGCAATCAGCAGGCGTTGGTTACCATGTCTTTCTGTATGTGAAGTGCGGATTGCAGCCCGGCGCGGGGTCCACTGTCTTGTCTTACAGAAAGGAGCCCAGCAAGCTGGATGGGGACTTGGGCTCATCCTCGGCGTTTGGCGCGTTCTCGTCCGACATGGCCCTGTTCGTTGAGCTTGGGCGGTGCCAGTGCATGCAGGTTACAGTTTCGTCGACAGGGGATAGTGACAAGTGTTTTTGTTACTGATACGGTAAATGGCTTTCCGATAGGAGCTAGGTAGTGGGATTGAGCCCGTCCCTAACTGAGAGTTGAGGTCGTCGAGCAGGATGAACCCATCGCCCTCTTGAAGACCCAAGGTGGGGGCGTCAGACATTTGAGAGTGGAGCTAGTCTAGATTGGGAAATATTGCTTCTCAGTTAGTCAATTTTCCAGTTTATGTAATCAAGGTTTTCCCCCTTGGTGAAAGAGATTGGAAGAAAGTACACTTTACTATGCAAAGATGAAGTTGCATTGAATGATTGACCGACTGACAGAAAGCCTAAGACTGCGGGTCAATGGGCCAGCGTTCTGGTCGTATGATGCTCTGAACGACCTCCAACCGTCACCATTACCCAGATTACCAATCGCGCCCCATCGGCGGGGAAAGCAGCATTGTGCTCTTACAGTACGCAACGATCAACGTGCGACACATTTGTAATTCAGACTACTGCTGTGGGAGGCTGCTGGCCTTAAATCGAACCGCCTTCACTATCTTTTTCTCCACCATCCACCAGCCATCTCTAGCTTCCCCTGTCACTACAAACAAACGCCATGGCCGACTTCCCTCCTCCAGCCCTCAGAGAAGCTGCTTCCAAAGTGGCCAGCCTCCTCCGGGAGCGCAGCGAGACCATTTCCGTGGCCGAGACAGCCGCCGGTGGACTCATCTCTGCCGCGCTACTCGCCACTCCCGGTGCTTCCAAGGTGTACAGAGGTGGTGCCACCCTCTACACTCTCGAGTCACGCATTGCTTTTGGTGGTTGGACGCGGGCCAATATCGACAATTACAGTGGCCCAAACCCAGACCTGGTTGCCGGCCTCGCCAAGCACGTTCGTGGCGTGCTGGGCTCCACTTACACGGTTGCTGAGAGCGGCACCGCTGGACCAACATCTTCAAGGCAGGGTGCAAATGGACAGCCGTGCGTTTCCTCCCATCTGGGACTTCTGCTACACACAGTGTGCGCTCGCTAATCTCGCAATCTCGATGTAGCGGGTACGTTGCTCTGGCCGTGGTGGGCGAGAACGACACCCTGGCCATGGACTTGAACACCGGCCTCGGAGGAGATAGATCAGGAAACATGGTCGCATTTGCTGTTGAGGCACTCAAGCTTGTGGCGGAGTTCATCCAGAAGAGCGCGTCGCAAAGTGGCAAGATCTGAGAATGGTCCGCGTATATGCGCCATCCGCATCGACCCCCAATCCAATCTGAAAATTCGATTGCTTTGAAAGTTGTGAGTATAGAGAATTGGGTTACGTTTCAAACTAGCGCAACTTGATTATTTTTACCCTTCGTGTCCACGAGCTGAAGATCGGGTGTCCGCTTTGCGGCTACAGTATCTATGTAGAATGAGTAGAGGAAAAGGGGAGAATTATTTGTTAAAAAAATCTTAATCTCTTAAGGGCAATTGACTTTAAGATATTCTCTGATAGAATAATTTCCCGTAAGAGATGACCTGCTGTACGATAACCTTTCGTGGGATAAGGTCCTGGGGATAAGGTCCTGTGGGACAATCTTCTGTGTGATATATCCCAGTTAGATAACCTAGTAGACAAACGAGTGACAGAGTCCCAAGGGGCTCCGTAATGACGTGTTGCGTTTTGCAAGAGTGTGGCGGCGTTGTCCCAATAGTGTGTGATACAGGGACGGCCCTGCCTTCCCAACTTCCATTCCATATCGCCCTACTTGTAAATAGTCAGGCTGCACCTCGTCGGCCTCAGGTTGAGATCTTATAGGTGAGGCTACCCGTATCAACATAAAAGCGCATCCTGCCAACCCTCTTAGAGTCTGTGTATTTTTTGGACTGATAGCAATACCAATATTATGCAGTACCTAGGTAGAGGCCTCTGAATAATGATTCGTGTCGTTTGCGCTTCTCTGAACCGCAATTATTAGCCTGTATACCTAGGCACCAACCGAGATTGTAGAGCTTTCTGGATATGGGTGTGGTGACGGAGTCCCTGACAGCTATGTATTGAAAGAAGACATCCTGATCATGCCTTTTTATTACAGAGTGTTGGACGTTAGAGTACTATTCCGTTTGAATCCAACTGGAAAGGCAGCTTTGTTATCGGACTAGGCTAACATTTGCTAATCTTGAGCTTCATTGGGGATGATTCCGGCTGCTACAGCATTGCCGTCAAATCATTTCGTCTTTGAGTCACCCAAGAATAGGCTGCTGCCAGGAGAAAAAGTAGTACCTTGAACGTATATAATTTCCGGAGATTAATACAGCAGGCTTTGAGCACAAACGCTGCATTTTGGAGTCGAGGTCTAAAGCGAATAATGTGCCGACGGAGACAAGGGAATAGGTTCTCAAGCATCGACTCTCAGTGTCTTTTTAATCTCTAATGGGTATAAAATAGATCTAGTGAAGCCCACTTATTCATCCTTCTTCGTCTTTTCACTCTCGGCCTTCTCTCGCCTCTTCCTCTTCCAAGCAGCCAGCTCATTCAACAAGCCCATGACCAGCGGCACGCCGACCGGTCCTAGTAGTGGCAGGTAGACCGCGATCTTGTGCTCATCTGGGAAATACAGCTGGCCGACCATGCTCTTCTCAAAAAAGGCCTTTTCAGCCGCAGCCTCCGCAATTTGTGCGTGAATCAGCCCTCCAGGGGTACCAAGGGTCTCACAGGCCAGCCGGAGATGTCGAATTGTGGTGCTGACACCGTCGGCGACAGACTGCGGGATCGACATGGAGGGGAGAGCAAGGGAGAGACGGGCAAGTGAGCCCAGAGTGCTAGAGGCGCGGAGGAGAAGGTCTGCAGAACGGATGCGAGAGAGGGTTGAAAGGCGCAGTGGCAGGGACCCCGAGGTGGGCGTCCCTAGGAGAGAGAGGAGATGGGTGGTGAAGGTCAGGAGGGGCTGTTTGAGATGTTCGACCCCAAGGTGGCCCTGGTCACTGTTCAGATTGAGGAGATAGACAGTGCCCCATTGGGGAATGAGCCAGGAGTGAGAAGTCTCAGACACGGCAGTCTCACTCTCCCCAGCGTCTTGGTGCGTGGGGGGCAGCGCGATGGTTTGATTGCCAATGAAAACGATAAAGTTCACGGTAGGAGCACCGCCAATGGATGGCGATAATGGCCACTCTGCAGCGTTTATGAAAGAGGACAGATCGTCCTTGCTCAGAACAGGGGACTGGACACCCGGGGCGGCGTAAAGCTGGACCTGTGTGTCAATGGTAAAGTTGTGGATGGGCCCGAGAACATCCAGGACCGGTTTCATGTACTCGTCGATGGCGGCCTCGATGTCCCAGCTGCTGGGCGCGGGCCCATCGGTGAAAAGCGAGAAGGTGAGATGGTACGCAGGTGCGTACCTGAGAGAACGGGTGGTGCGCTTTGCGATTGTGCCTGCGGCGTCAGGGGCCAGACCCTGGGGCTTGTGTTCGGGCGCTGCAGAGGAGGTGGACAGCAGGTATGAGATAATGGTCTGCTCCTCGGCGAACGTGGAGCGCAGCTCACTGGCGACATATGTGGCTAGCGACGAGGAGGAAGAGCTCGGGGATGGGATCGCATTCGGCGTGTAAGTAATGTCGAGTATGGGCTGGTAAGGGTGCAGTGAGGCGGTGATCGACTCGCCGGGCTGAAGGCGTATGACGAGGGCAGCTTCGTCGAGGCTGGCGGAGCCATTGACAGTACTGGCGCGAGGGTCGAGCTGGAGTCGCAGGTGGTGGCCGGGGAAATCGTTCAGATCATCCAGAGCGTGTTGGGTCAAACGCAACAAGTTCTGGGCTTCCTGGTCTTGCAACTGGCTCGCCTGGATGGAGATGCGAAGCGGGAACACGGGGCGGCAGGCCTGGCGGAGGAGCCCAAGTTAGCATATATGCTGAGCCTGAGCCTGAGCATGACTGGTTATGGTGGACATACCTTGCCCACGGCCCAGTCCATCATGTCGTCCAGGGGCAAGCTGGCGCGCGGAATGGTGGTTGTGTGCCACCATATTGGAAGACCCAGACACAGCACAATCAACCAGAACGAAAGGATGACCAGAGACCGTCTGCGGGAGTCTGAGGGCTTCTCGGGAGGAGGTTCCTTGCGGCGGGAGGTGGCATCGGCGGCGACGGCAGTAGGGGACGAGGTCAGCGTCTTGGCCGTCGCAGGCGGGGCATGGGCATGGGCAGCCACGTCGACATCATGGGCAGTTGTGGCAGACATGGCGACGCTGACTACATTGTGTCACGATAGTCGTCGTCGCCGGCGTGGAGGCGATGTGGTGTTGGTGCAGAGGAAGGAGAGAGCTCGCGCAACGGTGGTTAGAAGCCAGGCCCCGGGGGGGGGGGGGGGTGGCCACCCAGCTGCAGGAGCTTGTCTGACAGCTGGCTTCCCCAACTCGTCAAGCCATGTACCTATGTACCGTTGTGCCTTTGTACCTAGGTACCCGAGTACGCTGCCGTGGCACGCTGAGTGCTTAGGTCAACTTCGGCTTCACATGCGATTTGGTCGGTGGTTGGGCAAGTGGCATCACTGCATCACTGTATCACCGCATCACAAGTCCAGTCTTGATTCAAGCACGCTGGCCCCCAACCATTGATCTGCCGTCCGCCCACCCAGCTGCCACAATGCTGGCCCAGTAAACCGCGGCATGGACGGACGTCGGGGATCGGGGGCAATGTTCGACGGCCCTGCGGGCTGGCTGCCCCCCCCGCGGATTGATTGCCCCGGCCCAGCAAGTGCTCCGCGAGCAACGCTCCAGCGTGCCATGTCCGTGTCCAATGTACAGATTACATGTCCATTCCCGCCTGTCAGCCTGTCAGCCTCCGTGCCCCCCGTCCCCCGTGCCCCGTCCCGCGGGCTGCGCTGCCCTGGCTCGAGCCTGGCTCGCCTGGGCTCGTTGCTTTCGACCATGGATGCCCTCTTTGGGCATAGCACCCATAGTCTGCGTTCCAGAAGTTCGTCCATTACCCTGGTGCAGGGCCTGAGCAGCGAGCGGGCAGCAGGGATGATCCCATGCACGCCCAGGAGGGTCGCAGTGCCGGGACAAGTCAGAACCCTTTCCCACTCTCGCTGGCCGAACCGAGGCACATCCATGACAGCATCTGAACGCTCCCGGAGCTCAACCCGCAGTCTTCCCACCTACGGAGCTCCTCCTCACACATGCGCACATGCACGTTTTTACACCTGCACATGGATCCATACCGACCGAACTCCTGGCAAGACCTGCACTTGCACTCGGTCTTGTCACTTGTCAGCCTGGGCCTACGTCTCAGACATGTTTAGAATAACACCACCTCCCCCACCATTCCTACCTCCAGCTTGTTCATCTCTAGATCAGACCACACCTTTTTTTTTTCCATCTCCGTTTTCCATCTTCGTGTACATACATACTTACACACGCGCACAACTAACATTGTACACCGTCTTCTCTCTCACTCTGCTCATCCCAACCTGTCGTGTGTCGTTGCGTACGTAGCTGCTCCTTGAACCCACATCTGTCGCATGATCCAGATCCAGATCCAGTTCTTCTCCTCTAGCTCGCCGTCACCGCATATTTCCCGTGACATATAACCATATCATTCACAGCCCACACCCCGCTACATATATAATTCTTGTGTTTGGGGGGAATAATCCCTCCCTGCGGGGCCGCCAAGCACCACGTCCTGCACGTCACCGGTTTTCTTCAACTCACGACTCTACAATCCCCGATCGAAGTCGCACAGACATCGCAAATCCTCAAGCCGTGGCTTCGCGTTGCGGTGGTACTACCACAACAACTACTGTCGCCTTGACTGCATGTCTCAATAATTTGCCGTGGACGTCCCTTGTTCGCCTTGGCTGTGTCTAACACCACAAAGTCGGAATTTGGGGCAGTGTACTGCGTGCTGCAGACCCATTCTACGTGGTCGTCCGCCCCGACATCTGGGCTGTGGTGTTTTTACAAGGGGCGTTGAGTTCGTTCACTGGTGCTACCGCCCTCAGGGAGGCGGTTCAAGTCCTCAATATGCCTGGTACGTGTGCGTCTTGGTTTGCCCCTTTCAGCTAAAGCGAGGCACCGACGCAGCATGCCTCGTTCTCCAACAACTTGGCACCAGCCCAGGTGCCTCACTGACTGTGATTACGAACTTTGTCAATTTTTCTGCTGCTGACCTCCTCTCCCATGCAGTGCCACTAGCGGTCGCGGCCCCAGCAGCCGCCGCCGCGGCAGCATATATCAATGCGAAGGCACAGGTGTGGTACGATTACACAATGCTCACCTGCGTCGTGCCCGTCGCGCTGGGAATGTTCTGGCGCGAGCGGACGGGAAGGCTGAGCTTGTTCTATGACCTCGAATATTACGCAACCAGCGCCAGTACAAGGGATATGCCCTTCCTGCTGTTTGAGGACAAACAGTGGACCTTCAAAGAGGGGCTGGAGGAGACCTTGAGGTACGGGACTTGGTTGCGAGAGACGTTCGGGATCAAGAAGGGCGACATCGTGGCTATGGACTTCCCTAATAGCCACTTGTTTGTCTTCGTTTGGATGGGCCTCTGGAGCATTGGTGCCAAGCCTGCGTTTATCAATTACAACCTCACCGGCCAGGCGCTTGTGCATTGCGTCCGCGCGGCGGGTACCAGCATCATGCTCATTGACCCGGCAGTGGCACCTAACATCGACGACTACGTCCGCAAAGAGCTTGCCGACGTCAGGCTCGAGTTCCTGACCCCCGAGCGTCAGAAGGAGATCCTGGCAACGAAGCCTGTGAGATTGCCTGACGAGGCGCGAACAGAGGATGGGATCGACAAGATGGCCATTTTGATTTATACATCTGGCACGACAGGGCTGCCCAAGGCGGCCGTTGTCAGTTGGGGCAAGGTACGCGCAGCGGGAGGGTTTTCCGCGAGGCTAATCAAGGCGAGGCCCGGCGAGATTTTCTATACAGTAAGTTCCTCTAACAGGAGAGTGTGTCGGACGTATGCGCACATACACGCACATGCACACGCGCACACATACGAACGACTTGGTGAACCGCGTTGCTGACGCTATACCTAGAGCATGCCACTCTATCATTCGTCGGGTGCTCTCCTCTGCTTTGCCAATTCGCTTCTCATGGGCGCTACTGTCGCATTGGGGGCCAAGTTCTCCACGCGCACCTTTTGGCGCGAGGTGAGACAGCACAGGGCCACCATGATCCAATACGTTGGCGAGACACTTCGCTACCTGCTGGCAGCGCCAGCCGAGATCGACCCGCAGACGGGGGAGAACATGGACAAGAAGCATACCGTACGCGTCGCGCTCGGGAACGGCCTCAGACCTGACGTGTGGAACCGTTTTAAGGAACGTTTTGGCGTGGAGTACATTGCAGAGTTCTACGGCGCGACGGAGGGCAGCTTTGCAACGTGGAATCTGAGCAGGAATGACTTCAGCATGGGCGCTGTGGGACGGAATGGCTGGCTGTACTCGTTATTTGTCGGCCTCGGGACGGCCATCGTCGAGGTGGACTTCAGCACCGATCTACCGTACCGGGACCCCAAGACGGGCCTCTGCAAGGCTTCGAAACCCGGCGACCCGGGCGAGTTCTTGTTCAAGCTGCCGGAGAAGGAGCTGGAAAAACGCTTCCAGGGGTACTACAATGACCGGGCTGCGACAAACAAGAAGATCCTGAGGAATGTGTTCAAGAAGGGCGATGCGTGGTTCCGGACAGGGGATGTGATGCGGTGGGACAACGAGGGCCGACTATACTTCCACGACCGGATCGGCGACACGTTCCGGTGGAAGGGCGAGAACGTGTCAACGGCGGAGGTGTCGCAGGTGTTGGGCCTGCTCCCGGCGGTGCACGAGGCGAACGTCTATGGCGTTCAGCTGCCTCACCACGACGGCCGGGCGGGCTGTGTGGCGCTGATCCTCAACGACGGCTTCGCGCACACGAAGGGTGAGGTGCTGAAGAGGCTGGCGGAACACACGCGCAAGGAGCTCCCGAGATACGCGGCGCCCATATTCCTGAGGGTCACGACGCCGGGCAAGATGGCAACCACGGGGACGAACAAGCAACAGAAGCATGACCTGAGGGTGCAGGGGGTAGACCCGGGCAAGATGGACGGCGATGAGCTGTACTGGCTCGAGCAGGGTGACTATGTCCCGTTTACAGAGGCGCACTGGGACGCACTGAATGCTGGGCGGGTGAAGCTGTAGTAGACATAACTGCTGGTGGTGCTCAAATAAACAATCGTGCTTGAAGCGGGCCGGGATGGATGAGTAAGCCTGGCACTGGCTGACTGACTGGGCGCGACAGACAGGACTGCTTTGCTTGAACAAGAGGGGGAGAGGGGGGTGATGAGAGACAGGTACATGGTGGGGGATACTTGAACTATTACTAGACGGGGAGTACCCATGAGTGACCATGTACGCAGTAGACAATATAGCTGGGTAGTATTGTACAGTACGTAGACACATAAATATGTATCATACGCATGACCACCCGCAGTTGCAGCAGCAAAGGGAAGACGAGCGAGCCACGGCCAGGTCTGCAGGTCTGCTACTGTGTACACAGCAGTCTGCCAGTGCTGCGAAGAGGTCACGACTCGTCCCGTGTCCGACTCCGGATGCGGAGGAGCTCAGGACAGGAAGCCACGTGGGGATGAGGCAACAGGCGAATCATGGAGCTTGCTGATGGCGTAATCGAGCCGCGACCCCGCCATTGCCGCGACCCCACGCCAATTAGGGTGGGCCGACAGCTGCTATGGGTTCCGAAAAGAGCAACCAGGCGCCAGGCTGAGCAGAGCAATGGACATCTCATCATCAGCCCAAGAATTGCGTCTTTGACCTCGGTGGCGACGATCTGATGAACACCAAGGAGGGGGGAGAGGGACAGATAGGGAGGGATAGGTAGGAGAGAGAGACGGAGAGAAAGAGACCAGAACACACAAGACATTTCCAGTCAACGGTCGAGTTGCTAAGTTACTGCCATGCTGTATGACTGGTCTTTGTCCTGAGCTAAATATTGTACCGTCCCGTCCCGTACCTTGCCTTACCTGGGCACGCAGAGAGAGAGAGAGACAGAGAGAGGGAGAAGCGGGAAGACAGAGAGATAGTCAATCAGACAGACAGACAGACAGACAGACAGACAGACCACGAGATGGCATCAACCATTGCTTGACTCGACTTGACTAGTTTCAACCCACAAATTTGGATCGTCCTTTTCAATGACATATCAGCTATCATCAGTGCCAGCGTACGACCAGCTACCAGGCTACCTAGGTACTTGCCAGTCGACGGCCGGCTCCCAAGGGAACGGACAGGCAGATGGGACGGCGTCTTGTCGACAGAGACTCGCGCCATGACCCCCGCCCCCGCCATCCATCCATCCCACTTGATTGCTGGTCATGTCCCTGGTTGTCTGCCCAGCTGTTGAGCTTATTGCTTGCTAGTCTATTTGAACAAGAGACTTCCCCAATCCGCCACACCCTTTCAGTTTTTTTTCCTGCTCGACAAAAGTTTATCTTCTGTTTCCATTGCTTCACTCCCGCCTCTTCGCTCTATCCTTTAGCTCTCTCCAGATACCCCCATTACGCCCTTCACGGACCCAACAAACATATACACACATCATGGCTGATCAGCGTCCTGCTCCGTAAGTATCCGCCGACTGATCTTATTCCACTCACACACCCCTCCGCCCCTCTCCCGGTCCGAGATGGCTTCAGCCCGCACCGTGATCATGTCTCCAGGAATTCGGAACAAGCGGCTAACATGATAACCCTCGCAGCCTCCGCCTGGGCACCACCGCCCCCAACTTCAAGGCCGACACTACCAAGGGACCCATCGACCTGCACGAGTATGTCGGCGACAACTGGGTCGTCTTCTTCTCCCACCCTGAGGACTACACCCCGGTCTGCACCACCGAGCTGGGTGAGATGGCCCGCCTCGAGCCCGAGTTCAAGAAGCGCGGCGTCAAGCTGCTGGGCCTGAGCGCAAACACCGTCGACTCGCACGAGGGCTGGGCTGCCGACATCAAGGAGATCAGCGGCAACACCCTCAACTTCCCCATTGTTGCCGACAAGGAGAGGAAGGTCGCCTTCCTCTACGACATGTGAGTCTTGCCCGCACCTGCGCTTGCGCCTGTCACCAGAAACAAACAGCCGGCCGCCCTTTATGTTGGAAGCGCGACAAGCTGACCAACCCCGGCCCTGTCTCGTAGGCTTGACTACCAAGACACCACCAACGTCGATGAGAAGGGCATTGCCTTCACCATCCGCTCCGTTTTCTTCATCGACCCCAAGAAGACCATCCGCACCATCCTCTCCTACCCGGCCTCCACGGGCCGTAACAGTGCCGAGATCCTGCGCGTCATCGACTCTTTGCAGACCGGCGACAAGAACAAGATCACCACCCCAGTCAACTGGGTCCCTGGTGACGACGTCATTGTCCACCCTTCGGTCAAGAACGAGCAGGCCAAGGAGCTCTTCCCCGATTTCCGCATCGTCAAGCCTTACCTGCGGTTCACTCCATTGGCGAAGGAGAAGGCCACTGCTGGTATTTAAGCTGCTGTTGTTTCAGGTCATCAGCACGCTGTGCGAGAATGCTAGTCTTTCGTGGCCAGGGACCAACGAGATATCAAGCCACGGCGCAATGGATGGGCGCCACTTACTTTTACCTGTCTGTGTGTGTTCGACATCAGGCGACCTGTGAGGGCTTGCTATTCAGTGTCAATGGCTTCCGGGCCCATACAGTAGTAATTAAAAGCACCGTTAAAAGAAAGCTGCCCAAAGACCTTTAAATTCATGACGATGCACAGTACTTATTGAACTGGTTGAACTACTATCCTGCCTGGTTACAAGAGACTTATTAACCGACATGATCGGGTGGAGAATCCTGGTAACTGCATGCGGGCCGAGACACCGGGGTCGGTACGGTGTCTTTGGGGCAGAACAGTCATCCAATTCCCCTCTGAAGGGGGGTTAGGCTGAGGTCCAACAATTCGAAGATGACGAAAGCCATGCCCAGTCATTCCGGCGTTAAAGCACTTGATGTCAAGGCGATAATGTCAAGGCAATACGACCAAGGTTGCTGGGCCGAGATGCAGGCATACATTATGCATGTTTCGACAAATGCAAATTCATCAGACTTTCGGCGCTCCCGCATCTCCAAAGCGGCAACAGGGACGAACATGGGGCCGGAAATGCCACCCGAAAGTCTGGAACCCCGGAGTGCTGGCTTGCACATACTTGCTGACCACCCGGGGACCTTACCGTTCATGCGGGATGTTTCAACAGGGAAGTATGAGTGAGTGAGTGAGTGAGTGAGGCCGGCAAGGGCTGCCGAAGTATACCATCACATTACACTCCTATGTCTCAAAGCAGGAAAAAAAAACCAAGTACATCTAGAGACATGAAATAAGCATAATCAAAGGGTGGCAGGACACGGACCCGCATGAAATAAAGCAGATGAGTTGCCTAGGGTTTCAACGATTGGACCACTCCCCCACACTTCGCCCAAAGATATTGAAGCTGATGCCCTCGCATCGTGAGGTTGCGCTCAAGGACGTTGTTACCCTCTGAGAGGTCCGTAAAGGGGGGCGAGGGGAACCATGGCACCCCGGCAGTTGCTTTCTTTTGCAACCCTGTTTTTACTGCTCCAGCGTTGCAAGAAAGATCAACAGTTCTACACTAAGCGTTCTTCCGAGGGGCGACAGGCGACAGCACCGGACAGGCTTCAGGTCTGCCACGATGTAGGCAAGCCTGCCAAACAATCTTGATGTGCAGCAGCAGGGAAAAGGGGTAGCCTGGCTGTCGTCTGCAGCATGTGGCTAGATCTTGTGCTACCTTGTGTACGCGGTGGCTGGTAATCGGAACTAGCCCTACCCCTTTCTCGGCGTGCAGCCGCAGACGACAACGACGACAACAACGGAGGAGGAAGATTTCAAACCGGTGTGACGTGCTGCTGCTGTTGGACTTTGTTTCCTGAGGGGTCACTGCCGGCCAGAAGCCGAATTCGACTAGACAAGTTGCGCCGTCGTACATATGTACGCGTGGATATGTATGTGTGACATGAGAGCAAGCGACAAAGGAGGCACATGGAGGTCTGTCAGGTTCTGTAAGTAAGCTTGAGCTATGCCGGTTCAGCGAGAGCACCGAGGTCCTGCATATGCGTGTGTCGTTTGGTGTGAGAGTGCGAGAGTGTGGGAGGAAAGGTCGAGTGGCAGGAGATGATGTGTGATAACCAGTTGTATAATAATCCGTCATGGGATAACCTCCCAAGCAGTTATATGATAAGCAGTCATAGGATAACCTTCTTCAGGTCATGAGATAACCTCCTGTTACAAGACCTCTTGTGGGACAAAGTCTGATGGGGGCAACATCTTATGGGATGACCTCTTTGAGATAACCTTCATTAGCCGCGGAAGAACAGACAAAAGAGGCGCTTCCTCGCCCCGACATCTCAAGGTTTCTTTGATGGGTATGAGCGGTGTGTGCGCAGTCGTGAGGGAAGTTGTGCAATAACAAAGCAGAATCTAGGTGTACCAGATGTGAAGTAAAGTACAGTACAGTTTACAGTATTCTTTAGCAACGGAAAACCATGTGCTGTGGTCCCTTAGTGTACAGTAGCCTAGACATAGACATGCCCAGATAAAGTCCAACCTGCCCCTCAGGCCCCTCCACGCCCTGTGCGCCGTGTTCCCCTTGCTCCCTGCTCCCTGCTCCCTGCTCCTTTGCTCCTTGCTCCTTGTTCCATCCTAGCTTTTCGTACTTGCTTTCTTCCTCTTGGCACCTCGTGCTCTTCAGGGGCCCCTCACCACCCCTGACCATGACATGACCTGACCTGATGGGCCCTGACAGTCCCTACCAGACACCAGACACCAGACAGAAACCGACACAGACCGACAAAGACCGACACAGACCAGACCTCTCTACTGTACTTGCAGCTTTGCAACACCCTGACGCGGGCCCAGCCCAGTCCCCTAGTCTCGCAGTCTCTCAGTCTCTCAGTCTCTCAGTCCAGGGGACTGCAGGTCCAGCCGGGTGCATTTGCAGGGCGCATTTGCATTTGCAGGTGCACGCACACACTACGTAGCCCACTCTACGTGAGCCCGCGCGCTAGGGACGCTACGTAGTCTATCTATTTGCTGCCGCATCAGCTCCGGGTCAACCTTGGAATCAAGTAGGGAAAACCAATCCGGCCCTGGAGCTTTTGTTTCTCAAACAGGACAGGCATTTAGCCAATGACAAGTGGGCGACGGGCGGGAACTAAATACAATACAGGGAACCTGAGGGAAAAAGAAACTGAGTGAGAAGGAGAGAGAGAGAGAGAGAGACAGGAATGAGAGACGGAAAAGCGATGAAAAGAGAGAAAGGGACCAGTCCCATTCTGTAACGCAACGCAACACACACAGCGCAACCCAACCCTCCCCGAAAAGCACCACACGGCTGCACGTTGCGGCGACGACACCAATCCTCTTCCTCCTTCCCCCACGACGACTGGTCTTTTACCTGATCGCCTCCTGCGCCTGGCTGTTGCAGCGCCGCATTCCTCCTTGTTTCCCCCCTCCTCGACGACCCGCAAGCACTGCACCTACATATCAAAGAACCCACACCTACTGTGACCTCCCTCTAGCAACCCACCCTACACAGTAGTTCTTCCTGACTGCCAGAGACGAACGAGATACGCTGAACCAGTCCAAAGAACACACACACACAGCGTGGGCGACTGCACCGTGGCACCGTGGCGCCAAGCCTCAACTGCTCGAAGGGGGCCCATCCTACTGCACTGAATGTGTGCGCGCCTCGCTGACCCTCGACTTGCTCAACAAGCCCCTCGACCATCTAGACTAGTTAGTCTATCTCCCCGCGAGTCTGGGCATCTCGGAGCTTCTCCTGGCTGTCACATCGCCTAGTCTTCTTCGGCGCCTACCCGCCCCGCGTCCCTTTACCTCTACCTCTGCCTCTGCCTCTGCCTCTGCCTCTGCCTCTGCCACTGCACCGAGCGTCCACCAGCTGCCAGCTGAAAGTTGTGGGCAAACCGGGTTTCTCATTATCGTCGTCGTTATTCTTGTCGAAGAACCCAAGGAAAGAGTCACGCGGTTGTGATAGGGCAGATACTGCAGCTATTTTGGGGAAAGTCCTCGTTCTGTCCCAGCACCCCAAGCTCGGCGCGGGCGATCCTTCGGCCTCGGCTCGAATACCGACACTCTATCTGACTCCAGCAATCTCTCTAGTCGACCCGGCTAGGCGCTACGATAATACGTTACAGCATACCGCGTCCCTGAGTACCCCGATACAGTCTTGCAAGACTGAAGTGGCTCCGACCTGACTCTTGACCTGTCTGGCGGAGGAGGGAAGCGCTCCTCGAGAAGCAGCCTGTCTGTACCTGTGCTGTGCTGTGCTGTGCTGTGCTGTGCTGTGCTGTGCTGTGCCGCACCGTGCCGTCTTGTCTGACTGTGCGTGCGTGCGTGCGTGCGTGCGTTGCAGTGGGCAGCCAGGCAGCCCACCCAAAGTCCCAGTGGCCCGCCTGCCCGTCCGGTCCCTGGCGGACGTCTCGGTCTGTGCGCGCCCCACTGCGACGGACTTCCTGACTTTCCCAACGTCGCACACACGCCAGGCCAAGCTCGACCTATCCGTCGTCTTCTGGGGGCAATCTCCGACCAACCTTTCCCAATCCTTTCAGCCTTTTCCGCCCCACGATACTTTCGAAAGCCAGTTGACGACCTTCGGCGCTCTTTCTGGAAGCCATTCTCGAGGCAGATTGAAATTGAAATCTGCAACGCAGGGCCCAGGGGTCCTCGCCCTGTGCCGACAAAGGTACAACCCCGACCTGTCACTGTCACCCACTCACTCGCCCACTCACCCACTGCCTCTGCCCCCACAGACCATCAATCATGGTCTCTCTCTCTCATTCTCACTACCCGCGGCACGCTCTCTCCGTCGTGAACCTTGCCCCGAGGCCCTCGCTGCTCGCTGCTCGCTGCTCACGCCTCCTGGCCGCCTCTGGTTGCCATCTTGACGAGGCGAGGGAAAAGTCATGCTCTCGCCCCCTCATCCCCCCTTCGACTCACAAGCCTTGCCCCGTTCGTCGCCCCATACCTGGTTTTGGGACCCATCATCGTCATCCTCTTCCTCCTCGTGTTACCCCCCGTTCCCCTTGAATCCCACGCCTCCCCATATACCACCACATCCGCGTACCCCCAGAGCTACCTACCATGTAGACTGGCTACCTTGAGCCTGCCATCGTCCCGAGATCCCGCCCGTTTCCATCCAAGTGGTAAGCTGTCATTCTCATGCCCGAGTATAATCCTAGTCGCAGCACGCGTGGGTCCCACCGCCGTGGGTCGCTTCGCTCCTCGACTCATCTGGGATACATGACTGCCCCTGTCGCCCCAAATAAAGCCCCTGTTCACCGTACTGCTTCCAGAAGTCTTTTCTATTACCGTCCTCTCTCCATTGTGCCCCCTTTCGAGGCGGTCTGCTGTCTGTCATTACCGTTGTTCCTTTACATGGTCCCCGATGATATTCCTAATTACCCTTCTCCTCATGGCGATGTTCTAATATTCTTACCCTCCCGCATTCCGCATCACCGCACCTTAGCTTCACCGGGCCTCTCCTCTCTCTCCGCCCCGTCCGGTGATCAGTCTCCAGTCTGTTGCGGGCATAGAGATCGGCGACGCCCGTGTGGGCGGGTGTAGCGAGTCGCCGTGTTGATGATCGACGGCGGTAGCCGAGCTGACGACGATGAACAATGCAGGTCACCAGTACCAGGGAAGCCAGGGAGGCGACATCTCCCGCTTTTCCGACTCTGAGAGCGAGATTGACGAGCTCCGAATCCGAGATCGACCACCGCCTACGCCGTCAAACAAGTCCCCATCGGACATCTTGACCAGCTTCTCCCGTGGCTTCGCTAAGCTGAAGCGGCAGCCCTCTCAATTGGTTCTGAAGCACAACAGGGAGCAATCTGCGCCGACTCCGGAGCCAGGCACATCTTCTGCGCCCATCATTACCACGAGCCGATCGCCTGCGCCGCCAGTTCATCAGCATGCCCGCAGTCTAAGCTTTCAGAACAGTCTTTCCAAGCCTCTCCCAGAGCCTCCACCACCGAGCCCAGGCACGCCCGTCGCATCACAACTGTCTCAACCTCTCTCTCCTCAACCTCACTCACCCCAAGGGCCACAGGCTCCACAGGGCTCTCAGGCTCCGCAGGGCTCGCCAAACCCCCAGGCTCCACATCATCAGCATCAGAGCAGCTTGGCTACAATCCTGGACACCAACGCCTACAGCGACCCGGACCCAGCCAGCGAAACCGAGGGAGACAGTCGGACGAGCACCATGGACTCGACCAGTTCAGAGGCACAAAACTACATGGCTGGAGCGGGCGGTAGACAGAACGGCGGAGATGAGTCGCAAAAAGACAGCCTGACCCCAAAGAGTGTTGGCCCAAACTCCGCTGGGCCATCGCCTAATGTCAACCAGGCGAGAACACCTGCCATGGGCGCTGGGTCATCACCAGCCTCGGGTCTGCTATGCAACGTGCACAGAACAACCGGCCGGGAGCCGCACCCCTTGGTAGGCGCAACCACGACGATAGTGGGAGACAAGCTCTACGTATTTGGCGGAAGGATATTATCTAGGAGCCGACCTACGCCTCTTACTTCGGACTTGTACGAGCTCGATCTTATTCGCCGGCATTGGACCAAACTTGAGACGTCGGGGGATATCCCTCCTCCGCGATATTTTCACTCCATGTGTGCTCTAGGCGACACGAAGATGGTCTGCTACGGCGGCATGTCGCCAGCTCAAACATCGCCCGGAGCTGTCGACGGCCAAGGCGATGTCACAGTCATGTCTGATATCTACATTTACGATGTTTCGACGAGGAAGTGGACATTCATACCGACGTCAGACGCACCGCAGGGTCGATACGCTCACTGCGCTTGTGTATTGCCCTCATCGGCAACTTTTGCATCGTACAAAGCCCCATTATCGGCTCTTCAACACAATCCCTCGACCGGTGCCAACGAAGGCCGCATCGGGATCAACATTGACGGAACGGGCGGCGCCGAAATGGTTGTGGTCGGGGGTCAAGACGGGGCGAATCACTATATCGAGCAGATAAGCGTCTTCAATCTTCGGTCCTTGAAGTGGACATCAACACAACCTCTGGGCAAATCGTGTGGTGCCTATAGGAGCGTATGTGCGCCGCTGCCTCCAGCTGTGACGGCAAAAATAGGCAAGGCGAGCACGAATGGGGCGCAGCGGTCAGAAAGTGGTATCAGCCAGGAAGCCCGAGAACCCGGCTCCTCGATGCTAATCTACTCCAACTACAATTTTCTCGATGTCAAGCTCGAGTTGCAAGTGCGTTCCAGCGACGGGACGCTCAGCGAAAAGCCCATGTCCAACGCGTACTCGCCACCCGGGCTTAGGTTCCCCAACGGCGGCGTCATTGACACCTACTTTGTGGTCAGTGGCACGTACCTGACATCTTCGAAGCAAGAATACGCACTTTGGGCCCTCGACCTACGGAATTTGCAATGGATGCGAATCGATGCAGGCGGTAATGTGTTCAAAGAAGGTAGTTGGAATCGCGGGGTGTTGTGGAACCGCCGTAACACGTTCGTTATTCTTGGTCACCGGAAGCGAAGTTTGGTAGACGATTACAATCACCGCCGTATCAACTTTACGAACGTGTGCATGGTCGAGCTTGAGGCCTTCGGCTTCTATGACAACCCGCGCAAGGTCAGCCCGATGTCGGGTTTCATCTCGGCTAGTGGGCCATACAACGGCCCCGGTTTGAGTTTGGCACGAAAAGCGGGAGCCACTGCCGGAGGACGTTTTCACTCGAGAGCGAGCGAGGAGCTGGGTGAGAAGGCGTTGGCCATGCGCGAGCTGGCAGACATGGACATCCTCTGTATAGGAGGTGAGAGGATACCGATCAATTCGAGGATAGTAGCGCGACGATGGGGACCGTACTTCGTACAGCTGCTGAGGGAGGGCACCGCGATGCAGGACGGGAGTGACTCGGTGACGCTGAGATCCGTCGGTGCTTCGGGGGGTGGTGTACGGAGCTCCATGATGACCATCACGCCTGCAACACGAACCATGTCGAGGGACACGGACATGTCTACAGCTACTACGTTAGCAGGCTCGTCGTCAGGCGGCAGTTTCTCAGGTCCTTCGGGATTAGGGCCGTCCGGCACCTCCAGTCAGGAAACGGCCAACCCCAACGCTGCGCCGACACCGCGCTCAATGCCTCCGAACTCACGCCCACGTTGTCTCTACCTTCCGCACACCTACCTTACAGTCCAAGCCCTCCTCCACTATCTCTACACGAGTAGCCTCCCGGCGCCGAGCTCGCCGCTCTGCACGCCACAGATACTCTGCTCATTGTTGCAGATCTCCCGGCCGTATCGCATTGATGGTCTCCTCGAAGCCATCGTCGATCGCCTTCATACTCTCTTCGAGAACCGTAATGCAGCAGCCATTTTCAACGCTACTGCAATGGCAGCAGGTGGTGGGCGCGGCATTGACGGTACGCTCAACCCGAACTACTTCATCGTGAGCGGTCTAGATTCCGCGGGCAACGACTCTGCCCAGGGCGCCATGAACGGCACGGCAGGCGAAGAGATGTATGCGAATGGTGGCGCAGGCAACAGAGCCACGGCACTTCGTATCAACACTTCTGTCCCTGGTCAAAGTGGACGACCACCATCCGATGAACTCTCGGCTACGACGAGTGTGAGTGGAAGCGAGTGGAGTGCCAGCGAGATCAGTGACTCGGAACGACGGGGTAGATATCGCGAGGTGTGGAGTGGCGAGTTCAGCAGTGTGATTGGGCTGCAGAAGCGCGGGCTCAGAGGCCTCATGGAGGGCCGAAAGTTGAGAGAACGAACTGGTACGGCCACAGGAACGAACCCCATTGGCACAAGGATTGGATTGGGTATTGCGGGTGGCGGGAGCTGAGGAGTTGTCACCGGTAATATTCTAGACGGCACTCTACCTCCCACTGACCAAGCGCACCGTCTACGTACCAGCTAGGTATAAGAAGAGCAGTAAAATGTGTAAGTGTTGACCGCTGAAATCCTTAAGAGGCATTGAGCTAGTTCGGCTCACCCGAGGGAGTGCGGCGAGAGACCCTAATCGTGTGGACGGAGCGGGAGGGAAGGCGCGTCGCGGTGTTCTACTGCAAGGATAGGTGTAAGGAGATGAAACAGGGTACAAGGACGCCGGGAGGAACTGGAAACGGAGGAAATCAATAAACGAAGGGGGCACCGACCAGTCAATCGATGCTCCAGGATCTCACGAGATTCCTTACGGCCGAGGTATTATTGCATGTACAGCAAGCAGCATTGCCCATCTGGCGTTGGCTAGCAAATGCTAGGGATGGGGACTCAAATACTAGTGTTTACTTTTCCCAGGACAGAGTTGACTCTGGTACACACCTAAGTGTCTTCCACCGAGGCAAAGGGGATCTCATCCTCTTCGATCCAGAGGGGCTGCGCTGTTGAGGAACAATGACTTCTTTTCTGTTTCCACCCCCCTTATTCCTTGGCCTCAATTTGGCCTCAAGCCACAGTCTCACCGTGGCTCTGAATCACATTTTAGATGTCCGCTCGCTCTAGCCATTGGTTTCTCCAGGAACATTTGGCATATCTCAGGTTGTGCCTCGGTGACGCAAAGGCCTTCTACTGCAGTTTGGGCGGACTCCTTAGGGGTTGCAAGCAGCAATCAGGCTCCAGCCAAGGACAATAGACCTGCACGCACGCAGCCCTTTTGGAGCCTTCGTAGACTTTGGCACCCTCCTCAATCACAATCACAACCAAATCAAGGAGCACAAAGTACAAACGCAAGAGAAAGGAAAGAAGTAAAATTTAAACCCCCTCTTCTCCATCACGTATCATCAAAGACAGATATCAACCAAAAGCAGTTTCACCCTTGCGCACCGCGCCGAAGGCAAACAAAATAGCCTCCCGCAACATCAGCCAGAGTCACGTCTGCGGCCTCTTCTACGTTGATACGGCCTCAGAATACCCCCAATCCCGTTCCCGGGTCAGAAGGTATCTTCCACGAGTCTCTCTGACCGCCTGCACCCGGATCCTTTCAACTGTTTCTCGCACAGTACTCACGCAGACCTTCACCAACCCTTCGTCGTCAGCCACTATCCCCGAGCTGCGATACACTTTTCCTCTGTGCGATGGCGTTTCGATTGTTGGCTTCACATGTACTATCAGCCAGGACCGTGTGATCCGTGGAATCGTCAAGGACAAGCAACAGGCCCGTCAGACCTACGAGGGCGCTGTCAGTCGTGGGGAGACTGCTGATCTCCTCGAACAGTTGCCTGATGGCAGTGACATTTCTACTACTATCATCGGCAATATCTCTGGCAATGCGAGTGTTCAGGTCGAGATCATCTACCTCGGTGAGCTCAAGCACGATGCCGAGATCGATGGCATCCGCTTTACGATCCCCACATCTATCTGTCCTCGTGATGAAGATTACCCTGGCAAGCTGTCGAAAAAGCCTATCACTGTGTCCGATGGCAATAGCATCACGATTACGGTTGACATTGAAATGCCAAAGGGTACGCTGAAACCTTGCAGTCTTCAAGTCACCCCATCGCCGTGACACTTGGATCAACCTCCCAGTCCAACCAAATAATACAACCCTCACTGCAGTTCGCTTCCGCCTCTCTCTCAATCGGCACAGCCGAACTCGACAAGGACTTCGTTCTACAGGTTTCGTCCAACGACATCTCTCGCCCTGTTGCCATTCTTGAAACACACCCTACTTTTCCCAGTCAACGCGCTCTGTTGGCCACGGTCGTCCCGAAGTTCAGTGTCCCTCGCAGTCCTCCACTCCGCCCGGAAATCGTCTTTGTCTGCGACAGGTCGGAATCCATGCGTGGTCAAAGGGGCTAAAGCCTGAGATCCGCCCTGCAGCTCTTTCTCAAGTCCCTCCCCAGGGGCGTCAAGTTCAACATCTGCAGCTTTGGTAGGAGCTACTCCTTCCTCTTCCCAGAGGGTTCGAGGCCGCACGGTCAGCCGAGCTTGGCCGAAGCTGTGCGCCACGTACAGAACTTCGAAGCCGACTTGGGTGGGACCGAGATGTTACGCCCTGTCGAGGCTGTTTTCATGAAGAGATATGCGGATATGAACCTCGAGGTTTTCGTGCTGACCGATGGGGCCACAAAGGACCAGAAAAGCCTATTTGATATTGTCAACAAGGAGGTTGAGGCAAGCGACGGTGCCATTCTCCTATTCACTCTTGCTGTGGGCCAGGATGTAAGCCATAGTCTGGTGGAGGGGCTCGCAAGGGCAGGTTCTGGCTTGGCTCAAATTGTTGGTGAGAATGAGAAGATGGATTGCAAGATTGCAAGGATATTGAAGAGCGCCTTGACACCTCACGTCAGCGACTTCACTGTCGCGTTGAAGTATACAGAAGGGGAGATGTCAACTCTCGAGGGCGATGATGATTTCGATCTCGTCGACCACGTAGTCGCTGCGGAAGTTGCTCGTGTTTCAATAGACGACGTGACGTCAGGCGAAAGTCATGAGGAGGAAAGTGGCACGAAGAATCCTATCTGCTTATTCGATCCCAGCGCCGACCCAGATGATGAGATTGAATCCGCAGTCACAGATCGCTTCGCCTACGTCCCGGCAATTTCACCTCCAAAAGTCCTTCAGACGCCCTTCCAGATCCCACCTTTGTTCCCTTTCAACCGCACTAGCGTGTATTTACTCCTTTCGTCCCAGTCGGAGGGTGTCCCGCAGTCCATCGTCCTCCGTGGAGATACATCCAAGCATGGTCCTCTCGAGTTGGAGATCCCGGTGTCTACACATACCCCAGGCGAGACCATTCACCAGCCGGCTGCTCGCAAGACAGTATTGGAGCTCGAGGAGGGGCGGGGATGGATTTGCGACGATAGTCTTGGGCTCAAGGAGAAGTACCCAGGTCACTTTCCCGAAATTGTCCAGCGTGAGGCCGTCCGCTTGGATATCCGATTTCATGTTAGCGGCAAGTGGTGCTCTTTCGTCGCTGTGGAAGTGAACAGTGATGACGATGATAAGAGCCTCGTGCGAAAGAAGGCCGAGACACAGGATTCTCGAGAAATACAAAAGCCGGGTGAGCGGTTTCCAGCATGTCATATGTCTACCCATCCCATCAGCGAGATGTTTGACATGCCAAAATTATCTGTGGAATCCGGATAGGCACACACTAACATTTCGCAAGTTTACTCTAAATCGAGTGAGAAGTTAGGTGGAGAAGCGCATTTCTCCTTCGCTGTGCCACCTGGTATTTTTTCAGCGATACCGAGCTTGGCACCTTCTGGACAATCAGAACCTGTCGGGAGTCCGGCTAGTTTTGACGCTTCTGACGGGGGAAGCTCATCTCCCAATGTCACTTTGCGGGTAAGTTTGTCCATGACTCTGTGGGTGGTCAAGATATTCGGCATCGTTGAGCTCTGTGTCTGTCGACCTTTTCATGAAAGGAATTAGCTGACCTGTGTGAATAATACAAGCGGAGCGGTCCATCAAACTTTGGTTCATTTTGTATGCCTCGCAGTACAGAGCTCCGGGCTGGCTCTGGTCGCGCCTTTGGCAGTGGCTTTCAGCAAAGAACTCAAAAGTTTTCGGGAAGGGAGCTGCGAGGGGCCCAAATCACCTGGCGGTCCAAAAATACTCACAGTTCCAACATCAATGCTCAAATTCATGACAACGTCCGGAGCGCCATTGCGTCAATTGAGAGCTCTACTGTGCTGCAGGCCCTCGTCCGCCTGCAAAACTTCATTGAGTCTTGGCTCTGGGGGCCTGAGCTGCTCTGCGCAGTTGGTCTCACGAAAAGCCCGCTCAGTGATGTTGGCCTGGACAAGACCGAGCGGTTCGTTGATACAATTCACCGCACCGGCCTTGCCACCAACCTCGACGGGGTGGCTACGGTCTTGGCACTGCGTTCCTTCAAGTCAAGGCCCCCAGCGAGAGATAAGCCTGGGAGCTGATAGCGGACAAAGCTACAGACTGGCTGAAGGGTCAGCTGATTCAGTATGCGGATGGCTCGGAGAGGGTTGAGAAGGCCATAGGGGCTGCCGAGGGTTTGTTTTGATTAGCGACTAGCTTGGGGATGTGAATATGTGCTGCTTATCTAGACGTCTTCATTAGAAATTGCCAGACCTTGAATTCGATGACTGCGATGTCTCGTGATGAAGGGAGTGTTGCGCTGTTCTTGAAATGGCGCATATTTCAAATGTCCCCTATGACCATGTTCGCGAACAGCAGTCATTAGATGACTGTCTAGGAAACCTATCGTGGTGGGTATATGTACAGTTCGGAGAACCAGAGAAAGCACTACTTGCTCTTACAAGATATAGCTCAAGCATAACTGCATATCTAACCACCACATCAGTGACGAGGCAGCCTCTGATAGAGTCAAGCTGAAGGAGAATCGTGGAAAGCCATGCAGTGAGACTGTTAGCATCCTGGCTGATTTATCCACTTTTACTTATGCCATAATTCTAGCATCAAAGATTTGCATTTACAAATATTGGGTTGAAAGATCTATGCAGGCACTACAGTAGCATGGCGTTTCCACATAAATCGCCTTGCTGGCCTACGCTGGACCCCTGCCATCAAAGAACACCTCGTCTAGAACTAATCAAGGGTATAAGAGTTAGCATTTCCTAATCAGAAGATATCGCTAGCCCTCAAGTAATATAAAACAATCTCTTGAATCTGAATAGTGACTAGAGATGAGGGCAAGAAAAAGAAAAAAATTCATTGAGGTTCGCTTACGAGTGTATAGAACCTGTTGGCCGGCCCACTGCTCCTCGGCGGCGCCCCTGATAAGTTCGGGCGGCAAGACAAAGCCAGAATCGCCGGTGTCAGGAAGCTCAATGGTGTAGGAGAAACCCGCACCTCCGATAGCGTAGACGTGGTCTGGAGCAGCGCCGGTGGTGGTATAAAGAGTCGCGCCACTAGGACCAAAGGTGAACGTTGTGCGTCTGTCTGAACTGTCACGGATTGTCTCGCTCAGAAGCGAGGCCGTCTTGGTCCACTTCCCAAGCTCTGGTGCGTACCACTCCTCTTTGGACCCAAAAGGTGACAGGATGTATTGACCGTAGCTGTGCCAATCGATGTACAGCTTGATACCGACGCTATCGCGGAGCTTGCGTACATACGAGTCGAGGCCTTGGTTTTCGATGGTGTCTGAGGGCTTCTGGCCCCTATATGTTTGCGCGCAGGCATTGGTCGATGCTCCCAAAGAGTTCACGTCCCACCCGTATTCCCAATTTCTGTTTATATCTGTACCGAAGCACGATTGGTTCTGAGGTGGTGGCGGAGGAGGACTGCGATTCTTACGCCAAAGGCGATCAACCGTCTGGGTGTGGACAAAACCTTGAACGCATGAGCGAAATTGTCTTTCAACTGCCACAGGGCAACTTACCATCTGGATTTACAATAGGGAAAATGTGGAAGTCGTATTGGTTGAGTATAGATTTCGTGGCGTTGGTCTTGTGAGCCGTGATCAGCTGCAGAGTGAGATATTCGACAACCTGCATGAATTAGCCTCATCTTTCAATATGAGGTGTATGTAATTTCGTTAGACGCACCGGGGCCGTAATCCATTCTCTAGCGTGTACCGTGCCATGATACAACACCGCCGGCTTTCCTGGCCCGTCGTCACCGTAAAGGTGAATTCCGTGGATGGAACGATTCTCATGGGAACGACCAGAGGAAATTAGTTCCGAGTTGTCGAGGAAAGCCTCATGAAGGTCGCTTAAGTACTGAACATGATCCGCATATGAATGATATGAGTCGTACCAAGAGAGGTCGTCAACGTCGCGTCTGTAGCTATCCTTCACCTTGGACTCGGCAGTGATCGATTCTCCCAGATTCTTATGCAAGGTTCGGTAGTCGAGCTTTAGCGATTCTAATTTCAGTATTTGGTCTGGAGCAACGACTATGTCGATGTGGCTGTCGACATCGTGGTTCCACTGTTCGAATGAAATTGAGGAAAGTTTCCCTTGAATGTTAGCAACTTCGCCCAAGGTTTTTACCCGAAGGACCTGATATCCCTCGTAAGAGACGGAATGGCTGCTGGAGACGACAGCGCCCGCAAAAAGCAAAGCCGAAAGCGAAGAAAAAAGGTGCCTCTTCATCGTGGTAGCAATGAAGGAGTGATCTAGGTACGAGCGGTACTGGGCTTGGAAAACCCCCTCCACCTCTGGGACTGGTCAACTCATTTTATAGGTCGTTCAGAGTTACGCGGCCCTCTTCGAGCTTTGGCACACGCCCAATAAATCGAACGATAATTGTGCGCGAAGACCGTCTCTTCGAGCACATCATCTGCAAAGCACTTTGGCAGCAGATCTGGCTCGTAAATACTGCGCTGATGATTTCCGCAAGTGCGTGAATGATGTAAACAAAGGATTCTACCTTCCAATTTGACTCTAGCGGTTGCATGGCATTTCTTGACATTTTCTCTAGCTACCCCAAAACCCTGATCTTCGTGATTTGTCTTGCTAATGACGTTTGCGTGCCAATTTCTTTTCTCTAAACGTCGGGGGGTTGTAGTTATATTGTGACAATTTCATCTCTTTCTCGGATACCAACCTTGCAGCGTATGCTTGTTCTGTAGCTTGTGAATGAGAATTCCGAAGCGACAGATCCACCACCTTTTTGTCGAGGTAAATGCGAGTCATATATTCATGTATTGTTCAGTCACTGGAGACTGAATTATAACATGAAATTATGATAGGTATGGCATCATCCGACCGCACAGTGGGGCCTGAGATGTCTATTATGAGCTCTTCACTGGAATTCAATCAACTAGCCCGCATACGTTATTTGAATGGTCAAAAGTTTTCTTTGTGAGTGTTGTTGGAAGCATGTGGTAAATGCTTAGGACGCATTTATCTCGTTGGAGACTAGCCATGTACAGCTCTGAAAGAAAGAACGTGGGAGCGAGATGCACATAGTTACATTTTGCTAGACAGGGAGGCAATATGGCAACAACAGTCAGGCTCTCATTTGCGCACGAGTTTTAGTTGGAAATCATCTTTCTTCTTATTCTAAGAGGTATAGGTATTGTATAATCCATATTATTCTGCGTACAACAAATGGATCCTTCAGATAACTAGAGTTTCAAAACTGGTGAGTATTGATTCCACACGAGCACTGGCATATCTAGGTAAAGACGAGACATGTTCACTGTATTGATATTGCCCAGCCTCAGGGACCGACCAATATATATCAAACCTACTCTTGATGAACACAAAACAAGGTCACCCTTGCTTGATCAACTTCTCATGAAGCAATTTGCCCAGTATCGAGGTTTATCGATGCTGGAAATACCACAAAGCGCCCACGCAGCGTTCACTATCTGCAGCCTCAATGTCAGCGCGTGATCACTGCGTAGTATAGGGCCGGGAGCTGGCTGCATGACATGGTGTCTTAAATGGTCGGAAGATTTTACTTCATTTGGTAACTCATAGCATTAGTCAACCAATCAACCTAAGTCAGTCGTGGCAGTCATACCCACCACAACTTCGCTGCAACAATATACGGACGATATCATAATCTGATTGAAAAATAACACCTGCTTGAAAATATGACATTCTGTCAGGTTTGGCTGTGTTGGCGGCGGGGCCTCTGGAACATCAAGCAGGACTTTGTTGAAAAAAGCACTGAAAGCATTGCCTCGTGGAACAAATTGTAGACGTAGGTGGGTATTTTCCTTCTCCTCTTGCGATATTCAGAAAAGATGTGAAAAGCCTGTAGCGCAATCTCATCCGGAAAAGCAATCTGATTGTTTCAATTCTTCGCTGGCAGGGTCTGAAGCAGCATCACTCCTGATCGGGAGCATGATCGAGTCCCCGAGCTGTCAAAATCGATAATCCAAACTCAATTTGCCTGCCCGCGTCCCGCATGATCTTCCTTGATGTAGAATTGTGTGATTTGGCACGCAAGTGGCAGTCGGCGTCCATTTACGAATCCCGAACTCGATTATGCAGGAGCTCGGGCTCAAACTCTCGGCACCCATTACTCGGGATCCCCCCTTGTGAGTCCCCTCGAGTCAGCATGAGTTTAATTGACATTATATCACTGGAAGGCAAGCACGGGAATCACAGCAAGATAGGGCAAGCAGCGGGGTAGAATGTTGCTGATGCAGAGTTGATTCGTCTCTCGTCATCATCGAGATTGAGTTCGTGGAGCTGCATCCGGTTTCTTCGCACATGCTACCTATATCCGGCACAAGCCCCCTATATATTGAAGATCTGATTCAAGAGAGTCTACCACACGGATCATCAAGATGATACCGGCGAGGATAATATCTCATTGTCATCTATAGCCATCAACTGGGTGTCGATGCGATCGACAGCTCGAAACGCAATGCGCACATGATTATGTTCGATAAGCAGCGGAACCAGGACAACCGACTAGACATTCAAGGGGATCAATCAAGAGATACATTACTGGAGTCATTGCGTCTCCTCTTCGTGACTGGACGTGGGATGTTACATATGTGCCGATGCCAATGTAACGAACTGACTTCAGCCCGCAAACTCCAGCAAGGAATTTGCACCATATACACTAGGAACCATCGCACAGATGTGAGCCTACCGCGGCAGGACAGACGCAGGTCGCCCGCACTTCAGCAACATTTGGCAGGCTTAGAACACAGCCTGATCAGACGGTGTCACATCAGGGTGGCAAGGCTTTTGGGACGCCAGGGACGTCTAAATGGCATCCTTGTTCGACTTATGGTGGCTAGGATTTCGGCACACGGAACCGACACTCTAATGGGTCATAGTAAAACTGGACTATGAACTGGCTGATCTCAAGGGTCATCCCAGAGCCCAACGTGCTGTTTTGCCCCTCGGGACGGGACCCAGATGAACTTCGGATCGCCGCTAACGCCGCAAGACCATGCTGACCCATTGTTGTCCTCCAGGTAAATGCAACAGCATCGAAAATCCAAATAGCTATTCCTCCTTGAGCCACTTCTGATTAAGTTTGTGTTTCCATGTTGAACAGATAAAGTCACGATTAGTGCTAGCATATCGCAATTATATTGAAGCAGCGCATTTTATGACTTCGGAGGATAAGACGACCACGACCACGTGTGCCTAGAAATTTGACAACGGAGTTCGAGAGCATGTACGTTGACAAGTGTTGTTACAATTTGTGGAGAAGCCCTCTGTCCTATTTTCACACTTTTCTTCTGCGACGACAACAGCACAAGAGCAAGTCATGAGCTTGTGAAAGACGTCTCTAATTGCGTGTGTCTCAATCATGGTCTACTTACAGTGAGCGAGCCCTGCCAAGAACAGCTTGGGTATCTGGAGCCGACAGTGGCCGTCGCCATTAGAGCTCAATCCGCACCACATATACGTTCGTAGGGGATGCTGAAAATGCTTGGACAATTTTTGAAAACTTAGCTGAATGAGATCTGTAGCCCGTGATTGCAACCACTAGAGGTTTAGTAGCTGTACCCATGTCGCGATAGAGCGGGGCCTAAACTTCATCCTGAGATAGAATGAATCTTACAATGCTTGACTGCGTTGGGCCTGTTCACTCCATCCCGGTCCGACCAGAAGCCGAACTCGAAGACAACCCGTTGCAGCCAGGTCGAGCTCTCTCCTCAAGGCCGCACAATGGCCGCCTTGCAGAGCCCGGCCAAGCCAAAACGTGGTCATATGAAAGCTTTGGGGAATAGTCCTGGGGAGCCCCTGTCTGCACCCATCACCATGCATACGCACGGTCGACGACCTGCGTCTGTATCCATGTCCTATATCACATCACCATCTACGCCTTTTCTGCGCAGGTCCCACGAAACAAAGTTTCGGAGACCTTCCGCTAGGAAAATAGTCCAGACACCAACTGAAGCCCACTAGCTACGCCGCAATGCAACGCCTAGAGGTTGTAGTGGACGGGATATATCACATGATGCCCTGCTGCTATAGGCGCAACGGGGAGCTGCCAGAGATGCCGCAGGATAGCGGTCGAGCCCATGTTTCTGGGTCGTGATCTACACATCTGCTGTCACAGACCAAAAGTCGCTTTGACCATCCCAACTTGTGGAGGGGGGAACTTTGACCTGTTTTCTTGCAACCCTACAACGGTGCACTGCTTGAAGTATATATCTTGGCAAAAATGTCACCATGTATTCCTTCCGACCAAAACTCGTCCCCGATCCGCTTGCGTCCACTTTTTCCAATTGATACCTGTACCTCGCTACTGAATGGACTTCATGGTGCAGTCATTGTTTTTTTGTATTAGTATCGCACTCGTCGAGAACAACACTTTCCGGCTAGGACTGGCAAACCTAACATGACAACTCTCATTGACCTAATTGGAGTCGTGGACAATCTGGGAGAGGAGCAGCCAGTCCTCAACCGACGAGCAGCGATATTGGGTATAGTAATATCGTTCCAGATACTCACGACGATATGCGTAATTTTCAGATTATACACGCGCTTTTTTATCATGCGCTCTCCATGGTGGGATGACCTCTTTGTTGCGCTGAGCTTGGTGAGTGCGCAGCTGACCCACGGGTCCCATCAACAGTCTCGGCAAACTTGACAATTACCTATGTACAGCGCCCTGCTGACTCTACCGACAGCTTTCCGTCACAATCGGAGGCATAGCCATGTGCGTCATGACCACTACCGGCATGGGTCAGCATCTTTTACTCTTATCGACTAAAGAATTCGAAGGGTACTTACGGGTGTGTACCAACTTTCCCCTCAACTAGTCCTGCGTGTGCGGTCCCGCTGAAATGCTATTCCCGAAAGGCTTTTTGGATAGCCAACGCGACATACCCCGGCTCGACAGCGTTCATCAAACTGGCCTTGCTCTTCCAGTACCTGCGGATCTACGAGAGAGGATCAAAATTCTACATAGCCACGCTCGCGATGATCGCCTTCACAAGTCTTTGGGGCTTGGCCTACAGCGTACTAGGCTGGATTCCAACAGTGCCTGTCGCTGCATTCTGGCAACTGGAGATGCCGGCTACGCGATACGGATACGGGTCCCTTGATGTCAAGAGTTTCGTGGGAACATATGAGAGCCATGCTGCAGTCAACATGCTTCTTGATGCTGTCGTTCTCGCCATTGCGGTGCCCATGTTTTTCAAGCAAGGCATGAGGAAGAATTCTTACTGGGGCCTTTTAGGGCTGTTCGTCCTTGGCGGAATGTACGTGATTCCCTGAGTTAGACCTCAGGGCTGCTTAGCTGACTTACCTCAGTGTCAACATGCTATCCATCTGGCGATTACAAAGTATTGTCGAAACGCGAGCCGCGACACTGCCTGCCTTCGATCCGACGTGGTATGGCACAACCCCAATTGTGCTGTCATGCATGGAGGTGGACCTAGCTGCCATTTGCGCATCCCTCCCAGTGTTTTGGCCAGTCATCCAGAAGAGCATCGGCTCGGTTATCATAGTCACACATGAGGTGAAGATCACGCGCGAACAGCGACGGACCGGCGATGGGAACACGAGCAACGAAAACGTTGATTTGCGCCGACAGCGGTCTGAAGAGGTATTGTTGGAGGATGGAGATTCATTGCCGATACAAATGAATAGGTTTTCGTTCGGCAGTGGTGATTACTACCGGAACTCTTTTACGTCTAAGCAGCAAACGGGCGGCCCTGTTTCATCATTAGGAAGAGTCACCTCGACACGAGTGCAGTGCAAGGCCACCGACGAGAATGCAACAGTTTCCTGAGCCTTTGGACAGTGCGAGAGAGATTGAGGGTGAATCAATTAGAATTAATCACCAGAGATTCTTTGCAATGCTCCATGAAACGGCCGCAGAATGATATTGAAGACGCGACCTCGGGACTGTGACCCTGTTGGATATAGACTCTGAGCACAGATGAGGGAGACATCAAGGAATTGTTTTCAAGTAACCATCTGCTCGGTGCCTTGAGAGCATATTCAGGAAGGAATCAAGATCTTCCGGTCCGTGGTGCTGGGACTGCACTTCTCTTCTGGGTCGACTGGGTAGGCAAACTCTGAACAGCATGAATTGACTAATACCCCATTAGTCTTAAGTAGGCGCCGTATTCCTTTAGTTATGATTCTATAATCATTCGTCCATACATCGACATAGAGGCTGGATCATTACATTTTTGGCGGCTTAGTGGACTGCTTTGAAGGCTGAGAATCAACACCACATTATGGTCAGAAGGCAAAGGCCCATGGACACAGCAAATGCTCTGCATGGCTCAAGCCCTTTGTGAAATATCAACAATAGAGAGACTAATATCGAGCAGGATCTTAGGACGGCGAATTACTGTGGAAGGTTCAAGGTAACTCATATACAGAATGCCTCCCCAGCCAGCTGGCTGTCGGCTTAAAGCCAGGTGACCTAGCCGAGGGTGACTCAATATCCGACCTATATGTTGCTACCCCCCTGACATCTGCGTCCCCCGCCCTCAGCGAGTCCTGACTGTAGTAGCTCTGGCTGTCTATATTCGAACTGTCTCGCCAGCCCATCTCTCGAAGATATACACTCACAGGCGACGGTCCCTCCATCCTTGAATGCAAATTTGTGTTCGGTGTCGCTGGAATCGAAAGGTGCATTGTTGGAGGACAGCCATGTTTCCACGACTCCTGCCTTGTCTGCCCTAGCTTGTTTGTGCCGCTGGCGTAGATCATCGATGGGCTCGCGTATGCCCCTGTTGATGGGTTGTTGCCTGTGCTTGATCCAAGCCCGCCGCCAAGTCCGCCATCCTCTTTCGGAGCTTTTGCTGCTCGCATGTGCTCTTTCCACTCCTTCTCTTGCTTCTTATAGACGCGTCGTCGTGCAATGATGAACACTGTCATGGCCACCAGCCCTGCTCCCGCAATAGACAGGCCGACTCCCACAGCGACAACAGCGCCGCGACTTAATCGTTGGCTATATTCTGCGGACTCAGTACTTGATTGATTTGATGTGTCGGAGCCGGAGATAGTGTCGCCTGCCGAAGATGCCAGCGGTCTGTGTGAAGCTGCGCTGCTAGTTTCTGATGCTGTTGATTTGGTGGTTGATCCCGGAGGTCCATCGACCAACTGCAACGGTGGTGCTTCTGTGGCAACCAGTAAGGTATCTTCATTCCCGCCAAAGGTAACTGTCATATCCTTGACCCCAGTGCCGTCTGAATTCGCCATTTCCAATACCGCAGTCACTGCTGAAGGAGATGTCTGCATAGTTGGTGCTGAAGAGGGTCGTGTCGTCGGTGCTGCCAATGCGGCGGCGAATGGGGGAGACGTCTTGGCCGACTTGCTGGGGGAAGTGAGGAGAGATATGGGAGGCGTCTGTGTTGTAGGGAGTGGGCTGATGGTTTGTGCGCCCAATACATTGGCCTTGCTTTCATCACCACCGTTGGGCACACTGGAAAGCTGGAACAGGGCAGCTGAATTAGTACAGCATTCGGTATCTTCGCCAGCAAGCCCGCAGCAAAATCTAGGCCTTGCTCCAGGGCTTTCGACGTTGCACTGCCTGATATGGACATCGTTCCTCGATCTGAAGCTTGAGGAGAGCGTTCCGTTCAGTTGAGGCTCTTGTTCTACAGCCACAGAATGGTCAGTATTACTTCTCCGAAACAATGTCTCTTAAGACGAAAGATTGCTCATACTTTTGACGCAATATTGTGGACATATTGAACTCGACCATGTGTTATCGGTACATGTCGCCCTCATAAATCTTGCCGTTGAAGTTGAGTTGCTCGTCGTACCTCTACAGAGCCCAGATGGAAGGCAAGCATCTGTACTACTACAGCACATGCTGATTGCTGCGGTAGGGTCGCATGGTACGTCTTTACTCTGCTCGCCGCTGGGAAAGAAACAAACATCTGCCGCCCGTGTTGTCGCTACGAGACATATCGCTGCCAGAGTAGCTGGTAATGCGAGAAACATCATGGCGAGGTATTGTGCGAATCACGATGCAACTGCAGTCATGGTATGAGATAATCGTTCAAGCAGAGCCCGCTGAGTGTGAAGAGAAAGTACCGTGAATGAGCCTGTCAGGTCTATGGCCACTAGACATACCGGCAGGTTGCCCTGAATCGCAGTCCTCCGGGTAGCCGGGCACGTTTCTGGGCATCGATGGGGGCGACGGTGCTTGGTACCGATGAAGACATATAAGCGAGGCGAAAGGAGATCAGCTCCGCTCATGAAAAGACAGCGAGCCTAGACGGTCTTTGATACCGGGACAGAGATTGGATATGGGAGAGGCGTCCCATTCTACCAGGCCTCATGACTGGAAGACGGGCAAATTGAGTCCGGAGGACCCCATAGCTCGGCTCTTCAAATCAGCGGATAACAATACGTATGAAGGGGTTTCAGGGGCAGATACAATTGAGCTTACAAGTAGAATGGTAACCCGGGGCTCTGTCTCGTGTCAGACGCGCTTCACCTCGTAACCTGTCATGTTCAGCGTGATTTGCTGCAATAACGGTGAGAGGCGGCGTCTGTTCGTTGGCTTGGATGCCAGGGTCAGCACTATCCCATCTCGATAGCCAGGTGGAAAATCATCCTTAAGGCTGACGACGTCGGGGTTTTGCATGAAGCTTGATAGCTGGCTGTTTCAGAAAAGCTGCAAAGGCTCCACTGAATATGTTCTGTGGCCCGCACGAGGCCTAGTGACCCCTCCTGAGCCTGAAAAATATGAGTTGTTAGTCTACTTCCCGCGCAGTCACTTAGCTCCATGGAGAACATATGGCATTAAAGGTTTCCCAACATTCTGGTGCATTCTTCTACATCAGACCGCGACGTGGTGCAGCTTGCTATGACAATGACCTTTTGAATAATCCGCATCTTGCGGCGTTTCAGCAGAGGCAAGGGTTTCGGAGATTGTGAACAAGTCCTGACTCGCTTCAGCTGAACGATGGGGTTCCGCTGGCGGTGTGGATCACTGCTCGGAACGAGATATTCTTCCTCTCCGCGGCCAGGACATGATTATTGTCAGAGGGGATTCAAGCTTCCGGCCCGGAAGCCTTAGTCACATAGTCAGCTTTATCGTGATCCATGTTGTCCATATGAAAGTGCATAGATATCAAGCCTTGGAACCTGTGACCGCAAGAACACTGCATGAGGTGATTTGTTTTGTTTCACGTGACAAGAGACGTGGGAAGATTCTGAGAGCAGACCTCCTTTGAGGATAATCAGGTCCACTCAACGCCAGAGCTGTGAGATTCGAGGGCATTGGGTCTGGCTGAAGTACAGCGAAACATTTATTTTAGAAACAATGGCAAATAGCCTCTTTAATATGAATACGCGGTGCGGCACGAAACAAATTCAATCGAGATAGAGCCCATGAGTGGTCTCACACATGCGAATCTGAATAAAGGACTTTCAAAGGCTTGATCCAGTCTAAATCCAATGTTTCTGTCGACTATCTGTTCATAAGACTTTTGACGCTAGGTATCGGATTATGATGAATCAACATACTGCTAAACTCCATTTACGACTGTATGCATTAATCCGAGGCGTGATGCATTGTCATTTTGCTGTCTGAAAATCTTTGTGTGCTTGCTGGTGGTTGAATCGTGCCAGTACAGTCTTCTTGGATGCACAGCATCGCTTAGAATGGCGGTTGGTGTGATGATGAAATGAATGGAGATGCGATTCAATATTGGCTTTGTTTGGAAATCCTAGGCTCTGGCGGGCGGCCTGTAGTAGGTAGTGGAATCGATGGCTAGGCTGGACTAGTTGGTTCTCGTACAAGGTTGTGAATGCCGAGAACAAGCCTTGAGTCCACAAATATGTGGATTGGGCCAGGTGAAGTGCAGGTCAGCATGACGCGAACAAGGGCAAGCCATCGACTTGGTGAATTTTCGAATGTGAAGCTGGTTACCGACTTGCTGCCAGGCCACAAATAAGATTGAAGGAGCTGTGCGCGTAGAGCGCTGGCTTGAGCGGCCAGAAGATGATAGCTGCTGTTCAGGTAGAATAGCTAATATACAAATGTGTGGGTTTGCCCCCTGTCAACCTAGATGCGGGTATCGTCGACCTTCAGAGCCCAGAAAACCCCCATGCTACTCATGTTTCTACCTCATCAATGTCGCAGCATTCCACCACAATACGCCGCATGTGTGCCGTCGTTGTTTAACCTGCGGTCTTGGCTTATTGCTCGTTCCTTTGATTCGTCGACAACCGAGTCCACAACAAATGACGGGGTGGTCTTTGAAGACACAAGCGGTTGAGGGCTCGCAGGAGTCGAATGACGGAATATAATCAGTTGCGAATGTATGTGAATTCCGCCTTTTGAGATGACGCAACCATTGAAGACGAGAAAGAAGCCGCACGAGAGCGGTGGGAGGAAACAGACTAGATCAGCAGGCTGCATGTGGACTAGGGCGGCGCAGGCAAGAAAGGTGAGGTGGTCTAGGTCTCGAGGGCAACTGGGGCGGTAGCATCGCCAGTGGACCCTAGGTTTTCGTTTCGGCAGCGGCCGTTGTCGGGTGGGCCTCTCTGGTTGCGGCGCCAAACAGTGATCCCTGGAAATGCGGGGCAGCTGTTAATCCCCCTGATGTCACTCCACCAACGAGGAAGGGGATGACGGCGAGAGCTCTCGCTCACTCAGGGGCCAGACACGGTACAAAGCTCCCCCTGCTACAAAACAAGGCTAAGCTTGCCCGCTGCGCTGCCTCCGTTTCTCTTTGTTTTGCCTCCCGCTTCCCCTCGAGCTGCCCAGACAAACATTGCACATCGACAGACAGCACACGCACCAGCAAACCCCACATATCTGTGTCCCATCCAACACGCAACCAACGACACGACAACAATGGCTGACGAGAACACCAAGCCCACCGTCGACGAGCCCAAGGTCGACGAGACCCCCATCTCCCACCCCAACGCCGCCCGCCGCAACTCCCTCGAGAAGCAGCTTGCTTCCCGTCCTGACCGCGCAGAGCTTGTAGAGAGTGAGCACACGGCCCGCCCCAGCCCAGCCCAGCACAGCACAGCACGGCACAGCACAGCCCAGCCTAGCCCAGCCCAGGGCCGCCATCGTTACCTACTTGTGCTGACTGCTGCATGTTTCCTCCAGAGAACATCCTGCCGGCTTCAAATGCTGCTCCGGCACTCGTGGCCCAACAGAAGGAGGTTCGTTCGCTGCTCTGACATCATGCACCACCCACAAACATTACTCGTGCGAGGGATATTCTGCCATTCTTGATGTCGCTGACACCGTGCTCTTCTGAAATAACTACAGCTCGAGAAGCACATGCGTGCCGACTCCCTGAATGACAAGATTGCCCACCGCCCCTCTCCCGATGAGCTCATCAAGAAGGGCGTGCTCAACCCAGACGAGGACCCACGGTCGCCAGATGAGAAATACCAGGAAGCAATTGAGGAGGAGTACGCCAAGCGGGAGGGCGGTGCCTAGGATCCGAGCCTAGCAACAGGGCTGTACCACAAGGGACAGGGCCCGGATCAAGTTCCCGAGTTCTTTCTACTCGAAGTCGTGTGGGCCTGCACCGCGACAGTGTCAGCCAGTGTCTCGCAAGCCGAGAAAGAGAAAGGATACCCAAGTTATTTTTCTGATTGGGCTGAAGGCTATTTTCTTGTTTCGCAACGGTGTCAATCAATGTTGTGCAACTTCTCCCATGTATGCTCTCAGCAGCACGAATGAACATCCCTGCCCTTGCGCCAGTGCAATCACCATCGCAACAAAAGACGCTCACAAATGTATACGGGCCGAATGGGCCCTCATTTGTCATATGCGTGCAGTCAGCTTGGGGTATGAAACATATGCAGCTTCGGCAATGACCGAGCAAGGTGCTGTATGCTGCTTTGCTTTGCTGTGCTTTGCTGTGTGCTTTGCTGTGTGCTTTGCTGTACAAAACCAGGGCAACAACACGTTCGCACTTCTCAACGCCGAGACACTTGACCAGGAAAAACACAGAAGTATGTGGCTGGATGTCCCACGTTGACTCGCCTGGACGTTCTTATCACATGTAAACGTGAACCGCCAGGGTCTAGAGTGTTTTGGTCTGTAAGATCTCCACGACAACACATGCGCACGCACGCACGACCTGGGATGCAGCAGATCAGCGGGGGCCAGGGGCCCGAGGGAATACCTTGCATGATCAAGAACACGCATGCATCAACGGCGGCCGTGGCGAGCGAATCGATTCGGGCTCGAGTGCACCATGTATGCACGCTCGCGGCAGCGGCTGGGGCGATTCATTCGCCGGCTTGCCGCAACCTGCAGGCCGCTGGCGAACTGCCCACGTCAGTTGCAAAACCCACACTTCCTCGTCGCATTCAAACCTTTTCGTGTCGTTGGCTCCGTGGGTGCGGGATTGCCCAGCAGCTTGAGCCCTGGCATCCTTTTTTGGAAATGGATAAAGACAACTGCTTTCTGAAATGTAATTATATTTTCGGGTCACCGCCCACGTCATTTCTGACAGCTTCTTGTTGCCACTCTACGCCGCAGCGTACGGGCAGTACACCCAAAATTAGAAATCGAAATCCTCATCCTGTTCAAGCCCAACCTGCGCGACAGCGCCCCCTCCCCCCCCCCCTAGAGAACGCCTGGCCCCCAACATACCTCGTGGTCCCATTCCTCCCACAATCTTGATCCTTCGCAGAAAGGATCAAAGAGCCTCAATCGAAGGGTGGCTAATCACTAAGAACTTTGTCCACTTGGTAGGCTTGTGGGCTACGGTCACGATGCTGTGCAGGCTGCTGACGGTCACCAGAAGGAAAAATCAGGGAATTCAGGGCTTGGGCTCGCAGAGAAAGCCGCTTTCTAAGAGCCTAATATTGCAATGTGTCAAAGGGGGTAAAAATGTTCCAATCCAGGCAAAGTTCCCTTTCCCATCCAGTCTGTTGCGCCAGTTCCGTGCAGGTTCCGATTCTATTTGATATCCCATTTGCTTTCCCGCTTGTGTCCTGTTCCTTGCGCCATTCCCGTTTTCCAATTCCATCCCCGTGAGCCACCCCTCAAGCTGCTGCAGTCCAATCTTCCCATGTGTGTGCTGTACTGCCCAGAAGCCATCCCAAAATCAAGCACAGCTGCGTTGCCTATGCTGTATGAGTGTATGTGTGTGTAAGTCGCCAAAACATTTGAGCCGATTATAGATAAGACGAGAGGGCGAGCCAGGAAATCGAGAGATGCCGTGCAAAAACATATTCCGAGCACCAGGACTCATGACCGCTTGGCGTATGTCTGGGCTGACTTGTATGTCGGACTGGGCTCCTCCTGGCGGTTCTGTTGTTTGTGGTTGATGACAGTCACAAATTGGCCCTTGCTGTTGATCTTCGTCTTGGTGTCGACGCTTTGGGCCGGTTGCTGGGTTGACCACATACTTCCAGAAGACGAGTCGGTCTCGTATCCGGTAGAGCAGGTGGAAATAGGGCGGGACATTGTTGATCGGCTTGCCCTTGAGTTGAGTGAGGTGCCTCTTGATCCTTTCTGATTGTGGACGTCAACGGTGTATTTGGAGCCACGAGACATGCTTTGCTCTGTCGGCACTGGCGAGGGTGGCTTTACCCGCGGCTTTGGAAGTGAAGTAATTGCTGGGATGGTGTGCAATGTTGGGAGTTTGATCAACCTATGGGCCAAACAGAAGGAGACGTGTGAGAGGGGGACACTTGTGATTTATATCTGAGCAACAGTACTGGTCTAGTCCAAAATCCCCCCAAGTGCCGGGGCGAAGGATCTTCACTCAGGATAGGTAGAAGGGACTCCCATCCATAGGGATACAGGGAGCTACTTCACTTGAAGTAGATAAAGGCAGGGGGGGGCGGTCGTAGGAGTTTCCGGGACGGGGCGACGAGCACGGGCACGGGCACCGCCCCCCTTTGGCAGACTAATAGGCATAGACGTTTCATGGCTGGGAGCGTTCCAAATGCGCAGTGAGTGGGAGGAAGCAGTGACTCAAAGACGACAACAGGGCAAGTATTAGCCCAGTCGACAGGGGCTGGTAATTATGGAAGAGCGGCTTGCCAAACCCACGAAGGAGCAGGGCAGAATGGGGCTTGCTATCATCATTGGGTAGACGACGAAATGCCAGGGCGTTTAGGCACCACTAGAGCCGAGAATGTGGCAGTAAAAGGCAAGCAATGCCATCCCAGCTGTGTGCCTGATCAGGAACAGGGAAGAGGGTGTCAACAGGAGTGGCAAACATGAATATTGCAAGGTCAAGGGCGAAAGGTTTCGAGGCGCGGCGAAGCCTTGCTTCGGCGCGGCAGCCAGCCCGTGCCGTAGTCGACACGAGAGTCCTCTTTGTTCAGATCACTTATGCAGTGTAAGAAGGAAGCCTGGGGGAGGAAAACATTTGCTATAGCTGAGTGGCAGTTGCGGTGGCCAGCTAGGGGAACAGGGTCTAAATCAGATCGCATGGTTGGCCTCGAAGGGGGCCGAGGTGGGCGATGACAGATCCAGGGGTCACAGGGCTGAGTTCCAGGGCCTAAAGATGCATCCCAAGGACTAACTTTCGGCCCAGGCACAATCTTGCCTGGGCAGCTGGTCAGCTACTGCGCCGTACAAACCTGAAATGAGCCGGGAATGGTCGAGCTCGAAGACGTCAAAGCTGGCGAAGGATCGCGGTCTGTGGAAGACGAGAGCCTCTCGCCGTTGCGGAATTCGGTCGATCATCAGATGCAGGTAGTTAGTTACACGGAGTACCTCGTGCAGGCGGGACGAAGGCCCCCAGGGCGCCGAAATGAGTGAGCCCCTTGGGCCCGGCGTCGAAAAACTTTGTCGTTTCGCTGCTGCCCAACCCGGGACTGAAGTCGGACTTTTGAAATTGAAGTGAGGTAAATTTTTTTCTTTTCTCGAGTAAATTGGACTTACCTTCAGGGCACAGGCGCAACAGGCACAGCAGATGCAGATAACTTCCGGCCGCCCCGGAGGCTGGGCGCACTCCAACTCAGGGGTGACACCGCTGGCTACGGATGGCTGATAGGACCTAGGAGGTCGGGACTGCCGCATGCTGCAACATCTTCAAGCACCCTGGAGATTCAACGGGCTGTCGTTGGTCGTTTGAGAGTATGCGCATGATACCGACAAGCTGGTCTCGATGCCGATCCGATTCGAGTTTGAAGGGAAGGGAACCTGCAGCCGTTCGCAGCAACCGGTTCATCACAACGCCTTGGCCTGCGTTGCATCGACCCTCTCTGTAGACGTGATTGTCTTGTCGTCCCATTTTAGGATTGTCCCCCATGTTGTCATGGCTCCGATTGTAGCCAGACGGGCTCGAAACAGGGCGGATTCGCAGCTGACGCTGGCAATTTTCAGCTCCTAATCAGAGCTGCCTCAGCTGAATCGGTGTGGTGCGGTGACAATCAGCAGGCTGCCAAAATGATTCTGCTGATGCCACTGGTCCGAATGCGTCCGCACGTCCACCTGGGCGAGGCACTCCATTTGCCGCATCGAAAATCACTGCCACTGAAAACACGGCCTACGCGTCCCTGTCCAGCCTCCAGAGGACGATTGTATACGGGTCTCGAAATTGATCATATGAAGACGTTGAGCACTGAAATGCGCCCAGCAGCATACAGCAGCAGCCTAGGCTGCGCCGGAACTCGGCCTCTTGGTTTGCAAGGGGCAATGAGGCGATGCGATGTTGGAAAGGAAGTCGGGCGAACACACACGACGCCCAGTATGCAGGCGACAGGAAACCACGTTGGTCCTTCTGTGTGCTTTAGAGCGAGCGGAAAACACTGTCAACACTTGGCAGCCTGGATGCAAGGCGAGGGAGACCTTGGTGGCTGTTGGAAAAGCAGTGCTCGTCCACGTGCGTCTACTGTAGGTCTGTAATGTAGACTATGTACCTGCCCAGACCAGGCTCTTGTCATGCTAGAGCGAGCTCGCCAGCGTCGAGTCTCGCATGCCTTGTATATAACACTGGGTTGGACCAGGATGCGTGCACTCGGCATGAATGTGCTCGCAGACGTCTCAAGCCCCGGCCTGGGATCGTGGGTAGAGGGTAGTAGCAGAGAGCAATCATCTCGCAACCGCATTGGTTTCCTCATCTCTGCCGTCTCCGTCGCTGCTCACTTGCACATTCTTGAGATTGTCCGTGGCAGAGGATATTACCCTCAATAAGGCGAACACACTCTTGTTTGGTGGTGGTCAAAGCCGCACATGGCAGTGTACTGTGAAGCAAGCAACAGGCCAAAAGTCAGAAGGGGACATGGTGATGCTTTTTCTCGCCTCCCTATTGTGGAAAGCACCCATGATACCCTGTCACTTTATTCCTTGCTTTCTGGGCGTGGGCGTAGATGTGGACGTGGACGTTCGACATTATACCTGGACGCGGTCATCGCATTCAACCCGTCGTCCGAGAGGTTGTGCCGTGCCCATATTGAAGGGGATACTGTGTATGAGGACAGATATAACGGCGGTTCTATCAATATGGCCTGTTTGCAGTATCCAAAATCACAGTTGTCCATGCGGATCCGTCCCCGTTGTGGATGCTGGCAAATGCGAAGGTTCCCAGTGCCCACATCTTCCATCTGCTAGGATTCACCGTTCACCTGCTCCCCACCGCGACCCCTGTGCCTAAGCTACGAGCTACCTTTGGGGGCACACCGTCCATGTACCACACTGTGCTAATCGATAAGATACCAGAGGGAACTGATTGGCTCTTGAGCTCCCCTGAGAAGCCTGCACTGCACTTTTCAAGGGTCCAACCAAGCATGAACCGCCTGCACAGTGGTGGGTACCTACCAAGGTGCATAGTACCTAGGTAATGAGGGCCCTGGGTTTCCGGGGTCCTGGAGACAGCAGACAGACAGAGGACACGGCGTCAGGAGCTCCTTGCTCTCGCCCTGCTTTGTGTCTCAGCTAGCTCTGCATCTCAATTCCCCTTTTCGACATCACACTCCCAACAGATCTACCAGTCCAGCAGCAGCAGAAGCAGCAGCAGCAGTAGCATCACTTCAACCACAGCTACGCCCGACGACCGAGGACAACTGCGACAGCCACCTCGACAGCCCCAAGTACATCCCTACTTCACACCCCTTTCGTAACCATGCAGATTCTCTCGACCTGGATGCTGCTGGCTTCGGCCGCTCTGGGTGCTCTCGCCGCCGAAGAGCTCAAGATCGATGTCACCGTGCCTGTCGAGTGTGACCGCAAGACCCAGTCCGGCGACAAGGTGCAGATGCACTACAGAGGTACCCTTGCCGCCGACGGCAAGCAGTTCGATGCCAGTATGTTCCCTTACGCCCTATCTCCTCGCCTCGACTTCCAAGCTAGTCCATAGGGCGAACGCCCCGGCAGAATGGGCTCCGTGGCTTATCACGAGCTACGACTGGATCCCAGAGATGCTGACCATTGCTCTGCCAGGCTACGATCGAGGAACACCTTTCAGCTTCAAGCTTGGCTCCGGCCAGGTCATCAAGGGGTTCGTCCAAGCCACAACCACAACCAGAGGAGAACGGGTTGGGAAGCAGGGGCTGACACTTGACAAACAGATGGGACGAGGGCCTTTTGGACATGTGTATCGGCGAGAAGAGGTAGGCTGACCGGCGGAGCAGCAATGACCTGCTCGCCCTGTCCTTTGAGAGCAACCCGTCACCAGCTAACTCTTCGCCTCAGAACCCTTACAATCCCTCCCGAGAAGGGCTACGGCCAGCGTGGAATGGGCCCAATTCCAGCCGGTAGCACACTCAGTACGTATCAACCAATGCGTCCTGTCCCGTGTTTGTCTCCAATGTGCTAACTTGTGGCGCTCCCAGTCTTCGAGACCGAGTTGCTTGGCATCGACGGTGTGCCTAAGCCCGAGTCGATTATCCTGAAGACCAGCACATCATCCGAGGCTCCTGCCGAGACTGCTAAGAACTTTGGCGAGAAGGTTGCCGAGAAGTTTGCTGAGGCCACGGAAGCTGCCAAGACCATGTTGAGGGATACCATGAAGGACACCGACGATGCTGAGCACGTCGAGCTGTAATCGGCCGCTGCTGCTGAGATCACAGACATCCGTAGTCTTTCTGTCCTGGTTGCGGTATACTTCACGTACCCCTTTCGGGCATCGGTACCGTGGTTTGCCGGCGTGTATCTCGCGTCGGGTACTGGGCCATTAGGGCGATTTTACTGTAGAGATGAGGAATATAGATTTCCAAAGGCACGGTAGAGCGCCCTTCTCAGACTAACATCTCAGACCGACATTGGCCTGGACAAGATTGGGTTCCCTCGTTTCACGGCCCCAGGTGCTATGCAGATAATTTGCAGATGAAATGTTATGGATCTTTCACTTACACAGTCGTGATTGCACTCCCCCCTCCCCTGCCGCACTTGGCCGCCCCCTCCAAGAAATGCCGGTTCGGGCCGGGGTGAGGGGACGTTATCAATCCTTCGCCCGCTGCTGGCCGTGTCTCATCCGTTCCCTTCGCATATAACATATGCAACACAGCACAGGCACTGAATCCGTGGTTTTTCTTTTAAAGAGCCCTTCAATCTTGTCTGAGTGTCAATATTTTGGGTTTGAAGTGCACTCACAATATTACGACAAAATGGTATTCTTCCTCGACTACATGAGGCATCGACGAGATTGGTGAGTTCACCGTCTCCACCTGACTTACACACCAATACACGACACAATGCACACACGACATGCCCACTGACCCAGCGATGCAGCCAATTCAAGCAACAACAACGCGCCGAAAGGATTGCCTCCCTGTCAGCCTACCACGGTCCCCTTACTGAGTCAGACCGTGAGACGGTCGACAAACCCATAGAGACACTCGTTGCGGGAGTCCACAATGGTATCATCCAACCCCTCGACATCCTCCGGACATACGGTAGAGTGGCTCTCAGGGCTCATGAGAAGACCAATTGCCTCACGGAAGTAATGCTCTCTGATGCCGAGAGGTGGCTCCAGGACGGCGGCTCATCAATCAACTTGAAGGGTCCACTTGCAGGTATCCCCGTCTCGCTCAAGGATACCATTGTTGTTGGTGGCTACGATGCCACCGTTGGGTATTCGTCGTTTGTCGGGAATGCGCAACAAAAAGACGGCGCACTGGTGAGGCTTCTGAAGGATGCCGGCGCCGTGCCTTACGTCAAGACCAATATACCCATCTCGTTGCTGAGCTTTGAATCGACCAACGACGTCTGGGGCCGATCCTCTAATCCTCACAACCCAAAGTACTCACCTGGCGGGTCCACGGGCGGCGAGTCCGCACTGCTAGCCCTCGGTGGCAGAATCGGCATTGGGTCGGATGTAGCTGGCAGCGTGAGAGCGCCTGCACACTTTGCGGGATGCTACTCATTACGCTGCTCTACCGGGAGATGGCCCAAGTATGGCATGCGCACGAGCATGCCAGGACAAGAAGGCGTGCCGAGTGTGTTTAGTCCTATGGCGAGAACTTTGAATGATTTGACGTACTTCACGCGCGCCGTGATTGGGATGAAACCTTGGACATATGACTATTCTGTTCATCCGCTGGAGTGGCGGCCAGACTTTGAGCAGGAATACTTACAGAAGAGAAATCTCCGCATAGGAATCCTCAGGACAGACGGCGTGGTCGATCCCAGCCCTGCGTGCACGAGAGCCCTGAACACCGCGGAACAGGCCTTCGCAAAGGAGGGGCATGAGATTGTGGAGATCAACCCTCCTGACATGTACCGTGCCTTGGAACTGGGATCGTTGCTCCTGAACGCAGACGGGTGCAGCACTTTTAAGTCACCCATGAGGAGTGGTGAATGGGAAGACACAGGCGCCAATCAAATGAGTTGGTACATGAGACTGCCGCGCCCCTTCAAGTGGGTGTATTATCTGTGGGTCAAGTACATCCGCCGCGACGATGTTTGGGCTGGGCTGGTGAGGGACTGGCACGCAAAGACAGCCGAGCAGAATTGGAAATTGGTCAATGAAAGGGAGTTGTACAGAGCTGAGTGGTTCGAGTGGTGGAACCAAGTCGGTATTGACTTCCTCCTATCACCACCAAACGCCACACCAGCGGTGCCCCACGACGGAATGAGGGATGCGGTCAGCAGCTGTGGATATACGTTTTTATTCAATATTGTGAGTCGGAGAATCCCACGATGATTTGCAAGTAACGGGCTACTGACCATGTAAACGCAGCTTGATTACACCGCCGGCATCGTGCCTGTCACCCATGTTGATAAGGCACTGGACGGCTTGCCAGCTGAATTTGACATCAAGAAGTTGAATGGAGTTGCACAGGGCGCATATAAGCTATATGATGCAGAAGCAATGCATGGACTGCCCGTCGGCGTGCAGGTGGTCGGCAGGAGATTGGAGGAGGAAAAGGTTCTGGCAGTTATGAAGAGGCTGGAGGATGCGTTAGGCGACGAGAAATATGATTTACTTTCGATCGACTAGATAAGAATATAGGGATCAGACATGTTTGTTTCGTGAAGCCTTAAAGTTTCCGAGTTCCTCATTGGGGGGTGCTACACATAATATGGCGTGTAGTTATACGACATATTATGATTAAAGTTCCAAGCCAGGAAACCGGGCACCCACCCCACAACATCGACTGAGTCTGGTGGCTTATTCACCTGCATTTTCAGAGACGCTACAATGGGGCCTTATATCCATTCACAATTCATATCCAGCGCTGTGCTCGTGCTAAAGTGACGCTCCGAAACCGGAGTTGGCCTGGAGTTCCGCCAGGAACACAAGCGCGTGGTCTCTTCCCACTCTGGTTACCTAGGCTAGGTAATCATAGGTAACCAACGCACTCTGCACGATGACATAGAATCATACACATAAACTTTTTAGAGGTACCCCAGGTGGTGAATCAAATTAGATACGCCATCGAGATGGCTGCTGAGACAAAAGATCACTGGTCTTCGGAGGTGAGTTGATGCAAAGACTATTAGACCAACATACTGGCTTGGACAACACTTTCTGGGTATTATTGACCGCTTTCCTTACTGACTCTTGATTTTCCGAATTTAGGCATACCAAAACTCTGCCTCATTTGTGCCAAAGCTGGCAACGAGGGTGATGCAATGGCTTGATCCTCAGCCGGACGACCACATTCTCGACATTGGCTGTGGCGGTGAGTCCTCTGGAACTCAGGTGTGTTGAGAATATAGAGAACACGAACCTGAAACTCCATACAGACGGAATCCTGGATGTCGAGATCGGAAAAACCCTGGCTAAAGGCCAAGGCAAATTGCACGGCATCGACAACTCCAAAGCCATGATCGATGCTGCTACCAAGAAGCTTCAGGAAGCTGGGGTTGGCAACTTCACGCTAGAAGGTAGGCCCCATGGTGGCCTTCTAGGCATCTCATTGAGTTACATTTCTGATAAGAGGACAGTCTGCGACGCCCTCGATGTCCTTAATCACCCTACAATACCCAAGCAACAGTTCACCAAGGTGTTCTCCAACGCCGCCATGCACTGGATCCTGAAGCCGCACGACCGCCACGAGGCCTTCTTCCAAGGGGTGCGGGAGTCACTCCAACCAGGCGGAAAATTTGTGTTTGAGATGGGAGGGCTAGGCAATGTCTGCGAGATGGTAACCGCATTACTTATAACTGTAGGCAGGAGGATCGGCCACGAGAACGCCGTTGCCATCAACCCCTGGTTTTTTGGGGATGAAGAATGGGCTAGGAATGTATTGGAGGACAAAGTAGGTGGCTGGAAGGTCGAGAAGGTTGAGAGGGAGTGGAGACCTACAACTGCAGACAAAGGCGGTGTGGAAAGTTGGGTGCGCTTGATGGGTGCGAAGTGGCTTGAAGCGATCGAAGATAAAGCGGAGAGGGAAGACGCTGTTCAAGAGGCAGTGAAGGCGCTGAAGGTTGTGTGTAGGAAGCCAGATGATGAATACATGATCAGTTATGTCCGGCTGAGGGTTTTGGCACGGAAGATATAGGCTACAGGCTTCGAGTGCACACATCTAGCAGTTGAAAAACCATCACCTCACATCGATGTCTTTTTCCTTTTCCTCAGTGAGAAACTCACGCAGAAAATTGAGTTTGAATTCACGCGAATTGTCGCTTCAGAATAAAGTGAAGATACGCTCTCTATTGGTCTGTTTGGAATTTCTGCCACACCCTGACTTAGCAAGTCACGTAGATAAGAAAGAAGTTTGATCAGTGAAATTCTCGGCGAACAATCGACTGTCAGAGAGAACAGCAATGCGAGGAGGCCAGGAAAGTTCCGTTGGAGAACCAGGGCGTATAATTATTGTGTATCTTTGTGCCAGACCTGATATGGTGGAAGACTTATGCATTATGAATTAGTGATCAGTCTTGATCAATGCAAAAAGGCGCGCAAAATAAGTCTGTGTTATACTCCAGGACTCATATACAAGCATCAATTCAAGGCTCTGTGAAACAGGACCGCCCGAAGAATCTCGTTGCAATCACCACTCGTGTTTCTTCTTACACCCACCAGGTTTCCGCTTTCAATATAATACATGGCTGGCTCTGCAGTGAATCTAGGTATATCTCGCTCGTTCCTGATTGCTAGCTACTTCCTTTGCCTTTCCCCAGCGCCTCTTTCTCTACTCTTACTCAGATTTCTCACTGCCTGTTCTCTCAAGCTACCAGGGATATAGATGCCTGCGATGGCACGAGAAGTCACCTCGTTGGATGCGACGACTGCATCTTGAGGGTTTTGAGAAACAAGTGTCTGGAATTTGGAAAGAGCTTCGGAGAATTCTTTTGCGTTGCCGCTTGCTGTAGGCCTTGCATTAAGAACCGAGCGTAGATCTGCGGCGCCTGGGGGATTGCGACGTAGAGGTGATGACTCGTCGCGTCGTAAGGGTGCAGCTGCAGACGTGGCTGAGACTGGCCGAGAGAGCGAGCTGGAAGTGAGCGGTAATGAATTCTTGGCAAGAATTGTCTGCTTCTCAGCGACGGGATTTCGTTTTGGTGAAATTGGTGTTTTAGATAACTGGTTTATCACGCTGATATGCTGGGGATGCGTTGGACTAGCTGGCAAGGAGTCGTTGGTTCCGCCTTCTGTGCTTCTCCGCCGCGTTGTTTCCTCATGTGGCTGCTTAGTCTGCGCCAAACCCGAAAGCCTTGCCTCGATGATATCAGATGTCCGAATCATTGATCTACCTCTGGATTCAAATTCGTCGCCGTCTACCTCTTCCAGCTTCGTGGTGTCGCGACCCGACTCTTGCTCTTTCAAGAGTGTGACTATGTCTTGGAAAGGAGGATTCCGTCGCAACGGTGAAATGTCTCTCTCCTCATCTCCGGTTCCGGCTTGAGAAGGACTGCGAGAATCAATTTCCGCTTCAAGGAAACCGACGAAGGGATTTCGACGAAGCGGTGAAATGGTTCGGTCTCTCGATTCCGACAGAGACTGCTTGGCTGTGTCCTGTGTTTGTGACAAAGGTTCCTTGACTGGCTCATGTTCCGATGTCTTCTGTGGTAGTATTGACTGTACCCAAGGAGACGAGTCTTGCTGGCTGATGATTTCGCTCTGTTCAGGGAGGGCCGGTGTCCTAGAGCCAACAATGTTCGCATCGACGACTGGGGAAAACGCAAGAGGTTCAGGTGCTGAATCTTCGACTGTGTGAATAAACATTTCCACGACAGCCTCCTCAAGCAGGGCTTCGTTTATATCATTCGATATTATTGTGGCGTCCTTCTTGACCGTTTGTTCTTGACAGCCCTCATCTGTCAAGGTGTTGCCTGCTGCCTGTGAGCGTTGGTCTAAAGAATGCTCAGCAAAGCTCTCGAAACGCTCATCGGCGGCTCCCTCGAACGTCTCCGCGATAGGGTCTTCGAATGGATCTTCAAGTGCTGCCTCGGCTGGTACGATGTTCTCCGCTTCATTTCCAATCACTTCGTAAGTCATTCCCTGGGCATCCCCTCCGATTAGCCTCGGTTTATCATCCGAGACTGTCTCATATGAATCCGGGATGAGTCCTGGAGCTGAGTCTTCTGTCATTTCCCGCAAAGATACCAAACTGATTGCTGATTTCGCGTCCGGGTCTAAATTTGGAGCAAGTCCAAGTGGAGCTGACGCAGTGTTCTGTGCGTCTATATCTTGCGGTGTGGTTATTATATCTTGGGTCCAAAAATCACCAGACGCGACATTCAAGTCCTGTGTGAAACTCGATGTGAGAGGCCACGCATCAGATCTTGATGTGAAAGGATTGTTGGTGGACTCCTTGTTGTCCAAAGGTGTCACAAAGGATACATGCTCTCGCCCTGTGGTTGAACGAGTGGTTGAGAAACTTCTCTTCCGCTCGAGTTCTGGATGGTCTTCGTGTACGGAGGTCGGCGGACTGAACTTGATCACTACCGAATTGCCCGTGCGAACCCCTAAGCTGTGTCTTGAAAGCAGCGTGTTTGGATTTCTTGCGGGCCCTTTCTCGTCGGAGTGGCTGCGCTTCCCTTTGTTCCTCGCTCTGATTAGAACAAAGCCAGTCGCGAAGCTTAGAAAAACAGAGGCGAGCATGGTCCCGACCACTATAGCTGCTAGCTGTATTGGTGCAATGGAGATGGCGGTTGTCACTTGGGAATTCAGTAATGTTTGTTGACTCATGACTGCAAGAGCGGCGGCTGTGGAGGCTGAAGCCTGTTGATTTATGTAAGCTGTAGGCGCTTTTGAAGTGACTTGTTTGTTGTTGTTACCTTGACTGAGACCAAAGTGGCTTCTAGGGAGCTCAGACTCGAACTTAATCTCAAGACGTCGCTGGTTGACGCTGACAACGCACTTGTCAGAACCAAATTCACGTCGAGTACTTGGGACTGTGCGCTGGCCAGGGCGATATTCGCATTTGTCAGTGCGGAGTTCACACTGGTCACTGCCAAGTTTGCAAGATTCAGACTGAAGGAGGCAGACGAGGTAGCACTACTGGCGTTTTGGGAGACAATGGAGATCGACGACGATGCTGAGTTTTCTGCGGCTTTGATGGCATTCGAAGCTGATATTGACGCTTGTTGCAATTGTTGGCTGAATGTTGCGTTGAGGGCAATGATCGTCCTAGAGATTTCCACTGTCGCTCTGTCCACAGAGGCTGCGATCAGATTGGAACAGTCTTGGGGGCTATTCTGTCGGAGCTCAAGAACAGGGGCTGTAGAGGCTGTGATGAGCGCATCTTGGGCTGACCTGGACCCGGTCGAGTATAGCCGCGGTTGTGGTTGTGATAATTGTGACATTGGAGAGGATGGATAAATATGACTATGAGACAAATAGCATCCAGGGCTTCCAAGAATACTTCTCAGTCGGCATATCGCAGGTTGAGCCACGAGCAACGGAGGAAGGTACCAAGAACATAGTCAAGTGGCTGTACTCCTGCTTATTGAGTGCAGGAATCGCAAATACTCCCCCGAGGAGAGGCATTTGGGCAGGATACGAATTAGTATCTGTTCCGAGAAGGCGAACACGAAGGGAGCCCGGGGAAGCAAGGGGATTGGAAGACAGCTGGCGACCGTCCAGTATTCTGGGTCCCAAGCATTTGGGACGAATGCCTCGAATCGTCGAATGCAGACTGTGCGACACATCATGACGGCCACCTGGGGACATGGTAGTCCATGCTGCGGTGAGGCGGTTGTAGGGACGCATAAAGCATGCTCGTGGAACTGTTTGAAAACAGACCTAGCGCTTCAACGTGAGTGGGTACAACCAATTCCAATAGTTTCCGGCTCTGAAACAACCTGACGGAAACACTATTGTTCACCCATGTGCGCAGGCCATAGGTTTGTCATGTTTGGAGTCACATTACGGCTTCGGATAGCATTCCGGGATCCCAGTTCAATCAAAGCAGCCCACTGAGCTGCGACCTACACCAACATGCATGTTAAATGTTTGACCTTCCTTTCATACTCCCGAGCATCCGGGCGTGTCGGCGGCTAAACTTGACTACTCGAGAGTTTCTGCCGGATGTGATACACATGGCCTGTCGCCATCCGCCTACCCCGGTCCTGTCCCGCCGCGCATATCCTAGAAATAGTCTGTGGTAGCGGGATACGGTGACTAGGCAACGAATTAGCATCGGGCGCGACACTTGGGTATCTTGTCAGTAGGCGTGCAGAACGTCTTGCCAGCCTTGCCAAGCCTTGATGTCTTCGCATCGCGTCGCGCTTGCACGGTGATTCCCCTCATAGTTGGCGGGCGGGGATGTGCTTTGTTGTTTCTCGCAGGGGCTTGGGTTCCCCACAACGAGCTGTGGTGGCGGAGAAGGTGACGCAAGGCGATAAGATAGACTAGATAACATGCTGATCGGATCGGAATCTAAAAACACCATCCCATCCCCTCCATCCATCTAGCCTTTCCATCCCACCTGGGTCGACTTGACTGATGGTACCTTGCTTCCACTTTGAGCGTGCCCTCGGACGAACCACTTCCCCCTGAGGTATCCTATTGAAGTGGGAAAGACACATAGACTAAACGCCCCTCATGTCAGCCGATGACCAACAATTCCTCGACGTTGTGAGCAGTCCCAGATTCGGATCTCGACCCCGATCCCACACCGACTGTGTGCCTCGACTAGCAAAGTCACTGGTGAAAGCTGACCCGGACTGCGTGAATAGCTGTCGTCGATACCCAACCACGTCAAAAAATACTCGTCTGAAGTCGCAGATGTGATCGACCGCCATGTCGACAAGCTCGCAGAGCAGTTCCGGGAGACACTGTCATCCCAGGACTGGATACCAGACGCTGTCCGCCCGCGCGGCAGACCTCCACCACCCCCGGCAACCATATCATCGTCAGTATACGACAGAGCTCAGGACTGGGTCTCAAGACACAAGCTGCTGACGGGCCTTGTGGTCCTGACCACGGGCGTGATCGTGTACCGAGGCTACAAGAAGGGAAAGTCCAGTCGGAAGACGCGGAGGGCCAAGCGCGCACGGAACGGTGGCCGGCTTGAGGTCGTGGTCATTGCTGGCGACCCGAAGCTGCCCCTCACAAGATCGCTTTCGTTGGATATGGAGAGACGCGGGTTTATTGTGTACATTGCCTGTAATACCTTGGATGATGAAGCTACGGTTCAAAACCTGTCGAGACCAGACATTCGGCCGTTGGGAATAGATATCACCGATGTAAGAACGAAACCACGACTCCCAAAAGACTACATGTACAAGCTGACCACCCCCTTCAGCCTCCCAGCGCTGGCGCTTCCATCGAACGCTTCGCACAATACCTATCTCTAACTCACGCCGCTGTTCCGGGCGCAAAGCAGAACTACCTCACCCTCAGATCCGTCATTCTCATCCCCTCTCTAAACTATCAGACGTCGCCAATAGCAACGATTCCACCGTCCAGTTTCGCGGATCTTTTCAACACACACCTTCTCCACCCCATTCTCACCATTCAAGCATTCCTTCCACTCTTAACCGCCAGGCTCAACTCCTCTTCGAGTGCCGAGAAGACGCCCCCGAAAGTCCTCGTCTTCACTCCCTCCATCATGTCGTCCATAAACCCACCCTTCCATGCCCCTGAGGCAACAGTCTGCTCTGCCCTATCAGCTTTCACCGAGGTCCTGGCCGGCGAGCTCAGACCGTTATCCATACCGGTAACGCACGTACAGCTGGGCACATTCGATTTCTCAGGCTTCACACCAGCATCTCTTCGCTCCCAACAACCCAGCGGCCTCCTCACCGCCCCACCGGCGGAGACGCTCACCTGGCCCGACGCTGCGAGGAAGACATATGGGCGAAATTTCGTCAACACTTCTACCTCGGCAATCTCGGCCGGTCGGGTCCGCGGCATGAGAGGATCCTCACTCAGAGACTTGCACAACGCCGTATTTGATGTTATCGATGGTTCGAATACCAGCGGCGTGGTACGGGTGGGCCTGGGTGCGGAACTATACGGCTTTGTTGGGCGGTGGATACCGCGTACCTTTGTTCAGTGGATGATGGGTATGAGAAGAGTGGATGATCTGGCGAGCTGGCAGGGTAGCCATCAGCCAAGCCCAAAATTGGGCAGTGAGCATGGGGATGGAGAGGGGTCGAGCCGGTTCGGGTCGGACTCTCAGTACATAAGTGTTAACCAGGAGAGTGCCGACGCAAACATTTGGAAGGAGGGATGAGGGAGAGAAATGGAAGCTTGGCAGCTTGGCACTGGATTGAGATCTCTCTGCTCATTCTGAGTGATGTTCAGTGGGCCGAGACTCAAGCGATGCAGGGTGAGTCCATGGACAAAGATTCACTACTCTGCACATCAACACTGGATGAGATTCCTTGGTGATACGTGAATGCGACCAGCCTCGATATCATCTAAGCAGACTTGCTACTTCCTTGGCATGTCCCAGCAAGATTCGCCTTCCGCCCTAAACTGCTCGCCTGGTACTTGCCCGTACTTCGTACTTGACTACTTCTCCCCATGCCATTGCTTTGCCTAATCCCAACGGACTGACATAGTCCTAGATGCATCCAAAATCAGGAACACCTCAACGCCGTGATACTCAGTACCGCCGCATCTTGGCACCTTGATCGTCACCGTCATAGATAGTTGCGTACTCATCCTCCTCGTCATCGTCGCCCGGCCCGTACTGATAAGCGTCCTGCTCGCTGGTGTTGCTGTTGCGGCGCGGCTTGGGGCGGTAGCCATCTTCGTCATCAGAACGAGGCTCGAAACGATGCCTAGTTCGCGTCAGGCTGTTCTTGCGGGTGCCTGTCATCGTGGCATGCCGCGTGAGTATTGTGACGTTGTATGGGGCCGGCTTCTTGGCGGAATGCAAAAAGGGAATTATAACAGATGGACTCACTGGACCAGTAGCTAATGTCTTCATCGCGAGCATCGCTGTGCTTGCGCTTTGAGGGTGTTACGGTGTTCTTGGCCTTCTTGGGTTTCTCTGGGGTGGAAGTGGGAGGAATTGGGGCGGCCGCTTTGTGCTTGGGAGAGGCAGCGTTCGCAGCCACGGGAGTATTCTCCTTGCGCTGACCGATGGGCTTTGGAGATGCCTGGACATTCTCGTGGTCAGGTGTGCGAGGAGCTGTGAGATTCAAACCCATGTCGTAGCCGAGTTTCATCCAGGGCGATGCGAGACCACCATCCGAGGTCAATTTGCATGATTCTGGAACCTTTATGGGCGTGGGCTTAATGTTGGGCTTGGTCTTGGGCTTGGGCTTGGTGCCAGGCTGTGGCGTGTTGTTGTTGTTCTCCTTGTTCGCCATGCTGCAGCTTGGTTGTTGAGATGGTTAAGGCTGGCAAATACGCGTCTTCGTGACTGGGTGGCTTGAGCAACACCGATGTCTTCATGTGTGGGATGTAAATTAGACTGTTGCTTGTTCAGGACATTGCCTATTGGGAGGGCATCTCTCTTTCCAAGATCACCTCTGATTTCACTTTGGCCAGAGCAGGGGCGACACAAGCTACTGGGAGCTGCTACGGGATGTCAACGCAATCTACTCACAGCACATTCTGCTTCTACAACTACCTGCTCAGTAAGATAGGGCTTTATTTGATTGCGGCACCCGCTTCAGCCTGTATTGATGCCCCGACTGTATCAGCAAGAAGGCATGCCATGGTTTGGACTGTCACAGCTTGTGTCTTGTCCTCAGCGGCCTCAACGAGCCTTGTCCAGGGAGGGCTAAGAATGATTTTGCTTCATTGCTCCTGAATTTCAGAATGTATAGTTACTTAACATAGTGGTGATACTGTCTGTGTTTCTTCACCAACCTTTGCATAATGTTCCTGATAGATATAGGATGACATTTGGCTCGCTTGTCAAAGGGCTCTTGAAAGTGATTTCGGGAGAATTGGCAAGGTAGGACGTGAATATCTCTACTCGCAGGTTTTACCTATATCAGACAGCCGTCACTGTGAAGCAAAGGGAATGCTGTCTTTCATAAGATGCAGAGCCTGCACAGACCCAGACAAGCCTGTTCCATAATTTTCACTGCGAGATGAAGCTTCCGATCCCGAAAAAGATATTGGCTATTGCTGTGGCTAGAGATAGCCTAGAATCGTGATGATCATCAGATTGTTACTTGAGTCTGAACTTGGCCAAAACTCTCTTGTGGCTGTCAGTGTGCATTGTGCAGTAATGTCTAGGTTGGCGTCCAGAGCATTGCCTTTTATTTATCCAATCCACACGAGCCGAATATAGAGCACCAAAAGTCGTCCAAGCTTAGCGCCAACAGTCAAATTGGATTTGACATTTTCTTAAGAGATGCACTCTTCCATTGGAGAGGCTGTGAGGCGCCTCCCAAACCCATCTGTCAAGGTCAGTCACCGTGCCATAGACAGCATCTACGCACGTGTAAATAGACACCTATAAACGCTTTTTGCGCATCGTTCAGCCCCGTCCGTGCCGAGGACCAAGACGGTTTTCATGAGCTTCGTGCTGAGAGTGGTATCGCATATGCTCAAATGAAACAAGGATGCACTGTCATCCCAACGTGAAAACAAATCCAGGCTCTCAATGCCTTCCCCGTCCCCTTCCTCTGCCTCTCCATTTACCACCACGACCACCAAATCTGCCCTGGTGCCCTCCACGCTCGAAGCCACGGTCCCTGTCCCTGTCCCGGTCACGGTCACGATGCCTGTCTCCAAAGTCCCTGATCGAGCCGTCATCCTCGTCGTCGACATGTTCCCTCTTTCCCGGGACAGACCCGTCATCTTCCTTCTTCTCGACCTTGACGCTGGGTTTTTCTAGGGCTGTCTTCCACTTTGGGTGCGCCCCTTCCTTGCACTCGGGCCCGTCAGGGCAGAACCCGGCGAGGAAATAGGGACACATCTTCTTGCGCACATGTTTCTTGGCACACCTCGGCCCCAGCGGGCAGAAACCCTGGTCGTAGTGTGGACAAGGCGGCAGCTTGCTCTGGGGGTCGATATGCAGGTACAGGCACTCGTCGCCGTTAGAGCAGAAGCCGTTGCGCAGGAAGAAGTTGCACTCCGGCATCTTGCGTAGGTTGAACTCGTGCAGAAACTCGCAGCTCTCGCCCTTTTTGCACAGGCCACGCAGCCAGTGCTTGCAGACAAGCGAATTGAAAGGGTGTCCGCCGTCCTGTTTTCCGCCGCTATTCGGGATGGAGACATGGCGCTCGGGGCAGCGCGTCCCGAGGGGGCAGTGGCCGTTGATGTAGGCTTTGCATACTGGACGGTCGGCGGGGAGGCTATGGAGGTAGGTTCGCTGGAGAAAAGGCGTGAAGGCGAACGTAGGTGTGTTTGAAGGTGCTGCCTTGGACAGCAGCTGTTGCGACAACTCGTTCGTTATTGTCGCGGTGGCTGATGGTGCCATGGTCTGGTGGAGTGGGTTGTGGTTGTTTCGTATGCTGTGGTTTGTTTTTTGTCACAATGGATGATTGATGTAGTCAATGCTAGTTGAGGCTTGCCTGAGTGCTTGAGGCAGAAGAATGGCGGTGGCGATACGGATGTGGTTGTCTTGGTCCATCTGCAAGTCGCATATGTCGGCCAGAGGGCACGCGCTGCCTTTGACGTCGAAGCTCTCCCCTGTCGATTTCACCTCCAACGAGTCTAGAAATGGAATAGCGGCTGATTGCTACCTAGGCGTGCTGGGTACCCCGTAGGCTATCTTATCAAATGGGTCGCCAGGGCGCCCAGGGCGCGAGGTGTGCTGAATAATTCTTGGTGGGATGTGATGCCCCCTGTCGTTGGCGGCGATGTGGGGTTCTAGAAGGCCGTGGATCGGCGAACAGAGGTACATGGAGCGCCTAAGAAGTACTTGCATGCACGCTCGGGAGGTATTCGAGTACTCGGCAACATCGCATACTTTCTCCTGGTTGGAAGTCTTCTGCTCACAAGCGGGGTACCCCGCTTGGTACCGAGGTAGCCTCGCAGGCCAGGAGGAATTTGCTGATTGGAATTGTTTGACCACAGCAGACGATCTAGGAGACCGGGAGCAGGTGTCGTCGCCGGCTGTCCGTCTGGATTTCGCGATCCACTCTTGCCTCGCCTTCTTGACAAATCTCAAACTGCAGCAAACAGTGCCAGGTCCACTCTCTGTCCCGCAAGTCGTCCCGATCTAATCGCGTATATCTATCTAGTCCTGCCCTGCCCTGCCCTGCCCTGCGCCCCTGTTCCTCCCGGCAAGACGACCCCTCCAAGCCATTCCCTCCTCGACCATTTCCTCTCCCACGTAGTGATCCTCATCTCCGTCTCCGGACAGCCAACCCCCAAACAACCGCCAAGCTGTCTTTCAAGTACTTCACGCGTCCCCTCCGCTCCAGCGCAGCCAGTCTGTCCGCAGCGGCCCTTGCCACTGCAAGCTTCAAGTCTCAGACGCGCTTTTCCTCTGACCTGCACAACCTCAGCGCCAACAAGATGAGCACCCACAGCTCAGTTCTAAGTATGTTTCCCCATGTTCCTCCATGCTGTGTGGCAACTAGACCCGCGACCTCCGCTGACATACCTCGTAGTCATCGGCTCCGGCCCTGCTGCCCACACTGCTGCCATCTACCTGGCCCGAGCCAATGCCGAGCCCACTCTCTACGAAGGCTTCATGGCCAACGGCATAGCAGCCGGCGGCCAGCTGACCACCACCACCGACATCGAGAACTTCCCCGGCTTCCCCGATGGCATAATGGGTGGTGAGCTCATGGACGCGATGAGGAAGCAGTCCGAGCGCTTCGGCACAAAGATCATCAGCGAGACCATCGCCAAGCTGGACCTCTCCAAGCGGCCCTTCAAGTTCTCCACCGAGTGGGACCCAGATACCGAGCACACCGCCGACGCTGTCATCCTCGCCACCGGCGCAGTCGCCCGGCGGCTGAATCTCCCGGGCGAGGACAAATACTGGAACAATGGAGTCTCGGCCTGTGCTGTTTGTGACGGCGCTGCCCCTATCTTCAGGAAGAAGCACCTCATTGTCATTGGCGGTGGAGACTCTGCCGCAGAGGAGGCCATGTTCCTGACCAAATACGCGAGCCACGTCACCGTGCTCGTCCGCAGGGATGTGCTACGAGCCAGTAGCATAATGGCGAAGAGGCTCCAAAATCACAAGGATGTCACCATCAAGTGGAACACCACTGGTGTCGAGATCAAGGGCGATGACAAGGGTCTCATGAGCCATCTGGTCGTGAAGAACGTCAAGACCGGCGAGGAGGAGAGCCTTGAGGCCAGTGGTCTGTTCTACGCCATCGGTCACGACCCCGCCTCTGCTTTGGTCAAGGACCAGGTTGAAACGGATGCGGACGGCTACATTATCACCAAGGCTGGTTCCCCCTTGACCAACATTCCGGGTGTTTTCGCCGCAGGTGATGTGCAGGACAAGAGGTACAGACAGGCTATCACCAGTGCAGGTACGTGACCCCTTGATGAACATTCTTTGGCTGTTGCCCTAGGAGGTGAACTGACAGCTTTCTAGGTTCTGGTTGCATGGCGGCTCTCGAGGCAGAGAAGTTCCTCGCCGATCTCGAGTCGGACGCGGCGGAAACACCTGCGCAGGCAAACGGTAATTAGACATCCCATTTGCTCCATTTTTGTTAGTGTCCTCGTGTCGCGAGAGCGGCCTTGCATAGAAAATGACACCTATAGAAACATAGACCAAATATTAAGCAAGATAAGATTTACATCTGACGCATCACGTCTTTGACTGCCACAAGCGAACATACAAGGAATGGATAGACCACGTGCTCAAAGTTGATGTTTTGTCTGGGGAACACCGGACCTAATGTATGCCGGGTACCACCCTTCCTAAAACTGCGACATATCGCGTAACAGAAGCTTTGGTGAATGTGGTAGAGAGAGTTGATTCCTGACTGTAAATTCGAGGGCCAGGACACCGATAGCTTGTTGCTCTTGATGTACCTACCCAGGTAGGTATGTAGTTCCGTCTGGGTTAAGCTTATTACTATGTAACTGTCAAAGTTGCGAATAAGGTTGGATAAGGCACTTGAACCATCAATGCCGTGTGCCTATACTCTCGGCAAGGGATGAGTGTCTCGGGATCAGACACCGAGGCAAACGAGCAAGGGAGGCCGCGCAGAGCCTCTTCTACTTGTTCAAATAGTGATAAGCACCTCCGTATGGTACCCATACCATCTCTTCCCCTCCTCGAGGCTAGCCGCTATTTCACAATGACTTCCATTCCTCTACTGCCAGTCCCACATTTTCTTAATCAGTCTTCCACCAACAGCTTACAAGCTCATCACATTCATTGAGCACAATGTCTGACAAAGGCTACACCTACAAGAGCTCAGGCACTAACAGAGAGGTATGCTGTGAGACAGCGCGCAGATAGACTCGCCTGGAATCAGCTAGCACACATGTGCAAAGACTGACAGGGCTCTTGTTTACCTCAGGGCAATCACTACTGTGCTCGCAACTACGGCTACGGTAGTGAAATTGCCAATTCCAATACATATCATTACTCAAATCGGTAGGTTTAAATCCTCTGGTAGCCCAGCTGTCTCTACATGCAAGGCACTGATTGGCAATTGCAGCGACGGTTCCTACTACTACTCCAACCCCAATGGCTCTGTGAGTGATTCTCGGATGTGCTTCAGGTAATTCCTGGGAATGCCTCCATTCATGTACCAATGATGGTAGCTAAGTCAAACCTTACTATAATGTCCTCACTAACAGCCCTCTCATCATAGACATACTACAACAATGGCCGGGGAGGTTCAACTTACACTTCTCCCAGTGGGACTCGGTATTGTTCGGGTTACTCAAATTGCAAGTAAGTAGTGGGAGTGACATGTCCAATGATTGCCACATGTACCATCTCAGCTCTGGGCTGTTTTAGGATTCGCTCAGGCTATGTGAGCGGTTGGGCAGTTTGCTAAGTGCCTCTTTGTGGAGACATAGTACGAGAGCACGAGAGCACGAGAGCAATGTACTTGAGCTTCTGGGGAGCATTCTTCTGGTGGTGCCGCGGAAGTTTCCATTATTGACCTAGAATCACGTCTAAGTCAATGCATGTACCATAGCTCCCATGATAACCACTGATTTTCCTTCGTTCCTTGCTTGTGTGCCTTCATGTCTTGTCTGATAATTGTCCTTCCCGCGGATCTATCCTAGCCATCAAGTCTGAGAGGTAGAGATACAGAGTGAAAGCGTTATTGGGAACAGAATTTGGTGATTTGTGGGCACTTGAAATGATGATTTTCCTCAAAAGATTTGGTTCCACCAATATATGGGTGACTCAAAAAGCGGCCCTATGCCATTCACCCAGTTATCAGATTGTGAACTCCCCAGTCAAGCAAGTGATCTGTTGTCCATGTGCTGTGGTTGCGTTGATGTGTACAGCAAATGTACCCTGAAGTACAAACACATCATCAGTGATAGGCCTCCCAAGCACTCGTATTCCATGATGGCTAGGGACAATTTAACTTACAGCTGGGAGATCTTCTTCTTCGAGGGGAATTTCTTCGTCCATGCTAAGAGGTCCTGCCTCAACAGGGCATTCCTCGCCGATCATGTCCAGATCATCGCACAAGTCAAATGTTTCGTCGAAGACCGGGTCGCTGCCCTTCCATGCCACTATGTGCACAGAAGCACCTTCATCGATAGTTTGCGTCACACGGCCCTCAGCTTTGACGGCAAGAGACTTCCCCCTAGTGGCTGACACGTAAGTACGTTGTGACAACGGGCCGAGACAGTGAAAGACAAAGATGAGCCTGGGGGTGGGGGCAGATTCTACCTGACTGGTGGGTTCGGAATCAATGTCAATTCATCAATCTGAATGATGTCTTCGAGGTTTTCAGAACAAAAGCTGAGTGGGTTGTCGCCAGGCACCTTCTTGCCCGCTGCTAGGAGGCCGGCTTGGAGTAGGAACAAGGTGGCGATGGAAGTGAGCTTGGATCTCATGATATTGAATTTGCAATAATTTCAACTTGTTGGTCAAGGACTATTATTCGAAAGACTGTGTCGTTCAAGTCATACGGACCAGAGATGATCGGAACAAAGGGTATGTCAGAAAATTTTCAGGACTTGGCTTTTACATTCAGATGCTGGCATGTTTCAATGTCTGGGGCGCATCATCAGCTGATTCACCGTCAAGAGACACGCTGGCAACTACTTAGAAACTGTTCTCGTGTTGAAATACAAGGCTATCTCTGAACCGTCTTTCATGAAGACTCGGGTGTAAACCTAAGGAAGGCGGTCCATGTGTCCGCCGGTGCGCCTGATTGTCAATTTTAGCCAGCCTCAGTCTCGGGCACATCTTATCATACGCCTCATCTTCCGTCACCAATCCGGTGCTCTGAACTAGGTCGACGGACGACCGCTCGATGCAGTGGTAGACAGGTGGTACTTGCTCTAGAGCTAAGCTAGGCTTGAAGCCATGCAGATCGCTTTGACTTGGTCCCAAACCGCAATTTTCACAGACCGTGAAATAGTTTTGGTGCCTGGATGTTTTTTGTCCTCTCAAGCTCCAATGTGAAGCCTTTGGCCATATTCAATTCCAAACTCATGGTTTTCTCAGCAGGTAGTTGCCCTTGTACTGGCGAGAGGTGGGACTACGCGATGATTATTCAGCCACCAAATTTGGTTTTAGAATTCTCCTCCAGCCAGGGTCGATGAAGAATAAGGGAAGGACACTTGGAATTAAGTAACCTTGTACTGTGTGACCCAAAACTTCACCCATTTCCACGTGCGGAATTCTGAGATGCGTAGACGCCGGCTTTTGCTCCCGCGCCAGGACCAAAAGCACAAGTCACACCTGGGCACGCAACGATTGGACAATATGTGATGTTACGTGAGTTTGACTGGCGAAACCCTTCAATAGATTGCCGACTGTGTATCGGAATGTTGTCTTATTCCGATGGAATTACGATCACTTCCGTTTTGACGGAAGCGCGCGCTCAATGATGCCATCGTGCCGCTGTATGAGAACTAGGCGCTGCCCCCTCATGAGGCCAATCCATCCCGCCAGGCATTTGTAATGCCGTAACAGGAGCTCCCCCACTTCGGAACTACATAAGAAAATACCGCCTCCAGTTATTCTTCGAATATTTTGCTTTTTCCCTGAGAAACAGTCACTGAAATCATAGGTCTTCATCCGGCACTGGCAATTCTATAAGCCTTGTCATTTTGGCTGTGACAACTCTCCCGATCGAACTGCTTCAACATGTCTTCTGTCAACATTCGCAGCGTCGCAGTTGTTGGTGTAAGTGAGCACAGACCCCAAATGCCACATGCGTCGGAGCACAAAACTTGAACCGAGAACTTGAATTGATGAGCATCGCCTCTGCCATAGGGTACCGGAACTATTGGGAAACCCATTGTTAAAGAGCTTGTCGACCAGGGGTTTCAAGTCTCTGTTCTTTCCCGAAGCAATAAGCAAGACGATCTGCCCAAGGGAGCTGTCGTGAAGACAGTGGATTATGACAGTCTCGAGTCCCTCAAGACCGCCCTAGCAGGCCAAGATGCCGTTGTGTCCACAATAGCGTCACCTGCCGTTGGCCCTCAGCAGCAGAATGTACTAGAAGCTGCCTACGCGTCCGGAGTGAAGCGTTTCATCCCATCCGAGTTCGGAATAAACACACGCAAGCTCCAAGGCCTGAAGATCGCCCAAATCTTGGCTGGAAAAACCAAGCTGGTGGATGGCCTTCAACAGAAGGCCGACGAAAACAAGAACTTCACTTGGACTGGACTGTCCAACGGGCTCTTCTTCCACTATGTGAGTTCATTTCTGGGTTTCGCTCTTCCATTGGGTTCAATATCGTTGACATCAGTCCAGTTCGGCTTTGATGCGAAGGCGAAGAAAGCTACTATCTACGACTCCGGAAACGAGCCTTTTCAAACGAGCAGCCTCGGACTGATTGCCAAGGCTGTGGCATCTATCCTCAAACATCCCCATGAAACTGCAAACAAATATCTGTCCATCGCGTCGTTCCAACCGTCCCTGAACGAGATCCTTCAAATTGTGGAGGACGAGACTGGTACTAAGTGGACAGTTGAGCGTGTAAGTACACAAGATTTGCAAAAGGTGGGTGAGGAGAAGTTGTCCAAGGGCGATTTCAGCGCATTCCGGGAATTGCTCAGGGTCCACATTCACCGTGATGGCGACGGACACTCTGTTCCAGAGGGCGAGCTAGCCAATGGATTGCTTGAATTGCCCAAAGAGGACTTGCGTAACTCAGTCAGGGATTGGTTAGCGTCAGCGGGTGCGCTCTAAGCCTCACAAGTTGATATTACTCAAGTGTACTTTGCCCGTTTCATTTGTTGAGCCACCTGGATGACATTCGACCTTGGGTTTACGCTCGAGGATCCAGTTGACAGTCCAATCAAAGTCTCATCTCCCCCTCAGCAGTCTTTATCAGAAGGCTCTTTAGTATTCGGCCCCAGGCCGATATGCCTACACGCATTTCATTGACTACGCCTTTTGCAAGACTACTGTACGTGTACACTACATATCTTCAAAAGCCCTGGCTGGACCGAGCCAAGCAGTGGGCTCTGTTGTCGCCAACGTCGAAAGCAACCACTTGAACCGAAAGGAGATGAGCAAACGCCCATTAGCTTCGATTGAGGGAATCGGTATGTGTACTGAATGTAACAGAGCTCACTGTGATGTAATTGATGCTGTTGTGTTTCGTTACGCCTCGACGCTCTCAGAATTGAGGTGATCGTCGTTCGAGCGCGGGTATTTTAGTGGTGCGCAAATTTACTATGCATTTACTCGTCTAGGTAACGCGATATCCTTCGCTACTGGCTACTAAGCAACAAGCAGCCATTGGAATCGATCTTGCTTTGACTAAGTACTGTGGTCCATAGAACAAAATTAAATATGGTGCCCAGCTACAAAAATATTCGAGACTGCCGCCAGTAGCCCATTTGAATCACGCCTGTCATGACTAAGCCGAAGTGTACTGGTGGCAGATGGCTTGAATCGTAAAGAGTTGGTGGAATGACATTTGATCTATGCATGGGTGTAGCACAGGTCATGTTCATGCAAATGACCTAGAACCATTGACAACAACACAAGCACAATAGTGATTCATATCGAGGAGATTGAAGCCCAATTGAGTAGCTTGCGGGCGACGGTATCCCCCAGAATTCCTACGGAGTGATAATATTCAAGCCACTCAAAGAACACAAGGCATTGATAAGTCATAGGCCGCGGAATATGTTGATATTTTGTCTCTCCATTACAACCTTTTGTGAGTTTTTGGGCCAACAAAACGTTTCGAACCACATGTGAAGTTTTATGATCTAGAAGCCCTGCTGATTACGCCACTTTTCTTCCCATCCAGGGAAAAAAGGGCTCTCGTCCAAGGTTCGAACCTCCCAGTCCTTTGGGACTATACCTTTCTCAACCTGCTCCTGTGCCCACTGCTTGCAAGCCTCGGTAGTCACATCTTTGATGTGGTCTAAAGTCTTGTAGTCAATCAGACTCTTCTTACCTTCTTGCAACACTCTGAGTAATAAAGCCGGTACAAATGGCTCATCTCTGAGCTCTGTGATTGGAGAAAAAACAGCCTTGAAATTGAACACGATCGCTCCGCTGAGAGGCAACCTTCGCAAGGTCTGATAGTCGCATCTCAACTTCACGTGTTCGATGGTCAGATCTTCTTTACAGTCAGCAAACCTGCTACGCTCCCAGGACTTGTTCCCCTCCATGCGCGGGCCTACAGCGTTTAGAGTTAGCGGTAAGAACACACAGAGGAGTAAGTTTCACGCGAAAATGGATCGAAGCATGCCACCATATATACACTGGCTGTCTGGAATGCTGCAGCCTCACAAACGGCTTCAGAGATAGCAGTGAAACAGACCACGAATGTAGCAGATGTTTCTTCCCTGAGAAGGAAAAGTTGTATCGGACAGCTGCTTACTACTGAAGAGCGGAGCATGGTCCTCCAAACTCCAGCTGCACCGCTGGATGGGCTGGTCGACGGCCATTTTGGCGAAGAAACGATCCATGCTGAACGCCATTTTCTCGGCGTAGTCGGGAACGCCGTCGTGAATGCGCCGCAGAGGCTTGCCACGGTGCATTCCAATGTCCCAGCCAACAGAGGAGCATACCATGGCCGCCCGTAGATAATAAAAGCCATCGTGTTCATTGCGAAATACCATGGCGTAATCTTCTGGTATGTTTTGATAGATTACTTCCAAAGGCGGGGTATTGATAAGATCAGTCGTCGTATCGAGGAGACGATTCTGCAGAACGGTGTTGTTGGTCTCGAGGCTGAAGTACTGAGGATACCGCTTGCAGATGAATTGGACCAGTAATTCCATTAGTTCACGACAGGCCAATTCTGATCCCGGGTCAGAAAAGAATAAGAGGTCACCATGCTTCTCTTTCAGTTGTTTTCTTTGCTCCATGACCGAGACGTAGCTATGTTCCAGCTCAACCCACCAGTCTGGGTCAAATTTGTAATGGGCTGAAGAGTACTCGATTCAGCTGACGCGCCTGAACTTCACTCGGCACAGAATGTTTAGCTTACCCATAGTTTGATGATAGTTCCACCTGAATGGTCGGAACGGTCTAAATGTAGCCTTGCTGATATCAAAATGTGCGCCATACGGTTTGGGATACCGCACTCCCGTAAGAACCGAGTAGTCTGGGAATCTTCCGAGGGCTCGAATGTCCTGCATTGAGAATCCAGTGGGCGTGTAGAGATTATCTTGATCCCAATCTGCCTTACGAGCTGAAGGTATCGCGCGTTGACGAAGAACTTCGTGAGGGACGCTATCATAAGGGCCGGCAGAGCTCTTCAGCTTCAGGCCGGCCAGAGTGTGTCGCCGAGAAGGAGGAAACTGAAGCGCCCAGGGGTGCGTTTCGACCGCGACAGGTGCAGCCCAGGAATTCAATATTACTTTCCTCCGAGCAAAATGAAAACCTAGACCAAGAAGTACGAGGACTAACGCGCCAACCGCGCATGAGAGAGAGTTCACTTCCGCGAATAGTAGTTTATCGATCTCCATGGTGGCAATGTTCTTATCGATGCAGGCAAGACGGGTGATATGAGAATGCAGGAAGGCAATGGGTTTCAAAGTCGATATATAGATGGTGTTTATAGTGTTGAAATGAATTGCTAGGTAGCCACATCATGTACTGAGTTGGATATTTGAGCGTCACGTCTAAAGACAGACCTGAAATCTTTGTATCACCAGAAGCCCCGAGCTGTCCCCGAGATAATCGAGGGCAAATCGTGACTGGATCAACATCAAAGTCACAAGCGATGATGAGGTACGTCCGATACGGAGATAGTAGACGAAGACCCCGCAACGATAAGGACGGAATGCTTGGAGAGCTAGCTCTACTAGCCTCAATATCCAAGCGGGTCATTGTGCGGAGAGGAGGTAATGGGAACCGTCTCCGAACACACCCACCCTGTTATGCACAAGTTCGGGCTGGTCTCTATCTCTCGGCAGTGGCCGGGGCTGTGGCTGGTTTGCAAAGTGGAGCCGTTTACGGAGATGGATGGCCTCCATCATGCAGTATCTTGCCGAGTAGGACATTTCTGATTATGACCGCTTGACGCACATAACGGGGAGTAAAAGTTTTACTCTGGCTCCCGGGCCGGTCTTAACAATTGACAAAAGCTTAGTCTTTCCGTCTGCGGGTAGCGGGTAGGTCACCAGGACTTTACAGTCATCCACATAGTGTAGCGGCCTAGTGAACACTGGCCACTTTTGAGGTTGTATCAAGATTTCGAAGTACTTTCCCCACAGCAGTAGCCCTGCCGCAAGTATTCTCAACTACAACATAGCCTTTCTAATTGCTTGTGCAAATTTGACCATTGATGACCGTGTTGGCGGGAGAAAACCACGCTTTTTTATAGCTCTTTGCCGGAGCCCTGCATGCCGACCGAGAGGACGGGATGAGCGCATCAAGGAGAGACTATCATCCATGCTCACTCGGTTGCCAACATTGAACGCAGTGAGCACGATGCCGCATCCGGATCACCAATGTACCAGTTTTTCAACCAATAAATTCCATGCACAACTCAACTTGGAGAATGGTTGACAGCTCTTGGGACCAAAGCAAACCTTATCGCCTTTACATCTTTGAACACCAAGTCATGTCACATTCGGTCTGTAGACGAGAGAGATGGCATTTACTTCACAATCCCCATAGCAAACAAGAGTGGGCTTACATAGCTATATAGGCATGTCCTCGAACTCGTCTGGCATCGGCAGATGTTCTATCCAGCATTGAATGGCTTTGGCGAAGAGCGGTGGAAATTGCAGATTCCAGGCAAGAATGGCTTCCCGCACCTGATATGCACAGGTTGTGCTCCCTTGGCCACCACTGCTTTGAGATTTGAGCAATTTCGCAGCTTGACGTACGCCCTCAGGGTCGTCCTGCTTCCCACCTGCAATCATACATAGCCTCTTGTCTGCTACTCCAGTCTCCGCGAACTGGACTTCTTGCCATTCTTTGGCATATGAGCACCCAGCTTCAGCGAGACGTGAGCTTCCATTCCGCTTGATAGCGTTTAACAACTCGTCGTTGTGATACTCTCCACTATATCCCGACATTTTGAAGAATAGAGACCCCGCTGTCCCAAGTTAGTATCATACAATGAAGTGCAAAAGAAGGTGGGAAAAAGACAAGGAAAATGGTTCGATGACCCTTCGAAGATTAGATCGGTACTTACGCGAATGTAGAATGGACCAGAGCCCGGCGTAAAGCAACCGAGGATGGTTAGTGACAGTCAGACGCATTCCCTTTTGTGGCCACGCCCCTGATATGAAGCCACTTGTGACGACATCTGGATGTCTCCTAACGATGTCCAAGGCAATAAACCCACTTGTACCAACTCCAACAACATGGGCACGGCGATCGTGAGCATGTTCGCGAATCATTTCTGCGACTAGGTCGGCACACAGACCAACTGAATACTCTTCCTTCTTGCACACATTTCGAGATTTTGAGTGGCAAGGCAGATCTGGTATAAGCATGTGGTACTCGGCCAGTTTAGGCCAAATATGCTTCCATTCAAGATGAGAACTGACTAAGGTTTCTGAAATTAGCCATTGTAAGCAAATCCAAGTACTCGGGTATTTTCTCCGTAGGGCAAACTTGACGGGAATAGAGGGGGTCTTTGTTTTCAGAAGGGTAACCTTGACTGGGGAACGTACAGAGCATATGGAGGAGGACCACTGAAACAGGAGCGAACGGATTCATCTCGAGGAAGAACATGGATTTGTTTGCTGATATTATTGTCTCGTTGCTTCCGGTCATGACTGTGTGTAGGCTGGCAGCCTCAAAAGCTTGCTCCTGTATCGAGGTCCCGGGCGTGGATATTGTGCTCGTCTGCCGTCCGTCGCATGTCGGCATCTGCGCCATGTCGTCTTTGGACGAGAATCGGCAATAGATGGCGATGCTGTCTCTTTAAATGAGGATGACCGTCAATTATAAGGTGAGGACTTTGAGGTAGAGAATTTCGAATGCAGTTCATGAGTGCTAACGCACCACCTAAAAGCAGCTTTCGGCTTAAGGAACAACCGATTTCGATGGGAGGCAGATCGAGCAGTAGATTCTGTTGGAGGACCGCGATGCGCAGGGTTTTGTCGCCCCAGCAAGACTTGACTGGGAGGCCCACTGGTCCGGGACACCACCTGGTCAGGATGTTAGCCAGGCAATCCCTGCTTGTCAGTGTCTTCCATTCTTTCCGAGGCAACGACAAAAGATGGTTGCATCAAACGATAGACATATATTTACTGTTGCATGACAAACCGCAAGCGCTTGTGAGTCTCGGGGCTGTGCCAGTGCTTCGATCTTCCTTGAGGGCGAGGGCACAGATTCGTAGTTGGTGGGTGACATGGCTTGCCTGTTTTGGGACACGTGCAAAAGTGGCCCGATAATCTCACGAGACTAATGTCAAGGGTGCCCTTTCCTTAGCCTTCTCTTATTAGATCGGGGTGGATCAAGCCCCTTGATCTCTGGAGATTGAACATTTACGGGTCGCGATAACGCGCAAGCAAAGGAGCAGTCTCGTGCTGTCCAATTCGTGCCGAAGACTGCAAGAATGTCCAGTTGACAGCTCTAAGCTGACCCCGGGATACCCCGATTCCTCCGTCGGTCTCGTCTCACTTTGCCATTTCCTGCCTGCACGTCGGCGTAGACTCTTTGGGAGCCATATTGCTAAAGTCTTTAAGCCGCTCCGCAAGTCAGTCAGACCTGGCCGAAGAAACAAAAAGCAGCCATCTGAGATAGACCCACGTCAATCACGTTACGGCTGAATCATGAGTACCTGCGTTTGCGCTCATGCCGCTGCTTCCAACTCGTGTCAAAATGGGAGTCGTGCCAGTCGTTGAGAATATGGGAGGGCCCAAATGATGCAAACAAAGTGTCGAACCTCTGAGTACAAGTCGTTGGTTCCATGCCAAGTGGATCTGGCACAAGCGATTGCTCGATCACGGGAGGATCAAGTAACGGGCATGCAAGTGATCGATCTTTTGCCCCTGTACAGTAGCAATTATCCCGAAGAACGTCTGGATACCGTGCGTGGACTGTGAGTTTGGGGATGCAAGCACAGTATCTGAACATGCATGCTGCCGTATCACTTTCAGGTATCCACTTCCTGATCAAAATACCCCGGTAATGAGTGAACCGAGCATTCTCCTACGTATGCAGGCCGCAGCGGCAGAGACTGTGCCTGCTTCGCGCTAGTCATGAATTGGTTCAAGTGATGAACCAATCGTGGCTGTCTGCCCTTGGAGACACCATTATATCGAGAAGCGTCGTGTCACAAGCCGATTGAATGTTTGGAGTCGACGATCTTTCGCTACAGCATCTCAGAGTGGCATAGACGCCGTAGCTTTTGCGGGAACACTCATCGGCTGCCCGCCCAGATGGGGAATGAGACCTTTCATTCTTATTTTTAGGATCGAATGATGTGAGGATGATGAGATGAAACGAAATCCAACAGAAATGAAGGGACTGCCTTTCCAATTGCTCCATGGCACGGTCGATGCGTGCTGACTCCCACCTCCACAGTCTCAAGTCAAAGTAGGCACAACCCAGTTCTTTGTCCACTGTGACATATCAACAGTGCTGGAGCTCTTCTCGATTTCCCCCGGAGCAGATCCGGTCTTCAGCAAGAAATAATTGATGTATGTAGTCAAGTCCGCTTGCTGAGAGCTGGGAAACTGGCAGTGAGCATGGCCGCCGACAAGAGAGAAGCCCATGTTCGTGGGCACGCCATACGATTTGTAGATGACCCTTCCTGCCTTCATAGCGCCAGTGGTAGATACGGGACCGAGCCAGTCAATGTCATTTTCAATGACAAACAGGCCTCGTGGTACGGTCATGGCCGCCAGAAAGTGGTGATCCTCGGGCATAGTCGACGTCGCTTTGGCGTACGTGTTCAAGCGCGTTGAGAACCAGACATTCTCGCCGACGATCTCGCCGGCTGTTTGAATGTTGGCGCCGGCCTTCTGCTGTGCATCACTGATTCGCCAGCTCTGCAGGCCCAGTTTAGCAATCAGAAACAAGGCACAGGATTTTCCTCATTTGAGGAGACATGTTGCTTACCGCGGCGCCACCAGATCCAGATTCTTGTGGGAGGGTCAAGGCAATACGCTTGACGAAAGCTCCTACAATGAAGGCTCCCTTACCATTCCGGGAACAACCTGTGACCCCAAGGCGCTTGGTATCGATCAGAGAAGTTGAGTTAACTTGTTCCAGCGCATCAATGAGGCGGTCAACTCCCCAGGCCCAGGCAGTGAGGGCTCCAGCACTGTGCGATGCCCCAAACAGAGTGTAGAACTTGCCCTGACCGCGAGACGAGGCCGACGCCTGAGAGGCAAAGTCATCGTTGTTGAAATTGATGGTTGCCACTGTGCCAGGAATGGGGAGCGAGGAGCCACCTATAGTGATGATAGCAGGGAAGGGTCCGTTCCCAGACGGCTTCGAGATAGACGCCGTATAACTGACAGACTTCCCGGCAACAGTCACAGCGACTGTGAGAGTATTGCCCGAGAGCGTGCCCTTGACAGAGTCTGGAGGTGGTGGATAGTCCCCCAACTCGTACTGCTGCATAATCTTGCTGATCTCCTGGGCCCGACAGTCGAAGTCGGTTTTGGTTGTGATCTTGTTACCGTTCGCAAAGATAAAAGGATCCGGTAGCTGCCCATCGTTCACAGTCGGAACGCTCGTGGCAATGGAGCATGTTGACTGGCGTTCGACGATATTGGCCGCTGGCATCGCAAGCGCCACACCAGCAAGCAGAGCTGAGCTCAACAATTTCGTGAAAGCCATGTTGATTGATGTTGATCAGAGAAGTTGTTGAAATTGATGCAAGGCTGCTTTCTGCCTTGATCGACATGAAAGCTGTCGACCTATTTAACAACCTTTAACCATATATCGGAGCCCAGTTCTGCATCTCGAAGAACGTCATGTTACGCATGACTTTCTATTTGCTTCCCAAGATCGGCATTTCACCATCCGGCCGAAAGGGACATGAAGCATCCGGGCGCAGGCTGTGTCCAATGTGCGTCGCATTATAATTGTACCAAATATTTCCAGCTTCATGTGGCCTAAAACGGAGGTTTCCCCTGACCAAATGGCTTAAAGAGCAGTGCCCTTCTGTTTGCTTTTGCAGAGGCAAAATCTTCCTGTATGCTTGTGAAGGCAATCAAATAACCAGGACAGGGTAAGTATTCAGGCTATTTGAGAGTCCTCGGGCTGTTTTGCCGGTCACCTATCATTTTGCCGCCCTTAATGAAGGCCCATTACTCCGCATCGAGCTTTTTGAGGGGAGAGTTGTAGAGCGTCACCCATCGACCTTGTATATATCCCCTTGACGCTGTAAAATTCCCAGAAAAAGGGCACGGGGGTTAAGTCCCCGACTTGGCTGTTACTCAGCTGACCCTGCTGAACCTTCTTCACACTTTATTGACAAGGAACTGTGAAAAACCATTTCCACATACACTAATGTCACTGTTAACAGACGTAGTCGATTTCAAAGATCACAACGGATCTCCGAGGCACTCGATCTTGGACGGCGTCTATTCCTCTCGTGGAGGCAAGCTCTAACCATCCTTGCGGCTCAAATTAAGAGACCTGAGGCATGCAGCCATTGCAAGAGGGCGCACTTACACCGACAGGCCTAGCGTTTTCCCCAATACATCGCGCAAAATATCTATACGCGCAACTCTGCAACAGCTATCAGCCTGCCGTTGAGACCGAATGCTCCCGGATTGACTGATACCGGAGAAGTCCTCACACAAGTTTGCGAATTGAGCACCGTGAATGCGAGCTGAAAAGAAATGTAACGCAGGAAAGGCACCACACCAAGGAGCTTTACCATGGAAAAGAGACGCCTGCAGACTCACCATCGGACCATGGCCAAGACGCCAATGCAAAGCACACAAGTAATACATAATCTTTACTTGGGGCGGACATATCAAGTGGTCAGAGTTTCTTCTGGCAACAATGCCTTGCATATGAGATGCTCCAAGCATTTACCCTATCTTCTTTTAATACGTGGATTCTAACATACATTTAAAATCTTCTTATTCGCTTCTAATCTTGTGATGCGCAACGTCAAAACTCCGTCGGTCGTTGCTTGAATTTGCTTTGATTGTAAAGCCGCGTCTAGGCTAAGTGCATAACTCCTCCGTGTTAAGTCATTCCTCTAGTAGTACACCAGGGCCTCCACACCAGATACTCTGCACGCACAGGAGGCCTCAATCGTCAATTAATGGGTGCGAATCCTTGATATTAGGAAATATTACATCAAAAAACAGAGACCACTCAACCAGAAGAAGAGAAAAGTTCAGGGTTCCGGATGCTTGCAGTATATATGCAAGCCTTGAAATGGACCACGGCGGTTTCGTGTCTAAGTTTCTAGACTGAGCCAAGATTTGTCCAAGATGATGTAATTTTATGGATGGTAGCTGTATATACATCTTTGTATGGATATGAAATATGCGCGAGGCTCACACAAATGTTGCGCCGTCTTCCTACGACAAGCCGTTAGCGAGATGGAAGGAGGCAACGTCTTGAGATTCAAGATTGAGCATGCCAGTGCCCAATGGTCCCATGATCACTCCCAATATACTGTTCAAATGTTTGGTCCGAGCCATTATATGCGCCCACTTTGTATGTAACAGTAATAGCCTGATGATGAGTCTTCTGGAAATGCAACTTGAATGCCTTCAGGGCTCCTCGTTATTGCATGTGTTGTGAGTCATGCGGAATGATAAAATAGAAACTGTTTATATAGAATGGATCCACGTGCATTTTGAACTACAACTAATTATCCCAGCTGAGACCTGTTCAAGCGTTGCAACTCCAAACTACTACAAGGCGTGGTGGTCCGCTTTCGAGATTGATCAACGCTGTAAAATTTCCATGACAAGAAAACTATGAAGCATGCCTCAAGAAGTCAAACTGCCGTGTCAAACTTCGTGATCATCCCCTCTAGGTTCAACTGCATCTCGTAGAAGATGTTGATAGCCTGTATTATTTTGCCTTCGCTCGTACCCCTGCCACTGCGTGTAAAAGCTAGTCGCCAAGCACTCTCGTCTTCAAGGATCGCCGCGTAGTCTTCGTCTGCTGGATTTCCTGCCGTCTTGCAGACTGAACCTATATCTCCCTCATAACCATCAAGAGGCGTGTCAGATAGCTGGGCAAGAAGTGGCGGAGAAACGGTGATACTAGTATATATTAGTGACCTGCTACAAAGCCCGAATAAATGCACTCTGAAATATTCTAATAAAAGATAATCGATCACCAGAGCGGGTCAGGGTTTATACGTACTGGTCAACGCCTGCCAGCATTAAGACCTCATCGATGGAGGTCAGAGACGCGGGCAGGACTCGAGTCTTCGCTCCGATCTTGCGGTAATATTGCTGAGCCACACCACAGAAAGTGAAGGCCTTGTTTCCATCAACATAGCTTGAAACGTACTATTAGTCTTGCATGCCGTAGTTGCTGCACAAACGAGAAGCTTGTACTGGAGTCCAGGGCCGGGTCTTCGCGTGATGCACAAGCATGTATAAGTCTCTGAAGGTCGACTTACTCTTTCTCAAAATGAACTTTCAATTCATTAACATATGGCGCGATGTAAGTGCAGTTGACCTCAGCCGCCAGCGCAGCTTGTTCCATGCAAAACATTGTAGTCGCTAACGTAGCGATGCCGCGCTTTTCAAGCTCACGACAAGCCTGCAGACCTTCCCACGTCGCCGGGATCTTGATGCAAACACGTTTCGTGTCGTAGGAAGGCGCTAGATGCTTGAAGATAGAGACGATCCCTGGAACAGCTCCCGTCAGTACATTGAAGTAAAGTGACGATTAGCTGAACTGAATTTGCAAATTTCAGCGTACTCTCTGCGTTGTTGATGGTTTTCTGTACATTGTATGACCACCGAGGGTTGGTTTGAATATGCGAATAGCCCGTCAAATTGGGCACGATGTCGAGTGCCAGTCGAACCATGGCAAAGTCGACGGCGAGCTCTTCTAGAGTCACACCGGACTGCTGAGCCAACATCCAGTGCGCATCTCGGATACTGTCTTTGATAAGCTGCTCATGGGTGAGGGTAGCACCAAGTCCCGTCTTGGTAAGTTCGAAGAAGGCAATGGCCTGTTGACGATGATGAGCAACGAATGTCAGAGCTACTCCTGCGCCTTGAACAGAGCTGGTGTAGAATTAAAAGACTGCGCACCTGATTTGAAGTGCAGTCCACAAAGGGTCCCAGTTTCTTGGCCACTGCCGACGCGTTAGTCCAAGTTCCGACTTGTGAGAAGCTGAGCACGCCACTAGTTTGTCGCTACCACCTCGAGGCCCTGTGAACTAGCTGGCACCTCTTCCTACAGACTTGTACGCTTCGTGTTACTTGGAGTCGATCGCACTGATCGTCGTGATCTCCAAACGCTACTTACCTTCGCCGTCAAGTGTATCACAGTCAACCGCACTGAGCTCGCGGAGCTTTCCTAACAACGTAGTTGAAGCCATACTTGGGGCACCTTTGGAGGTGATTGTATAGTAATATATTCAGGTAGTTCACAGTCTTAACGATGGCAGGCCATCAAACACCACTTGCAATCGTGTTGATGAAATCGTGTTCAAGTGAAGCAAGAAATCTTCGACATTTTCAGCAGTCGATGGTACTCACGAGGGTGACAATGGTTCGGGGTGGAGAGGGGTGAGAGTCGTCCGTTCACACAAGACCTCACGCACTATGGTCGTCCCAAGCCCGGCAAGCCCCAGGCGTCCCCAGACGTCCTTGGTCTTTTTTGTTACCCCGCCTCACTTTTTGCTACTTTGCCAGCCGAGAAATAATGTGGTTGTTGGCCGTCTTGCACCTGGTCCTGCTGGTGGTCTGTTATGGTGGAGAACAGTGTTGGGCTTTTGAGGAGTCCGTCCCGATTGGGATATCTCGTTCTCCGCACTCCAAAGTGCTCGGCGTCCAATGGCACATCCGAACCCGGGCAACGGCCGTCAGGCGTTGATGGCAAAGCCCACAAATGTATACAAACTGCCTGCTTGTGCGATGCGCCAGATGAAACTGAGACTGCAAGAGTGGAAGTAATGAGGCGCCACACCTCACTCACTCCGGCACCTAAATACAAACAAGAGCACAGAAGATATGGGTGTACACTTAGGAAGCACCTAGGTAGCCTCACATGTGTATAGCGGAGGCGGCTTGTAGCATCTAATTCGACCTATGTAGACCGGGACTGAAGGGTTGCGGTTCAAATGCAAAGATGACGGGAAAGGAAGCAAAAATTCGGAATAGGCTGGTCTCCGGGGAGTCGCTTGTATATCGTTGAAGATGGGATACATCTGCCTATGTAATAACTGCAGTAGCAAATTAATGCTGTGTGAAGTTTGCAGGTAACTAGTGATGTAACCCACACACCGGGCATGTTTCCTGGCCTCGGCCGCGGAAGACACCGCGGGTGCCCCCCCCCCCCTCAACCGAGTGGAGTTCCACTGCCGGTATAGAAGCCGGCCTTTGCACAGTGGCCTAAAAGATCCTGGGGAATCCAAGCGCCAGAGAGGAGCCCAGTGGATTGCTCAGATGGCTGCCCGTTGGCGCCGAAGACCTGCAAGCAACGCGTACCCATACTAATGAGGTACGTCACGGTACGACTGTTCATATCGGTAATACTGTACCGACCAGCGTCGGATTTACCTCGAGTACACACTGCCTAAAATTTGCTTGCTATTTTGTAAGAAGCATCTGCCCCTCCCCCACCCCCGCCGGATCAGTTCATAGCATTTAGTAGACAAAGAACAGGGATAAACAGGCAGCGGTCTGCTAGAATTATTTTAGTGCCGGCAAAGTGCAAAGTGTGTGGGGCAACTTTCCGGGGAAGCTTCAAATTTAGCATAACTTACAAGTCAGATTGCCCTACAACTCTGTTTTCTCTGAACGTAGCACCTGAGAGACGGCCAATCATGATGTTGATGTTCACTACCTACACGCTCATATGCCCTCAACCATACTTCACCACAAAATCCTCTGACACAGTGTCATAATTCTCTTAAAGGGTGAGGTCAACAAATTCAGCTTCCTAACAAGGCCCTACTTTAATGAGAGTTCAGTCATGTGTTTGGGCGGAGTGAACTTCGGATATACCTGTCTTCAGCGGGCCCCACGGGCATGTAACCATGAGTCCATTGATACCACAGTCCGTGCGACGGCAGCCGCGATGGCAAGCTAGAGCTAACAAGAGGGCCGGTGAATGGGTGATCATGCAACGACTACTATGTACTGGCGTGCCCACTTTGTGTTTCATCATCGATGCCTTACCCTTTGCGTACTGTGCAGCACTGGAACTCGGTTCAATCAACATTCGGGGCGGGTCGCTCAACATCTCCGAGAAAAGCTGATATTTAAACTACGTTTCTCAAGGCCAGCAACTAGGTATGCAAATACTTGCTCCATCTTCTCACGTCCCCTTGAAGCCAACATGTTCTTTCTCTACTTCCTGCCCCCAATATGCATTGTGGCACTCTTCATTCGACGCCTATACAAATTTAGAAATTATCCGGATGCGCCTGGGCCGACTCCAGCAAAGTATACACGTTGGTGGTATCTAAAGAAGGTATATGACGGCAAGTTTGAGCAATGGGACGTTGATCAACACGCCCGTCATGGTATGTGTTCCAGTCCGATATCCGATTCGGTCCCTGGCTCCACCCTCAAGTATACTCACACGAAGCATTTACTCACATTATCCGCTGTCATGCAACAGGGCCAATCGTTCGCGTTGCTCCGCAAATGTACAGTATTGGCGATCCAGCAGCTATGAAACCCATATACGGCATTGGTTCACCCTTGGAGAAGTCATCATGGTATGAGTACTGGGGCGACCCTCGTGTACCGAATCACAATCTGTTCTCCTCCACGGACTCTTCCTTCCATGCCACGATGCGAAGGAAGGTCGCAAATCTCTACACTATGACAGCCATCAAGTCTTACGAACCGTATGTCAACAACTGTGTGCGTGTTCTCCAAGAGCAGCTTGATCGATTTGCCGCAAAAGGTGAATGGTTCGATCTACAGCACTTCACACAATGTTATGCACTGGATGTGATCGGGGAGATAACAGTGGGTTCAACCTTCTACAGTGCTTCGACTCATGGCAACATCATTACTGACAGCTCCATGCTTCATTCAGTACGGAAACCGGTTCGGCGTTCTCGACTCAGGAGGTCAAGACGTTGGTGGGATTTTGGCGTCCCTCGAGAAGCTCTTAGCTTTTGGTACGCTGGCGGGCATTGAACCAAGATTCCTCCCGTTCTGGATATGGCGGTATGGAAATCCAGAGACTCCAATACGGGCGTTTGACAACAGGCAGCAAGAGTTGCGACGAGAGAAAGGCTCGATAAATGGTGCAACCGACTTCTTCACGAAGTGCGAGGCACTGTGCAAAAAAGATCCCGTTGAGTGGGAGAGATATCGAGGCCCCATGGCGATGACTCAAAACGTAGCAGCCGGCAGCGACACTACAAGCATTGCGCTCACCAGTGCGATCTTCCATATTATCAGCAATCGAGAAGTCTACCTCAAGCTCAAAGAAGAAATCCGAGCCGCAGAGGAGCAAGGTGAGGCGGACGATCCCATCACTTTCGACCAAGCTCAAGCGTTACCCTACTTGGGTAGTTGCATTAAGGAAGCGATGCGGGTCCATCCATCTACTGGATTGCCCCTGTGGCGCGTTGTTCCAGAGCCAGGCATGACAATATCGGGGGTGTTTTTCCCCGCAGGTGTAAGTCCATATGGCTGTCCGATGATGTAACATGAGCGCTTACAGAATACCGTGTTGCAGGCAGTAGTGGGTATCAACACTTGGGTAGCCCATCGTGACCCGCGGGTGTTCGGTCCAGACCCTAATGTCTTTCGCCCTGAAAGATGGGACCCCAAAATTAACGACAAAGACAAGCTAAAGCAAATGGAAGCTTATTATAGTAAGTCAACACAGTCCTAAGCCGTGTACTAATTCATTCTGACCCCGGCGTCATAGTGCCTTTCGGAGCTGGAACCAGAACGTGCATTGGCAAGAACATCTCGATCTTGGAGATATCGAAGGTTATCCCCCAGCTTATAAGGCGCTATGACTTCGAGTTGGCGAGGCCTGGCCAGCCAATCGATTCCTTGAATTATTGGTTCGTTAAACAGCGCAACTTGCTAGCACGAATCCGCCAATGAGCGGACCGGGGTGAAGTTTTAGTCTTAATTTGGGTCTTCTATATGCACACTTTAGTGGGAGACCAGTCTATACATGATCCGAGCAAGCAGCAGGCGTGACTACTCAGGTATATTGTGTTCGCTCGCTGAGGCTCCGGCCTTCCAATGATATTTTGACGCCACATGTTCATCTAAAGGCACCTTCTGTCCCGGTGAGTTATAGAAATTCTCCCTGTAAGTGCCTCCTTCAATGTACCCATCCCAAAATAGCCCTCGGGCCTTTAGCTCAGGTAGCAACAGCTCGATGATGTCTTTGAAAGAACCCGGAAATAAAGCGTATGCCTATTACCATGTTAGTTTTCATTGAATTCTAGTATGTCGGTCAGCAACGGAATTCCAGGTATCAGGACATACAAAGTTGAATCCGTCAACATCAGCCTCCTCTACCCATGTCTCCAAGCCGTCGGCAACTTGGGCTGGGGTTCCAACCAAGATCGGCCCGTTGCCCCCAATGCTGACATGTTCAGCGACAGTATGCTTAGTCCATTTCGCGTTTTGGGGTGAAAATTTGGCATAAGCCTCGACCGTTGATCTGCTGCAAGTCAGTACAACCTGTCTCGGCCCTTAGAACATGTGATTGGCAGCCTCTCGATACTAACCTCACAGCATTGCTTTCTACCTGGCGTAGCTCTTCCTCGTCACCGTATTTGTTCAGGTCGATTCCAGTCCAACCTGCGAATAGGGCGAGAGCGCCTTCATGTGATGCATACTGCCGGTAATCTTTTAATTTCGCCACCGCCTCTTCTTCGGTCCTTCCGAGAATGGGCGTCACAAGTGCTAGAACTTTGAGATTTTTTGGCTGTCTTCCAAACTGCTCTTGGGCTAGCTGGCGAACTTCGGCGATATTCTTGGCGCACACTTGTGGTGAGTGGGCTGAAACAAATATAGCCTCTACCAGCGTACAGTCAGACAGCTGCATGTTTGATTTGAGCGGTTGTATCCTATAGACCTACCTGCATGCTGGGCCGCAAAGACCTTACCAGCGCGCGATGTTCCTGCCTGCAAGAGAAGCGGCGTCCGTTGCGGACTTGGTTGGACAATATGGGGCCCTGGAACAGTGAAGAACTTTCCCTTGTGGTCGATCTGCCTCACCAAATCGGGCGAGGTGTATATGCCGTTCTTGCGATCCAACTGCACTGCATCGTCTCTCCAGGAAGACTGGAAGAGTTTGTACATAACCTTGATGTATTCTTCAGCTTGTGCGTAACGATCGTCATGGTCAGGCTGCTGGAATTGCCCCATATTGCGTGCTGCAGAGTCCAGATAACTCGTGACAATATTCCAGCCAAGGCGGCCCTTTGTTAAGTGATCAAGGGTCGACAGCCGGCGAGCCAAGTGGTAAGGCTGCTCGTATGTCGTTGAGACGGTCACACCGAAGCCGATGCTGCGAGTTGCCGCAGCCATCGCGGAAACCACGGACAAAGGCTCATTGACAGGCCACTGTGCCCCAGAGATGACAGCTGGGTCCAACGATTGTTTATAAACGTCGTATCCACCGAGGACGTCGGCTATAAAGATACCGTGAAAATTGGCTTTCTCAAGCAGTTTCGCAAGCTCGACCCAATGATCTACATCTGTAAACCTCCATGACTGATCTTCTGGGTGCCTCCACAGCCCTGGAGACTGGTGCCCACTGCCTAAACTTACGTCGTCAGCATGGGCGAACGATCTAAAGATGACCACAACAGCATACACATTTCGACAAAAGCATTGACGATGAGGCGTTTCTTGCTCTTCGCCTCGACCCTAGCTTGAGAAGCCATTGTGTAAGGCTTTTGGATTTGTTGATGGTGGCCGTGCTATGTTCGTACTTAGGAATGTAGTTAGTACGAGCCTATTCGAGATAAAACAAACAGAGCAAGCAGACTAGTTGAATAGGTCTCAACTTGAAAATCCTTTCATCAAGTCAATATGAATTAGACTTTCAGCATTACTACTCATCTTCTTTTTACAGAACCAAATCCATATCCCGGTTGGGAATAGCATGTGTTGCGTTGCCAGCAGTTCTAACACCCCCAGCGGACAATTGCGCCATCTTTGTGCGGATGATGCACTCAGCTCCGGCCGACCCCTCGATGATGCAACCACCCTGGACCAACAGGAGGCATCAGATATATACAAGCGTCTCCACAAAAAGCCTTTCGTGATGGGATTTTGCAGCTGTTCTTCGTCATTAAGGGGATATCTCCGGCTACTTAGCGATCTCGTGGAGGGCGTGGGGGGGTGAGAAAGCTAGAGGATGATGAAAGATATCAGATCTTTGCGCCATACCTCGAGACCCAGTTTCGGCTGTCGCATCAGCTTCCGCCGGCGATGTCCCACGGCCGTCTTCGGACGTGTTTGTAATCACGGATCGGTGCGGATTACTCCCTCTCTGTAGCTCTGCGTCCTCAATTGAGCAAGACCGCGGCACTTCTGGAACACAGCCAGCAGCACCACATCAGACGTGAATCCTAAGCGACAAGCTTTTACACTCGGCCAAGTTTCTTTCCATCCTTGTGGCAGAGTCTTGCCAGTTTCCTGTTCGATGATGAGTGGCTGGTCCATCCTTCGAAAGTTCTCTGGGAAGAAAAGAAAGGCATCAGCTGTCGGATTGGCAGACCCGAGTGACACCGTCACTCCCGACACGATGGCACCAATCGCAATCCCTGAATCACAGACTATCCTCTTACTGAAAGGGCCAAAACAGCCATATCAGCTGGTCGATGACTATCCTATCCCTGGACTCAACACAGGTTCCGAGATACTGGTCAAAACTCGGGCTATTGGCCTCAACCCAATAGACTGGAAGGCACCGTGAGTACATACCCTCCTGTCTCACGACCGTGCTGATACACAAACACTGCGCTGACCCCGAATGAGCCCGCAGTGATTTCAACTTTGCCATTCCAGAGTTACCTTATATATCTGGAAGAGAGCTTGCCGGAGATGTTTGTCGAGTATTGGACTCATCCTCACGGTTGAAGCTTGGTGACCGTGTAAGACACCAAGTCCTGACATCAACCCAGTACCAATTACCAGTGACTAAACGTTCCACAGGTGATCGTTATATCCACCGACTATCGTGATCTTCGGAAGGCAGCTTACCAAGAATTTGTCGTCAGCTTTGACTACAATGCGGTACGGCTACCCCAAGCTCTATCCTACGAAGAAGGGTCAACGCTGGGCGTAGCTTTTGTCGCCGCATCTTTAGCGTTGGGGATCTGCATGGGAGTCGACTTTAGCGATGTCACGAACGGCCCAGATCTTTTGAAGCTCGTCAAAGCAGCCGATCCAGACTCCATTCCCGAGGATGTCCGCGCAGAAACCCTGACAGGCATTCCGGAAGGTGACCGTGCCCGCCCTGGCGATTGGATAGCTGTGTGGGGAGGTAAGTGCGAGATATCACTCATTCCTTGTCTTCAAAAGGCTAACGGAAGTTTCACGCAGGTTCAGCAACATCGGCGAATCTTATCGTCCAGCTTGCTAGACTCGCAGGTCTGAAGGTTGCAACCATTGTGGACAGTGCCCGGCATGGTTTGCGAATCTCAAATCACAGATCCATACGTCCGGATCTCCTGATTGACAGCCATGACCCTCAAAGAGCTGTCGATGTCCTCAAGGCAAATGTAGGTGACGACCTGAGGTTTGGCATTGACACTCGCGGTAAAGACACCGCCGCGAAATTATTAGAAGCTCTAACAAATAAGGCTGTGTCCGGCGGCACGAGACCACCGTCGCCCCCGGCTACTCCAAGAACGTCCTCTACTATTTCTGCCCACCTCGTTGGGTTAACTGGACTGCCCAAGCAAGCTTCAGTCGAGGGAGCTGTGATGCATTGCGTACCCATCAAACTGTTTCACGAAGTGCCTGCAGTTGGCCACGCTTTAGTTACTTGGCTCGAAAGACTGCTGGAGCAGGGCCTCGTCTCGCCTCCAGAAATCATAGATATCGAAGAGGGTCTCGAGAATGTGAATGCAGGTCTCGACCGGATGAGGAAAGGGGATATTAGGGGCGGGAAGTTGATTGTAAGATTGGACGAGTCACGATAGAATTAGAAAACCTTTAAATGTATGTCCATATTCCAATCAGCTCGCTAGTCTGTATCGTTCCAAATCAATTTGACTCTTCACCTGCATAGCGGATCAGCAGTTTCCCTCCAAACAATTACTTGCATATTCTAGAATAATGGCTGTATAGATACTGCTGATAAATACTCAAATTTAATGAAGAAGGTGATCAAGGCCGAAACGGACTTCAGGAGGATCTGATGGCAAGAGGAAAATTCAGTATTAGAGACCCCCAGGCGCTATTTTGTTTGATGAGCCAAAACTGGAATAAACTACAGCACTAAATTCGAAAGCAACAGACCTTGCGTGGAAAAATATTTATGAATACGTGTAGTGAGGACATGGAGGGTAAATAGTACTTGAAGCTGCCCGATTTCTTCTTCATAGCCCGAAACGCGCATCTTGAACTCTTTACAGAGAGTCTTCCTCGTAGAGTTGGAGAAATTACGATGTATCGTCACCGCTTCCCAGTCTCACCACATCCATTGCAAAGTATGCAAAGTCTGCTTTTGTATTGCCCTATTTATTAATTTATTTATTTTCATTGAGAAAGGCCAACTTCAAAAAGGGCGGGTCGGCAGGATGCATCACAACATGAATGCAAATCGCTGTGTATAAATTGCAATCCAGTAAGGGATGATAGGAGTTTTCAGCGGCCGCAAAAAGTATCGTCGTTTATGCTTTGTTTACTGCTCAGTAGAATGCCAACTCCGGAGTTGAAGCTAAATGTGGATTTGCTTGGTGATATCTCTAGCTTTGTTTGGTGGCATGATGAAGAACTCGATCCCGTTAATGACCTCGACGTACCGATTTGTAGCAGGCGAGTGGATCAATCGTTTCGTGGGAGAAATGAAGTTCATATGATGAGTTTGTAAAGAGGAAGTTGTGCGGCACCCCTAGGCGGTACATTTGTATATTGACCCGTGCTGTGTCCAAGGTTCAGGCGCTGGGCGCGCCATGATCAGGTAAAGGAATAGATACAGCTTCATCAAGCATCCGTAATTTCCAGAGAGTAATCAGGCTCCACGAGACCTTCAATACTGCGGGAAAATCAGAAAGCTCTGTGTGCAGCTAATGCACCGTCGAGGGTGCCGAACTCCAGATATCGTATTATACATTCTACTCCGATCCTGCCGCACTGCCCTGTAATCCTGGAAGACCATCCTTGGTCACGATACCCTTGTAGTCAGATGCATCAGTATCTATCGCTGATGCTGCGGCTTCAGTCGAGCCTTCGGCTTCCACCCCAAATCGCCTCACGACTAGCCAGGCAGGAGCAATAGCTACAGCCCATAAAGCAAAGTTCATATAAACGCCTCCATGCTCCGCGATGACGGTCAGAGACTCGAGGCCGTAGCTGAGTGCTTGCCACGCGGATTCTGTTCCACGAAGCAGTGCAGCATATCGGATTACCTGAGGTTCATCTCCGCCGGCGAGGTTTTGGACGACAAAATATCTGCCAAGCAAACATGTCAGTCAGGCAGGTTTCAGAAGAACTTCCGAAATAGAACTAATGTCAGTTGACATTTGAAGTTACTTACAAGTAAAGGTAATTAAGCTGGAAGCCGACTGTCAAAAAAATGAAGACCGCAAAACCTTGGCCAAAATCTGGGTCTGCCCAATCATACGTTGGATGGGTGAGGCTGAATTTTGTCACCATAACCGTTGCCCATATCCACCATGCACCTTGTAAAGTGACAATGACCGCAAAAGCAATTCGTGTGCGGCGTTTTAGAGGTATCTTAGTTCGATCGATCCAATACTACAAGCTAGGGGGTCAGTCATGAGCGGCCGAATCGAAAGCTTTCAACGAGGATTTGAGCGCAGAGGAACTTACGCCGAGCAGGTTCCCTGAGATGATGGCAGCGAGACCGCCCAGAAATGAGCCCAACGCTCTGGCACGAACACTGAACCAAACTATTAAAAACGATACTGTTAGATTCCAAAACTATATTGAATGGTTGGCTTCGTTTACTCACGGGACAGATACGTAAAGAAAACAGCTTCTGCGAAGACCGCTTGACCGATGAATGGCACGATCAAGAGAAACTTTCGAGTCAAGAAAAGCCTTGCAGTCTTCTTCATTTCGAACCAGGGGTTCTGGAGGATCTCCAAGCTGACTTTCTTTCCATCCCTTCGCTGCACTTTATCAGGCTTGTTGAGTAGAAGAGCGACAAGTGGACCAGCGGCCTGTATTGCGATGAAAAGGATGTAAACCGTGTATGAAACTTGTCCTGCGGTGTTCCGGTCTGCATTAAGGCCGAGGTTGACGGCTCCACCAATGATCTGTCCTGACAGTCGATACGTGAGCCAGTAGCCCAAAGCCTTCCCTTTGTTCCATGGTTCCGGATATGCGATAGCAATAGCTGCTTCTGCCATCCAAAACACACCGGCCGATATACCACAGAGTGCCGCTCCAAGGAGCAGAAGCCAGTCTACATCGTACCTGCTTTTCGTGTACAGGCCAGCAGCGTAAGGAGCGTATCCAATACTAAAACCGGGTAAAGTATCAGCGCCATTTACACAGCACAATGTGATGGATTTTCTACTCACGTTCCAAATATTAAGGCTCCCTTAATTCCGATGTAGTGCACCATGGCACTTGAGAAAAAGCACGACACAACCATCAAGCAGAAGGTCAGTGCATTGGCCGCGTTTGAAAGAGCAGGACTGGCTGTACCACCGGCGCCGAGAGAGTTCATTGCAGTCCATATCCCTGGCGCCGCGAAGTTGCAAAGACCTAGGATGGTGATATTAAAGAATGTCGATCGGTACCATTTAACCTTGACCTCGCCTTTCCTCTATGTTAGTAAGACACCGGCATGCATACTGTCTAGTTGTTTCTCTTACTGAAGGGCTGGCGACTTCCGGTCTCAGACCCATCGTAGGGTTGAGTTTCCGCTGTGACAGTCATCGTGCACACCAGACAACGTCAGTGAGAAGTATGGAATGTACGTGATATTGGGAAGGTGACCTGGATACTACCGTTGCAGAGCTGAACTTGTCAGTCGGTCGGGGCTGGCTAACTTGATATTGGCTGCTCCTGGCGCTTGTCCTTTTTCTCGTCCTGAGGCTTTCTGCGCCATATGAGCTTGAGGCGTCTCGCACCTGAATCGGAACGCGCTGCCAATCGGTCCCATCCCTTTCCGATAAGGTAATTTCAGGTTTGTTGCCGAAGGAAGCACGCCATTGACCTGCAGGATGGTAAACCACAGTCTTACAGACTAAATCTTTAGCGACGCAAACTCTAGTCCCCACCCCCGGTGACGAAATGTCTGGGGTCGGAAACGTGACATATCATTGTACTGAATTAACGGACTGAAACAGGATCGCTTGAGGCGAAGCTGCTAGTGCGAATTACCTACTCCGATGAAGGCCATTTTGGTGAAAGAATTACGGGTGTCAATTCTATCAACTTCAATATGCCCAAATCCCAAAGGTGCCGTCTATTGTGTCTAGTGTTCCTCGTCACTACTGATGAGCTCCAGCGACTGCCGTTTAATGGCTTGCTTTCTTTCCATACAAACAGTCAACACATATACTTACTCACCCTAAGCCGATTTGGTTGGCTATATTTCATCTATTTGAGGTTTGCTGATTGATTGTATGCAGCGTTATCTGCCCTTGCACCGTTGCACATCACCGACTCACACCCAAAAGCCGACAATTTATGGGAGTTGCCACCAAGACTCGTGATGTTCTCTGAGGTCGACATCTTGGGGCGTCTTCAAATAGCTCGTCATGTCGGATTGTGGGTCTTGCTCGGCCTTTGTCCCGCCATTGCCAAAGAACCATAAGAGACTGTTACCTTGGCTTTCCGCCAGGTATTCGTACTCCCAATCCTCCCATCTGGGCTCCCTCCTAATTGCAGTAATATGGTTTGAGCTACCTGGCCAGATACCATGGATTCTCGCACCGGGGTGGCCACCATTATACCAGCTCGAGCATCCTTCGGTCAAGACAGTTTTAACGAAGAATGCATCGCAGTACTCGACAAAGTCGTCCGCAGCCTTCTTCTTGGGGGCGATGGACTTGATCCCCTCACGCGATGCTTTACGGAGGATCTTCGCATAAAAGGTAAGCTGCGTCTCAACACTTTGTGGAACCGTACCACTTGGGCCAGTCGCGCTATCAAGATGTTAGCAATTTATTGTGGCATTCTTCATAGTCCCAAAGGGCAACCTTGAGGTGAGCTTTTACGTACTGTGGCCCATGAACGAAGAACAAATTTGGAAAGCCTGGTGTTGCTGCCCCCAAGTACGTGTATGGAAAGCCGTACTCTCCATCAGGGCGCCATAACGACGAAAGATCGCGGCCAGAGGCTCGGATGGAAAATGGTGGAACCATGTCTCCATTTGCACCAGTTGCGCAGAAGATCGCGTCAACGTCCCGCTGAGTTCCATCAGCAGTCTCAATACCTGTCTTGGTGAATCTCTTGATAGGTTGGCGTATGAAGTCCACATTATCCTCCTGGAGAGCCTCGAGATACCCAGGGCCGGGTGTAAGTCGGCGGCAATTAGGGCCGAAGTCGGGTACAAGCTCTTCCAACAGCTCTGGCTTCTTAGAAAGCCGTGCTCTCATTGTGTCGGCAAAGAATTGACGAAGGTTGTCGTTGGCCTCTCCTTTCAGAAACGTTGAAAACTTTCGCCAGTATTTGTCCTCAAGGTCCTTCCTGAATGCGAGGTAGGACTGAGGATCCTCGAGAGACTTCACTTTTTCATCCGGAATCGGTTGAGGCTCCAGTGTTCGCTCATCTCCCGCCCAGGACGCAGCTATCCAAGTTTTGCTTCTAGCGTAGTGATCCAGTCTAGCAACCTTGCGCTGGAGATTCGCAACTAGTTGTATGCCACTAGCTCCATTGCCAATGACAGCAACACGTTTCCCAGTCGGATCAAAATCAGGATCCCAATGGGATGCGTGCCGTAGAATGCCCGTATAGTCTGACAAGCCAGGATACTTAGGTAACTTCCACGCATTAAATCTCCCGATGCAAGTCAGCACGAAGTCAGCATTATCCTGAACGACAGAACCTGATGCAAGATCGGTTATCCTCAACGTCCAGGAGCCGGCCGTTGCGTCCCAGCTGGCATCTTCAACTTGGTGTTGGAATCTAGCGAATTGATAGACGTTATACTTCCTAGCCACAGATTGCCAGTAATCCCTGATCTCTGCACCAGGTGCAAACTCGTCAGACCAGTCAGTCTTCGGGCTGAAAGTGGACTGATAGACATGTGATGGAATGTCACAGCGAACACCCGGGTATACGTTCTCGTACCAAGTACCTCCCTTTCAGGAAAACCTGTCAGCAATTCTCTCAGACCAGCAAATACTAGCAATTCACGATATTATAACTTCACTGCGACTTACAAAATCAGGGTTCTTCTCGTAGATGACGAGTTCGATGCCAGGAACTTTCACGGGCAACAAGCACCCTGCAAGGATGCCTGCCAATCCTCCCCCGATGACGGCAACCTTTACCTTACGAGGTTCGTCGACAAAGCGATCGATCAAGCTCACTCTAGATCGGGGGTAGTGAAGTTGCTTGACCTCTCCATCCAACGAGGGTGCTGTTGTGCTAGAACCATTGTCGGGCTCTGCAGCAGCGTTCACTTCGACGGAGCTTCTTTCAAGCACAGTGTCGGTCGTGTTCGACAGTGTGCTGTCAGCTGTCGCGGCAGGAGCCATATGGGTTGTCTTCTGTGTTGAAGCAAAGCAGGTCAGATGAAGCTAATCATTGGACTGCCAGAATGAGTGGCCAAAGATCGCGATGGATATCAGTGTGGCAGGTCCTAATTCATTCCTGGCCTGAGCCTCTAATTTTGAACCGGAGGATTTAAGTTCTTCCAGTGCATGCATACCGCACGTAATTGCCATCCTAAATGATTGATCGAACATTGGTGCCTTCACGGGTGTGCCACAGCTCGTCGGGATGCCGTTGCCGCATGGCCGATGAGCACGTCAGAGCACGTCGAAACTCGGAACGCTGACACCATCTCCACTCGCCGCGTTTCGGAGATAGAGGTGTAGTAGGGCAGATTTACCACCAAAGCTCAGTGCCAAATAGCGTCGCGAAAAAGCTTCCGCATTAACTAGTTCGACTGCTTTTTGCGTCAGGTTCTATCACAAAACCCATGTACTATCGAGATATTCCCGCATTACCCACCCTGTCCCTCTTGTCGGCGGCGGATCAGTATCTGTATCAGTCACGGTCCAGGGATTGCGCAGGGTCTAATTTACTCTCTTGCATGAGGCTCAGAGTGCACTAGTAGACCTTAGAATGTCTTGGAATTGTCAATCACCTCAAACTAATACCTGCAGAATATCGGCAAAGTGTTTAGACGCGTTCCTTTGGCGACCCTACCTCGCATCTCCCCATCTTCATCTCCAAAGCCGCTGCACGCGTACTACGTTTGTATTTGAACCCATGATGTATCGTCTGATGATACAGAATCCTCTCAATATCCATAATACGGTTTTGCTTGTGATTGAGGTGATACAAATATAAAGACACTCGCACAGAAGCCGCATCTGGTGACTTGTGTGTCCATCACCGCAATATTTGACGTCGGAAGTGACCACGAAATGGTTGTACGGTTTCAGACCGAAGCTGCAATAGTGAGATCCCGTCGGATCACTGTGCGGATTTTGCTCTTGCCGGATAGTGAAGGAGCCTCCTGCTCGCATGACTGATTCACTAACGACCACACGAGCTCACAGGCTTTTCAATTGGGGGTCATGTTCATGGAAAACAGAAACTCGGGAATGCTTCTGAGACATTTACACCTGCAAGATATTTGATGGTTCCCATGTTAAATATAAAATTCTCAGTCTCTAAATTTATAGGGGTTTTGCATGATCAATTGAATCCTGCTGTAGTTTGCTGTAGCTACCTAGTCTGATTCCGTGCTCCTCTGCCTGCAGTCAGGTGACAAGATATGTTATATATTGACTCCCTATGACATGAGACATTAGTAGACCGCATTACAGGATCACAATAAAGACAGGCCTTCAAGAGTACCACTTATCGTCCTCCAGGATGAGGTCGAAGACCTGTCGTCTTCCTCTCAGCTGGTGCGGTTAAAGGGAGAACCCCCGCGTTCTCGAATGACCGAAACGTCTCGATCCAAGTATCATACGTATCATCGAACCGCATCCATCCAAATTTGCGCGCTTTGGAGACAGTGGTAATAGCCAGCCAGCCTTCACCAAGGCCCCAATCAAGAATATCCCATGTTGCCCAATCGAAGGCTTTGGGGTTGCCGCCGTGCTTAGCCACTACCCGCTCCCAGACATTTTTCTTGTCTTTCGCCCATTCGGTCATCTTGATCTGACTTTCCATCTTCTGTCCATTCCCACTTGCTTTCCACGCCGAGTCGGGGATGTCCGGGATCTAAAATAGCGAGGTTTTAGCCCTGGTCACTGTACAACAGTATATCGTGGGCCAACTAACCTTCATTCCAAAATGTTCACTAAGCCTCGCCCAAAAATAACTCCACACGATGTAATCCCCATTGTTATGATTGAAAGCCTCATTCTTAGTGTGCTCGTGAGTGGAAGCCCATACGCTCATATCTGCAATGCTCGGCGCGTAGGAAGCATCATCGACAGCGTTGTAGAAGAACTTGTTTCCTGGGAACATTGGGACTTGACCAATTTCCTTACAAGTGAGGAAATAGATTGCCACAGTGAGTGCCATGGACATTCCATTTCCTACATCTCAGTTTCAGCCTCGAATCTATCACCCGAGGACGGAAATGATAAAGGCGCAAACAGCATCAGATCGCACCACTTACCTGCGGGTGTATAACCAATGATGCCCATAGGGCGAATGATATTCCAGTTCCATGTGCGCTTGGCGGCCAAATCGAACATGAAGTCTTCTTGTATATAGTAGAAGTTCTCCCCATAGTCTTCGTAACGAGCCATCCCTTCATGAACTGGTACCTCCACTGGACCGAGATGGACTCCATAATGCTGGTCGGGTAATGTTAGAGCAATGAACTTCGCAATGTGCTTTGGGCTAGCTGGAACGAAGGCAAGCTCTTACCTTGCCTCCAGTGTGAAGAATGACCCGTTTTAAGGAGTCGCTGGACTTATCAGTAGCCAGGAGGAAGTTTTGAAAAAGTGGCACATTGTAATTCTTCAGGTTCGCAAAGTCCGTGTCGTGGACATAGGAAGCAAAGAAGGCGTGTGTCACATCGTGGCACAGAGGTTGCATCAATTGAACAAGCTCATCGACAGGCTTTAGGAAATCCAGAGCAATGAACCTGATCCGAGGATCTTGCCAAAGTGGCCACTCTGGAATACGTCTTGTCGTAACCACTATCTTGGACCTACAATTGTTTAGTATATGGGTCACATTCCTGCTGAAAAGAAGTTGACTTGCCATTCGGACGCAGGTTGACGGATAAGGTGCTCAATGACAGCATTTCCGGTGATCCCGTTGGCACCAGTGACGAAGGCGACTTTGCCATTCAAATCATAAGTTGAAGCCATTATGCTGAATGTCGTAATTCGCGGCTGTATACGCTTTGTCTGTTGTCTACTTGAGCCTTGCCCGGCAACAATCTTGGACGAATTTCTTTGTCAACCCTCGACGATTCTGCGAAATATATGTATTGATAATTCAGAAATACTGATGACTGTTTGGAAAAGATGGTGTCCTTGATCATTGGAGGGCTTCATATTTCATTCATTATAAGCCACGCCACCGATTTCGACTTCTATGAATTAGCCCATATGTGTCACCAATTAGCCGTGTACAGGTGTTCTGTAGCAGGACTTCATTATCTCGCCCTTCGCTCTTCGCTTTTCGCCACCGTAGGTGGATACTTTGTGACAATTGACGCATGTTGACAGTTTCACGGATTTAGAGCGCAGTCGCATCCGGAAATATGCCATCAAGCCACCAAACCCCTGAATAAGTGACGATGCTATCTTCAGCAGCAACCCACAAAAAGTGACAGACAAGAATTCAGTCATATTCCCTTGTTGGAATTTTCGGATCCGAACCCGACCACTGTACCCGAAGACACTTTACGCACTTAGCTCTTATCTTGAGATTTTGTGACTAGTCAATCTTGCATCCCACAACCTCTGATAAGCTAGTATTGAAGCGGTGGATGGTGCCTCAGTTTGCATGTTTGTATTCAGAATGAGACTACTGTATTCTTGCAGAAGATGTGGGACTGCCATATGATTATCAAAATATGATGCGGACCGCAGCAGATCTTCCAGACCCACTTACTCATCATCATCAAGGCATGTTGAAATGCCTGAACCCGGATTGTGTTTTGAATGAAGCGAGCCTTGAAAGCATCGAATCCACCAATTTCTACTATGCGAGCTTCCATATTAGACCAAGGCAACCTGTAGGCATGTCTGAAACCCTCAGACTACAAACATGTCAGACGGTCGAGACCGAGGCGAATAATTGGGAGATTGTCGAGCTTTTGGCGGGATAGCGCATAGTAAAGTGGTGGCCGCTAAGCCTCCTCCCAGAAGTGCGAGCCATTTGAAATCGCGAAATAGGGTTTTGTAAATAGACCAGAAAAGAGCGGGTTATCCATGCGTGATTCACGTGGTCTGCTCTTCGTTTAGCCGAATCGATGCCAAAAAAGAGAAAGCAACGCAGGATTACAAAGCAGCATGAAGCCCACGGTGTATTTTCTTGAAACCTAAATCAACACATTCTGTTAGGATATGCTCATGCTTGCTGTAGGGGCGGTGAAGCAGAAAGACAGTTGGTCAGAGTTTCATGTACAAGCGCAAGAAAGAAGCCGGTCAAAACGATGACGATTCATGCTGTATCATAATGCTGTATTTACATGTATAAACAACTCTATAACTGCCAATAATCAAAATGTGTTTATGAAAGTTGTCTTTCTTTACGGAAATGGCTGCCACGCTCGCCCACACACCTGCTTGAAATGTAAGCTTAAGCTGTAATGCTTGCGTCCGCGTTCCCAACCAACATTTGCGCATACTTCTCAAACCAATCACCAGCTCTCGGAGCACCCGTCATGCCACATTGACCGTCACTTTCACCACCAGGCTTGATCCAGACAATGCTGTCGACAAGAGGATTATCGACAATAGTGCCGGGCTTCATGCCGAATCCAGCCGGGTCCACATTGCACCATTCGCCCCTGAGATCATTAGCATATATTTTCACTCAGAGAAATGACGAGAAAGGAGAAGTAAACGAGTTCAGAAATTCTTGAGGGACTTCGAATTGCTGCGATAGGAAGGGCAACGCAATGAGAAGCCATACCACTCAGCTCTCGCACCAGGCAGGGCCACGCGGCCCTGGTCGATGATGAATTTAGTTGGAAGTCCTTCAGCCTCCAGGTATGGAGCTAGAGTTGTAGCATAGCTAGATTCGTCGTAAGAGTCGCTATACTCGGTGTAAGGCTCCGGAACGTCAGCCTTGAACGGGTTGTAGTTGGAGACATTGGTTGCATAGCCTCGGATGCGCGAGCTATTCCCAGCTTGTCGAACGACCTCGCCAAAGACTTGAGCAGCTGTTGATGAAGATCGTTAGCCAATATGTCGATACTTCGAGTGAAGATCCAGCCTGAGCATTCACGTACTTGGCTGCAGATTTTGATCCCAGCCAAGCCAGCCTCCATGCGCAGCATCTATGTAGAGGTTCACGTTCTCAAACTGCAAATTAGAAATCGCATAGGCGACACCCTCTTTGTAAGCATCAGCCGCGTTCGCACACTTCTCGACATTCATGTTTGTCACGAGGTTCCCCAGCGAGTCCGGCTCTAAGACGATAGCGAAGGTAATGTCCGTCGCTGCTGAGACTTTCTCCGCGTAAGGCTGGATGTATTCGGTTTTGTACCGCTCCAGGCCATTCTCCGAAAGTACAAGCTCCCCTGCGCTCTCTCCGGCGCTGCAGTCTCTGTCGGGCAGGTTATAGAGAACAAGTCCAACGATCTGTGTCTCTCCTGTCTCTGCCTGAGCAGTGCGCGCACCCTCTATGGCAGTATCAATGTCGGGGAGACTGGCAACGTCGGAGATCCAGACAAAAGTACCGATATCTTGAATAGTTCGAACTTTCTTCGAATTGGCACTGTCGCCTGCTGCGGTAAAAGCCTCGTAAGTCTGCTCTAGTTTCGCTGCATAGGTTGGATTGACGAAGAGCTTTTTGCCATCGAAAGGGTTGCTGTCGATTTGTCTGCGAAGAAATCGTTGTCCAAGTCGAGGCGTTGTCGGGCCAGCAGAAGTCAATATCGCAAAAAGTAGCGTAGTGAAGGTGATAGTCCTCATTGTCGAAGATCAGGCTACGTTAACAGCCTCGTCGTGTTAACGTTGCTGCTATTGTTGTCGTTCTTGACCGCGCTGGTCTGACCATGGGGCAGTGACCTTTGCAAACAGCTCTCTGAGGTTCCTTTATACATAATTTTCCCACGCAGCTGGTTCTGATGATCAGCTACCGTGCACTGGTGCTCGGACCGTGTAGACGAGGGTTGATTGCCTAAAGGCCTTGGTTTGTTTGTAGGGGAAATGAACCGCCTTGGCGTCTTGCATATCTACAAACGTCAACGAGATTCGTCGTCGGGGACCTCATGATGCGACAAGGCTTTGGAATAATTTACAAGCTAGACGGGCCCTGGTATTACGGCAATGACCCCCAATTGTTTGCTCAAAATCGTTTATATGCCCAGCCCTCGGAGGGTGTCCTGCCGTCGGGACGAGCCGGCTCGTCGAGAGTAGATGAGTAGACAATGCCGAGCCCAGCTAAACCCAGTTGGTGACCACAATCAAGCAACGAAGTGCCGGTCATCTCGGATCAGGGGCTGGGGCCAAGTCGGATGGCGGAGAGGAATCCCGCCAATCCGAACATGCGAAGCGCAAAGTGGAGGCGAGGCTGCTTGAATGGTATCGGTCGTATCATGATCGATATAAAATAGCATGCTGAGAATGTACCCGGAGCTTCGATCAACCATCTCCTGTCCGTGATCCCGAAGAGGAGAAATCTACACGACGATCACTGATAAGATTTTCGGAAAAGACAACGATTTGGTCTCCTATGTGCTTCTCCTGCACATCAGAGGTCAGACTTGCTGTGCTAATCGGTATTCCTCAAAGTAGCAGTCGCACTCTTGACACGAAAACTAATGATTCCGGGACGCAGGAGACAGAAAACATGCTTCACGCCAGTAGAATTTCTGTGGACGGAACTTGGTGGAGATATTGATACACAAAATATGTACAACACAACCAGATTTCAATTTCTTTCTCGGTATCGCCTGGCGTTCTCATATCCTATGCCTTAGTTAGTCAGCCTGGTGCACACACGCCTTGCATTCACCTCACAATTCCCTGAGCTCTCCCAGGGTTCAATTAAGTCCATATTTTGCTGTTCCCCAAAACACAAGATAGAAACGACCTTACACACTCTCACAATTTAGGCGGCGACCTTTCCTTCTTCGACCTTCGAAATTATCGCCCACTTTGTCCTAAGTCGGGCTGTTGGCTCAGGCGATGTGTGCTGCTGCGGGTGATTACAGACGCGTCGGCGAATATGAATCGTTATGACTCTGGCATCCGACATACGTCGTTGCAGGCTCCGTGTATTTACCACCATAAATTTCATGAATGTTGCCTATAAAATGTTGTCTGTAGCATATGTTGCCTGTGGCACGCATTGTTGCCCACGCACAAGGGTCGCAATACGTGACTAGCGTTGATAACACTCTCACTGTGTGGATGTCTCTTTTTATCTCATGTTCAGTTTACCAGTACTGAGATCAGCTATTGCCATGTATTGCATCGGAGTCGCAGGTTACAAAAGATTGTGGCGTGGCTTAGGATTCGATAGAAGGATTGGCCCTTACCTATGGAATCATGAGTTTTGGTCATGTATTGTCTGATTTCGAGAGGTCTGAGCGAATCAGACTTTTGGCCGACGAACCACCGCGCGAAACCTTGGAATGTGGTGGTAATGAGTAACACGAGGACTCTGATGGCAGAATCTGCAATATGAGTGTTAAATGACAATTGCTAATGTTCTCAGTGCCCTCTGTCCTCCGTCCGTATCAGGACATGACGTGAGAATTCTTTTCTGTTTTGAATACGCTGTACAATTGCTGTTGAATCTGTGTTTCTCGGTTGTATCGGTATTTTCCTAAGGCCTTTGTGATGTTTCAGACACGATCGAGACTTCAACTCAGGCGTGTAATGTACTGTTCCTTTTCTCCCTTCTTTTTCTTGGCGCCACTCGACAACAACTCCTTCTATCATAAGCTTTGAGGGAATAGAGATGCTATCGTCTCGTATATACTCTTCGCGGGGAGGCAACGGTCTCGACTGTACGGGTTTCAACCACCCGTGGCCTGGTCCGGTAGTATGAATGAGACCTTCTCCTTCCCCGACTATGTGAGTGGTAGTGCACAGGCCTTCTTCGACGATACCTGCGCCCACCTATTGCAAAACAGCAGCACCATAGGATCCAAAGAATCAGAAGCAAGAATACAACTGAAGCGATGACAATACCGGCGATTGCGCCAGCAGAGAGTGGCGCTGGATCGTAATATGGGTCATAGTAGACAACGTCGGCTTGTTGGTATTGAGGCGCCTGATATTTCGTCAGCCAAGATGAGCAAGAGTAATTCTTTAAGTAGGAGCCACGAAGGTATTTGCGGATGACTTCGAGACACGCATTCACAGCCAGTACTTACCATGTCGAACTTCCCCAAGGCGAAGGAAAGATAGAAGCCCCCCTGCTGCTAGTAGGGAAAGATGAGGTGCCTCGGGTGCAAGTTCGTAATATGGGCGGTGAAGGATTTCATTCCGACTATGAATAAACCCCCCTCTCAGCCGCAATCGCCCCTAGCCTCGACTTCCTCAAGTGAAACCTGTTCAAGGTGATAAAGTTTGCCGGCGTCACGTCGCCAAGCTCTATAAAGACCAATAAAATAGTAGAGCCTTTGGGAACCAGTGAATGATCCTGTCAAATCCTGCAAGAGACACGTCATTACACCTCTCAAGGCGCAGCCAGCCGGATCTAGCAGCGGCTAGTTGGGAAAGAATATGCAACCTAGGAGGCACTGGTCAGATTCATGTGCTACAACACTATTAGTGGCTCTTAATACAATGTTGTATTACATGATCGTCTTATTTCCCCACCTCCGTCTTTAGCCAACTTTTGAGACATGCACTGCACTGAAGCCTCAACATAGTATAGTTGTAATGAGTGTGAGCCCTGACAATGCAGGAAAGGCTGAGCAAGTTCGCGGAATGCCTTCAACATTACATTGAGCATAAGTATGGCCCTATGTCAGCTTCTGTGCACGGGACTGGATTGAATGAGTTTTAAAGTATCGCTGAGCTCATTGTCCAGGAGGCACTGAGTGATCAAGACATCAAAATCGCGTTCCAAGTAGTTGTCAAATGCTTCCGAGTCGATCCGAAACCGTGTCATGAGTCAGTACATGAAGCAGTAGTACAGTACCCTTGTCTGAGAGTCTAGGCATGTTTTCATAACAGCAAGGCGGAATTGAATTGCAGAGAGGCTCAGAGCTGTCGCTGTTCCAATTGGCGAGGGGCGCAAGGCCGCGTCTCAGATTTCTCATATGGGTCCGCAGGCGTGCTCGGCCCAAACACGGAATGTGTCTACCAAATCAGCCGTGCCGAAGTCATCGCCAGCTCTTGTGGCGTCATCGATTTGGTTACACTGTACGGTAACAAGTCCCTCAAAGCCGTATCAGTCAAGTTGGGTTAGATTTTTCTCGCGATATAGCACCACCAAGGCATGGTAAATGGCTAGGGAAAGATAGAAGTGCGCTCGGATATAAGGAGACGCGATTTCCGCAAACAAATGAATTCCTGTTGTGGTTTCACTCCTAAGTCTTCAATCCCAAGTTCGGCTACTAGGAAATGAGAGCTGGGCAACACATTTCCTCGCCTTGCTGTATGGCTTTTAATTGACATGTGATTCTCCATAAGATAGACTCCCCGATCCATACCAACTGCATACATTGTTACCAGCACAACCGCCAAGAGCAATTGTCTCTTGCACTGATGCATAAAGTGCAAATCTATTCGCTTGGATCGTCCTCCGCTGGACTCCGGGCCAGGCCGAGGGCGCAGTCAACAAAACCCCCTATTGCGTGGACCTTGAGAACTGCCCAGGCTTTGTCTGCAAACTACAGTCGGCAAAAAACAGAATTGCCAAGATGCCTAGACTTGGTATCCACCTTTCCGAAGTCCCGAAGTTGTGAAGAGGCGGAAAATTCTGTTCAAGAAGTGGATACGCGGGAGGACGTCGAAAAATAAATTGGCCGTGGAGACTCCGAAGTCCCTGCCTCCCGCAAGGCTGGCTCCAAGACCTCCGTCGCCAAGAGCGAGGTATATCCGCCACAGTTATGGAGAAACACCAGTGACTCAATGCATAAGTCAGAACGCATGTGGGATAGCAGTCAAGGAATCGGATTGTTCGATCTTAGATAACACAGCATACTTTGCAGTCAAGTTCACGCCAAGAGCGTCCAAATCCCGATGGTGCCTGACGGGTGCAGGTATCAGCTCGCTTAAGGCCGGGACCCATCAGTAGCCCTTCCGAAGCAACGCTCGGTGGATCTGGCGATACGCAATGGCATGACATCCAGTCATCCTCTGGGGCAATTTACGTGCCATGGCCAGGTCATAAACTCAAGGAGGCGCTGTAGATTGACGGCCAGAGTTGGAAAGATGGCAGCGCGACTTCAATGTTTCCGTTTGGCTCCTCGGCTTTACCAATTCTCATACACTGAGAACTCCCGCCGGACTATGGAAAAAAGGCACGGAGTTGATGAGAGCGGAACCGGAGTCCTGTCTTCAGACTCGTCCGCTATTGTCGAAATTGAACGAAAAGGACTTCCCAATGGGGGCTTGAAGGCTTGGCTTCAAATTTTGGGCGCATTCTTTTTGTATTTCAATACCTGGGGTAAGCACAGTCTATGAAACGCGATCGACTGTTCTCTCAATGAGAGTGTTAACATCGTTCAGGTATTGTTTCCAGCTTCGGGAGCTACCAGAGCTACTATGAAGACGCAATCCTCAAAGGAGCTAGCTCCTTCCAGATTTCGAGCATTGGCTCAATACAAAGCTTTCTGATGGTTTTCTTCGGCTTTATTGCAGGACCTGTATTTGACCGAGGCCACTTCGGCCATCTTCTCAAGACTGGCTCAATTTTGATCCTGGTGGGAACGGTCATGCAAGGGCTGTCCTTTGAATATTGGCACCTGCTTCTTTCTCAAGGCGTCTGTATGGGAATCGGGATGGGGTGCTTAGCCGTCCCGAGTGTCGCTGTGCCGTCGTCTTGGTTTACCAGCAAGTTGCCATTCGCAAATGGCATCGTTGTTAGCGCAAGTGGATTCGGAGGGTGAGTGCTTTCTCCAACAAATATGTGTCTATAAAAGGAGCCAATATTTGCGAATCGATGCTGACATCCATTGACAAACACAGAGTTGTCTATCCGATCATGGTCCGTTCACTTATTCCAGTCGTCGGCTTCAAGTATACAAGCCTCAGCGTGGCTCTGGTCATCTTCATCACTTTGGGTATATCGAATGTTGTGCTGCAGCAGCCGACGACGCCGCAAGCGAAACGCGCATTCTTTGACCAGTCCGCTCTGACAGACACTCCATACATACTGTTTGTTCTCGGCTGTATGCTTAGTTTCTTAGGTCTCTACACAACGTTCTTTTATTTGGCTAGCTACGCGGTTGAAGCGGGTATCACTACGGACAGCACGGCGCTATACTTCGTGTCCATATTAAACGGAGCTTCAGTATTTGGCCGGATTTTACCTAACATACCTTCCCTGACGCTTCGTCTGGGCCCTCTGAACATGATGGTGGCTTCGGTTGTCTCAATGGCTATCATTGTGCTTTGTTTCAATGCCGGCCCAAGTCTTGCAGGCTTGCTAGTTATGATCATACTGTACGGTTTCTTCACAGGGGCGTTCTTCACCTTACAGCCGACCATTTTCGCACGGCTCACTGAGGACTCAGGCCGTATCGGTACAAGGACTGGGATGGCGTCGACAATATGCAGTATCGGACTCTTGCTCGGTGCGCCTTCCGCTGGAGGCCTCTGGAGAACATATGGTTTCCCGGCTAGTTGGGCTTGGAGTGGCGTCAGTCTGGCTTCAGGGGCCCTGGTGATGGCCGTCAGTAGGTGCATAGTGAGCGGATGGCGATTGCGAGCAAGCGTTTGAGGCATTCCAAAGAGAATCAATTAATTGATATACAATGCAATCAAATCAGTGTGCGAAATTCGTGATCCTTTGATTAAAAAATAATGGAGCGCAAGTGATTATTACTAATGCTTTCGCAACTCAGAGTCTTCTTCCTGATATGTATTCGCATTACCAGCCGACACTGACGCCGCGAGACCCAAATTGTAACAATTGAAGCACAACCAGCTCGCCTAGACAAGGAACAAGAGAATTGAGTATAAGGAGACACAAATGCCCATGTTCAATTTTTGGCCTCTTGCAATTGCTCCCATTCATGTTCTAAAATGCTGAACAGATATAGGTCATACCATTTGCGATCATGCTGCTGTAAATTAGTCACTTGCTATAGAGCCTGAAGCGATGCAATCTGGGATATTTGAATAGAAGAAAATGGGCAATCAAAACGGGGGAAGGCTTAGACAAACCCAGTGACACTGCCTCTGCTTCCCATCCAGCTTGAACCCAACTTTCTGGTAGCATTTGTGAGCCCGCTTATTGTACTCGACAGATCCCAGATGAACGCTGTGCATGTTTGCTCTGCGGAAAGCCCAATCAATGGCCCAACGGACCGCCTCAGTGCCGTAGCCGCTGTTCTGGTATGGCGCTGCAACAGTTGTGCCCAAGGAACAGGCACGATTGCTGGGATTTCTACCATACACTCCAGTAGAGATATTTATCATGCCAATGGGCTTGGGTTGACCGTCTCTTGCGTGGCCCGCCTGTTCAACCTCTTTTTCTGGCACGTCGCTGCTTTTGAAATGATGCTCATTAGCCGGGACATCTGGGCGTAGACAAATAATCACATCCATCAGAAAGTCGTTCTTTTTCCACTTCTCGAACCATTCCTCGGGTTTTTGTTTTCGCGGAGGTTTCAAGAGCATAGGTCCAGATAGGGACATGTTGATGGGGTCAGTGTCGATGTCATTGAATAAAAACTCGTAGTCCTCCTGCTGAATTGCGCGGAATACAAGCCGTTCTGAGCGCCAGACGCTCTCGAGATCGTTAAGGTATGCCTCCGCCATGATGCGTTGAAAATATGGCCTGGAGAAGTGCGCTGAGTCTTGATATGCTGTCAAATTGAATGGACGAGTTGGAACTGTTCCTGAAGTCGAAGATATCTTGGGAACTCAAGATGCGAATCAGCGTTAATCTTAATACGCCGAAGCCGCGAGAGGTACCAACCATATCCTTGCGCATTGGGATTCGCGAATCTCCGTGCTTACGGACGCGGGGCGTGCAGACAGCAAAGCTCATGCAAAGCTAGTCCAAGGATCCTTTTTGCGGCGGTGTCTAATTGGCCCGGACATGTTGGCCATCGCCAAATGGGTGCTGGCTTGGATGTACGGTCTGACACAACGTGCCCGAGTCTGAATTACTCTAGGGATGATTCACAGCTCTAAGGACGAAAGGAGAGAGTTGCATATCTACCTGGCCTAAGGTCGTGACTCGAAACAATGAGTCACACAAGCTGCAGACGGTTATCATGCTAAAATCTACATTTCGCGTCTATCGGTAAGTTACTGGATACCCATCGATATTGTAAACTTCCGACAGCCATTACCTACCAACGGAGGTAAGCACATTCAATTTGATCCGAGAGTGATTTCCTCTTCCGGGATATTGTAAACATGATTACTTCATCCCACATCCTTACCTCATCACGATAGAATGAATTATTAGCCCAAAATCGCTCCAGGCGTCACTCTCATTCTAAGATCATGCACTGACTTGCCCCCAATCCCTGTCAGTATGGATTCGCAGTTCATTGCTCTTCCTTCACCCCGTCGACAAAGACATCAAACTTTTCATTATAGAAGCACAACCGTCCCTGGATAGCAGCGCTCTCGGAGGTCGGATACACATAATACCATATACCATCTTTAATCTCCGAGTCTCCTACCTTCACATTGTAATACGAAGCCTGCCCCTTGTAGGGACAGAACGTCGTAGTATCGCTCTTGCTCAGCAAGCCCCAGTCTTTAATCGAAGTTGGTGACAGGTAGTGACGCGTAGGCAGCATGGTTTCGTGCAGGAACATGTTATTCAAGCTTTGGGCAAGAATTGTGCCATGGAGCTCGACGCGTATTTCGCGAGAGGATGGAAGAATCTCGATGCGTTTATAAGGATCCTTGGGATGGCCGCCGAGTAGTTTCTCGTCCTCTGCAAACCAGTCTGGATGACTAGACTCAACAGCTGACCAGACACATGGCTTCAAATAGTTGCAACTGACCTATATCAGAAACCTTGACCTTGACAAAGCCCTGCAGCGGTCCTTTCTCATAGCCCTGAGCTTCGGCAGTCCCACCGCCACCGTGTATAGTTCCCAGCCAGAAGCCAGCCTTGTCCTCCTTCTCTTTTTTGATCTTGGCCGGGCCCGATGCTATATCCTGTTCTGGAATGTAGTAATACGGAACTGCATAGACGTTCTTAGATTTTGTGGACAGATAGAGCAACCTTGGACTCACAATACGGATGTTCCCAGACATATCTGGCAGCCAAGGTATCAAAGATCCATTCATCACCTAGCAGCCCTCGGATGCGCCGGTTAGCGGGCTCATGCTTGTGAGGGCCCTCATGTATGAGCTTGCTGGCCAGCTCAGTTGGACTGAGGCACCATTAGTAGAGCACTGGCAATGCAGCTGATTCGGACTTTCCTTGGTCTTGGGAGAGATGCCATGGCTAATCACGGATGGGAGAAGTGGCAAGAGTCGCGATTGCGTGGCGGTGCTTAACTCACCGTCGATGGCTTCAGGAGCTGAGCAGGAGTGACAGACAGTACGGAAGATGATGAGAAGCGGGGTCATGTACCTAGTGGTGCTCAGATACGTCTAAGTTGACTAATACTCTCCACCGCTGTGTGTCCACATCCGTCTTGATTCAAAACTGTTGTAGACGTCAACTTAGGACCGTTAGCTTTCCCATCTCGTACTCGTTGAACGCACGCTGCATCGCGTCCTCTCGGTGGTGAGGAGCCAACTGAGTCCAGTCAAGTTCTGTTTCCTTCTAAAGATGCAGCACGGATGCTTCTGCTCGGGAACAGATGGCTGTAGAGCCTTTTGTGTGTTTTATGGATGTTGTATTCACTATAGGAGTGTCCAGGTATGATGTTTGAGAAACCACACCAAGCTGACACGGCAAAGCAACAACAGAGGGGCATGCTCACCTGCAGTGCTCGCTGTGGACCACAGACGACCGCATCTGGAGGGGCCTGATTTGGACTGTCTAGGTGGAAACACCCAGAATATTGAATGTGTCAAGTATCCATTCTCCTGTTAGAAAGACAAATTTTGAGAAACTGGCCAAGTAAGGATGGATGATGGTGAAGAGCCAATCCCCCCCCCCCCCTCACCTTAGCAGCGGAGCACTCGAGTAGACATGTATCTCGAATAGCCAGGTGCTCTACATATTGGTATGCCGTTTGGACCGTCCGCTGTGAAGATAGAGTGGCTGCAGTATAATCTCGCTAGGGCCAGTAATGCCTCAATACAGACATGCAGGCCTTTGTACCTGCGCCATGTCCTGTTTGGGCTGTTCGTCTAGACAAAGTTACAGTCTGGGGCCCGGAGTTGAACGAACGGTCTTGAGTTATACGGTCTAGCTTGAACGGCATGAGCAGGCCTGGGCGAAGCCTGGGCAGCTCCCGAGTCACCGTTGCGTCACCACTCCACTTTCACACGGTCAATTCGCTCCGTCGCGGGGCAATTAGCAACGGCGAGCCAGCACCCCGCTAGTAGGGGTACGTACCCTGGCAGGCAGACTTCCAGATCCCAGATCTAAAGCATGCCCAGATCATATCATGTTAGGGCCGGCTAGACTGCATCGTCCGTCGTCGCTTTGCTCTCGCCCTGTACGATAATTTCCTGCGCTCGCTCTCTTGCTTGTGCTCTCAGCGTTGTGTTCCCTCGTTCATTGTCGCGGCGCCCAACCCTCTTCCCGGTGCGAAGAAGATGAACTGCTCCGGGTCAGCATAGTCATATCTTACACTCCCATCCTCACCATCTTCACACAGCGATATGCCTCAGGCCTCCTCCATCGCTCCAGCCGCTTTGGCCTCGACGGCACATCATGCCGCCACCGCCGGCTCCTCCTCCTCCTCCTCTTCGCGACCAGGCCTGACGCGTCCGGTTCGGCTGACGTCTGGCGGCTCGTTCCACGCAGGAGCCCCCATGCCCTCCTTTCCTGGCCCCTACGACGCCGCTCGCGACGGCAAGCCAGTCGGCCGCAGACGAACCTTCCTCGGCCATATCAGCCAGATGCGAAGACACTCCACCTATAAATATCACACGTTCCCTACTCAACCTCCCAAGACTCCCAGTGACGCCCCGGACTCGAGCACCGCCAACTCGCCTTCCGAAGAGGAGGGCGTGCGAAGAAGAAGAGGGCACCGGCATACGCATAGCCGCGACAGCAACAGAGACGTCACGCCTCTGCCCATCAGGCAGCTCCTCCTCCTGGCCCTGTTGAGCCTGGCAGAGCAGACCGCCCTCAACTCCATCGGCCCATACCTGCCGACCATGGTCGCAGCCTTCCCTGAGATACCACAAGGCCAGGCCGGCCTGTATGTTGGCTTGCTTGCCTCTTCCTTCGCCCTGGCTCAGCTGACAACCAACTTCCTGTGGGGTTATCTCTCCGATCGTGTGGGGAGGAAGCCCATCATGCTGATCGGGACCGCCCTTCTATGCCTATGCTTCGCCTTCTTCGGCTTCTGCCAGAGCTACTGGCACGTCCTCGTCGTGCACGTTGCCATGGGCCTCCTGAACGGGAACGCCGCTGTCGTGCCTACCGTCTTGGGCGAGGTCACCGACAGGAGCAACCAGAGCAGGGCTTTTACGTGGTTGCCAGTCATGTATTCCATCGGAGGCATCACTGGGCCAGCCTTGGGAGGTCTGCTTGTTGGTGAACCAGGGTCCACAAGATGGCCCTTTCTGGGGCCAAATCTATTGTCCGCCGCCTTGCTTCTGGCTGCCGTGGTGGTTTTGGCGATATGGTTCGAGGAGACTCTTGATGAAGCTGACAGAAGACACGAAATCAAGGCTCTTGCTTGGCTTGAGAATATTTGCCTCTGCTCCTGCTTGATTTCGAGAAAGGGAAGGAAACGGCCGTGGAGCTCTCGCTGGCCAATTTCACAGCGCGACCTGGTGCTTCAAGAGGAGGACGGGGCGGCCTACGACGAGCAAGGCGACACAGGCGAGGAACAAGCCCTTCTCCACTCAGCACCCGACCTCGAATCACAAGAACCCCCGCAGGATAACAAGGACGGTCCGCGTTCAAGTCGATCAGCTCTGCGAAAGTTGCTCAACTGGACCACTGTGAGCATTCTACTCACTTATCTCATCTTTCAGGTCGCAAACATTTCATTCAACAGCCTCTATCCTATCTTTGCCTCCGCACCGCCACCAACTGGTCGTGAGCTTGGTCCTGGCGTCATTGGCGTCAGCATGAGCCTGGCGGGATTAGTCACCATCCTATTCCAGGTGTCCTTGTTTGAACCGCTCAAGGCGCGGCTGGGCAATCTAGGCACTTTCAGATTGAGTCTCCTGGGTTTGGCTCTCGCCATGGTTTTCATGCCATTCGTGGGATACCAAGATGATCACGCTTTGTTTGGTTGGGGCTCAGGAAGGTCGTGGCTCCTGATCGAGCTGGGTGTAATTCTTGTGCTCAAGAATTTGAGTGCCGTGGGTGGACTGAGCTGTGTTCTACTACTCGTAAGTCCCAAACCCCGCTTCTTACTCTAGAAATCTTGCTTACCCCTACAGATAACAAACTCTGCTCCCACACACGAAACCCTCGGTACGCTCAACGGTATCGCCCAGACCCTGTCTGCCGCAGGCCGGTCTTTTGGGCCCTTTGCATCTGGCGGTCTGTTTACCTTATCAATGCGCCTGCAGCACAAAGGCGAGTTGCTCGCCTGGGGTGTGTTCGGCGGCATCGCCCTTATTGGGTGGGGTTGGACCATGTTTATCAGGGGTGGGAAGCTGGAGAGCGACGACTTCTTAGGTGATGACGACGACGAGGATACCGACGGTGAGCAGCACGACGACCACTCAGAAGGCGAAGCAGGGTACGCCGGTATCGACGCACAGCGGGTACGGGAGGATGAATTTAACACGACGAGAAGAGATCTAGAACGGGAGTGGTAACTCATCGATACCCAGCCATTTTGAACAATAGATCTGGAAAGGAGGCTTTCTGCACATACACCAACGATGATACGAAATATGGAATAGACCGGCCCTTCTTTCTGACGATGCTACGGCCGATTTGGAAATAGCGAGCTTTATCGATCTGAGGTGTGATGTGCTTGCGGGATTGTCCTAACAGCAATTAAAGAGCTGCTTTGAGTCGGTACGGGGAATCCGATGATCAATGTGACTTCCGGCTTGCTACTGCATCCCGTCAAAGCGTCTTAGGCATCAGACCTGGCCCACAGAGTGCGGCGTACATCCATTATCCAGACCTTTGGAGCGCTAGAGCCGTTCTCTATAGGCCACCAGAATGCCTTTGAGGAGGTTTGATGATGTGCCCCTCGCGATGGGCTGTGGCTGTTCAAAGGCATCCGCTAATACCTGACTGACAAGAATGTCGAGGTACTGTGGCACACAGGACCTGTCCGCTGACCGTATCAATGTTGAGTAACTTTCAGGGAAAGATCGCGGACTCCTTCTCACCTCTCCCAACAGTGACCGACGGTGGTGGTTCTAGTCTTGCTCTTGCGCCATAATTGTCAAGAAAAGATCCGAGACAGTATCCATGTGTTGGTTGGGAGGCGGTCTGGTGCATCTCAATTTTGCGCCGCGTCACCCAAGCTCTATTTATTGCTTCAAATGCAAATCGTTGACTCAACTCATGAGTATCTCAACTTCCGTTGAAGGTGAGACTTAGAAGGGTGCTTCCGACATGAGTGGCGTACTTCTCGGGTTTGCTAACAAGGCAATCGTCAGGCAGTCATCTGAAAATCACTCCCGAGGTCACGTCCGAGGACGTACAGAAGCCATGGGGACAGCAAAAGCGGTGAGACTTAGGTATCTGCCCAGCCGAAAGAGTAGTACCCAGAAGGACATGGCAGGTTCTGGTCAAGGTATAAGGTCGTTGCAGGTTAGGCCCTTCTTGGAGTTGAACAACAAAGCAGGCCTTGGCAGGGGCAGTGAATCTCTCGTGTGTCTCAGCCCTACCCGCTGATCAGCCGCCACCTGGTATTGAGGCTGCCATGGAAGCGTGGAACTTTTGTCCTCGCAGGGGGGAGTCTGGAGAGGCATGCGCCTCGCAGGCACTCAATGCTGGGGGATTCCACTGCCTATTCGGGGAATGGCTTGATACGTGTGCATGGAAAGTGACTGCGCCTTTCGGGGCCGGGCCCGTCCGGATCTGGGATGTCAGCCCTACAAGGAATAAGGTGGTGTACGCGGATCCACAGCGTCGGGTGACGGTGGCTGAGAGGCTCAAATGGAACTCTAGGCTTATCCTGATTACTGTCCACCATTCTCCGGTCCGGAGGCACACCTTTGTAAAGAAATAAGTAAGTAATTACGTAGGAAGTAAAGGAGGCAAAACCATCGACCTGCAGGTAGTAAAGTCGCGTGCGGATAGGCTTGTGGAAAACTGAAAAGCTTTTCGCAATACAATAGACGTGGCTCCTCAGCAGAAGAGGCCTGTATTGCTGAACTTTGAGCAAATTCAAACCTCCGGGGGGTTCGGAGGCAGCCCGATCATCCGGGCGTGTTGACGCAATCACTTATGTGATGGATGTTACCGCAGGATTGCTGTCATTCCAGTGGGAGCTCTCGAATGAATGTTACATAGACGTAGGCCAGAAGCATGACACAAGCTAAAATCTCATCACCCAGATCTCAAGGCCGTTCAGGCGGCCACTCCGGGATGCCACGGGCCTGTCGAGTCTGCAAGACCAATAAGCGCCATCCGACAGAATATCCGTAAAACCTTGGCTCCGCTCCTCGAACGTTTGCTGGGTGCAATCCGAGAGCTCGGAATGCATGGCTGGAGGCGCTAGTCGAAAGTATGCATCCTCATGCAAGTTTCATGCGGGCTCCTGCAGCCCTATAGGGCTGGCTGAGGTCTTGAGATGACAGGACTATACCGCTATTTCATTAGTAAACACAATCCCAAAATACATCCGTCTCATAATCATCGCTTCACCCAATCACTTCCCAATTACGACTTATCTAACAGCGCGGGATGTATTGCTCGATGTTAACATACCATTTTCCCCACTTTGAAAATGAGTGCTCTTTCGGTCTTGGACGGGGAGGTTCGTCTATGCTAGGCATGATTTGGGAAGTGCTTTGCCGTGCTACCGGGGGATTGCCGCTTGATACCCGTGTGTTTCCGCTGACATGGTCTCGTTCTCCCGTTTGGTTCAGACCATCTTGTCGCCAGCGATTTCATTCATTACAAATCAGAAGAAAAGTACCATAGTTTTAAACGCCAAAACCTGGTTCATGCGGTCCATAAATCACCGGCCTGATCGTATTCTTGCCACACGTGCTCTTGTATTGAGTTTGACTACTTTTGTATATCTGTTTTTGACACAAGTGTTGACCCGGAGATCATCGTATTCCCACTCCCTTCCGTCCCCATAGAATGCTCAAGTGAGCACCTTGAATCCTACCATTTTCTCTTTCATTGTGTGCCTGGAGGCTCACGGTTCTTCACTTCATGGAGAGGAGCACATTCAGAGGCACAGCCTATAGCCTACGTTTCAGCTGTTTTGGACTGTCATGTCGCTCAAGGGCCAACCACTAGGGCCTGTCAAAGTTGACAGCTCCGGTCGTAAACCCGCCAGCTGAGCCTCAATCCGAATATGAGCCTCCACACCAAGTCCGGACTCAGCTGCACATATTCCATCGCGTTATCCGATTACCAAAGATGTCGCCTCAAATCTCAGCTCTGCGGGTGTTTCATGAAAGGCGAGGCTTCGCGTGACTCCCCTCCAGGCTTCTTTGCGCCCCATAGTGTTCAAAAGTCTTAATAAGTCGTAGTCTGGTCCATATAGCCGTGTCGGTGCCCCTGTCTGGGTGCGCATGTGGTTTGTTCGCATAGGGGGGGGGGGGGGGGGCGCGCGGGGGCGGCGGCGGGGGGGCGGGGGGGGGGGGGGGGGGGGGGGGGGGGGGGGGGGGGGGGGGGGGGGGGGG